TAGATGCAGCATGTCGTCGATCATACCCTCGGATATGTCTAGACCGAGGCATCTCTGGTCTTGGCAACATAATCGCCAACAATGAGCTGCTCAGCACGCAGAAGATCCACCGAGTCCAAGGTCGCAAATTTAGGCCGGCTACCCAATTTCGGTTAAACGCAACAAGCTACTCGGTACCTACCTAGGTACTAGCGGTATGATAGTTGGGGACACTCGCCTTGTTTGCCGATTTCCCCGCACCCGTCACTTGTCAAATCTCCCCTCAGCTGGTTTTGCCCGCGTGTTTCCAACCCCTTGCTTATTCGCATTACTGTCGCTCTGAACCGTGAGTAAAAATCCATTGAGCTCACCTGGCTGCAGCTAACCGTATTTAAAAAATAGCCGAGATCACCTCTGTTTCCTGCATTTTGGAGATTTGCCCCTATATTACCCCGAGGATTTGGAAAAAATGGTGTTTTTACCTCCAAAGGAGTCCGGTCAATTGGACCCAATTCCCGACAGTATCCCGATCAGCGAGTTCATGCTCAATGAGAAATATGGGCGAGTGCGACACGCCAGCTCCCGGGACCCCTACACATGCGGCATCACCGGGAAGTCATACTCGTCGCAAGAGGTAGCCAATCGCGTCGACTCGCTGGCTCGTAGTCTTTCAAAGGAATTTGGGTGGGCGCCGAATGAAGGGTCGGAATGGGATAAGACACTGGCCGTGTTTGCCCTTAACACTGTACGTGGAATATACTGTATCAAGAAGAATAGCGGGGAGCTTATTCTTTCGTTTTGCCGATTAGATCGATTCCTTGCCCCTATTCTGGGCCGTTCACAGACTGGGCGGTGTTCTCACTCCCGCCAACGCATCATACTCTGCCGCCGAGCTGACGCATCAGCTGCTTGATTCCAAGGCCAAGGCCCTCGTGACTTGTGTTCCTCTCCTCTCCATCTCGCTGGAAGCTGCGGCCAAAGCTGGTCTCCCGAAGAACAGAATCTACTTACTCGATGTACCTGAGCAGCTTCTTGGCGGTGTCAAGCCTCCAACAGAATACAAGTCCGTTTCCGAACTGACCGACGCTGGGAAGTCTCTACCGCCAGTGGATGAATTGCGATGGAGCGCGGGTGAGGGCGCCCGACGGACAGCATTTGTGTGCTACTCGAGTGGAACGTCTGGATTGCCGGTAAGCAGTGTCCTGGCAATCTGAATATCACTTTCGCTAACAATGTGCTGCAAAACAGAAAGGAGTCATGATCTCACACCGCAACGTGATCGCCAATACCCTTCAGATCAAGGCATTTGAGCAGAACTATCGGGATGGCGGGGGCACAAAGCCTGCGAGTACTGAGGTTGCTCTTGGTCTCCTTCCGCAGAGCCATATCTATGCCCTTGTGGTCATTGGCCATGCTGGCGCATACCGAGGTGACCAAACAATCGTTCTCCCCAAATTCGAATTGAAATCCTACCTGAACGCCATTCAGCAGTACAAGATCAGTGCGCTCTTCCTGGTGAGCATGTCTTTCCTGATGAGAAGGTGCTGTCGAATACTAATCGCAAGGACTTAGGTACCTCCGATCATCATCCACATGCTGGGCACTCAAGACGTGTGCTCCAAGTATGACCTGAGTTCCGTGACGTCTCTGTTCACAGGAGCGGCACCCCTGGGCATGGAGACAGCTGCCGACTTCCTCAAACTCTACCCGAACATTTTGATCCGTCAGGGATACGGTACGTGGTAATTGATGCTTCTGACATGCGCAGAACTGACAGATTTGCGCACAGGTCTGACAGAAACATCCACGGTCGTAAGCTCGACCCACCCGCACGATATCTGGTTAGGTTCGTCCGGCGCCTTGCTCCCTGGAGTCGAGGCACGGATTGTGACGCCCGAAAACAAGGAAATCACAACGTACGACTCACCAGGCGAGCTGGTGGTCCGAAGCCCAAGCGTCGTCCTGGGCTATTTGAACAACGAGAAAGCCACCGCAGAGACATTTGTGGACGGATGGATGCGTACCGGAGACGAGGCTGTCATCCGTAAAAGCCCGAAGGGCATCGAGCACGTGTTTATCGTCGATCGGATTAAGGAGTTGATCAAGGTCAAGGTTCGTAATCGCATCGGCTGATGGAAATATACGCAATCTAACACGTCATTCCTAGGGTCTGCAAGTCGCGCCTGCCGAACTAGAAGCCCATATCCTCGCCCACCCCGATGTCTCGGACTGTGCTGTTATCGCTATTCCGGATGATCGTGCAGGAGAAGTTCCCAAGGCCATCGTTGTGAAGTCCGCCAGCGCAGGATCGGACGAATCTGTCTCCCAGGCTCTTGTGAAGTATGTTGAGGACCACAAGGCTCGTCATAAGTGGTTGAAGGGAGGTATCAGATTTGTGGATGCCATTCCCAAGAGCCCGAGTGGTAAGATTCTTCGTCGGTTGATCCGTGATCAAGAGAAGGAGGCACGGAGAAAGGCTGGTAGCAAGATCTAAAAATGCCCGGGGTCGCTTTGATTAGAACTTGGTCTTGGAAACTTGGAAACCAATAACCATTTTTGGCTTGAACTGGAAGTATATATGTAGATATGGATAAACAAGGCATCTCATCTGCTGTTATCAGAAGAGTACATGTATGTAGGTCCACCGGTACCTAGTCCAAAATTTTTCAATATAATATATTGTTTTATAGTATTATGGGGAAGACTCCTGCAAGGGGTCCATAGCTTCTTCACGCTTTGAAACACCAGGATAAATCAAAAGAATCAATGCAATTTGCAATTAAACAGTCTACAACCAGGACTGTGGCCATATATTCATTGAAAATCCAATAAATCCAGCAAGCGCCTGCATGCTACCTATATGTAGGAGGTATTTCGCGTTTCGCGCTGACACAAAAGCGGTCACTAAGGCGGTAAGGGACAGAGCATAATCTGCCGCGGGGTGGTGGATTTCTAAGCGGGGAGGTAAGAAAAAAGATCGAGGGCATTCCAAGTTGCCTTACCAACCTGCTTCTTGCTTCAATATTGTTTAGGAACGGGTCATATAAAGAGTGACTGTTCATAAACCACTCTTTTCAGCATCATATCATTCAGCCCCCATCTCCGACCCATTGAAAAAATAAAAATGTCTTCAACCGACCCGAATCGTGAGAATGTAGACGAGGAGTATATCCAGGCCGATGATGCCGAAGAGATCTATGATCGTGATGAGGATCACCCTATGTCGGATGGAGAGGGAGAATATGACGACGAAAACATGACTATCGAAGATGAGATCACCTTCCAAAACGACTCATCGGCACACTTCGACTCCCACTCGGACTCTGTCTTCTGTGTTGCGCAGCACCCGGTTCACAACAACATTGTCATGACGGGTTCCGGCGATGACACAGGCTACATCTTTGACTCGACCCCCGCACCGCGTCCTGTGCTTCCATCGAGCTATGAGTCAAACCCTCAGCCCAGAGAGCGCGAGTCTCTCATGCCTCTGGCCAAGCTCGACGGGCACACTGACACCGTGAATGCCGTGGCGTTCACTGAGCCGGCAGGAGAATATGCCATTACCGCCGGTCTGGATGGCAAGCTGCGAGCTTATCGGGATACCACACCTCAGAAGACAGGTCTTGCATGGGAGTTCGTTGGTGAGGTCCAGGAAGTGGAAGAGATCAATTGGATGGCCGTGTGCCCTTACCAGCAGGGAAATGAAGCGACGCAAAATGTTATTGCCATCGGTGCCAATGACGGCAGTGCGTGGGTCTTCCGTATCGATCACACCGACCCCGGGCAGCCTATCTCCATCATTCAGACCTTCTTCTCCCACACCGAATCATGCACTGCAGGCGCATGGACGCCTGATGGCAATCTGCTGGCGACTGTTTCTGAGGACTCCAGCTTCTTTGTTTACGACGTCTTTGGGGCTGCTGCTGCCGCTGGCATTGAGTACTCCCCAGGTACCAATGCCATCCTTGGATTGAATGCGGAGGATCAGCGCTTCGCCGTGGAGGGTGGCCTTTACACCATTGCCATCTCCCCCAGCGGCGGTATTGCTGCAGTGGGTGGTGCTGAGGGCAACATTAGAGTTGTCGGCCTTCCTCGGGTCACAGCAAGTGCCCCTGCAGCCAAGGGTAAGGGCAAAGGCACACCCGCCCAGGCAGCCGGCTCCACCGCTGCAGGCACTATCATGGCCGCATTGCAGACTCAAACAGACAACATTGAGTCACTCTCATTCTCCCAGGCTCCGTTCACCCTTCTTGCTGCTGGGTCTGTGGATGGTTCGGTTGTTATGTACGACGCGGCTCATCGTTTTGCGGTCCGTCGGCATATCAGGGATGCCCATGAAGGAAGCGCTGTTGTCAAGGTTGAGTTCCTGCCTAGCAGCAAGAAACTCGGTGCGACTGTCTCAGGTCCCCTTGCCAATGCTTCCGCAGCCCACCAGAACCGCTCTTGGATGCTCACGTCTGTCGGTCTAGACGGTGTGGTCCGACGTTGGGACGCACGTGGTGGCACGGCCGCTGCTTCTCAAGGATTGATGCGGGAGTGGAAGGGACACATGGGTGCCACGGAAAATGACGAGGGCGAGCAAGCAGGTGGCATCATGGGCTTCGTGCAGGGCTTGGATGGAAAACGGATTGTCACTGCCGGTGACGATGGTATCTCACTGGTATTCGAGGAGTAACCTGCACAAACGAAAAGTTGAACGTCCCAAACATGCATAGTGGGGGTTCATGTCGATAATGATATTACGTGTTATAGAAGCTTGAAGCCAACCTTACTTTGTTAACCAGCTCATAACATAGCACGGCAAACCAGTAGAGTCGTCGATCGAACAATAAAGAAACATCTGGTTGTAGTAGTGGAACAAAAGCTATGTACATTCGACAAATCAAACCCAAAGCGCCATGGAAGCTACGCTCCCTATGAGCCATGAGAAGCTGCATTTCCGCCCTGACACGACAAAAGCTCCCGGACTCTGCAAAGCTGTAGGCTCTATAATCCAAAGGCTGTGGTTCTCGTGGAGGCGAGACGACTCTCTCTTGTCGCCTGGGGTATACGTCCTCCGCTCGATGATCCGTCGGTCGGTGGCATTCTCAATTGGTCTCCAGAGACAACCTTTTAGTGGTGACCCTCACCGTGGTGGGCATCACTGTGGTGGTGATCATCCTTCATGAAGAAGTGCTCGTATGTGCAGTAGGCAGCGAAAGCGACAGTCGCGATACCGAAGCCGGGGAAGAGACCCTTGAAGCGGGCGGCTCTGCTGAAGGGGCCGGTGTAGCGCCAGGCCTCACTGTAAAAACATTAGTGCCTACCACGATTGGTATGATATCGGCATCACTTGACGTACTTGCGAGCCCATGGATCCCGCTTGGCCCAGACGGAAGATGGGGAGGCCGCGGCCTTGAACTGGGCGAGGTCGAAACCGGTGGGGTTGCGGGCGGACATTGTGGGAATTGTCCGGTAGTAAATATCACTGAAAGACGGAAATAAAGAGAAACAAGATGTGAAGGGCTGTAACTTGGTCCCTTAGTCCGCAATCAACCGCAAAGTGACACAGTGAGGAGCCGAAGTTGAGGAAAAGAGGTGTGCTTGGCAATTACCCGCGCTAGCCGAATACGGTAGACCAAGTAGCTCTCCCGCCTTCGAGGGACGAAACTGTCACTTCATCCATGCGCATCCTCGAGACAACAAAATGCCACCTCCCGTTGGCAGATATGGGCCATCTGGCTTAAACGCTCCATACAACATACAACAAGCTCACCTTCAATCTCAACATCCCGCACACGCACAGTCCGGAAACACACTCCCTCCCCCTTCGCTCGGTCATCCTGGCTTCGCGGGCAATCCGAATACCAACATCAACCCTTTTACACTATCCGGCGGAATTGCAAATGGTATGGCGGTAGCCGGCTTCCCGGGAGCTGGTGCAGGTGATGGCGGCGGCACCGGTCTGGCTAGTCATGCGGCACAGATGGGATTCGCGCGCGGTGCGCAAATGCAACAACAGCAACTACACCAGGGTCACGACGGTCGGTTAGCGCTCGAAGCAAAGGGCGGTGCAGTGAAGTCAAGAATTAGAGATGTCTGGAAGCACAACCTGGCCCATGAGATGGCGGTGCTGAGGCAGTTGGTCGACAAGTACCCTTATATCAGCATGGTAAGCACCAACTAATATGGTGTCTCCGTGCAAAACGGAAACCTCCTATGAGTAACATTTACTGACTAGGGCCTAGGACACCGAATTCCCTGGTATTGTTGCTCGGCCGATAGGGTCGTTTTCGAACAAAGCCGATTACCATTATCAGACCCTCAGATGCAATGTCGATCTTCTGAAGATGATACAACTAGGCATCACGTTATTCAATGACGAAGGAGAGGTTCCCCCAGCCTCAGGCACTGATGCCAATGGACAAGCGTATGGTGTGCCCGCTCCCTGCACATGGCAGTTCAACTTCCGATTTTCACTCGAAGGCGACATGTACGCCCAGGAGTCAACGGCCATGCTTGCCAAATCTGGAATTGACTTCGCCATGCATGAAAAGAACGGCATTGATCCTTTCGAGTTCGGTGCTCTTTTGATTAGCTCTGGATTGGTGCTACTGGATGACGTTCACTGGGTTTCTTTCCACTCCGGGTACGACTTTGGCTATTTGATGAAGATCATGCTCTGCTCCCAGCTTCCAGAGAATGAAGAGGAGTTCCACAAGCTTCTTACCATCTTCTTCCCGTCACTTTACGACATCAAGTACCTCATGAAGCACGCCGGTCGCAACCAAGCCGTCAACGGTTCCCCTCTCAGTCAGGCTGCAGCACAGATTCTCACCAACCTAGGCCAGAAATCTGGTTTGCAAGACATTGCCGATGAACTTGGCGTGAAGCGTGTCGGAATCGCTCACCAGGCTGGCTCAGACTCCTTAGTCACTGGTGAGATCTACTGGAAGACGCGCCAACTCATCTTCGGAGGGGCAATTGACGACAGCAAATATTCTGGCCAAATCTGGGGTCTCAACGGACAAATGCCTGCAGTGGCCTACAACATGGCCCAGCAAACACCCAACCTTAATGGCGCGACCATTTACTCGGGCGGCACCCCCAGCACTCCCAATACTGGGTCTCACGGGGCTGGCGCCCACACACCTCAGCACCACGGAGCTGGCTACAATGCCCGACCCCCGGAGCCTATCAGATGGGCCGGGTATGAGGCACGGTCCCTGAAGCACCTGGGGTTGATATGATATGATGTATGTACATAGACACGAGAATCGTGTTCTTTTCCTTCGATATTCGGCATTGTCTTCACGCTTATGGCTTTGCGTAGGCTTCGTTGCCTGTGCCGAGTTCTTGCGTCTGGACGACGGTGTTGGGCAGGAGGGTGCCTGGCGTTTGATATGGTTGGTTTTGAATCCATTTACGAGGCGTTTACAGGCTCTAGTATGGCCTCGTGCCTTTCGTTCTTGTGATCTAGACGCTTTTTCTTTCTTTCTTGTTGTAGCTAGATCGGACCTGTCTGTGTCCTATGTATAGGAATTCTGGTTTCTGTTCGGTCAATTTGGCCTGGCTTTGTAGATCCAAGAGCTCCTTCCAGCTTGTCCCGGTGTACTTTGTGTCATCTCATGGGATCTGCTCGACTTATCTACACATCTTCTCGAATGACAAGCAAGGCCCACAGCTCCAGACACACTTTCCCAATCGAGGATTGTCATGCGACATCTCTGATTCTACCCCGCGATGTGACAAACGACATGAATAACGCAGAGATGATACCAACATCAAGCTGCAGACAAGCATCTCTTTGCCGTTTCGGGATTAGAGATATCACGCTAACCCCAATCAGGCCATTGGATCCGGCCTCCGCAAATAGGCTTTATCTAATCGGATCGAGGTATACCTGCAGGGCTAGGGACATATCGAGATACCTCTTGCTTGTTAAATAGTCCGCAGGCCCGGACTTGAGGGAGAATCAAGTGAGTTTATTGCCTTTGACTCTCAGCGACTACTTGCCTGAATTGGCGCTTTATCATCATCATATTGGAATTATCTCCTTCTATATACTTCTAGCACAGTATGGTGCTCGACCGACTACAACAATTGACTCACCAAGTCAGCGCTACTGCGCCGCTACCTCATCCACTTGATCCTCTTTCTACTGTGGAAATTGATGCTGCTGTTAGCATTATTCGCAAAGAACATGGCTCGCTCAACTTCAATGCGGTCACTCTATATGAGCCCCGCAAGGCCCAGATGATGGCCTGGGTGGCTGATCCAGAGAATGCGCCTCGTCCTGCCCGAGCCGCCGATATTGTTGCCATTGCGCCTGGCGGCAAGATCTATGATGGTGTGGTTGATCTGGACCAGAGGAAGATCATCAAGTGGCAGCACACACCGAATGTTCAGCCTCTCATCACCATGGAAGATTTACAGGAGGTTGAACATATTGTCCGCAAGGATGCTAAGGTTATTGAGCAATGTGGTATTATTGGAATTCCCAAGGAGGATATGCACAAAGTATACTGTGACCGTAAGTGGACGGACTTTCCTCGTTTATCGAAAGTTAATACTGATCAAACATTCTAGCTTGGACGATTGGATACGATGAGCGTTTTGGGACTGGTGTTCGTCTTCAGCAAGCCCTCATGTACTACCGCCCTCACCCGGACGACTCTCAGTACACCTATCCCTTGGACTTCTGTCCCATCTACAACTCCGAAACCAAGCAGATCATCCACATTGATGTGCCGCCTGTGCGGAGACCAGTTAGCAAGGCCGCTCCAAACAACTACCACCCGGCCGCAGTCGAGCAAGAAGGTGGATACCGGACCGACCTTAAGCCAATTCACATCACCCAGCCAGAGGGTGTGTCTTTCGAAGTCAAGGGACGAACAATCGAATGGCAGAACTGGAACATCCACGTCGGCTTCAACTACCGGGAAGGAATTGTCCTGAACAACATCACCTTCAACGACAAGGGCAATGTGCGCCCTGTCTTCTGGCGTCTTTCTCTGGCCGAGATGGTCGTGCCATACGGCAACCCGGAACATCCCCACCAGCGCAAGCACGCCTTCGACCTAGGCGAGTACGGTGGCGGATACATGACCAACAGCCTGACACTAGGATGTGACTGCAAAGGGGCAATCCACTACATGGACGCGGCATTCGTGAACCGAGCCGGCGCCAGCACAATCATCAAGAACGCCATCTGCATCCACGAAGAAGACGCCGGCATCCTATTCAAGCACACCGATTTCCGCGACGAGTCGATGGTCGTAACCCGCGGCCGAAAACTGATCATCTCGCAGATCTTCACCGCAGCAAACTACGAGTACTGTGTGTACTGGATCTTCCATCAGGACGGCACAGTCCAGCTCGAGATCAAGCTGACCGGCATCCTTAACACCTACGCCATGAACCCTGGCGAGGATACCAAGGGCTGGGGAACCGAGGTGTACCCCGGCGTCAACGCCCACAACCACCAACACCTGTTCTGTCTTCGTGTAGACCCGAACATCGACGGGCCGAGCAATACGGTCTTCCAGGTAGATGCAGTCCAAGGACCCGGTGAAGTTGGCAGCCCCGAGAACAAGTACGGCAACGCCTTCTATGCCAAAAAGACAAAGTTCTCCACGCCCCTCGAGGCCATGTCCGACTATGACGGATCTACCAGCCGTACCTGGGACATGGCGAATACCAACAAGCTCAACCCGTACAGCAAGAAGCCCGTCAGCTACAAGCTAGTCAGCCGTGACGTCCCTCCCCTGCTCCCCAAGGCGGGCGGACTGGTCTGGAAGCGAGCAGGATTCGCGCGCCATGCCGTTCATGTCACTAAATGTGAGTTCTGTCATTTCCCCTTTCTATATCGTGTTCATTAACTGACCCTGTTCTTCAGATGACGATGATCAAGTCCATCCAGCTGGCCGCCACGTCCCACAGACATCCGGCGAGCCCTCGAAGGGTCTGCCCGCGTGGATCGAAGCTGCTGGTCCCAGTTGCTCCATTGATAACACCGATGTTGTTCTCTGGCACACTTTTGGTCTGACGCACTTCCCGTCGCCAGAGGACTACCCGATCATGCCTGCGGAGCCGATGACACTTCTTCTGCGCCCGCGCAACTTCTTTGACCGCAGCCCAGTCCTTGATGTGCCTCCGAGCTTTGCGCGTACACCGAAACAGGTTGCTGCTAACGCAGGCACTTGTGCCTGCAAGAAGAGTGATGGGTCCAGTGTGTTGGTTTGAAAATGATGAGATTTGACGTCTGGGTTGCTTATTTTCTCCGCTCCACTTCTTGTATATAGATTACACCCGTTTAGCAAATGAAATGGATTATTGATTCTTGGTCTACTTTATGATTTGTAGGGCTTTGGTCTACCAAGTAATTGCTGGCAATTAGGGTATCTGGCTACAGAGCGTAGATATGTTAGCCATTGGGGCGACTTTTCGCTTCCTCGTCGATATTCATGCTTTACGGCAGTGTATAGCCGCTAGTGCGCCATATCGCATTCTGCCAGCAGAACATTTCATAAAGCTAGTATATGTGTATTCTATTGACGGTATTATAGAAGTTAAGATATCGAAGGTTATATATAGAGAAGTTCCCTTCCACAAATTAAGCCTTATATAGCACTTTGCTACTATCTACCTAACAAACTATAAGAGGGGGAAAATATCTATATAACTAGGCATCTTAAAAGCTGCCTAAGGAGACTGCTAGAAAATACCACTAAGAAGACATAATAAAAGACTAGTTATTAGAGACCACCTAAGAAGACCACTATAGAGACTACGGAAGCGGCCGACTATTCTCATTATAGGAATTGAGATATTGTAGGAATTGACCCTGTAGAAGCTGATATTGTAGGAATTAATCACTAGATTTTGTAGGTAATAGTAAATCGGGGGTATGACAGTCAAGATTTAACATAGAAAAATATGATATGGCGCACTGGCGGTTATAGACTGCCTTACATGCCTATTTGAACTACTGAACTACACTCACTCGAAAGAAGAAAGAGAATATGAGAAGGAAAGTCGTACGCTATAATGTCTTTTGATAGGAAAGCACGTAAATCCAGAGATATACATATCAGTGTAAACCTCGTCAACAACGCATAAACGCCTCGAAACATCCCAACAGGGAGGGAATCATGCAGTGAGAACCAAATAAACTATAAAAGCCTCGACAAAATGTCTAGCCAACATGCAGAAACAAAACAGCGCAGCTGTGCAGAAACAAAACACAGGGATAGCAATTCTACGCCGACAATCCCCGCAACAAAGCCCTATCAACCTCCCCCAGCAAGGCAAACAACTCCTTCCCACCTTCCGACTCCTTCCCTTCAATATCAAGCGCCTTATGCAAGAACTTGCGCGCCTCCTCATAGCGACTCATCTCCGCAAGGCACTTAGCAATCCGCCACCAAGCCTTCACATTCCCAATAGGCTTCGAGTCAACACTAGACTTGGCATCAACCAGCGCCTCGGGCCAGGCCTGCAGAGCCATGTGCGCCTGCGCGCGGTTCGCATAAAGACCCGCCAACTCCTCCCGCGCAACGCCCACAGGTTCCCAGCCCGGCCGGCTGAGTGCCATGTCGATGGCGTAGGAGTACAGCTTGATTGCCTCGTCGTAGTTGGATTTGCGGTGGGCGGCGTTGGCGCTGTCGCGGAGTTTGCTGATTTGCGCGCTGCGCTTGGGGTTTAGGGGGAGGGGCGCGGGTGGGATGTTGGGTGGGTCGAGGCTGATTAGGGCGCGGTGTAGTTGGTTCAGTTCTTCCAGTTCGGTGTTGATTGCGGCTGCTTGGGAGGGTGTTTGGGCGGATGAGGGTGGGAGTGAGAGCGCTTTGGTGCTGGGGTCCATGTACAATGGGTACTGGTTGTAGATGTCGATTTCACTGGCCATTTTTGGGGCTGGGGAGACCGTAGGTCCCGTGGTTTGGTTTGTATGGTCGGTGTTGCTGCGAGGTCGTTAGTATATGTGCTAGTATATGTGATGCAGTGTGACTAGGTGGGTGTTTGGGGGATGGAATGGCAAGGTTTCATGGAAGGAGGGGTTAATTCATACAAGGAACAGTTGAAGATGTACTGTTAGCTGCCCCACAAGACAGAATTCACTTTGAGGTCAAAATCCGGAGTTGTTCTTGTCAAGAGATGATGATGGCAAGAGGGCAAGCTGTCCATAAGCCCACTGATATGGAAAGCGGTGGCAGAATACTGGTACCTTGTGCTATCTATATCTTTTCCTTCTATGAGCAACATTAAAGGTGAAAACATTGAAGGCAATTAACATGATACGATGATAAAGATGTGAGTATAGCATGGCTCCAAGGTCCCCAAAATAGATTGACAAGATCTCAGCCTTCAGGATATCATCTATATATGTTGGCCAACCAAGGCATTCCAACCTACAAAACACAAGTCGGGCACTTATTTTACAATGTAATACATCTATATTTTGCTAGATCCAATGAAACAAAAACAGGACATACAATCGTAATCCCAGGACCAAAAGACCCTCGAGAAACATGGTAAAGACAAGGGCATCAGCCCAGAGTAAACAGCGATGCGCCCAACACCGCTTCCATGGTCAATATCCAAGGCGCAAAAAAGTAAGACGACTCATCAATCCTCCGGGTATTTCACTAAGCTATGTCTCCATTTACACTGGCAACATCCTTTACTCAACTCGGCCGTCTTCCGTAGCCACTCACCGATGAGCCGCCAAACCCAGTGGGAGCAGTGTACTCAGACGGGGTGTAATCCGACGGATTGTACTGAGTAGACGGCTCCGTATAGTGCTGGCCATGCGCACCACCGTAGGAGGTGTTGTTATAATCGTGGAGGATGCCTCCGGGAGCGGGAGCGGTGGGGTCGTAGGAGCCTTGCATCGCGGTCCGGCCGTGTGCGTTGCTCAGGTCATCCACCTCACTCTGGTGCAGAAGGGCGTAGTCCTCATCCCGATCGCCGCGGGAGGAGGCGCCCATGCCGCCGCCTCGGCCGGAGCGCATGTCGTCGTCATCCTCCTCGAAGTCGTGGGCTGGGTTCGACGAGAAGGCGGCTTTGCTCTGCGCGGCGAAAGTGGGATCGGAGACGGCGTCGGGGAGGGTGCCGGTGCGGCGGAAGTGCATCACGTTGCGGAAGGACATCCAGGCGGTGATGGCAAAGAGGACGCTGTTTGTCTGTCAGTTTCATTCCAGGAATCGCTGTATCTCGCAGTTAGAAGGAATTTCACGTACAAGATGAAAACGCCGATAATTGTAGTTGCCTCGCTCAGCTTGCACTTGGAAGCGCTTCCGTAGGCCCAATTATCGCATCCGGTCTTGGTGCTCTTGTTACTGTCACTGTCGGCGTTGGCTCTCCTGGCGGCGGACTTGGAATCGGAGTTGGACTTGTCGTTGTCACTGCTCGAACCCTTGGACTTTCCTTGGGCGACATAGGAAGCAAGACAGATCCAAGCACTGAGCCAGAGAATCGAATAGAGGATGTCGACACTGGCGAAGGCATAGACGTTACCGAAGCGTCGGGCTCGTGGCCACATCGGCACTGCCACCAGGTAGATCAGGCCGGGAATACTCAACCAGCACTGCCATTCGGTCGTATGTCAGAATAAAAGAGCGCTTTTTCGTATCAGAAACGCAGCAACAGAAAACTCACCAGACCCCAGTACCAGCCTGTGCGTCCATCGATGCCGTCTCCTTTGGTCCAGATAGCGATGGTTAAGGCCCATGCGAGGAAGATGGTGAAGCCTTGTACGAAATGTAGTATATTTTTCGTCCGTCCGAGGTTTCCGCCTGACGGCATTTGAAACTTCATCTTGTGTGTAGGGGCGCTGCAAGGGTGTTGCGCTTTTTGTATTGGCCCGGAGGGAAGGGAGGGGTTGGTCTCGGAGTGCGTAGTTTATCGTGAAGTCATACGGGAGACAAAGGGTGGAAGATGAGACAAGAACAGAGTCGAGACCTGAAGAATGAGACCTGGGAGGGTCTTGGCCAGGCTGAGGCTCCGTGGAGAAAAGTTGTCGGTTTGTTTTGTTTTGATTAATTCTCCGTCGCAATGTCGCACCTCTGCGATTATTTGAATCAGGACAGCAGAGAAATGTAAATTGAAGAGTCCAATATTAAATCCGACGATCGATTTGTTTCTCTACCTTATCCTGCCTCTTGTTTCCACCGGGCATACGTATGTCCTCCACAATCCGCTGCCCAGGCGACAGCCCGTTACTATTTCGGGAACTCCGCCACACTCTTCTTGGCGTATGCCTGTCAATTTACATCATAGTCTCATGTCCCATATACTCATACTAACATAAACTCATACTAACATAAAGGGAAATCAACCCAATCCCGCCTCTCGTGTTTGTTTCATCAACACCCAGATCTCTCGCAATGGTCGATAGACATGTACTTCCCACCACCAGGGAAACGGATCAAGAAAAGAGAACAGGGGGTCTTTCCAGAACAGCAGCCTCACTAGTTCTGCCTCTGCAACTTCAACAGCTGTGAGTGCAAAGTGGAACAACGAAAAATGCATGAAAGCAGCGGGAAGAATGGCGGCTCGGGCAAATGTTGGCACTGAACGGGTTGCTGATAGTGTTGCTGCGACGTTGGCTGTGTCGACTGGATTGGAAGGGAACACAGATAAATAACCTGCAATGGGGCAAGGTACATTATACAGCAGATTATCCACAGCTCTGGCACCAGGTGTACAGCCGGCGATGTAGATAGTGTGTCGGACAGAATGCGCATCAAACTCTTCATCGACCATAAGTCGGACGGAGAGATGGCCCGTTAAGCGAACACCACCTGTGGCCGCCAATTTCTGCATGAGCCTATGGACCGAAGCGGCCAAAGACTCATCTAGACGCGAGGCACCCCACGTAGACGAACCAGAATCCGAAAGCCGAACCTTGATGGCTTGAACGTGACCACGCACAATCAGTAAGTCTGCAAATAGCTCACCAAGGCGAGATTGTTGCTGCAGAATCCAGGGTCGATCTTTGGAGATCTGGATCTCGCTGATCATCGTGTATGTCTTGCTCAGTGTGCGCCTCGGCAAGAGCATAACCTTCTCATTCGCAGATGGGGTCGCTCGGGAGATCTGGTAGGTTTTGGAGGGCGACCGGTGCAAGATCTTGTGTACAGAGTCACGCGATTGAACCCTGTGATACTCAAGCACAGGAAGACCTCTGTCGACCACATACTGTCTGAAGGAATCAGGATGGACGAAACAAGCCGCCACCTCGGTGTCAAAGGTAATGCATTTGCAACTAGTGCGACTCTCAACAACCTGTCGGGCCGTCGCATCTTCAATGGAGGATGCCTTGGGCGAGCATGGGATCCACAGGTCGACCTTTTCACGGTTGATAACGTCGAGTAGCCGGGGATGTAATGGTCCTTGGGAATCCGGTAGAATGCCACAAGGGCCTTGGACATGCTTCCGCCGGAGCGCACGGGCAGGTCCAGGTCGGTAACATCGGCCCCAACCACACGGTGACCCTCTACAGCCCATGACCTTGCCAGAGTCAGGCCGTGGGCCGTGCCTATGCCAGTGATGAGGACTGTTTTCGGGTAAAAGTGCACATTCCGCTGTGTTTCTCGCCTTCGATTAGCTTTCCGGAGATAAGCTAGGAAGCCCGCGACCACGAGAATAGCGTTATCGACAAACAACAACGAGAATGAAAGGCATATTCGAAGGATATGCCAGAACACTCGTGATAGAGTCCTCGATGAGACCGACGCTTTGGCGGATTTGATCGACATGCTGAGTCTATGGTTCATCGCAACAAGCAGATAGATCTGCTCATTCAAATTCAAATATTGGGAATAATGGACCTCGCAAGGCCAACCTGGAGTATAGCCCTGGGGAGCATCGTCGCTGACAAGGAGTGAAAATGTGAGTTGGAGGGGGCTGGAGACTGATGAGGGGCTTGGCCTGCAGATCTAGTTCGGTGTGACGATACACTTTCAAGATTAAACACTTTAAGTTGGACACCTCGATCTATCTGGAGAAGATGAAGCCCCAGGGCTCAGGGTAAATTTCTCCGCATCTAACGGGGGTCTCGGATCTAACCTCCAGGGCTGGGAAGAACGTCCGGCGATTACCACATGGGATCGGGTTTCCGGGTATCAGTGCTCTCGGTACTAATTACCTAGAGCAATATCTCCGAGGTTTATGTGTTTTGAGGGTCAGGATAGTGATCAACGCCATAAATGGTGAATGGTGCATGGTCGGACTCGGATTTATCCCAGAGCTGTATCTACTCGGGCTTACTGTCTATCCGAAGTATTCCATGAGTCATCCCCGAGGCGAGTTGACGTTTATAACTTCGCACGTCCGCGTAGAATTCCTTGGATTATTTATCAGCTTCTCTTGCTCTATTAGAAACTAAAGTCATGTCTCTACAAGAACCCTCGGTAGGAATTACATTTTGACCCTTTGATTGTAAGGAATCACGCTAACTCATACTCTAGAACGATACCGGCAAGGAGCTGAAGCTCTTACATTACATCTATGGGCAACCAAATCTGGATGAAATCCGGGGACATCCCCAAAAAGTGATCGATCTGATTCACGAGTTTGAGAAAAACTACCATTTTATGAATGTTGGCGCTGAAAAGGGCAAAGTCGTCACCAACCTCATCGATGAACTCAAGCCAAAGACCATGATCGAGCTCGGCTGCTACGTGGGCTACTCTGCAATCCTGTTCGGTGAGGCAGTCCGTCGAAACGGTGGTGAACGCTACTTGAGTCTTGAGTTGAACCCAGAGTTCGCCGCAATTGCCAATATGCTCATCGAACTAGCCGGATTGCGAGACTTTGTGCGTATCATCGTTGGTCGAAGCGACTTGTCGCTACACAAACTACTCACTTCGGGCGAGGTGAAGAAAGTGGAACTTCTTTTCATCGATCATTACAAACCAGCGTACACCACTGACCTCAAGCTGTGTGAGCACTTCGGGGCTATTGTGCCGGGTTCAGTGCTCGCTGCTGACAATGTCCTTTACCCGGGCAACCCGCCATATCTGGAATACGTCCGCAGCACGGTAGAACAGAAACGTGAAGCAGCCAAGAGTGGACCTTCCCAGTCATATAACACGACCGGGATGGCCGAGCGCACGGTAGAGTCCTTCGTGGGTAAAGATGACGTGCCCACTTTCGATTTTGTCGGGAACCCGAACTTGGTGTATCAGAGTCAGCTATGCCAACCCGAGGGATTGCAGGTAAGTTTGGACTATCCGAAAAAAAAAAGAGTCTTCCAGTGTCGCTAACTGCAAGTTGACAGGATGCTATCGAGGTTACGAGGTGTGTGGGAGTGCAGGCATAGATGGCGAATGGCCAATGATGCAAGTGGGAGTGTTGTAGAGCGGCACAAGCCAAGATGTCAAATATAAGAAGAACATTCCATATATTATCAATCAGGCCCAGAGTACTCCGGGAAATGTAGTAAAAGTCGAACATTGCCACTTCGGGAACCCGACTCGGCCTTTGGGGATTGGAACCCCACCCGAGCCAAAGTTGCCGTCGCCAGGACCTTCCCATGTTTCCCCCGCCAAATGATTTCCGGGGATATATAAAATAGGTTCTCTCTCCTGATTCTTCACCTTCAATTAATTCTCACATATTCTCATCATGGCTACCAAGACTTACAATGTCGGTATTGTCGGCTACGGCTTCAGCGCAAAGATCTTCCACATTCCCTTCGTGAAGGAGGTTCCCGAGCTCAAGCTCTACGCAATTGTCCAGCGCACACCGAAGCAGGATGATGATGCCGAGAAGGACCACCCTGGTGTGAAGTCTTTCCGTACTGCTGAGGAGATGGTCCAGGACCCCGCAATTGATGTGGTGATCATCACTACTGCCCCCGATTCTCACTTCGCGCTGGTCAAGCTGGCGCTGGAGGCTGGAAAGCACGGTAAGTGCTAAGTGTCTAGAAGTCCGAGATAGAAATTGGCATAGATAAACTAACGTGGAATTTATCAGTCGTCTGCGAGAAGCCCTTTACCCCCACTACTCAGGAAGCTGATGACCTCATCGCCATTGCGAAGAAGAACAACAAACAGCTTGCCGTGTTCCAGAGTATGTCCCGCCCCTTAGCTTACTAAAATCCACCTACTAATGCCTGCCCTAGATCGCCGCTGGGATGCCGACTTCGTGACTCTCTCCAAGCTCGTCAAGAACGGCTCTCTCGGCCGCATCTCCGAGTATGAGACCCACTTCGACCGCCACCGTCCTGAGGAACCCGCCTCCGACTCTCACAAGTGGAAGAACAAGGTCATCCCTGGTGGTTCAGCAGTCTACGACCTCGGAACCCACCTCCTCGATCAGGCTGTGCACCTGCTTGGCCTACCCGCACGGGTGACCGGTTTCATTGGCTCCGCCCGGGCGTCCAACACCTCTTCATACGAGGACTCCTTCACCGTTCTGCTGCACTATGCCAACGGCACTATGGTTACCGCCAAGGCGACCGTGGTCAGCCCGAAGGACGAGCAGCTGCGCTTCTGGGTGCGCGGTGACAAGGGTAGCTTCAAGAAGGTAAGGGCATCATCTACTTGCGCTGATTACTACAATGTAGTGAAAAGTAAAACTGACCAATTGTATAGTACCACCTCGATATCCAAGAAGATCAGCTCAAGGCCGGCATCATGCCCCAGGATAAGGGCTACGGACGTGAGCCCAGCGAGCGTTACGGTGCTTTGACTACTATCCAGAACGGCAAGCCCGTCAAGGAGGTGGTTCCCACCGTGGAGCCCCCCCACCTACACCGAGTACTACCGCAAGCTTGTCCGCGCTCTTAATGGCGAGGGTGACCTCCCTGCTAGTGGTGTAGAGGCTCGCGAGGTCATTCGTTTGATCGAGTTGGCTCGTGAGAGTTCTCGCTCTGGACGTACCTTGGACGTCTAAGCTCGGTTTGTAAGATCCGTCGATGCAGATAATGATTATGATATACTTGATAAAAGGCAATATAAATTGAAGTCTTGGATGAAGTCCTTTGCATGCCCTAATAATTGTCATTGTCACATGAAGGCAAGCATTCCAGCAGCTGAAACTCTACGTAAGATGTTTAGTTCGCTGTAAATATATATCCACATCGTATTGCTGTCTACGGGCCTAAATTGCCGCCGCTTTTACGATGCTTAGGCTTAGCTGCGTTCACTGGGTATCAGCACGGGATTTGGCAGACAAATATTTCTTGAGCGTGAAGGAAGAAGGATGAATATGAATATGAACCGAACCGAACTGCTATTATTCCATAAACTAAGCATTTCAAAGGTTACTAGGGAGTTCTGAATATACTAGTCGGATGCTCCAATCGCCACTGCTCCAATTGGGGCGCCTCTCGACGCCTCGCCCGCCGGATCGTGAAACAACACCAAACGGCACATGCAATGATCGCGACGCCAATAAGCGGAAGGCCCACCATGAGAAAATATCCCAAGGTCGTAAGTGCCGGGTCATTCTGAGACTTCGGTTCTGGAGGAGCTGTGACGCTCTGTCCCGGCACCCAGGTCGAAATGTATTGCTCCGAATCAAGCGATGGTAATGCTGGGGACATGCTCGCCGTGTCCGATGCCGCCCAGGAGATGTCCCATGCTGCATGAGCTATATATCCTTCTGTGAAGATTTCTGTTGTCTCAGTGCCGGATGACGATATTGATACTGTGATTGAGGTCGAGCCGGCATGAACGTATTGGTAACAGGGTGTCGCGAGGCTGGTGACATAGAAAGGCGTGAGGAAAGACGTGAGTGTATTCCATAGTTGATAACCGCTAAACCGAGTGAATGGTTAGTAATATGTTTACAATATATCACTAACGGTGGATGTTTATGTACAAACCTAGCACAGCAGTAGGCTGTGGAATAGGGATCGATGTTTTCTTTCCCGGCTTTAGAGGATGGGCGTCTCATTTCATAGTATGTCCAGTCGCTGGGACATACGGCTGGACTGAAGTGGAATTGGCTCGCGGCATCACCGTCATTCCAGCCGTTGGGCTGGCAAGCGGAAAATTGAGGATTGGCAGCATCCGATATCAAGAATGCGACAGAGGAGATCGTGGAGGAACCACCACCCGCTGACCTGAGTATAGGTAGGGTGATCAGGTCATATATAGACAAGCAGCTGCTTGCTTGTACGAAAGGAGTTGTCACTGCTTGAAAAACAGTTTGTGTGACAGTCGACGGTGCTGAAAAGGTAGAAGACATGGGATGGTAGTGTGACTCGAGCAGGCAGTCTCAATAAGACTGATTGCTTGTATCTGATAGTAAAGAAACATCAGGGACATGTTTATGAGCAATAAATATCGATTTAACCCCAGGACGGTGTATAAAATGCAATAAGATTGCGGAGGGCACAATAACAACGTCAAGTAACATAGGACATTATAACCGAGCATAAATTGGGATATCCATGAATGATTGAAAAAGGGGTCAAACCTCAACGCTAGCAAGTCGCTTAGACTAAGCGTAGTGCATGTGCCCAGTTCTAGAGATACCTTGGTCTGAATGTACAGACAACCCCTGCAGTAGGTTACAATGCCTAGCCTTACTAGGATTCGCATGCAATTCTTGGCCACTTCACTACCAAATATGTTTGGAATCCAGATGTTCAAAGTGACAACGCTCAGGCTCTTACAAGGGTAAAGTGACGTCCAATGTCACGCAGGTTAGTATTCACTGGGCGCTAGAGGAAATTGAGTAAACCGAAAAGCTGAGTACTCAAATTGATTTCGTGACAATTTCAGACAATTGCAGCAGGACTGACCCTTGTTAACTTTCCATGTGAAAAACCAGTAACCCATCTCTAGCCTCGGAGGCTTCTATTACTGAATAGAGTCTGGTGGAAAGATCCCTCGAACTGCAGATGATATAGAGCCATTTTCTTATCGATCAGTGGATGATCACTGTCGATCTTTTGAGCTTAAAAAGATATGATGTCCAAACCCTGGGTATTAAGTTAACCAACCCGACGGTATACTGGGTAGGTATCAATGGGAGAGGCCTAGGCAATTGGCCGAGCAACATTCCAAATCTACTATATTGGGTATTCAAAAATGAATTGGACAGAGACTCACTCAGCGAAGTATATGTAGTGGTTTCCAAGGTTGGAACTATATATAGCGAAAACGAGGTCCTAGCGTGCTCAGTTTTACTCAATAACCAAAAAGCGGCAAGAGGTGAGGACTAAAATAGAAATGGAAAGCTGCCTGCAGGTGTAAGGGGGGGCCTCTTGTCATGGGGCATCCTGTACACATGAGTTCCAGGAGCTTTTCAAATGTTCCATGGCCCCCAAAGGAATCATTCTTGACCTTAGAAATACCTGCGATGGACGTCAAACCGCTACCAGAGTTTCAGTTCTTCCCATATCCAGCCAAATATCCAATCGAGTCTAAAGAACTACCAACAGATGATCCAATTACCCTCAACACTTCCTCCTCATGGACCTACTGCGGACCCCTCTTGACCCTCGAATCATGTAACCTGCCATCCTCCTTTAACACCTGGGCAGATGCCACAATCAGCGGTTCAATATTGCCCTCCCTATTCTCCTTCCTGGCCTATGTCCACGACTTCCTGACTAAAAACAACCAATCCCACTACTGGCTCACAATCAGAGCAAGCAAAGGCTCGGACGAATTCGATACCCCACGTTGGCACACAGACGATTTATTCTTCTCTCCCCTCCAACCACCAATGACCCATAGAAGACGTGAATCGCTCTTCTCGCCAATCACTAATCTACTCAAATCCACCTGGACAGGACCAACAACAAACCCGAATCACTCAGCCCAAATCTCACCCTCCAAACCACAAACCAAGCATCATGATCAACAACCACCTACACCACCAACGGCCCAAATTCCCTCTACAAGCCCCACCCCAACAAACTGGAAACTCACAACCACCCTCCTAGGCCCCGGAACCCTGTTCATCCCATCCGCGACAAACCGTCTAGCACGCGCCACGCAACAAGCCGCCAAATCCGCTGCCCGTGCCGCAGACCCAGACCATGTATGCGTCTCCGTGCGCTGTGTCGGGTGCGCTATGGCGGCAGAGTCGGTGCGAGCACAGCTAGCCGTTGAGCTGGGCGGACATGGGATGGTGCAGGCGTCTCCGGGGGAGTGTGTTTTCTTCCGGGTTGGAGAGGACGAGGGCGCTGTGCATTCTGAGCCGCGATCGCATGGTGATCGGGTGTTTGTCAATGTTGTCCCTGGCCATGAGGCGGATCTTAGGGCGCTTATGGCGAAGTGGGGGATGGAGTATCCGCGGGCTTGGTGTGTGGGGTTGCCGTTGGTGATTGGGGAGGAGGAGTGTTTGAGGGATGTTGGGGGTGAGATTTGATTCTTCTCTTTATGGGTATGTTGTGGATTGATATTGCTGAAGACATATCAATGTTCTTTAGTATAGATGGATGCTCTGTTATTTACCGGGTATATCAGAATAGCAGAGAGAGCTGGTTTGCGTGGCAATCTAGTCCATTATTTCACTTCAGGGATAGTCCAGAACGAACATGTCAGTTATACTAAGACTGAAGTTATAGAGTACATCTATGTTGTATTGATGCCAATCCGAAATAGGAAATATCGTCAGAGTTCCCCGACAATGACGGTATGCCAAGCCGCTAGTCCCAAAAAGTAGTTTATGTTACCAAATGCAAATCCGCTGAGTGGACAAGAAATTGGACCTGACATCAACCCTGGAAGACATCGGCGAGTTGACATCCGCGGAGAAAGAGTGAAAGGTTGCGCCTTAAGCCGCACACATGAGCCATTTCTCACCTAAGAGGTACCGGTACATACGGATGGGGTTGCTTCCTTTATATCCCCGGCAGGGCTGAACCCCACAGTGAGATATGTTCTTGGGATTAGGTGCTGCTGCGAAATCATCAGTAAACCTACCAGAGCCCAGAGCATATTCTCCTATCGCACCAGTCGAGCATGGCACCATCCCCGCATGGACCCGTGACGCTATCTCACCCGACGACCTGGAATTTCGATATTGATCGGTATCTGAATCCCTTCGTGCCAGCGCCAAGATGGCATCTCGTACCAAGACCCATCGCCCATATGCTGGGATATCGGGATAGACCGCCCAAGCCAATAGGCAACATCGTGGTGGCCTTGTGGTCGTTGCTTGGAGCGTTTTGCGGGGTGGCTTTGATCGCATCTGTTTCAAAACGGGTACCTTCTTTTGAAGCGCGTGATGCGACAGCGATTATCGGCAGTTTTGTGAGTCGTGTCGGGCCTGAATGTGCGAGAGCAGAGTGAAATAAGAACAACCCAAGGCTGACTCGATGATTCTTTGACAATAGGGTGCGGCGGCAGTTATTGAATTCGGTGCGATCGAGTCGCCCTTCGCGCAACCACGCAATGCCATCTTGAGCCAGGTCATCGCCTGTTTCTTTGGTGTCGGAATATCGAAGTTGTTCGCCTTGGACCCTCGTGCTGAAGCGTATACTGAGCTTGGGGGCGCTCTTGCTTGCGCTCTTACCACGGCGGTCATGCTTCTTACCAATACTACACATCCGCCGGCTGGTGCGACTGCTCTCCTGGCGGTAACGCACACTGAGACTGTTGCTATAGGCTGGTTTCTGTTCCCGGTCATGTTGCTTGGAGTCACGCTTATGCAGGCTGCGGCTGTGGTCCTCAACAATATCCAGCGTCGATATCCGCTGTACTGGTGGACGTCACATCCCCTAGCGCCATCTGTAGGGGATGCTGAAAAGGCCAGCCAAAAGGAAATACCTAGTGTTGGTAGTCATTATGAGGATAGTCTGACTGATGTTCCTCGGCGGTTGATAGTAGAACGCGGTGATATTTCGGTGCCTGACGGGGTATTGCTTTCTGCCGAAGAACGTGAGGTTTTGGAGAGGATCAGTGACAGAATCTAGGGGGGGATACAAATTTAAATACTAGCTGCATGTTATCTCAGATAGCCCATGTTATCGTCCAGTTATCGTCCAGTCGTATCACACAAATTCAAGTGGCGAAATAGACACCTCAGGCATTCCATGCGGTGACGTCTCTCCCAATCAAAAGCCACTTAAGTCCACGGCCCACTGATGGATTTTTTTTTGTTTGAGATTTAAATCCTTGAACTTGCCAACTCACTCGACTTTTCTTAGGCAAAAAGAAATAAACTTATAAAAAAGGTACAATCTTCTTTCAATCTCTCTTTCTCTTTTTTTCCTCACTAACAATCCGCTAGGATTCTATCGATAAGGGCAAACCACCCAACTCCACTGCTCTACGCCCCTCCATTTCTGTCCGCCCCGCCAGGCGATCCACTCAGCCTTTTCGCATTTCTCTTCAATCTCTTTTTGCATTGTCATCCTTTCTCCTCTCCCTACCTTTGCCTTCCGTCTTCCCTTACTTCTCCTTTTAATCCCCCTTTTTTTCATACCGTCACACCCGCAACCATGGTTTCCGCCTCGAAGGCTGCCCGCATGGCCAAGCGTGCCGACGAGAAGAAGCCCAAGAAGGCCACCAAGGTCGAACTCGATGCCCACGGAAACCCAATCGTCGAGGATGCGCCTGCCACTAAGGATCAGTCCGCCGTTGATAAGCTCACAGCCCAGATGGATAAGCACGGTCTGTCCGATCGTGTCACCACCGGTGTGCTGTCATCTCTGCCCGCCTCTCGCGACGTTAAGATCACCTCTTGCTCCCTTGTGTTCCACGGAAAGGTTCTGGTCACCGATTCCACCCTCGAGTTGACCTTCGGCCGTCGCTACGGTCTCCTCGGTGAGAACGGTTGCGGAAAGTCCACTATCCTTAAGTCCATTGCTGCCCGCGAGTTCCCCGTTCCCGAGCATGTCGATATCTACCTTCTGAACGAGGGCGCACCCCCGACCGACCTGGGTGCTCTCGATTGGGTCGTTCGCGAGGCTGAACGCCAGTTGGAAGATATGGAGAAGAAGGCCGAAGAGGTTCTTGAGGAATCTGGCCCTGATAGCCCTATTCTTGAAGACCTGTACGATGTACGTATTTCTCCAGTTTTTTTCTCCTTGATTCTCCAGAACAGAAACTAACCCTTTCATACAGCGCATGGACAAGATGGATCCTTCCACTTTCCACGTTCGTGCTTCCCTCATTCTGACCGGTCTCGGCTTCAACAAGCACACCATCAACAAGATGACCAAGGACATGTCCGGTGGTTGGCGTATGCGTGTCGCCCTCGCCAAGGCCCTGTTCGTCAAGCCCTCTCTGCTCTTGCTTGATGACCCCACTGCCCACTTGGACTTGGAAGCTTGTGTGTGGCTGGAGGAGTACCTGAAGAAGTGGGATCGTACCTTGATCCTGGTTTCTCACTCCATGGATTTCCTGAACGGTGTCTGCACCAACATGCTCGACATGCGTGGCCAGAAGCTCCTCTACTACGGTGGTAACTACGATTCGTACCACAAGACCCGTAGCGAGCAGGAGACCAATCAGATGAAGGCCTACACCAAGCAGCAGGAAGAAATCCAGCACATCAAGAAGTTCATTGCTTCCGCTGGTACCTACGCTAACTTGGTGCGTCAAGCCAAGTCTCGCCAGAAGATTCTCGACAAGATGGAGGCCGATGGCTTCATCCAGCCCGTCATCCCCGACCGTGTCTTCACCTTCCGCTTCGCCGATGTTGAGAAGCTTCCTCCCCCAGTTCTTTCCTTCGACGATGTCAGCTTCTCTTACTCCGGTAAGTGGGAGGACACTCTGTACGAGCACCTCGACCTCGGTGTCGACATGGACTCCCGTACCGCTCTGGTCGGCCCCAACGGTGTCGGCAAGTCTACCCTGCTCCGTCTCATGACCGGCAAGCTCAGCCCCATCGGTGGCCGTGTCTCCCGTCACACCCACTTGAAGCTCGGTGTTTACAGCCAGCACTCCTCTGAGCAGCTTGATCTCACCAAGTCTTCCCTGGAGTTCGTCCGTGACCGCTTCCCCGAGAAGTCTCAGGACTACCAGTACTGGCGCCAGCAGCTCGGCCGCTACGGTCTGAGCGGTGAGGGCCAGACTGCTCTCATGGGTACCCTGTCCGAGGGTCAGAAGTCTCGTATCGTCTTCGCTCTGCTCGCCATCGAGTCCCCCAACATGATTCTGCTGGACGAGCCCACCAACGGTCTCGATATCCCCACCATTGACTCATTGGCCGATGCCATCAACGCCTACAGCGGTGGTGTCGTCGTCGTCTCTCACGATTTCCGTCTCCTCGACAAGATCGCCAAGGACATCATGGTCTGTGAGGACAAGACCATCCGCCGCTGGGACGGCTCCATCGGTGACTACAAGAACTACCTCCGTAACAAGATGGTGTCTGCCGGTGCTGTTTAAGGGCTTTATTTATTCTCTTTGTTCAACTTCTTTTTTCCCCCTATTGCCCCTATTGATGACGACGAAATGCTAGACGAGAACTGAAGGAATACAAATGCCCACATCGTGGCACTAAAAGTTTGGGACCCGCAAATAGGGACATTCCAACAAAAAGTTCCTTGGATTGGGAAGGTTTTCATTTATTTTCTTTTTGTCCGTTAGATCGTTTGTCCTTCCCTCCTTTCCGAATAGATTTTGGGTTGAGGATAGGACTTTTGCGTTTATTGCTATCATGAACTCACTACCCCTGATTCGATCCGTCTGTTCCTCGCTTTGTCTGCATCCTTGATAGAGTATCTAGTCCTCTCTTCCGAGGTGAATATAAAGGATGCCAGTTACGCTGAAATATATCCGTATGATTTGTGATTTGAAGAATAGGCTGTATTCTCTCAGTCTTTGTATGGTCCTACTTGTATACATAATTTGAGCCTTCTGGATTGATCCGAGGTTTGTCCATGTCCTGCCTAGCCAGTCATGAGTATCAGCGGTCTTGTCATGGCTCTGAGGATCAGCCAGGGACGAATTGCCAAAGCCTTTCTTCTCTTTCTGAGTATTCTTATCCAAACAGGAATAGAACATACCGCGGCGATGCACCAAGCAACAAAGAACATCAACAATGGCTATAGTATCCCTCATTGTCTTCTCTCCTTCTCGAACAAAGAACCAAATCCAAGTCAGACATACATAAATACCACCGGATCTCACCACAATCCCATCCCACGCAGCCCATTCTCCCAGCTACAACTAGATCTAGGGAAGCCCTCAAAAATTAACAAACTCACATACCAGAAAGTCTACATAGATACATACACCTCGCCAGCATGGAAGGAGCACGCATACACCCCCACAACTTCCTTCAGATCTATACACAAGCCTGCGAAACCTTCACGCACAAGCTGCAATGCCAAGTCTTCGTTCTCCTGAGCCCATCCCCCAGCCCTGATATCGAGGAGATCCCGACACGGCTGGAGGAGCTCTGTGAGCGGGTCATTCAGATCGGGTTCTTGGGTGAGGTTGGCGAGTTTGGGGTCCGGGATGATAATCGCGTGCGTGTTCGTTGGGGTTCGCTTCCTATTAAGGATATTTGCTTTGAGATTAAGTGGGAACTGACGGTTCTCAAGGATGAGCTTGCTAGCGGGGATTCGGCGCCTCTTGTTGTTGCGGATCTTTTGGTTGGGATTTTGGATTCTTTGCCTTTCTAATATATTTTTGTTTTTATTGGCCTTGGTTCTTGTTTTGGTTTGTAGAGGAGGGCTGTAGGATTACGGCTTCGGGTTTGAGGTGGTTATTTGGTTTTAGACTGTAGGAGGAAGAGTATCGGTCAATGATGATACTAATATTGATATCGCATGGAATGGATATCGAGAGGCTAAATTCATTTTATTCCCCTGGACAAATTTGACTGTTCGTGCCTGATGATGACAGGAATGTATCTACCTTTGCTAGATTTGTGACACTCGAGCTTTCAGGTCTGCATAGAACCAGAGGTCTTCAGCTGGGTCTGGCGATTTGGAAATGTACCGTCGCATCTGACGTTTGGTGGATCTAGGACTGCGTCCATTCTGGTATTTACGATTAAAATGTGTATTTAGATTCAACGGCTTGCATTATCATTACTGCTTGGTCCGCTGAGTGACCAACTCCGGACCAAAAACATCGTCCTCTTGACGGACTTTCTGTTCTTGTTCCAATTTCCGCTTCTTCGCTAGGCGTTCTGTTTCGCTCTCCGAAGTGACAATTCCAGCGTCGCTTTGAACAGCTGTAGATGGTTGGGTTGATTCCCGTTTCTGAGCGGCAGCCAGATTCACCTTCTCGGGGTTCTGACAATGATACAGTTTCTTTGCGATGCGCTTGAGGCTCTTCATTTGCGCAGGGTCGGAGGAGAGGGGTGTGTAGGATTGAAGAAGAGCAGAGCATTCAGTCAAGACGTGATGCAGCTTGGAGCGAATTTCGTATAGAGGGTTCACCAGGCCATTTTCGTCTGTTTCGGGGGCGGGGATTGTGGCTGTGACAGGACCACCGAGTTTCACATCCAGCAAAAACTCGGCTAGAGGACGATCTGCCAGTAAAAAGGCGGAAAACCAGATCTGGGATGGTGTGTACAAGAAGTAGGCGTCCGTCATCTGCGCAGCGGATTTCAGCAGCTCACGGGTTGTGCCGTGGGCCCGAGCGATTCGATCTGACATTGAGGATGATGGGACGGGAGGAGGTGCGATGGACAGTAATCCTTGTTGGAGATCTTCTGCGGTCTCATATGGTAGATGGGGGGGCTGGCTGGCCTTGGCCTTGTGCGATGGCTTGTAGTTCCATGACGCCGCCTTCAAGTCCCCGGAATGGATGCCGTACATCAAAAGTGAATCGGAGTCCCTGCATGAGCAGGAATTCTGGTGCGATGACGTCCTCTGTCGTTGTGTCACCGGGGATTCCATCTGCAAATTGCCGAAGGGAAATATAGTAGTTATCGGTTTTGGTGGCGACGAAGAGCGCACACGCCATGATCGACTTTGGATGGTATGTCATGGGCGAATTGGTTAGGTAGAAGCGGCGGAGGTATTGGATCGCGGTGGCCTGTATGCGCAAAACGAGAAAAGTCAGATTCTCAGTTTCATTGGTACTGACTTTCAAGGAAAGAGTGAAGTCCCGTCGAGCTTAACGTACCCGGACCATTGTCGGAATTGGTGGCTTGTATGTCTCTCCCAGCTCTAGCGTCTTCTCGCAGTAATAGCGCACGAGAACGAGCTCCTCCTCTGGCGTCAAGCACTCCACGTCCTTCTCATCTTTATTCTTGACTTCCGTATTGCTTTCCGGTAGTGGTGTTCCCGCCGCGGAAGTTGCAGTCGACTGAGGAGCTTCGCGCGATCTGCGCAAAGCGGCGCGCACGCGCTCGCTGGCAACGGCATTTGTTGTGGCTCTGAGAGATTGCAGGGATGGCTCGGTGTATGACCACAGCCGGTACTGGGATGAGGCACGGTAAATGTCGTCTTCAATCATAGTGTTGGTGCTCTTGACTTGTTGGAAGAATGAAAGGCTGGAAACCTTTATTCTTGGGTGAGATAACGGTGATAACGGCCGGCGGCTTAGAGTATCACCAAAGAGATATTCTGAGTAGGAAAAGGAGGAAAGTGAGATGTGTTTTAGATATGAGAGTAAGTATTCGACAATTATTCCATGAGCCTAGCAAATAATCCACTTGGTTTGTTCCGCAGGAGGTTGCTCGGAGCTGATGCTTATCGATAACACCAATCTTTTCACTTCCCAGGTTCTGTCTAAAGAGACCATCAACTCAATATATTGGGAGTTTATTTTGTTTTTTGTTTTTACTGGTTTGAATATCGATTGAAAGCTACTAGCAAATACTTGACATGCATAAACCACCCAATGCAATCCATTCATCCATATGTGCTTTTGCCGCATTCTACCCCAAGCCCATCCCAGACATCAGAATATACATGTACATCACTCACCGAGAAGTCGGGCAGCAATCTCACCCATAGAACCTTCTTCCAACTCGTAGTCTTGACCTCCTCGTCGTTCGACACCGACATGTCGGAAAGCAGCCACAACACGATCAACATCGAAGCCCATGCTGGAGAAACGGTCGATCAAATTCTTGTTGTATCCGTCATATCTACAAATCATAGTCAGCAACTATATCCAGTGAATGGTAGAAATCTGGCTCACTTTGCAAGACTGTCTTCGCCAGCTCCTTGCCGGGTGTCATCTAGGCTTGATCCGCTTCCATTGTCAGCACTAGCGGGAGCTCCAGCATAGACAACTGCCCAGTCGCGTGCAACACGCTCAAACTCCTTGGGTGACTTGAGTAGCATATTAGCCACTTCAGCATCTTGGGGATCTTTGGGCTCGGGTGTGCTGAGCAAAGATTGCAGCGAAAGCAGAGCGGACTTGATAGTCAGAACTGGTGACCAAGCAGTGGAAAGCGTGTCGAGGCAGATTGCACCCTATATTGGCCATCAGAATCCAAATCTGTCAAGTGTATGTTGTGGAAGGGTACTGACCGTTTGGCTGCTGACATTTGGATGCCACACTTTGGTCTCAAACTTCATGGTAGGTGGTCGGAAAGGGTAGTCGGTGGGGATTTTGATATCGATATTGTAGGTGCCACCTTCATACGGAGTGCCAGGTGGCCCTGGAAATGACCCCCTTAGATGAGTGACATCGTCCTGGCTGCCAAATGGCTCTGCTTTGATTTGAGAGTGGGCGTCGGCGTGAATGTCCGCAATCTCTTTTCCAATGCGACGCATACGATTGCTAGCCATGGTGATTCGAGGACTTGTTTTAGAAAGATGTCAAACAAGAGATTTTGAAATATGAGACCGCTGTATGTGCAAACTGTGCAGACAAGTAGATCTATTTCCGTCTTGTCAAAGACTGTACAAGAGCGTGGAAACTGCCGTGGAGAGGAAGACGGAGTGGGGCTAATTGTAGGAGGATGGTGTTAGGAAAGTTTCAAATCATATCACACCCAGAGTACGAAATCCTCCAGGGAATTGAAAGCAAGTCAAGACGAGAATCTCACCAAAGGAGGGGAACTATACGAGAATTCAGTATGAGTGGTGAGCTCAAACGCCTGTCACCTGTTACCAGTTATATGCGTCTGAGATATAGACCTCGAGAAAAGAACACAACTGTTAAGCCTCGATTGTGTAAGATACTCTCAGTATAGAGCCTTGCTGGAATATAAATTTCTTTGACTGTCTTCGAGAATGTTGGAGTTCCAAGCAAGGTGCCGAGGCGTTAAGGCAGTAAGGCGTGAATGACGCAGTGACAGCCTGAGGCCTAAATAGTCACGTGTGGACCTAACAGCTTCCAGCTCGCCCAGCGTCTGACCTCCGGCGATACCACCACATCTGCATTGACAATCATCCCTTTCGACTCGTCTTTCCCATCATTCAATACTATTTGAGGCTCGGGATCCACCCTACTTTGATTACATTTGCAAATTCATACCAGGGATTCTGATTGTCTCCATCTCGGTGGCTGACAAACATGGTGAGCGCCTCAATCTTGCCAGCCTTTTGGAGGCCATCTCGATTCGTTTTCTAACATTTAAACTAGGGTCAACAGCAGTCTAATCTGGGCGGCGGCCCTGGAGGCCCTGGAGGCGATGACAAGGATAAGAAGGTATGTTCCTAATTCGTTTCTGCTACACAACTAGCGCTGAGACCGTCTTTCATTCATCAGAAGGACAAGCCTAAGTACGAGCCTCCCCCACCACCTACCACCCGTCTTGGGAAGAAGAAGCGCAAGGCTGCCGGCCCAAGCACTGCCTCCAAGCTCCCCGATATCTATCCTACATCGCGATGCAAGCTACGATACCTTCGCATGCAGCGTGTTCACGACCACCTGCTGTTAGAAGAAGAGTACGTGGAGAACATGGAACGAATGCGCAAGGCCAAGGCCCGGGCAACCCAGGATCCCGCCAAGGGAGGTGGCGACTTGGATGTGATGGATCGGAACGCTGATGAGCGGAGTCGAGTTGATGACATGCGAGGCAGCCCGATGGGTGTCGGCAACTTGGAAGAGTTGATTGATGATGACCATGCTATTGTCTCAAGTGCTACCGGCCCTGAGTACTACGTCTCGATCATGTCCTTCGTTGATAAAGATCTCCTCGAGCCGGGTGCCAGTATTCTTCTACACCACAAATCAGTGTCCGTCGTCGGTGTACTGACGGAGGAGTCTGACCCCCTTGTCTCGGTGATGAAGTTGGACAAGGCACCGACAGAATCATACGCCGATATTGGTGGTCTGGAGCAGCAAATCCAGGAAGTTCGAGAATCCGTGGAGCTGCCTTTGCTACACCCCGAGCTGTACGAAGAGATGGGTATCAAGCCCCCTAAGGGTGTGATTCTTTACGGTGCCCCAGGTACCGGAAAGACGCTGCTTGCTAAGGCCGTCGCCAACCAGACCAGCGCAACCTTCCTCCGCATTGTTGGCAGTGAGCTGATCCAGAAGTATCTGGGTGATGGTCCTCGCCTGGTTCGCCAGATCTTCTCAGTTGCTGCTGACCATGCTCCATCAATCGTGTTCATCGACGAGATTGATGCCATCGGTACTAAGCGATACGAGTCACAATCTGGCGGTGAGAGGGAAATCCAGCGAACCATGCTGGAGCTTCTGAACCAGTTGGATGGATTCGATGATCGTGGTGATGTGAAGGTCATCATGGCTACCAACAAGATCGAAACACTGGACCCAGCTTTGATCCGACCTGGTCGTATTGACCGTAAGATTCTCTTCGAGAATCCAGACCGTAAGTGATACCCTGATGTCTGCTGTTTCCGGGATTTACTAACAATTCTTTTTAGAAAACACCAAGAAGAAGATTTTCACTCTGCACACATCGAAAATGTCTCTCGGCGACGACGTTGACCTCGAGGAGTTCATCAACCAGAAGGATGACCTCTCTGGTGCCGACATCCGCGCTATCTGTACTGAAGCCGGTTTGATGGCCTTGAGAGAGCGCCGCATGAGGGTGCAGATGGACGATTTCCGAGCTGCTCGTGAGCGTATCATGAAGACTAAGCAGGACGGCGGTCCTGTGGAGGGTCTATACTTGTAAGCGCTGGCAATTATCCGAGGGTACAGTGCCGGAGTGCTTGCACTGGAGACCTGTACTCAGCTAGGACCATTCTGTATTGTAATAATCGAGTGACGAACGAATCTAAAGGGCGCATCGCCCAGCTATTTCCCTAAATTTATCCATAAATATACATCCAAAGTACAAAATTCGCCCATTGTAGCTACTGCGCGAGATTGCCTGCGCCAAGCACTTCGGCTTATCAGTCATGAGTTGCAAACACTGCAAACAAGCTCATATCAAGTCGAAGCCTCTCTTCATCTGTCGCAAAAGTTTCTCACACACTCAATCATGGATGAATTTGACGAGGAAGCATTCAACAAGTTTTTCCCCTCCAGCTTTGGGAAGCAGGCTAAATCTGTTGATGTTGAGACCCAAATCGACCGATCCAAGCGTGCCAATATTTCGGCTCCAAAGCCCGAGAGCAATGAACTAAGCACTGGCACGACAGCCCCTAGCGCAGAAGCAAGAGGGAGCGACGATGAGCCAAAAGACAGCGATGATAATAGCGACGAAGACTCCGACGATTCAGATGACGAGGATGAATTTCCCGTATCGCATGAGCTCGTTCTCAAGTCTCATGAGCGTGCTGTGACCACCATGACCGTGGACCCCTTGGGGGCCCGACTAATCACAGGTTCTACCGATTGCACACTGAAACTACATGACTTTGCGTCAATGACTCCATCCACACTCCGCGCTTTCAAGTCCGTCGATCCTTCAGCCAAGAAAGCGACGGCGGCCCAGGACACCCACGCCTTGCACTACGCCGCGTTCAATCCGCTCTCCCCAAGTTATGTTCTAGCTGTGACTGCCACTCCACAGCCACGAATCCTCAGCCGCGATGGTGAGATACTCACAGAATTTGCGAAGGGTGATATGTATCTACGAGATTTACACCATACCAAAGGCCATGTGTCTGAGGTTACTTGTGGTGCATGGAACCCATCTGATCCTAACCTATGCGCCACTGCTGGAACCGACAGCACAATTCGCATCTGGGATGCCAGTGTCGGCCGCTCACAGCGGGAGGTGATCGTGCACAAGTCACGGGCGGCTGGCTCCGCTGGTCGGACTAAGATGACCGCCATCGCATGGGGCTCACCGAAACAAGGAGGCGCCGACATTCTGGTAGGTGCGGCTCTCGATGGGAGTCTATGTATGTGGAGTGGAAAGGGCCCATATACAAGACCCAGTGCAGAAATCCGGGATGCTCATGTCAAAGATACATGGACAAGCGGTCTTGATATCAGTTCCGATGGAAGGCTTGTTATCACCAGAGGTGGTGATGATACGATCAAGCTTTGGGATACCAGAAAATTCAAGACTCCAGTCACAACCGTCACACATACCTCGACATCTTCCCGCTATCCGACATCCAACATCCAGTTCTCTCCTTCCTCTGCCAATGTCATCACAGGCTCTCAAACCGGCCACCTGCATATCCTAAACCCCGCTACTCTCAAGCCAGAGCTCGTCACTCCAGTAACACCGGGGTCGCCTTTGATTACTGTTCTATGGCACGAAAAGCTCAATCAAATTATGACGGGCTCCGCCAATGCTGAAACCCACGTCCTCTACAACCCGACCATGTCCACGAAGGGCGCAGCGACGGTTATGTCCAAGGCGCCAAAGCGCCGCCACGTCGATGAAATTGCCATCACCACGGACTTGAACCAGGGATTAGCAGGTGATTCAGTGGTTGTCGGCTCCAACGGAGTTCCGCATTACAGCTCGGCAACCAGGTCTGCTCGTCATCCTACAGTTGGCTTTACAGCCTCTGGTCGCTCGAGGGATCCTCGCCGACCGCATTTGCCGATGCAGACACCGTTTGCCAAGAATACCCCAGATGAGAAACACATCCTCGAGCATATTCCCCTTAGTTCTATGCGAGATGAGGATCCACGTGAAGCACTCTTGAAATATGCCGACAAGGCGGAGAAGGAGCCTGTATTCACCAAGGCATATAAGGAAACACAACCAAAGGCCATATACGCGGAACTGAGTGATGGCGAAGAACAAGGCCCCGAAAAGAAGAAAGCAAAGCGATGATCTGCTTGGAGATGTACCTTATTCACCACGATTTTTGGTATAAGAAGGGTTGCGTTGGGTTGCAACGACTCAAATCTAACTGCCTGTGCAATATACAATAGGTAGTACTACTTGTAGTTTCATAGGAATCCAGAGTCTTACCAGACCCAGCTCCTTACATTCGCTGAGTTGTCCCTCTTTTGCTGCTCCATGACGTCCCCCAAGTGCCCGACGATCCCAACTGCCCACCCGAACCGCCAATGATACGTAGCTATGAAAAGAACCGCACGAGCTTTGACCTCGCGCAAACGTCGCATTTGGCGCTGTTTGAATTCGTATCTGCACTGTGGAACGTTAAATTACCGCGTAGTCTCCAATGACCGTAAGGGACCTTGGAAGCGGCTCCCCTGGAGGTCTATTTGGTGCTGACATATCAATTATCTCCGCGGCGCACCTCCGCTCTGTAAGGCTGCCGCTTCCCCAAACCTCTCATACTCATTACTCCCCTTATCCGACGTGGTAAATTTCGCGCGAGAAATTCGGAATACTCGGAACAGAATGCGGTCGTTTGCGACTTGAGATCAAATGCTCACCATCGAATCTGGGGGTTCGTTTTGATCGGCCGTACCCGCCGGACAGCTGAGGTGTGTAAGGGGTGCTTAACAACCAAAAGAGCTTCCCCGCCAAAGCGTACGATAAACAGTACTCGAATACTTGGGTCGCGTCATTTCAGACGAACGGATGGCATCCTCCCAGTCGTCGCTGGTAGCAAGCCTGCTGCCCGGTATTCTTTCTTCGGCCCTCTCCCCGTCGAGATCATCCATATCCGCGGCTTCTTCTATCCACCAACTTTTTGTCGCGCCATCAAACTCCACCTCAGGGGCTCCTCATGATCATGATGGGAATAACGGGGGAAGCATGCATGAATGGTCATCGCTGATTGGAATTATCACGGCTTTATGCGGCAATGTTTTGATCTCATTGGCTCTCAATATCCAACGCTACGCGCATATTCGGATAGCAAGAGAATGGGAGCAGGGCAAGAATCGCGGCAGGGGATTCACAAACGGAACGCGCGTCGGATTAAGAGGAAGATCCCCGGGCCAATACCGAGACTCTGAGCAGAATGACTTCGAACCTTATCGCGACGACGATGGCGACGACACCGAAAGGAGGAACACTGGTTCAAGCTCGCGGGCCACTAGCACTGGAAGTAAGGATGGCGCAAACGGCAACCGCAAATCCTACCTAAAGTCTCCGTACTGGTGGGTCGGAATCGTGCTCATGGTTGTGGGCGAGATGGGCAATTTCATGGCCTACGGCTTTGCGCCGGCATCGATCGTCTCTCCATTGGGAGTTGTGGCTTTAATATCGAACTGCATTATTGCGCCATGCTTGCTCAAGGAAAAATTCCGCAAGCGCGATCTCTGGGGCGTGATCGTCTCTGTTGCTGGTGCCGTCGTTGTGGTTCTCAGTGCTAAATCGTCCGAAGAACAAATTGGGCCTGGTGAAATTTGGGCGAGCATCACGCGATGGGAGTTCGAGCTCTATCTCGGACTGACCACGTCCTTGATTATCGGCCTGATGTGGGCAAGTCATCAGTATGGATCGCGATCGATTCTGATAGATGTTGGGCTCGTTGCATTGTTTGGTAAGTCTCTAGTAATTTCTAGTCTTGGGGCTCATTTCTTCTCGGTCTCGTTTCTAACCGTATAAAATAGGCGGATACACGGCTCTTTCTACGAAAGGTGTCTCTTCGCTTCTGTCTGGCACATTGTGGCATGTTATTACATTCCCTATCACCTATCTGCTGGTCTTCGTCCTTGTGTCCAGTGCATTGATGCAGATCCGTTACATCAATCGTGCTCTGCAGCGCTTCGATTCCACCCAGGTGATTCCGACGCAGTTTGTTCTCTTCACTCTCGCTGTCATCATTGGAAGTGCGGTCCTTTACCGTGATTTTGAATCGATAACGGCCGAGCGTGCGGCAAAGTTTGTTGGCGGATGTCTGTTGACTTTCCTCGGAGTTTACTTCATCACGAGCGGCAGAGTCCCCGCCGACAATGAGTCGTCATTTTCATCCGAAGACGAGGAGGGGTCCATTGGTTTACTCAATGGCGAACGGTATTATGACAGAATTGATTTGCCCCCGCCTGGCCCTCAACTGCCGAAGACATCAGGCGTTTCTATAGAAGCACAATATGACGCTCCACAGTCCCCAAGGGGGTCCATATTGAGCACTGGTGGAGTTGATGATGATCAGTCTACTCCTAGAGGCCTTATTTCCGCTGCGCCCTCCTCACCTCGTGGATCTTTAACCGATGAATCTCCTCTGTCTGCTCCGTCGTTTGATTACACTTCACCGTTGCGGCCCCCATCTCGCATGTCCAATCCATGGGCAGACATCGAAGATCAGGCTGTCATGACCCCACAGTCTGATATCCGCCCTGTTACTCCTCCTGGACAGGAAGACGAAGCGGCGCAAGCCTCAACAGTCCTTCTGCGGTTCCCTCCTGCGCCCGGTCTTGAAGAAGCAGCGGGGGCCCATGATAACGTCAGCACTGTGCGACGTGCTTCAACCCCCACGCTCTTAGATCAAGCCAGCCAACCTATTCGCAATAACACTCTCCTTGAGACACCATCGCGACACGGTTTGCGCAGCTCTCTCTCCCATCGTTTCTCCCCCGGGCCTCTGCTTCCCACACTTTCCGGGGGCTTCACTGCGGTGGTCGCTGATTCTATCCGGCGTGGCGACGGTAGCCCTATCAAGGACCGGACAAGGCGGAGATTGGGACGTCGACGTCAACTCGACGGCGCTTTTGCAGATCCATCCCTCGAAGGAAATAGTGACGCAGCGCTTTCACATGCAACTGCTCGACTTCAGGCGGCCACTAACCTAGCGGATAGACCCGCGGAGGCTGGCCGTTCGACCCAAGGTCTTGCGACAGAAATAGATACTACACCAACACAACCGACCAACGCTGGTGTGACTCGTCTTCGCAGCTTGAGTGACTCGTGGAGTGGCGGGCTTGCGTGGCTAGGTGGTGCCCTCCGTAAAGCGCAAACCACTAAAACCGCCGATAGTGTTGCTGCCACGGGGGCGCCAACATCAGAGAATGAGACACAGCCCGAGCCAAGTCGCAACACCGGTGATTTTGACGCCGAGACGGAAGCTCGGCGATAATCAACCCAAAGCTCCCTAGCTCCGATGCATATACACCTCCCCCTTTCCTTGATTATTCCCCTTCGTGTTCTTCTTTCGGGTAGATTCCTTTCGGCATATTCTTGTAATTGGCATTGCATTCTGCGGATATATGTTTAATATCTTGTCAATGTATCATTTCTTTTCACCCTGTATACTTCACCCACAAAGGAGGGTTCAGCGTTATTAGCCACCCATCTTATCTTTGGCCTCTTATTCTTTAATTTATCTACGTTGTATATTGCTTACCTGCCACTCATAATTCTTCTTACCAGAGTTCCGGAAGTATCTCACTCCCCGGAGAAAGGGCAACCCTAATAGGTGGAAAAAGCTGAAAGCACGCACCACCGCCCAGGAGGCCCAGGCAGATACCCCAGATGTCTTGATTACCCTTGATTTTGCCCTCCACTTCTCAAGTCGTTTTAGCCGGAAAGCAGGCCTTTCCCCTCAATCCCAGAACGCCATGCCATTGCCGGCGGGGTATTGCTCCGTCTCCTGATAGTGCTAGCTCGGTTCAAACAACGCCAAGCAAGACACTACTGCAGCCGTGGAGGCTAGCTTGATCCCTTTGCTGAAGACGGTTTCATTTCCGATGCACAATGGTAAAACTTACCTCAATTAGTGATCATTAAATCATGCAACGCGACTAGTCTCTAGTTGAATTGCCTGTCTCCGCAGTGCAAGGGTGTTATATGCAAGAGCTTCCCCAATGATTTCCTTTTCTTCCTTCCAATCTCACGATAGCCAGTTGACGACAGTCCTTAACCATTGAATTTAGAAAGGAAGTGGTTGTCTTCCCATCAAAATGGTGGCCAATCTGCTTTCCAATGGACTATTGCTCATGCAGCTCTTTGGTGCCCTAGCTTTGGGGAAACCGAGCGACAGCCCTCTTTACAAGGATGCCAATGCTCCGGTGGAGAAGAGAGTGAAGGACTTGCTGAGCCGGATGACCATCGAGGACAAGAGGTCCCAGTTGATTCAAGGTATGGCTTATCTCAAACCGCCATAGGGAAGTCCTCATTGCTGATGCATTCTTGTACAGGTGATGTTACGAATTGGATGAACCAAACCTCGGGGGAATTCAATTACACCGGCCTGGTCACCAACATGGAGCTGAAGGCAGGCTCGTTCTATGGTATGAACTCCCCTGTTTAGATGTTAGATCCTTTTTTATCAGTTCGCAGAAACAAAAATACTAATGCTTTGCAGTCGGATACCCTGTTTCTTGGGATTGGATCTCCGATAACATCAAGAAAGCCCAGGACTACCTCATCCACAACACCACTCTAGGAATTCCTGCGCTAGTCCAGACTGAGGGTATGTGCTTCAAGAATATAGCCTCGAGGTATATTGTATCCCAAGCTCATGACATGTCATGCACCAGGTATCCACGGGTTTTTGATTGGTAATGCCACCATCTTCAATTCGCCCATTGCGTACGGATGCTCTTGGAACACAGAGGTAAGTGGATATTATACTTGCATGTCATACATACTGCATTTGAGGTCTGACACGGTATTGTGCAGCTTGTCGAAAAAATGGCGGAAATAATCGCACAAGAAGCCAAAGCCCTTGGTGTTAATCAGCTCTTCGCTCCTGTTGTTGATCTCGCTCGTGAACTTCGATTTGGTCGGGTGAGTTTCATCTCCATGCTACTATATTCAGCGTAATGAAGCTAACAACAGAGGCAAAAGGTCGAAGAAGGCTTCTCCGAGGACCCTTTCCTCTCCGGCGAATACGGGTATAGCTACGTTAAGGGAGTACAGGGCAAGAAGGTGTCAGCTATGGTCAAGCACTTTGCGGGCTTTAGCGCCCCCGAGCAAGGCCTCAATACTGGCCCAGTCCACGGTGGTGAAAGAGAATTGCGCACAACGTATGCCAGTCCTAAACCCAGGGACTGAATAGTTGTCTAATCATTGCATAGGTGGCTGCCTCCTTTCAAGCGAGCTATTGTCGATGCCGGTGCTTGGTCCATCATGGCTGCGTACCACTCGTAAGTCCAGCCTAGTCAGCTTTGTCTTATATCCATTCTAACATCCGTTTCTAGATGGGATGGTATTCCAGCCGTCTCTGACTACCACACTCTCACCGAGATTCTGAGAGAAGAATGGGGATATGAGTACTTCGTCATGACCGATGCCGGTGGAAGTGACAGAGTTTGCGCATACTTCAAGCTTTGTGAGAGCGATCCTATTGACATGGAAGCGGTTACCACGCAGCTGCTGAATGCTGGAACCGATGTCGAGATGGGAGGCGGTTCATTGTAAGCTCTGTTGAAATCACACGATACAGCTACAGACACTAACTCCGAACAGCAACTTCCAGAAAATTCCTGAGCTTGTCGAGTCCGGCAAGCTCGATATTGCGGTCGTTGACACTGCTGTCGCTAGGTTGCTTCGGGTCAAGTTTGAAATGGGTCTCTTTGAGAACCCGTACCCTGCTGCACCTAAGAGCGAGTGGCGTAAGCTCATCAACAGCCCTGAGGCTGTGAAACTTGCAAGAGACTTGGATAAAGAGTCTATCGTTCTGCTTGAGAATCACGAAGACATCTTGCCTCTGAAGAAGTCGAGTAACATTGCGGTCATTGGGCCTATGGCTGGCGGTCTCATGAACGTAAGTCTATATCCCTATTTTACTTGTTAAGCTGGATATTAACGACGCTTATAGTACGGCGACTACGTCGTCTACAGGAGTCAGTACCGGGGTGTCACCCCCCTGGAAGGTATCAAGGCTGCAGTTGATGACGATGCCCAGGTCCACTATGCCCAGGGATGCGACCGAGCGAGCAACGACCAGTCAGGCTTTGAGGAGGCAATCGAGGCTGCAAAGAAATCTGACGTGGCTGTCGTGGTTGTTGGAACCTGGTCGCGTGATCAAAAAGAACTTTGGGCAGGACTGAACGCAACGTGAGTAAACTGACCTTGCTTTAAGATATATATCGAGAAGTCTCAATACTAACAGACACAAAGGACTGGCGAGCACGTTGACGCAAACGATTTGTCCCTTGTGGGCGCCCAAGGACCTCTGATCAAGGCCATTGCCGACACCGGCGTGCCAACAATCGTCGTTCTGTCAAGCGGCAAGCCCATCACAGACACCTGGATCTCAAACTCAACAGCTGCCCTCGTGCAACAGTTCTATCCATCCGAGCAGGGCGGAAACGCCCTTGCTGACGTCCTCTTCGGAGACTACAACCCATCCGGAAAGCTGTCCGTCAGTTTCCCCCGCTACGTGGGCAATCTCCCAGTCTTCTATGACTACCTCAACTCCGGACGCTCTATGGGCGACGTAGGTCATGAGTATGAAAACGGGACTCTTGTATTTGGCCACTCGTACGTACTCGGCGACGCCTCGCCGTGGTACCCCTTCGGCTATGGCAAGAGTTATTCCACCTTCAAGTATGGAGATGTCAAGATCGACAAGAGCAAGATCTCTGCATCTGAGAAGACTGTCACTGTCAGCGTTGATGTGACTAATACCCATGCTACTCGTGACGGTACGGAAGTTGTGCAGGCCTATATCCAGGATGATATTGCCACTGTTGTTGTTCCGAATCGTCAGCTCAAGGGATTCAAGAAGGTGGTTATTCCGGCTGGGAAGACCAAGACTGTTAAGATTCCTATCAAGGTTGAGGATATTGGTCTCTGGAATACTCGGATGAAGTATGTTGTTGAGCCTGGTCAGTTCACTGTCCTTGTGGGCAGCAGCTCCGAGGATATTCGTGGTAACGCTACGTTTGTTGTTCAGTGATTGTTGAGACGTTTACGTTGAAGGGAAGTTAGCTCTTAGTATATAGTCCGATATGTGTGTTGTTTGTTGTGTGTCATATCACTGGTTGTATATATCTTGCGTTATATTTGAAAATGAGATTTCTCAGATATCTATTCGCATCCTCTTAAATGTTTTCTATGTATCCCGAGCATATTTTATCTCTCAATGTAGATAACATTGGATACTATATATTCTACACTGATCATCCAATGACCTAGGTAGTTATCAGACAAACTCTGAAGAATTGCGCTAGGCTGATTAGATGAGAAACCGAATGGTTACTGAACTACCGGATCAAAACAAATGATAACCAATTTGATTCAATGCTTCATAAATGGTGTTATGGGGATATCATACCTCATAAAAAAAGGATAGCATTAGAGGACCAAACGCCGTTTCCAACCACCGGATGTTGCCAGACTATGCCGGGTTATCACCTGCAGCACGAGAGCCTGCTTGACCAGTAGAAGGACCTCGACCGGGATCGGGAGAGGCCGAGGGGTCCGACGGCTTGCTAGCACCACTCGCAGGTGGATTGCTCTGACTGTCACCAGAGCGACCCTCCGCTCTTCGAGTTTTGGCACCCTCTTTCAATTTCTCCCAGCGGTCCCGGTAACGCCCAAGGACATTTTTGAGCTTGTCATTCTCGTGAGTGGCAGTTTCAAGTTTCTTCTCACTGCGCTGGATCTGCTCCTCCAGTTCTTTGATCCGCGCGTCAGTATCAGCCGCAGCCGGCGGCGCAGTCAGCGTAGCAACAGGAGAGGTAGTGGCCGTTGAAGGCTGGGCATAATCAGGTGTTCCGCCGCTCTGGCGGTGCATCATTCGGATTGATTGCTGAAGCGCCATCGACGAAGATTGCGCGCTCACCTCCCACATATGCAATCGTGTCGCAAGTGAATCGGTCAAATTCCTCAAGGTCTCGTTCTCCATCTGTATCTCTTCCATTGTCTTGTGTGTCTGCGGAGCAGTGAGCTTATCGGATGCGCCGCGGCGTCCCGCCCATACGCGTGAACCACTGGCACTGTGACGCATTTCAGGAGACGAAGGGGTCTCCCGAGCATCCACAAAGTCATCATCACCATCCTCAATGCTATTTCGGCGTGCCTGCTTGTCAGCTCGGGTGAGGATCCCAGCGTATGACATGGTCCCACCCGTGGTTGGCACTACATAGAATGACTCTGCTGGGTTCCCGGGACCTGCCCCAGAGCCGTCCCGAATCGAGCGCAATGCAGCTCGAGAGAACAGCTTGTTCACGTCAGGCTCACCTGCAGTCATGGACCGATCTAGAACGGCATGATCACGGTCCACTTTCACCTCGGCTGAGGACTTGCGGCTCTGTTCAGCGCGGACTGGATCCGTAGACCCCATTTGAATCCCTGCGAATGCCAAAGGTCCAGACACCTTGGAAACCAGTCCCCCGAAGGCCGAGTAGAAGCGATTGAACGCTTCGTCGGTAATTGCAGGCTTATCTTTCGATCCGCCGGCTTCACCTGCACTAGGAGGTACAGTTTGCTGGGAAACTACCTCAGTACTGGGTGTCGGGGGAGACCATGGTTGTCTGGGTGCAGAAATACGACTTTGTCGACTTTTGGCTGCTCCGTCACGTAGCTTTGTTTCACCGGCTTTAGCCCTCGGTGGCGCCTCGGTCATCTTTGCTGCGACATGTTGCGACGTAAGTGTGGGCGACACCGGCGATCCACGTCGGGGGTGCGATGGGATTCCTCGGGCGGATGCTAAGTTACTAGCAATGGAGGATTTATCCCGACTTGGCAGACGAGCGTTGCCTACCAACCTTGGTGGTAGATGTGCGTCCTGGGTCGTGCCTAGGCTCTTTGTGCCCCCGGTCTCGGCTGTGGTTTGCTGGGTCGCTAATGCTGAGGTGGCAGTAGCAGATGCCGGTTCAGCAGGGGTATTGGTTGGATGTTCATGCTGGAATCGGAGGATTTCGGCGAGCTTCTTGTGGTGAGTTTCGAGCAAACGTAGGGTCCGTAGGGCCTATGACGCGTTAACTCAGAGCCGGGTGGGGGGGTAGATCATCTCCTCAATCGGGACTCACCTCATGGTCGGAGCTGCTCTGTGCAGCGGTTGCAAATTCACCAGCAGCTAGATCATGTTCCTCGCTGGCAGCGACTGGGTTGGCCTTGCGAGTCTCGAGTACTGCGTTCCGGGCATGAGTGTGGGCCTGGCTGGTCAGATTATCCTGAAATTGAGAAATGAGGGGTTGAGGTCTTACCAGGGCCAAAGGAGCTACTTCCATGGCGAAAATAAGTTCACCTGCAGGATTTAAGAGAGTAAAATCAGGTGCATTCCTTTGATGGGATTTATCCGGGGAATGTTGGAGAAGTGACGTTATGCGAGGTGAATGGAGTTGGATTTGACAGTAACACGAGGGATCAGGTACATTGAGGTAAATTGAAGTACACGAGGTAACCCTTGAAAGTAATACTACGAGATCGATATTATAGAACAAATATTGTCTATTCAATCACAACCGAAAGCAGCAAAGTGTCCAGTTACATCCACATTCTACATAGTGGAGAAGCGGAGTGAACTAGATGCTTATAGCTATACTGTCAGGCTACTCTACTACCTTGATGGATGGGGGTTGGATAGGCAGAATATATATGCAGTAGGAATAGTAGAGCAACACCAATAAATTATTGCAAGTAATATCAATCAGAATATCAAAATAAAATCAATTGAACAGAAACAGTTTCAGTCTGAAGCCCCCGTCTTCACTTGGCGGGTGACTAAGTTGAGTTGCGGAGCTCCAGGGGATGTTCGGACAATTCACCACTTTGTCTCTCTTTCGTCACTTTCGTTTCCCCGTCTATGTACGGAAGTTCTCTCGCAAAAAAAGAAGAGAGAGAAAGTCTTCATTACATACACCTCATGACATCTTCTCCCTGATTCTCCCGGTCTGCCCGCACCCTCCCGATACACTTTCCTCTACATTCCAATTATGGACTCTTCGTCTTCAAGCTTGAAAGGTGAAAATAGATCGCGCCGCTCCTGGACAATATCTGCAGAATCAAGTGCAATCGAGAGTAATGGTCGGTCGTCCCAGGATTCCGCTATCGAGAGACCGAAAACCCAGGGCGGAGAAGTAGCAGATCCTAAGGCTGGTCCTAGTGGATTCTCAAAGCTACTCGAAGCGCGTCGGAGGCGGAAAGAGAATAAGAAGAAGACACAGAAACACAACGACGAGCCGGCGGTGCCGGCTGTGGTTTTCGAACACGACCTACACGAAAGTCGGTCCAATGCGTCTCGGGATGGGACCTCCGCAGCCCCGTCGTTGAAGGCAGAGAGCTCTGCGCATGAGGGCGAAGGCAATAGTCTGTTGACCGATGATTCAGAGCCGGACGGGTAAGTTGAGAAACTGGCTCTCTTATTGTCTTGAACTACTTCTAACCCGCTGATCTTTTTTGGTTTTGTTTAGGCCCCCGCCGCTCACCTCACATAACTCCCATACCGGATTCTACACCTCGTCCTCCCCATTGTTCAAGACCAAATCGGTGGATGCTGGAAACACGGAAGGCTCCAATGCTGATGCCGAGTCAGCTGTTAGTGGTCCCAGTGCCACCGGGTCGGATTCAAACCCGAGTGAAAGAATATCCCGACGCGCAACGTCGGGTATGGCATTGGATGTACCCACGGACCCAAATGGCAAGAAACGCAGTCCATCCCCTGGACGACGATTCAAAGGCGCTTTTGGCTCGGACAAGAAAGGTACCAATGACGACGTTGAGGCTTCATCAACTAAGTCTGGAAGCAACAAGAGCGGCCGGGGTCTGTTCGGATCTAGCCGGCGGAGCAGTCTTTCATCGAAACGGGCACAGGCAGCCCCTGATGATGTCCCGCCTCTGCCTGCACCAATTCGGACTGATCTAACGGACAACAAGCCTCGTTCACTTGAAGCGAGCCCCATGCCGAACACCCCACCCAAGACTGCTATTCCTGCGCCAGCGACAACTCTAACTCCTCCAACACCAACTGAGCACCGCCCTCTCAGTGCGCAAATCCTGTCTAACGATGTCACCGATTCGCCCGAGTCTCTACAGTCTGAGAATTCTCCGTCTGCTGGAGTCACCACCGTGAGCCCTTCTGGAAACATGATCTCTCACCGCCGGGTGCGGTCCGCTTCTGCAGCTCATGGCCCAAGCAAGTTGTCCAACTCAATATCTGCACTGACACCTCTTGAAGAAAAGGCCTCCGGGCGAAGAATGCGGCTTCAAACCAGCAAAGCGGCTTCTTCTCTTCTGTGTTTTCAGTTGCGCAAAACGCCGCCACTTCCTTCAGCAACAGCCTCAACGCTCAACAGAGAAATCGCCCACCTTCTCAGCCTGCTCCTGCTGATGCCGATAAGTCCCTCAGTGAATCCACCGCGGAGGCCGAGAAACCATCAGATAATGATAGCAAGATGGCGGAAGGGAGACCGTCTGCTGTAGAGACTCTTGGGCAGGAGATCTGAACTTTAGCCATCTGGACATTGACGCACGACCCGGTGAGTCAATTACGACTGCCGACGGTGTGGTGATTACAAAGCCAGCGAGCTCCGCTGACAAGCGCAAAAACACAGCTGTTGCCCGGAGAGATGAGGAAGCTGCTAAACTTGAAGACAAACGCGCAGCGCGCGCTGTTCAAGTAGCATACGAAAGGCCCTCTGAGGTTTCATTGCCGAACTCTGCAGAAGACGCCCTGGAGTTTCAGTCTACCACCTCACTTCCGAAAGATGGCTTGATTATGGGCGATCAAACTCCCCCCAGTGGTAGTGTCATTGACGGCGACCTGAGCGGGGGCCTCAGACGCACTGGCAGTGTGCGCAGCAGACTCGCCCGGCGTCACCGGGGCTCGTCTGGGGCCACAGCCTCGACAATTGGAGCTATTGGCATCAATGCCGTTGCACTTGGTGTTCCTGGTGCCAATTCCAGTGTACCTCGGTTGACTGGCTTCGCGGTTGCAAGCAAAAAGCGCAATCGGGACTTCCACCAATTATTCCGGAGTGTACCCGAAGATGATTATCTTATCGAAGATTACAGCTGTGCTTTGCAGCGTGAGATTATTCTTGCCGGCCGCATCTATATCTCAGAAGGGCACATCTGTTTCTCCAGTAACATCCTGGGATGGGTCACGACTCTAGTGATCAGCTTCGACGAGGTTGTCGCTATCGAAAAGGAGAGCACGGCTATGGTGTTCCCCAATGCTATTGCCATTCAAACACTCCACGCCCGTCACACTTTCCGCAGTTTACTCAGTCGCGAGTCCACATACGACCTAATGGTCAATATCTGGAAGATCAACCACCCCACCATCAAGAGCTCTGTAAATGGAACCCGTGTGACCCATGGCACCGGTGATAAGACAGAGAAGGTTGGGGAGGAGGAGAGCGAGTCCGAAAGTGATGTGACTGATGAAGATGAAATCTACGATGAGGACGAGGAAGGAGACAATGCTGATAGCTTCTTCGAGGCCGGCGACAGTGCCAACGCCAGTGCAACCTCATTGCCAGTGCGAAAAGGATTAAGCCGCAAGGCTTCAAGCCTATCCGCGAATGCAGCTCTACCGGCGGCGGGCACAAATGTTAATGGCGATAAAAAGAACGGCGACAAAGGCACTTCCAAGGAAGCGCCTGCTGATTTCCCAGGTCCGACTACACATGCACCCACCGAATACGTCGACGCCAATGGACAATATGAGAAAGTCATCAAAGATGAAGTCATTCCGGCCCCGCTCGGCAAGGTCTTCTCTTTGGTTTTCGGCCCAGCGTCCGGCGAGTTTATGACCAAGTTCCTTGCTGAAAACCAGAAATGTGGAGAGCTACAGTTCGAGGGCACAGCCAAGGGCTTGACAATGGAAAGCCCAACCAGGAAGTACTCATACATCAAACCTCTCAACGGCTCCATTGGTCCGAAGCAGACAAAATGTATCAGTACCGAGAACATGGACTTCTTGGACCTTGAAAAGGCGGTTCTTGTCACTTTGAGCACCCAAACACCTGACGTGCCCAGTGGCAACGTTTTTGCTACCATGACCAAGTACCTCTTTACGTGGGCTCCTGGCAACCAAACTCGCTTCCTCATGACCTGTACTATTGAGTGGACAGGCAAGAGTTGGCTTAAAGGTCCTATTGAGAAAGGTGCGATTGATGGGCAAACGACCTTTGGTAATGAGCTTGTCAAAGCGCTGCAGGTTGGAGTTGTTCCCCGTGGGCGTGCCAATGGCGCTGGACGGGGCAAAGGAAAGCGCAAGAAGGGCGACAGCGGACGGCGGGAGTCGACTGCAGTTGCTTCATTGAAGGTTGCTGTGGATTCCAACGCCTCAAAGCAAGAATCATGGGGACTATTCGAACCGATCCGCCCCCTCCTGGAGCCCTTCACTAGCATTCTCAGTCCGCTATGGAATAGCAACTTCGCTATTTTAATTATCGGGATCTTGTTCTACATGGCCTTCTTGCGATCCCCGTCGCCATCGTCTATGGTTTCGCCTGAAGTCGGATGTCCCGGTCACAGCTTGCCCCAGAGACTGGCTGCATACGAGGAGATGTGGCGACGTGAAGAAACTGAGCTCTGGAACTGGCTAGAAGACCGTGTTGGTATGGACGGAATGGTCTTCCCCAACGTTTACCGATCGCCCGAGCCACACCCAAGTCGCAGGTCGTCTGGAGCCAGTACGAGTGATGAGCGTGAGCTTGCTGCACGGCTCCGGGAAGAGAAGATCTCTGACCGTGAGATGGACCATGCCCTCCGTACCACACGCCAACGTCTCGACGTCCTTGAGGAGATGATGGGCAAACGCAGAGCCCAATGGGAAGTTGAAGACCTAGTCAAGTCCGAATTGTAATGGACATCAATGGTCGTGCCGCCCCTTGCACATAAGACCAACCACACTTTCTCCCTACTCTCCTTTCTAACCCTGTCTCTTCCTAGAGAAGAGCCCAACTTTCCTTTCGACACCACAAAATCTATTTCCTTGTCTTTACAACTTGTTTTATTCTTACCCATTTGTCAAGGTGTTATCCCGGAGTTATGGGAACAAGCAGAGCTGTTCCCTTGCTGTTGATATCCGCCCTCCTTACATTCATTCTGAAAAGTCTACAGTCGTTATCTCAACTCTCCCTCCTATGTCCTTCGACACATGGACGGGTTTTCCTTGCATGTACATGAGCGCCAACTATCTTGTCTCTACACCGGTCTACTAGCTACTGGCTTTGCTTTTTCTTACCTTCTTGCTTATTGTTCATCTGAGCGTGCTGGCTACTTCTTTTCTTTGTCCCATTTGCTTCTGTGTGAATATCCCGAGCTATTGCTATGTGATTTACATATTGAATTTAGGCTATGCCTGGCAGCCTCTTCTTGCATTCGTAATTCCTGACGAGTAAAACACTATTTTGGTGCTTGAGAGGGAAGACCTCTGGTGTATGAGCCTATAAGAAGCTATTCTTCCGTCTATATTGTACAACAAAAAGACAGAAAAGGTCATTGTATCATGTTTCTAATAATAGACCAGACGAGAAGTGGGGAATAGGCCGGTACCATTTCAAGTTGCAAAGGATATGAAAGTGAGGACAAAGTCAGGTCGGAATCAGTCAAAGGCCAGTAAATAAGCCCAGTACTTGGCTACTCACCTGCCTTGATTTGTACCTTCCCAAGTCAACCTGGGAAGTCCATCGTCCCATTATCTCCTCTTCATCTCCTCTTCATCTCCTCTTCATCTCCTCTTTATCATCTCCATCGTCCATGTACATTCATGGATACCCTTCGTTATACCCTCTACTTATCAAATGAAGATGGCCATCCCTTCTCTTCATTTTTGCTCTCCATGTAAGTCCCAGATGTCTCACCCACCTCGGGCTCAGAAGACTCACTAATAAACTCCATTTCAGTCTTCCAGACTCGTATCTCAATCCTGATATACAAGAACCCAGCCGCCAAAAAACTATGCAGCTGGAACCTGGCCGTCCTGGCGAACCTTCTCCAGGAATGAGCATCGAGGAGATCAGCTTGAAAACAGTTGACCTCCAGACCTGCCCCGGAGGTCCCGTTCGCCACGACGACAAGGATACGCGCATTACAGTTGCGAGCTATGTTGCTGACCTGGAGATGGCGCTACATGCTCATGGCACCTACGTGGAAGTCTCCATTGAAGCCCCATTCTCGAGCCTGTCTACAAGAATGGAGGTTGTTGGGACAAGTGCCAGCAGAAAGCTGGTCCTCCTGCAGAATCTTCTCCAGGACATGGTGAGGAGGTCTGCTTGCCAGCAGATATGATCTCCCTCGTCCAAATCTGGCACTTATGTGCCGTCTCCAATGAAATCCCCGCCGGTAGGAGACTCAAATACGACTCAAAGTCGAGGCAGAACTTGCTGAAGATACTATTCCCTGCTATACCTTGCTCATATTTTTTACCTCAATCTCTCTGTTGGAGTGATGGTGTACTAGGCCTATAGTTGACATCTAGCTGATAGCAAGAGTTCCGTGCTGGGGTAATCAGGGGTGGGGTGCCCGTCCCCGTGGCCATAACGTCCGTGGTGGCTCGTTCCGCATCCGTGACGCCCGTGGCTCCCGTGGAAGGGGAGGACATGGTGGTTGGTCGTGCTGCTCGAGATGGCCGTGACCGTGGGTACGGCCGTGGTGCTTTCCACGGGGCCCGGAGCGAACCCTCTGGGCCGAGAGGGGGGACGACTAGAAGGCCAGGGGGGCATTTCCGGGAGAGGTCGATGACCTGCAAGGCCGTCTCCAACAGGCTATAGGCCATGCCTTTGGAACAGCAGCTCGATCGACATCTACTTCGGGGATTTCAAGTGCTCAGGAGTTACATAGTCCATGGAACGCCTGGGTCCTACAGTTTACAGTTCCCGGACAATCGAGTCGAGAACCGGGCAATACCAGCCTAATACTCACCATTTTCACGTCCCTCCTTGGCAGTATCCGACGAACGCACTAGGATTGGTGAATCAAGGTGTCTACTGCACTTTCCCATTTCATTTTCTCTCCGAGGACGTTCTCATTCAACCATTGCGCGGATCAAAACAGAGTACGACAGCGCCGAAGACAAGGAGCAGGCGGAGCACCCAGCATTGCAGAATTGATCAATATCATCCACGTAATCACCACATAAATCTGTATCTCGCTTCCTCAACCACTCAAGATATCGATCTCTAATTCACTGTTTATCTGTATCCTGAGCGTATGCGGGTGCCTCACGTATACTTAGGTAAATGACAACTTGCGATTAACAATTAATATTAAAAACACCTATAGTAGATTCTATATACAAGAACTAGCGCGAGGAATTAACCGAAAAAGCTCACCTCGCGTTCAAGATAATATAGATGCACTATATATGACCCTCTTAGATGGTGTTCTTCTGCTACACATTGTCGATCCCGTCAAATACTATGCACAGAATGCCGACCTACGTCGTCTTAGGGACCAACCTGAACACCCTGCGGATTGTGGAAGGTGTCCTTTGGATCTAAGTCTCCCTTGAGCTCTTCCAACCTTGGAAGGTTGCTACGCCAGTACGCACGCTGGGCATCGGGCATTTTAGGATCTGGACATCCGAGATATGCGTGTCCCGCACTCTCTGGCACTGCCTGAGCCAAAACATCGTAAAGGCCATTGGTGAAATCATACGTAGTCTGCGAGATCGGACCAAGTGGGTTGACTACGAACACTTGGAACCAGAAAAGCACATCGCGGTGGCCATATGCTGTGGCATCTTCAGACACGGAGTTGATAGCACCACCCTCCAAGCTGAGTGTGACAAACCAGGCCAAAGTGCCGGCGTTAGTTTTGTGGATGTAATTGAAGAAGTCGTCGATAGCTGAATCAGGAATCAGCGTGTCGGGGGTGAATCCGAGGGACTTGGCGTAGAACCAGGTCGGGGTGTCTCCGACCACCTTAAGAATCGTATCTTCCAATCCATGACCGATCATCCCCAGCCAATCCGTCAGGACTAGCACAGTACCCGGCTCGCTGGTGGGGAATCTCTTCTCCAGGTCGAGCTCATCGTACTCCTCTTTTGACCCGAAGAAAATGCCCTCGAGAATGATCTGGCCGTTGAAGATGACCAAGTTCGAGTAAAACTTCCAGGAGAGGTTCTCCTGCGCTATAAATGCCTGCCAGTCCTTGACAAGCTTCGCCTTCTGCGCAGGAGTCCCCAGATTGAACGTGAATGAATATTGAACGGCTAGGCCAGGCGCCTCCTGCGTGCGCACCTTGAACTCCGTGACGATTCCAAAGCTGGCAGCAGCACCTTTGACGGCGAATAGAATATCCTGGTTCTGTGTATTCGACGCCCGCACAATACTCGAGTTCGCCAACACCACCTCGACTTCCTCAATATGGTCAAGCGCTAGACCCCACTGGCGCGCCGTCGGGCCCAATCCGCCCACCGTCAGGTGGCCGCCTGTCCGGATAGTCGGGCAAATACCGTGTGCCATTGCTCTGCCGCCTGCATTATAAAGCTCGGTGTCGAGATTGCCCGTAGGTTGTTCCGGGGCCGATGGTCGCGACGAAGGTCGACTCGTCCATGGAGAATTGCGAGAAGTGCTTCATATCGACCACGATGGCACCATTTTGTCCTCCGAGGCCTAGAGCCAAGTACGAGTTAGTCGACTGCTTGCGCCGGCAGCTGAACTACTATTATCACTAAACCCATACCGTAGTTGCCAAAGCTATGTCCTCCACTGCGCGCCTGCACCTTGTAGTCATAGTCAGAGGCGCATTTAACTACAGCAGCGATTTCCTCCGCTGACTGAGGGTACGTGACTGCCGCCGGGGTGACGGGGATATTCAAGTTGTACGGGTCGACTGCGGTAGTCTGGTAAAGAAGCGCATCTTGGAATGTGACATGAGCGGGGCCGACGGCGGACACTAGACAGTCACGTCCAGCGGCAATGCTGGTGGTATTGCCCATAGCGAAAAGCCCGAACCAAGGATGTGGTTTACGAAAAAAAAGGGACAGGCTCACACGAACACCTGGGCGATCCCCCTTCTATGTATACTGTGGGGGTAAATAGGGGCTATTGATCACTAGTTCATCACAGAACCCACTAAGGTTCCTGTTTAGGGTTAAGGGGGCCTGGGCAAATTCCAGTCTGACATTTGCAGCACGCGTACGGAGTAGGCTTTAACGCGGTAGTAATTATATAGTAGCTACTATACCTACCTACATACATATGTCGGTAGTAAACTTCCGCCAAAGATAAAAGCTCTGACTAGAAAAATGAAAAACCAAAGCAGATTGTGAACAGATCGAGATAATTAGGGCTTAATAAGAATGTGATGGACCACCAGGGGCGTAAACTTTATCCAAGCGGAGCTGGAACGCGTCGCGTTCGCCGAATCCTCAACACTCCGGCAATTCGCACCAGTCGGAGTACACGGAATAGACACAGTGACAGCACATGTCCTCACGCAGACGAACCTGCATGGCTCTCAAGCCGTCCTTCAGGCGAATGCAGAAGTATCTGTTCTGTTACAAGTGCCTCCTCCAAACTAGGCTTTTTTTTGCTCTAGCTTCTCGCGATTGATATGCACGCGCGACTCCTATAGGTGTTGATAGCCTGTGAAGGATCTTATCATTACCTAGTAGGCAGCTGATGTTCCTTGGTTCAGCATTACTTATCTCAATATAGCCCTAACTCGTCTCTGTGGGCTATCTCAGAATGGTACGAAGGGAGTCGTTAGTAATTACAAACAGTGGTGAAAAAACAAAGTATAGATTTCAATAGACTTTAATTAAGATGCACTTGTGTCTTTCAACATTTTCTACCAAGCAGAGCACATAAGTAAGAGGTATAAAATATGTCCACTTAACCCCTACCAATTTGCTCCATGATTTATTTAATCACTCAACACCACCCTCCTTTGTAGGAGCTGTCAGACTTATTCGCTTCAGCGAACAGTTCTCGTCGTCTGCGTTCTCTGGCAGATTTCCTTGATGCTCGTCTCATCGAGCACGTCGTTGAGGACTGTTAACTTCATGTGGGCGTTGGTTGTAGTTGAAAATGTGAAGCCGAGCTGCTTCTCCAGTACTACGCAAATCAAGGGGTCAAGACAAGGGTCTAGACAGGGACCGACTCATCTTCCTCCGCTCTGTCGCAGTTATCCGTGCTTGGGACTTTTAGGCTCCCAGCTGAATCTTCGTTATCGTCTCCAGATTGATTATCATTCTTTTCTCGGGGTTGGTCTTCGGCCCGGCTTTCGTTTTCGTTTCTGGCTTTGGCTTTGGCTTTGGCTTTGGCTTTGTCTCCGTTTTAGCTTTCGGATCTGGCTTGCTCTTCGTCTTTGTATCTGACTTGTTGTTTGCCTCTGGCTTTGGCTTAGTCTTCACTTCTTGCCTTGCGTTGGTCTTCGCCACCCGTCTAGTTATGATCTTTGGCGGTCTTGGCCTTGGCTTCGCGTCCGGTTTTGCTTTGCTCTTCGTCTCTGATTTGGTCTTCGCCTCTTGCGTTGACTTGGGCTTTGCATCTGATGCTAGCTTAGGCTTTGAGTCCAGTTTTGCTTGACTCTTCGTCCCTGACTTGCTCTTCGCCTTCGTGTCCGACTTGTTCTTTGCCTCCGGCTTGGGCTTGGTATTTGTCTCGAATTTTGGCTTGATCGTCACGAACGTTATTGTAGGCCCAACCGATTTCGCTTTCTGTTCTTTCTCAACCATCCTGATATTTGATGTCTCGTTATAGTCGGATTGATTGAGTCAAAAATATTTGGGTGCAAGCGTCCTTCTAGAATCTCATTCGCGTCTTTGTCAGCGTAGTTGGGCACCTGAGCATTAGCGTCATTATCAGCCTCAGCCTCGTATTCGTCTGCATTGGACTTAGCGTCAGCAGTACATCACCTCACCAGCATCCGCCCTGCCTGCACCTTCCTCGCTAGCGTCACCTTCCTTGTCAGTATGGCTGATTGTTTGCCGTTGCTGGGGCGTGAAAAACAGATGTGGCCCACAAATTCGGATCCCCCGCCATGCAAGCCACCATGACCGATTCAATAATTGGGCCGCAGTGCATACTCGAGGATAACGGGTTTATTATTTTATCTCATTCTGACTGTTTTCTTTTTGCCTTGGTGCCTTAATATGTCTTCCCTGTATTGTGGCAGACGGAATGCCACTAGTGTGTTGGACGAAACAAAAGGGAGATATATACATATATGTAATCAGAAAGGACACAGACTCCACCGTCTACTGCGGTAGCTTAAGGCAAATATCCCGCTACAGAATAACGCAAATAATGTAGTATGTGCCGTACTTCAGAGATATTTGACTAAATCGTAATCTGCAAGTCATCGATATTAAATCAGCCAATCTTTCAAATGCGCATTACATAGAAGCAAGGCAATTGCAAGCTTAGAGTTTCTACTTTTGCAGTCTAACTAGTCAAATTTCCTGACAGGGGACGTGAAATACTAATCATTGCTACCTTACGAGTGGGAACTATGAGTGAGACAATAGATTTCATTGCTATGTCCTGTCTGAATGCTGCCAGGACTGTAGCCAGTACCCTTTTTTTTGGATTTTGGATTTTTCTTTCGTAACATCTCAAAATTTGTAATATCTCAAAATTCTCCAATCGCTCCAGTGCAGGTGTGGTGCCCATTTTCACGACCTCATTAGTTGCGAGGTCGGGCCAGTCCACAGCAAAGCACCTACTCCCATGCCGGGCCGCGTCCTTTGGTGCTTTGTCTCCAGCCGCGGTAAGAGATGTCCCGTCCATGGCTTCGGCCTCGCCCTTCTCCGTCATCTCCCATGTTGGAAGACTCAGCAGCCGAAATGCTGGGCTTGCGGGATTCATTGACCAGGACCTTGCAGTAGTAGACGAACAGCTGATAGTCGACGGGGCGTCCCAAATCCTTCACCTCCTCTTGAATGTAGGGAGCCTTCAAGACCTCTCCGCGCAGCTCGTTCAAGAGTCGGCCAAGCGCAAAGTCGCAGGGGGGGCGCATGGTTCTCTGTCTTCAGGCGGTTGAACTGGTTCTGGTAGGCCATGATAAAGTCCGCAGCCGTGGGGAAGGTACCACGTTTGATTTCCTCCCACTTCCTCAGCTCGCGCTCAAGGAACTTCGACTGGTGGGGCAGACTCAGCCATCTGATCGTGCTGAACATTTCATCGGCGTAGGTGATCTCGTTTGGGTGTTCCTTCACTTTGAGTTGGAGCGAGGCATCCACCTGATTGTACAGCCAGCTAGAAACAGCGAGTGTCCAGAACTTCCATTTTTTGTAGTCATCGTCCCCTGGGTGGGGCTTCGGAAGACCACTGTCCACAAGTGCATCGAGCTTGAGAGGTCGCAAGGCATGAAGGACCTCATTGCCCCAGACTGTGAGGCTAGACTCTGGCCTCAGCTTCTGGATGTTCAGAAGGGTTACCTGAGTCGGCTTGGGCAAATCACTAGCCTGAGTGCGTGGAACTCGAGGCTGTTCAGGCTCGGCATCATGCCGGCCGGCACGAGGGCGGTTGGAGAAGAACGACATGGCAGGCAGAGGATGAGGAATGATTGCAAAGATGAGCGTGGTGACTGAGCTTTGTAGATTTGAAGAAGATATTGTTAGCAGATCATTGTTTTTTCCTGGTGAAGTGTCATCTACTCACTGTGGTTGGTGCTTTCAGATCAGAACTGTACAGCTTTCTGACTGAAGAACTGTCCGCGGTGGATGTAAGAGGAAAGAGAGAAAGGAAGAAGAGGAAGAAGAGAAATCAATTTAAAGCCTTCGTTTGCTTCTGAAGATAGGACAAATAAGATAGCAATCGCGCAGAGTCAACATAGCATAACGATTATGTCGGGGTAAGTGAAGCCAGGTAGTCTCATTCTACAAAGTTCAACTGCCATGGATAAAGGCTCTTTCCATTCTTGAACGCCAAGAAAACATCGTTTTAGAAGGCTCAGCTAACAAGGTATCTCCGATTGATATAACTTCAACTGAAAACGTACTGGCGCGCATGTCCAGTCACTTTCTCCATGCCCGTACGCTGTGCACTACCACGTATTTTGGTTTTGGTTTGTAGACCTATCAGCCATATTATATTCACTTACGCATCTTGAATCTGATGAGATTTTGTTTATTTTGCCGTTTCTTCCAAGTAGGCAAATGTCCAGGGAAAGAACGAAAAGCGTGGATCCCTTAGGGCCAGGATGTCACGTGCTTGGTGCCCTTGCGATCAATGAAGCCGCAAAAAGACGAGAAACGTATTGTAAAGATCTTTCCTACGGATTTTGTACATATCATCCTATAACTGCGGTAAGGGACATGTTTGATAGTTGGCTTCTCTGCACTCCATGTAGATTGTTCCATATAATCTATGCATTTGAGATGTTCTGTTGCAAGTTTGACCTAGGTAGCCTCACTGATAATACCTAGTAGTTCTTAACTATATACCATAGCCTGTACATTATATGTATATGACATCCCAGCTATTTGAGCACGGCTCGGCGCCATTCCTTAAGCTCCGACGTTTCCACCTGCCATGTTCCGCTTCTGGGAAGCGATGGCCTTATTCTTGGGTAGTGATGTTTTCCATGCCTTTATTCCCGAATTGAAGCCCTCATCGATCTGCTCCAGTGTAACCCCAGCAGTTTCTGGTACGAACAAGAAAGTTAAAATCCCAATGACGGCGGTGACCCCAGCATAGAAATAGCCCACATTGGGACCCATGTCCCCGTAGTCCGCGCCTAACATGTAGGGCGTCCAAAATGTTGCACCAAAGGCGAAAATACCATAGAATACTGTTGTGTTGGCTTGTCCAAAGGTGCGAAGTGAGACACTATGCATCTCCACAGAAGATAGGTTAGCACTCGCAGCAATAGTCCCACCAAAGACAAAAGCCCACAAGCACAGAAGAACAACCGTCACTATCTCGGCAGTTTCGTCCATTCCAAGAGCAGTGCTCACAGATGAAAGAGTTAGCATGCAGACAGCCATGGCAATGTAGCCCGAAAGCATGGCAATTCTCCTTCCGCCGTATTCCACAATGAACGGGCCAAAAAACGATCCTCCTAGGATGCACAAGCCAATAATGACATTGATTAGGTATGGGTCGCTGATGCCAACTCCTTTGAGAAATAGTGTAGCGTACGGTTGCACAAACTGGATACCAGTAATGGCGAGTCCAACCATGATCATGGCGGATGTCAAGGTGCGACCCACATGCTTCCTACTATAAATATCAAAGAACGAGACAGATTTTAGGGCTTCACGCTCATTTGCAAGGTTTGTCCTGATATCATCAATCTGCGCCGTGATCTCCGGCGAATATGGACTCTGGTTGTACAGCACGCTGAACGAGATCCGCGCCTCTTCCTCTCGGCCATGTCCCATGAGCCAGCGCGGAGACTCAGGGAGCATCAGGATCCCAGCACCGAGAATCACTCCCAAGGGTATTTGGCATAGAATGGGTGTCTTCCACTGCCAGTCATTGGTGGGCTCCAGATGAGCAGAACCCGCACACACCGCAAAAGCAGCAACATTCCCCCCAGCAAGCCCGACATTATACAATCCTAAAGACAGCCCACGCTTGTTGGCCACGATGCACTCGGAGCCGTACGTGACACTGGCTGCCATCAGCTGTCCAAGTCCCACAGCACTGATTGATCTGCACACCATGTAGCGCAAGAAGCTTCCACTGGTGCCAAGCATTCCAGCCGCACCGATAATAGCCAATGTGCATCCAGCCTGGATTGAACCCCTGCGTCCAATGTATTGGCCTGTCACGCCCGCAATCCCGCCTCCGATGGCAATGAACAGGAAGTTGAGGCTGATGAGTGATTGTTGCAGTGGTGTCAATGAGCAATACTGGATGTTGGCATACGTGTTCGGGTCTAGGACTTGCTCGCAGCTTCCAAATGCGTGTTTGTAAGAAGGCATGATAAGGACCGTGCCGGCGTAGCCATTGTCAAAATTCGAGATCCATGCAGAAAAGGAGACCCATAAGGAGAGGCGTAACATCGATCCGGTCGTGCTCGGAGCATTACTTGTGGTAATGGGCTGGATGGTGGAATTGGTGAATGTGTCATTAGAGCTGGACTCGGGCTTTATTTTCGGTTCTTGATTCTGCAAATTCATTTCCAGCGGATCTTGAGTATAAAAAAGGAGGGAGTGGCTAGCTGCGTTCATGTCATGACTATTGACGATGAAGGTATGGAATTCTTAGCTAGGGCTCCTGGATGCTGCATTCCAGAGCCAAAGTATACACAAATTATCAGAAGGAATGTGAAATATGATGTCCACCAATCGGGAGGCTTGCTAGTTCCCAGCCCTAAGATACCGGTGGAGGAAGCAGAGATAGCATGAACTACAGCAATCGTACAAGATGATATCATACTTCTAATCATAGGATTTACGTATTCTTTCGTTGTTTCCGATGTTGTTACATTCAAGTTAGCTTGTCAAGGGGCTAAGCACCCTCGGACCTTATTGAGCTCGATGCCACTAAGGTTTATCCCTCGTTGTGTATCCCCTGTTATATATTGAGAGGTTATCTGCATATCCTAATATTTTTCAACTTTTCTCCCATCTACTATAAAACTGAGCAGCGAGAGAAACTGTCCTAAAAAAAAAAAAGATCATCTAAAAAGATATAACAAGGCCCCTCATGCGGCGGATTACTCTTGTCCCGCATCAGAAAAATGTAGGGCACACATGTCAGGCATCAGGTTATATAAACTTCAATATGAAGTCGATATTTCAGAGCATCGTTTTTAGTATTATCCTTCGATATAGTGGTTCATCTCGCTTCAGAACCACCACAAACTAGAGCGCGTTATACTCAAGAAATGGAATTACACCCCTGATGAATCCGATATAAAGGAAACAAGTCCTTTATTACCGGCCCATGGGGGTATCATAGGGATGTATCACCGTGGCGAACCCTGCAATTAAGATACTGTGGTATGCTGGCCCGGACTCGATTCTTTTTTGATATTCATTTACTTGTTATCTGTGTCGACTCTATAGCACATTTATCATGATTCCCTTTAACTAGGTCTGAATGGAATGTACAAAATATCTGGATTTGTCTCTAGATCTGTCAAAATGGCACGTGGGAAATGAAACTCGTCACACTATTTATCCGGTTGGTAGTAGACGCTTTTGGTGGCTACAGTCGCATTAAACTCACTAAATCCCCGAGGTCCAGATTCAGCATGATCAAAGTAAGACATTTTCAACTGAGACCTAGTTGAGACCAATCATTCCCCCTCAAATGTCGTGATCGCGTGCCTCTTATTAGGGCATAGTTCCAGGTCACGTGCCACGCCAAATAACACGACGCTCCACCAAAGAACTTGGGAACGACAACTGAAGATGGAGCTCAAGACCGTCCTAATTCTCACTGCGATATACATTGGTGAGTACTTCCACGCACCACCTTCCATCTCAACCTTCATCCGAAAACACCCTTGGAACACCTCCAACAGAAACAAACTACCAAACACTAACCCCTCATAAGCTATCCGCCTCTTCTTTAAGTCACGCAACTCGAGCTCAGCAGCAACCATGTCTCACGGAAAGGTCACCGAGATCGACAAGTAAGCCATACTTGCTTCAGCGCTCAACAAATTAAATTCTAATATCCGCCCAACAGCCAAGTCATCTTCAAAGCCCTCACCTCCTCCGGCCCCGTCGTCGTTGACTTCTTCGCAACCTGGTGTGGACCCTGCAAGGCCGTCGCCCCCGTTGTCGGCAAGCTGAGCGAGCAGTACCAAAACGTTCGTTTTATCCAGGTGGACGTGGACAAGCTGCAAAGTGTCGCGCGGGAACTGGGCGTGAATGCTATGCCCACCTTTGTGGTGTTCAAGGATGGCAAGGAGGTCAACCGCGTTGTTGGCGGGGACATGAAGAAACTCGAGGCCCAGATTAAGGAGATCTCTGCATAGACGCTTTGCGCTTTGCCTTGGTTTATCGGTAGCCTTGAGGATCTCGGATTGAAGGCATCGATCCTCGTATACTTGGGGAACTGTATGGTTATTTGTCGGTATAATCAGTGTAACTCACGAATCACGAATTGAAACGGTGACATAATCGTATGCAAGTAAATGCATTAATTGAGGTTACACCATGCGCACCTCGAGATACGGGCCACTGTGAGCGCCCCGGATCGACTCCGACTTTGGGCATTAATACATATGCAGCGGACTTCAGGCCGCGCGGGATGGGTTTCCCTTTCTATTTTAGTGCCCTACCACTTGCCGCTCTTTGGTCACTGAGTAAAACAGAGCATGGTCCGGAGTCCTAGAGGCTGGGGCGGTTAGATACAGGTTCCCAGGGAGTATGTACGTGCACTTGAACAGGACGTCTCAAAACTGGCATCACCGACATTCTTCGAGTATAGCTCTGAATCTACCTGCGGCCAATATTTTCCTAGTTCCCTTGAAAATAATATGAAGCTATGGAAAGTAGAATTGGGAATCATGAAAGCATATCTAGTGCAAGAACATATCCAGTGCAAGATTACGTTCAAAATAACCAAGGCAACGCCTCTCAACTATCTGCAGCCTGGAATACCACTTCCACATGATTCGTATACCGAATCAACTGCGGACTCAAATCAAGTGCCATGGGAGCGCCTGAATCTAAGTCAATGTTGGAAGCAGAGGGAAAGACAAGCGCTGAAGTTATGGTTGGCCGAGCCTCCTGTGGCTGCATCATCATCTGGCGGTCGGCATATGGTCTATACCGTCCAGCGTTCATTCCAAAATGCAATCCGTCCGCCGACTCCCTAATTTCCACCGCAACTACTTCTCGTCCAATGACCCTAGCATAGTCGTTTGCTTTCCGGACGGCGTCGCGCATTGCCTCCTCACGGGACTCGGAACTCAGAGCCTTTTGCGTCGCCTCGGTGAGACACCACTCGAGGGACTGGATCTCGATGTTGGAGTAAGAAAGCAACTCCCCAACGACTTCGCTAAGCTTGGTAAAGTCCTGGAAGAGTGCATTGAGCGACAGAGTCGCATGGTACACTGTAGGTAGAGGGTTGCCCGACATATCGCTCGGTACTTGAGACCATGTTTGTAGCGAGGTGGAAGAGAAAGAGGTCACTGGCGAGCCTTGGATTGTCTCGCCGGTCTCCGTTTTGGGGCACAGGTCTTTAAAAAGCCGGTTGATCTCGTTAGATGTCTCGGTGACCTCCTTGGACACGCTTTCTCGGTTTTCCCCAGTTGCCTTGACGATGAAGTGGAGGGCAGCTCGTTCCGGCTGGCGTGTGGTGGACGAACTGCCGTCTAGCACGATCTTGAGTGGGGCCATTTTTACCTTGAAGGCTGCAAAAGAGAAGTCGTCTTATTTACGAATACCTGGGTAGAGGCAGAGCTGTGCCTTTAATACCTGAAAGTGGAACCCCCCAAAAATGCCTTGGAGGCTATTATTGGCGGTTGACGGAGCCGCATTGCGGGGTACTGACCTTGCAAGTTCGCCTTACACGCACATACGTACATGGACTGTTTGTATCCGTGGATTTTCTGCTGTCAAATAATAAATAACTCCTCAGAATATCGCTCGGACAAGTCTGTGTGATAGACATCTCCCAACTTTTAACGACCTCTTGGTGTGTTTGACATGTTTGCATTGGGAATATCGATTACAGGGGTGCATCCTCGGACGACGCGAAAATCGCGCAGAGATATATCTATGGACCAGTGGACCTAGATCCATAGTACAGCTTCAAAACTCCATTTTTATTTTCTCTCAAGCCATTTCCCACATATATTCAAAATGTCATGCAACGGCTGCTCAGACAAACCCTCAGACAAACTCTCGTCCAAGTCTGACCCAGACCATGATGACGGGTCTGTTCTACAAAGACTCGTTCAATTAGTCGTCAAATATCTACCGGAAGGGTCTGCCTTGCTTTCATCCTCGTGTTGCTGGCTGCCAGTATGTTATTTTCCATGTTACTAGGCTGTTGAACGCGTGTGCTAAATTTCTAGGCTGTCCTGGACTTTCTCTTTGCGGGTTCGGTGGCCACTGCTGGCATTGAGAAACTGCGAAACGCTTTTCTGGCGATTTCCATTCTGACTCTTATATGGGGCGTGTGGCGCGAGGGACTCAGTCGTAGAATGCTGTGGCGCATTGCGATCTGTGTCGGTTTGTCGGCTTGGGAGCAGGTGAATCGGGTGGGAAAGGTCGATGGCGAGGGGCATCACAGCTGTCATTAAAAGGCGACGACGGGGTCTCTGGATGAAGGATGTGAAATCTCTTTCTTTCTTTTTTCTTTTGTTTTTCCATGGTGCTAGTGTGCATCGACCCCATGTCGGAATGAATTATCAACAGGGCACAACTTTGCCCGGCAGATGAAAATTGCGGTTTTACGTAAAGATCATGAATGCTCTCCTTCATAAACAGACTAATTCTCATAAGCAGGCTAACGTAGATGATGTTGTCGCTTCTCAGAAGCACGCCCAGACTTGCCCCGACAGGGTCTGAACGGACGTGTTTTTCATCACTCGTAATTTCGATGAAGTTGGAACTGATGGAGTACTATATCATCCAACAGTGACCGGCAACCTCTTACGGCCTTAAACAGTCTGAGCAACTCCGTCAGCCTCCCCGCTGCGCACCTTCTTTCCCTTCGCCTTAATGGCCCCCAAAACAGCTTCGTAGGAGAGAGAAGGTTCAGCCACCACGAATACGGTCTGCTCTTCAAGGCAAATAGAGGAATTCTTCACCCCTACACCGTACAGAATGAAGATGTCAGTGTCCTGAAAATTATAACCGGATATAAAAACAGCACTAGGACTCACCGGTCAAGGATTCCACGGCTTCCTTGATGGCCCTGGAGCAGCCGCTGCATCCCATGTGGACTTTGAACTTGTATTGATGGTCCAACATTGGTTCGAAGGTGATATTTCGGAGATTGATGAAAGGGAAAGAGGGAGAGCGGGATAGACAGATAGATGACTTTAGTAGTATATATATATAACTTAGCAGAGCTGGAGTCAAATTGTTGAAACCAACGTTTATGCCGGAAACATGCCTGTTCTTCTTTTCTATTCCTTCCAACCGGTTCTTCCGTGCGGCATTTGTGCGTAAAGTGCTTCGATTGATATTACCTGTCTTGGTGCGGCCCACTGCGCGAATTGTGCGATTTGCGGCTTGCAACTGGCAACCCCCGTCCATTCATCGTCATGTCTCGTATATTGTCAAGCTACTTTACCGCGGGCTTATACCGTGGGCTGCTCGCTGCGCTTCTGTATTACGACCTTAATCATCAGAGACAATTCTTTTCTTTGGCGTGGAGCGGACCAGCTGCCGTGGCCTATAATGGCACGCACGCCGGTAGGCATGAGTATGGTCTCTATAGTGGCGATGCAGATGGCCAAGAACATAGTGGATAACCACTTGACCGGAGGTTAGTTGGTATCGAAATGAATGGTTTGTCAATATTAAATAAATTTCTAGTTTATAGGGGCCGGTTAGTACGGAGTAGATATCCATCAAGGAATAGATTGATAAAAAGTGACCCACCTATCACGTGGCTACACTATTCCTTCTTGGGCCTTTATTTCCGTAAGGTGAAAGCCATCCTATGCTTGTGAAATACTCAGCGGGACCCTTATAAAGCGGCGCCACCTCTGGGGAAATTGCGACCGCTTAAAATATACCTAGGTAGTATAATACATGGACATATTTACGGATAATTTTGTGGAAATATTGAGAGCATTGATTGGTCTAGAAACTCCGAATATGCACGGTGGCGCACGTCCTGCACGTGGGTTTCCCAATAAAGGCATAGTGTTCCGCCCACGAATGTATCAGTTGGTTTATTACTCCGTGGACGGATGCTTCCAAGGATATGTATGTTACCTTCTCGAAATATTGGCCTTTTATGGCACTACATGGCAGGCCAAGGTATGCCGAAGATATCCCGGGGCTAACCAGATGAGTGCTGATACAGAGTCAAGGGCCCAATAATTTTTCAATTTGATGTTTCTGAATCAAGGTCACTGAGTTGCCTAAATGCAAATGCGCACTAGGCATCTACAACATAGATACCTTAACGAAAATATGGTTCTAATACTAAACTGTAATGTACACACTCTATACAATATAGGGAAGTATCAAGTTGATTTGTATCCTTTATAAATGGATCATAACCACGATATTAGAAGCCAGTTTTCTCGACATCGATGAACGGTTCAGGGTCTATCCATGTTCAGTTATATTGTCCTTGCCTCTCCTCCGTAAAGTGGAGGACACTAATTGGCTCTCCACAACCCTAGATTGATAAACCCCCCGAACCCTTCTAGAATAAGATCTTCTGCAAAATGTGATTTAATTTATAATCATAGCTGCAGACCTCGGGAGTGATCACGAGTCATCGCGAGTCATGTTGACTGGGTTTTTACGCTTTAACCCCGTTTAGGTGCCCGTCTGCTTGGCATCTTCAAATCTGGTCACTCCACCGCGGAATATGCCGTCCCTGGAGGTTTGCCCCCACATTTGTTTGGGCTTTGGAAGATTTTGCTTGGACACAATTTCATCATCCCTGAAAAAATTTAGTCCCAAGGGTGGAGTCGAGGCGTTGAGATACAACCCGACTTAAGCCAAGGACCATTCGGGCTTAGTTTCTTCGTTTTCTTCTAGCTTCTTTTTTTTTCCTCCTTCTTTAAACGCTCTGTTTCAGGGGCTTCAAACGTTGATAGGATCTTACGTTTCTTATTTTGTTTTGGACCTCCCCAGGAAACAATTCAATAATTCAATAATTCAAACACACTCTTGGGGGAGCGTGGACGTGCCGGAGAGTTTATACGGGATCGGCCCTCGGCACAACTTAACTCTCCCGCACCTTAAGATCCCCAATGGCAAACATCGAGTCGGACCACAAGCTGGCCATGGCGGAAACCAGCAGCAAATCAGATGTGGATACCCTGGATTCAAACAGCTATGGACGCCAGCTGGAAGAAATTCGCATCGCCAACACGCCGGCGGATACGTTCCAGACGGGTGTCGATGTTACGACCGCCGAGAAGGACTTCTCGGAGCTGAGCAAACAATTCTCCAGCATCTCGCACCAAGCCCAGAGATTATCCAGACAAGAGTCACGGGTATCCAAGGGAGTCACCAGTAAAGATATCGAGAAAGCAGAGGGTTCTACTGCGTCCGATGACACATGGGATCTGGAGACGACTCTCCGCGGGGATCGTGCCGCCTCCGAAGAAGCTGGTATCAAAGACAAGCATATCGGTCGGTAGAACCTCACATTGAGAGAACAAACAAGTACTGACTGTCCTAGGTGTGATTTGGGACAACCTGACAGTCCGTGGAATGGGTGGCGTCAAGACATATATCAAAACATTCCCAGATGCAATCATCGATTTCCTCAATCTACCAGGAACACTCATTGACCTCTTCGGTTGGAGAAAGCAAGGCCAAGAGTACAACATCCTAGAAGGTTTCCGGGGCCTCACACGGCCCGGTGAGATGGTTTTGGTCCTTGGCCGCCCCGGATCGGGTTGTACGACATTCCTCAAAGTGATCGCGAACCAGCGGTTTGGATACACCGGGGTGGATGGTGAGGTCCTCTATGGTCGTTTTGACTCGGATTCGTTCGCCAAAAGATTCCGTGGAGAAGCCGTATACAATCAAGAGGATGATGTTCACCAGCCCACTTTGACTGTGAAACAAACCCTTGGATTCGCCCTCGACACGAAAACCCCCGGAAAGCGCCCACTTGGTGTCTCGAAAGCCGAGTTCAAAGAGAAAGTGACCAATTTGCTTCTGAAGATGTTCAACATTGAGCACACTGCCAACACTGTGATTGGCAACCAGTTTATTCGTGGTGTCTCTGGAGGTAAGCGGAATGTGTTATATGTGCAGCTCCATGGGAATCGAGTCTAATTAGAATAGGTGAGCGACGTCGCGTGTCGATCGCAGAGATGATGATCACCTCTGCAACTGTATTGGCTTGGGATAACAGCACTCGCGGTCTGGATGCCTCAACTGCCCTCGACTTCGCCAAGTCCCTGCGGATTTTGACCAATATATACAAGACAACAACTTTCGTGTCACTATATCAGGCGTCTGAGAATATCTATAAGCAGTTCGACAAGGTCCTTGTGATTGACAATGGCCGCCAAGTATTCTTTGGTCCTACTTCCGAAGCACGGTCATATTTCGAAGGCCTCGGGTTCCGCGAAAAGCCTCGTCAGACCACTCCCGACTACTTGACGGGATGCACCGATCCCTTCGAAAGGGAGTTCAAGGATGGAAGAAGTGCCGACGATGTGCCCTCCACGCCACAAGCACTAGTCGAAGCCTTTGACAAATCGGTCTTCAGTGAAACGCTAGACCAGGAAATGAAATCTTACCGCGAGCAGATTCAGAAGGAACAGAAAATCTACGATGACTTTGAGATCGCCAACAAAGAGGCAAAGCGCAAGTTTACTTCCCAATCATCTGTATACTCAATCCCCTTCCACCTGCAGACCTGGGCTTTGATGCAACGACAGTTCCTCCTCAAATGGCAAGACAAGTTTGCTTTGACCGTCTCATGGGTTACCTCTGTTGGTATTGCCATCATTTTGGGTACTGTGTGGCTTGATCAACCCAAGACGAGTGCCGGTGCCTTTACTCGTGGAGGTCTTTTGTTCATCAGTCTGCTGTTCAACGGCTTCCAAGCATTCTCCGAACTAGCAGCCACAATGATGGGCCGCGCAGTTGTTAACAAGCACCGCTCTTTCACGTTCTACAGACCTAGCGCACTATTTATTGCGCAGATTATCGTGGACACTGCGTTTGCTATCGCAAGAATCCTCGTATTCAGTATCATCGTGTACTTTATGTGCGGACTGGTTCTGGATGCTGGGGCGTTCTTTATATTTGTTTTGATTATCCTCGAGGGCTATGTTACCATGACAGTGTTCTTCCGAACTGTCGGATGTCTATGCCCTGACTTCGACTATGCCATCAAGTTCGCATCCGTCATTATCACCTTCTTCGTTTTGACGTCCGGATATCTTATCCAGTGGTCTGGCGCTCAGGTGTGGCTGCGGTGGATTTACTTCATCAACCCCTTTGGCCTTGGATTCGCTTCGTTGATGGTCAACGAGTTTAGGCACCTTACTTTGACATGTACGAAAGACTCACTCGTGCCAACTGGACCTGGTTATACCGACATTGCGCACCAGGCTTGTACTCTAGCGGGAGGTGACCCTGGGTCCGCCATCATCTCTGGCTCAAAGTACCTTGCACAAACCTTCAGCTACCTTAATGGCGACCTTTGGCGAAACTTCGGTATCATGATTGCTCTAATTGTGGGTTTCCTGGGTTCGAACTTGTATTTCGGAGAAACTCGTCAATTCGGTGCAGGCGGCAAAACCATCACTTTCTACCAGAAAGAGAACGCCGAGCGGAAAGAGCTAAATGAGGCTCTGATGAAGAAGAAAGCAAGCAGACAGGCAAAAACCCTGGAGACTGATGCAGGATCAAACCTCAATATTACCTCCAAGTCTGTGTTCACCTGGGAGGATGTCTCTTACGAAGTGCCTGTCCCCTCCGGCACTCGACGTCTTCTGAACTCTGTTTACGGCTATGTTCAGCCTGGAAAGTTGACCGCACTCATGGGAGCATCCGGTGCAGGAAAGACAACATTGCTGGACGTTTTGGCAGCCAGAAAGAACATTGGTGTGGTTACCGGCGACATCCTGGTCGATGGCAAGCCCCCTGGCACCTCGTTCCAAAGAGGTACATCTTACGCGGAGCAACTTGATGTTCACGAGGACATGCAGACTGTGCGAGAAGCGCTGCGTTTCTCTGCGGATCTGCGCCAGCCATTCGAGACACCCCAATCGGAAAAGTACGCTTACGTGGAAGAGATCCTGACCCTCTTGGAACTGGAGAACCTGGCAGATGCGATTATCGGTACACCTGAAACCGGTCTCTCGGTCGAAGAAAGAAAGCGAGTCACAATCGGCGTCGAACTGGCGGCGAAGCCTGAGCTGCTTCTATTTTTGGACGAGCCTACCTCTGGTCTGGACGGTCAATCTGCCTGGAACATTGTTCGTTTCCTTCGGAAGCTAGCAGCAGCAGGCCAGGCTATTCTCTGCACAATCCACCAGCCGAATGCTGCCCTTTTCGAAAGCTTCGATCGTCTGCTCCTACTCCAAAGAGGAGGTGAATGCATTTACCACGGTGACATTGGCCATGATTCCGAGATCCTGCTGGATTACTTCAGTCGTAATGGAGCCCACTGCCCCGAGGATGCTAATGTGGCTGAGTGGATGCTTGATGCCATCGGCGCTGGTCAAACACGTCGGATCGGAGACCGTGACTGGGGTGACATTTGGCGCACTTCTCCTGAACTGGAACAAGTCAAGCAGGAAATCATCGAGATTAAGCAAAGCCGTGCCCAGGCCGTTCGCGATAATCATGATGAGAATAAGGTGGATAGGGAGTACGCTTCACCTCTCTGGCACCAAATCAAGGTAGTCGGTCGGCGAACACATCTATCATTCTGGCGCTCAAGGAACTACGGTTTCACCCGGCTTTACACTCATGTTGTGATTTCCATTATCACCGGTCTTGTATTCTTGAACCTCGACGATTCTCGATCCTCGCTGCAATACCGCATTTTCGTCATTTTCAACGTCACCGTTCTCCCAGCCATCATTCTCCAGATGGTCCAACCGCGATACGACATGGCACGTCTAATCTTCTACCGCGAATCAGCATCAAAAACCTACAGCCAGTTTGCCTTCGCACTGTCAATGGTTGTCGCCGAAATCCCCTACAGTGTCCTGTGCGCCGTCTGCTTCTTCCTCCCCTTGTACTACATCCCAGGCTTCCAGACCGAGTCCAACCGCGCTGGCTACCAATTCCTCATAATCCTCATAACGGAGATGTTCTCCGTGACCCTGGGCCAGATGATCTCAGCTCTGACCCCAAATAGCTTCATCGCGTCTCAGCTCAACCCCCCGATCGTGATTATCTTCTCTCTATTCTGTGGCGTTGCAATCCCCAAGCCGCAGATGCCAGGCTTCTGGCGCGCATGGCTGTACGACCTCGACCCATTCACTCGTCTGATCGGCGGGATGGTCGTGACAGAGCTCCAGGGTCGGGATGTGGTTTGCGCAGAGTCGGAGCTGAATCTTTTCAATGCCCCGGACAACCTCACCTGTGGCGAGTACATGAAGCCGTTCTTTGACCGCGGTGGTAATGGATATCTTGTCGACGACGCGGCGCAGGCTTGCAAGTACTGTGCGTTCAAGGTTGGAGAGCAGTTCTACGCGGCGTTCAATATGTCCTTTGATAACAGATGGCGGGATCTGGGTATCTTTGCTGCGTTTATTGTCTCCAACCTGATCATTTTGTTCTTGGCGGTAAGTGCATATATTCTCTACCTTGTTTCTATTTTTGTGATTGTGATGCTAATTGATTTTGATACAGTCTCGCTTCTTGAACTTCAACCGGCGATAAACATGTGCAGCGGCATATGGTCTTGCTAATGCCCTTCGAGAAATTGGCTAACTATAAAGTATCTTTGCGTAGAATACTCTTCCCATCTAAATCGCGAGATGTGTTTAAAATTTAATTGAAAATGTACTGGCTTTTCTTCATAATATGGATGATTCCTGAACGGTCCACGTAGTAGCTTCATACTCAATGATATTAGGATATTAAATACACGATCTAATTGTATGCGAAGAGTTCAAAAAAGTTGATTAGTGTGGTATCTAATGATGGATTCCCAGTGAATGAACTCCAATACGTATCATATCAGGAGTGAACAACGGAGTTATATCCTTCGCAGTGGTAACTCAGCGGTAGAGTGTGAGATGTAAGAATTTCCGCTTTCAGAGCTGTCAAGTTCCCTAACTAACAATTAATCCAGTGCAATGTGCATACATAACTATCTCAAGGACCCGCGTTCGATCCGCGGTCACTGCTTTTTTTTGCTTCCCAAACACTTTACCGAGGTCACCTGAGACCGAGAACTCTCCATCTAGCAGGTTTCATCTGTATCCCTAAACATTTACAGCCCGGGGTCACAATTTTGGCACGAAATCCGAATACGTGCAACTCAGAACTCGGTTTCATGACCTTACTATTTAGACGTACTCGACCAACTTCCCGATGATCCGGTCTATGGGACTCTTCATTCACTTTCAATACCGAGCGACGAAGACCCCTTCAGGTATAGATAGGTCTCGGGGGTAGTTCTTGCGGGGAGACATTGAAGCCGCCTTCGGAACCCGAAGCCACGGCCATGCAGGGACCGGTCTCTTAATGCCCGAGTCGGGAGGACGCAAATTCCCGTAAGATATAGCTATTTAACGAGCTGTAACACATTGATTTTTCATTTTAATCAACATCAATCGTTTTCTATCTCATTTGCTAAAGGATGGCGCGTAGACCTGCTCGATGCTACCGGTATTGCAAGAACAAGGTTAGTGCTCACTCCGAATACTTCGACGAAGAATCGCATCTAAATATAATTAATCTTTCAGCCTTACCCCAAGTCACGCTTTAACCGAGGTGTCCCTGATGCCAAGATCCGTATCTTCGATCTGGGGCGGAAGAAGGCTTCTGTGGACGACTTCCCATGCGCCGTGCACTTAGTGTCCAATGAATACGAACAGCTGAGCTCAGAAGCTCTAGAAGCTGCACGTATCTGTGCCAATAAGTGAGTGAACCTAATTCTATACTTGCATTCATAATATTAATCTTATTCTCAAAAGATACCTCGTCAAAGTCGCCGGCAAAGAGACATTCCACATGCGCGTCCGAGTTCACCCTTACCATGTAATCCGAATCAACAAGATGCTGAGTGTGGCTGGTGCGGATCGTTTACAGACCGGGATGCGAGGCGCATTTGGCAAGCCAGCTGGCAAAGTGGCTCGAGTAGACGTGGGCCAGATTCTGCTCTCCGTGCGAACTGTTGATCGCCATCGCGCGACTGCGGTCGAGGCGCTGCGTCGGTCAATGTACAAGTTCCCCGGTCGACAGAAGGTTATTGTTAGCAAAATGTGGGGGTTCACTGCTTTACCACGAGCTGAGTATTTGCGGTTGAAGGATGCAGGGCTGTTGAGGGATGATGGTGCATATGTTCAGTTTTGTCGACGGAGGGGAGAGGTGGTAGAGAACATGAAGAACTTCCCACAGGCATATAGTTTGGTATGAATAGTTAATTCAATATGACTTTCATCCATAACTGTGAATTTGTTTAGAGGAGTGTGTTATAGAAAATATCTGTATCCGGCTCTTCCGGGCTAGTCTGTATTCGGTTTAGATCCGAGACCTCAAGACATAGATGAGACATAACCTCACTCCTACCTGAGACCAAAAAAAGAAAAAAAAGAAACCATATCTTGGACATTCACGGGCTTTTCCACCCTATCTAGGATATAACACTGAATTTCAGTCCTTCTCTGTTCCATGTCTCCCTTGAAAGAACACATGCATGATTCAAATCAGAATCAGAATCAGAATCAAACGTCCAACACGTCCCAGCTCAAGTTTCGAGCAACGTGCGACCCCTGTGCAGCTTCCAAAGTACGCTGCACAAAGGAACAGCATGGATGTTCGCGCTGTGTCCAAAATGGCCTAAAATGTGTATATGGCCGATCACGACGAAAGGGTAAACCACCTTCCAACAAGAACGGCTTCGCGCAAGCACCTAGACATTCTCAATTGTCTCCTGTTCCCATGTCTCTGGATGCTCCTCCGTCTCCTCCTGGGGTCCCAGCTCCTCCGTCGTGGGCCGACCAACAACCCGGTCATCACCAACCCAACTACAACTTCAACTGTTCCTGGACTCGCTCGCCTATGTTCCCAGCGCCTAGCTACCAGAGTCAAGCAGTGAATAATGTTATAATAAATAACTGCAAATTGTCCCCATCGCCTATGTTCCCTTCGACTATCCAGAATCAGACACCCGATAATGTTATAATAACAGGACGGGAAAGAAGAACACCAGACAGCTTAACTCGACATCAATCAATACCAGATGACAATACTGCCCCACAGATGCCAATAAACTCGGGATATACGTCACGGCCTAATCTGTCGGGCACAGATCCCATGGTGACCGATACCGCCGACTCCGGCTCCCATCCGAGGAAGGCTGTTTCTGAAGACCACCATTCAGACAAGGAGCCAGAGGATGAAAATGAAGACCAGCATGAACCATGCATTGCAGTGGCAAGCCGGGTCCTTTCCTCGCTGTACCAATTCGTGCGCAGCGACTGTGGGAATGGACACAGCAACAACGGTTTGCGCGACCAGCGCAAATCCCCCCACAGAAAAAGACCCTACAAGTGATATCCTGTTTCGAGTCACTCAGTCAGCCACGGAGACTGTGTCCCGATTGCTGAATTGCACGGGGAGTGCCTGCGCCCAGGATGCGTCCATGCTTCTGGTTCTAGGCGCGATTCTCCACAAAGTCCTCACTTGGTATCAGGCCCTGTATCAATCCGAGATCGGCGTCCTGTTCTCGTCTGCACCTTCGGCACAACCGGACGCTAACCTCACGCGTCCGCCTCTCGAACCCCATCCTTCAAACAGTGGGTCAGGTGATCAGCTTATGCTCTCGCGACAGGTCGGTGGCACGGGAGATTCAGTGTATACCGTCCCATTGACCATTCCGTTGAGCGTTGGGCCATTGAATATCTCCCGCGCCACGGAAACGAAGATGAAGGCTCAGCTGTTATTGTGTCAATTGCAAAGTTTACATCAGGTATGCCAGGGTCTTGATCGACGGGTCCGGGGCGCTGAGAGTATGCGGGGAGAGGAAAACCTATGCGAAGGGTCCAATACACAGCTCCTAGAGAAGGTGGACGAATTGCAGCGTGTGTTGGCGGCGGTCTGTACGCAGACACCGATGTAGAATATTTGTGCGACTTTTCAAGAAACAGGAGTCGCATATTGATCATCTGGTCTGTAGTCTCCAGGCTTCCTCTTTATAACGTTCTTCTTCTTTTACGCTGTAGTCATGGTCTCAATCGTTGGCTGTCTGCCCTGGATTCGGACGCCTTTTTGCCACCTGCGCAAACCCGTTTCATTTCATTCCTGACGAAACCGCGTTCAATCCTGGACACACCCCAGTTAGCCAAGACGAGCGGGAGAAACGAGGGGCTCGGAACAATGAAAGTGCATTGGCGAGGGCTATCTCGTGTTCTGGCTGGGTCTAGCACCGCTCGCGTTGGCTGTGACTTGGCTGTGACTACTCATATGATGAAGACGCCGTGTATCCCCTGCCAGCCGTCCGTCGAGTTCTACTTCGCTTTTTCTTTTCTTTACTGTTCATTCTTCCCCTGTCTTTCCTTGGGCAAAAGATCGGACCCCCATCTAGACTGTCTGCTTCTGCTCATTGAGTAGTCCATACTCAGCCGCAATGGCGGCCTCACTGCGCAAGCCGCAAGCTCTTGGGACGAAGGCATTTTGGGGCGAGGAACAACGGGAAATGAACTTAAGTAAGGTTCGTGTGGCCTTGGAACTACGTGAGAGACGCCTACGGCAGCGATGGAGGTGTCGAATCGAATTGGGTGGCTATACTTTCCACTGCAAGCAAAGCTAGCTAGGTAGAGCAATGATGACAGGTATATATGTCTTCAACCTCATACTCCCACGTTCTCCTTCTTGCTCCATTGTTCCTTAGTATCACTATATCCATGGATAGCTCGTCCTCTTAGTATAACAGCGACACAAAACTGGGAACAGTAGCAGCAAATATAACTTTCTGAAATAGTTGACCGGCTCTTACCCTTGGACAACATTAGCTGGAAGATCCCCGCATATAGTTCTTCCAGTTGCTCCCTCGTGATTCCTCAGGCGGAGTTGCATATCTTGGCGGCAAGTCAACGATGAGATCCAAAGGGTTTTCGTAACTACCGGCCATCAACCCTAGCAGAGAAGCGGTCTTTATTCGATTGTAATACCATGCACGTGAACAGTTGTAATCAAGTTTGAAGGACTCCCGGATTCGGGATTTCTGCTCAGCGTCGAGTGCAAACCCCCGGGCTCTCTCGCAACAAGAACACTCCACGGTGCAATGACCAACTGCAAACTTCCGTTCTGACTGGCGATGAGAACAGCATCCACAGTCTCTGCCACAACAGCCTCCTCTCCCGACGCAATCTTCCACAAGTACTCGATGCATGTACCATTTTGGCTGTGAACGCCAGAAATCGATACCCCTGGTCAGCGGGCCGTCGTAATACGAAGACCTAATCTCCCACCAACGTCGTTCTAAGGTCCAATATTCCGTCGAAAGTGTCGACAATTCCTCCTGTAAGTCCTGAACAACAGTCACGTAGCTGTCTTCCTTGGCGAGTTCCTCTATTTTCTCTTTCAAGGCTATCTCGCGTTGAGTATTCTCTCGAAGTGCAACTTCTGTCTGCAATAGCCCCCTTAGGTCGGTGGGGCACAGTGGTGGATTATCTTCGTCGGTGAAGGTAGAGTATCGGTATCTTTGAAGAAGACATATATCTCCAGAGATTTCTAGCTCAAGCTCTTCATCGGTTTCGTCACCCCACACGTAGTAGCTCATCTTCAGATATCGTTCTACTCAAGAATGTTGGGATGTTGGGTCTGCTAAAGGACCTTCGGATTGGAGGTTGACGTGGAATCGAAAGATTACCTGTTGAGTCCTATTTCCAGAAATATCGGCTAAAATTCAAATCGCCGCGCCCTAAAAAGGAACCGGCCGTCGGCTAGCTATTATCATGAGAGCAATCGTCAGGATGACGGGTATATAAAATTGAAGCCAGTGGCGAGCAGAGCATACGTAGGCTTCTGCAACTCTCTAAGACAGAAATTTGAGTGACACACACGTAATAACGAACCTATCTATCAGAAGTGGCGGCAAACAGACACATCAGAACGCATGATGTAAATACTGATGTCTTTTCTTTCCCCTTCATGAAAGGAGAGATGGCGCTACCATGCTATGGAAACTAAGCAAAACGTGACATTATCCAACATTGTCAAAGACGAATCCTACCTAGGTAGTGAGATACCTACATAGCAGGGCATCTTCTAGTCCGGATTATGGCTACACCACGGTTTTACTTCCTCGAGGCGGTTGTATACTTTACTAAACCGAATATTACTCTATAACATAAACGGGTAGCTACTACCAGTCCCCAAAATATAACGTGTTACCAGTACGGTTAACAGTGGTTTATGCGTTGAAATCGAAAGGTTGCCAAGATACGGTGACTTTTGCGCCTGCGCCCCACATCACAATTGGTCTCAGTATGGTACAAAGGTAACCTGGACTAGTGGACTTAACGCTATGTACAAGTAAGGGTAAGAGTGAAAGGAAAGACTATAGAAGTGAAAGAAAAAGTAAAAGAAAGATGAATAAAAGGTAAAAAGAAAGTAATAATAAAGTGAATAAAAAAGTGAAAGAAAAGTAAAGAAAAAAGTAAAGAAACACTGAAAAAACTTGGCTTTCGCCATTGACGGCTCATCGAACTGCAAATACAATGTTAGTCGTTTCCATTGCCAGGCAATTGCAGGTAGAGGATTTCGCCGTGTTCAGACCTTGGTATGTATATTTTATAAATGCAAGTAAATGGCTTTTATATCTGCTTCGTGTTAATGCTTAAGTGTGCTTCTGACTTACAATTCAGGTCTGGCCTTCCTCCATCGGAGTCATCCGGTTAAATCGGCGATTGCGGCAATATTCGCAGCCGCAGCTTACAGAGTGGCCGAGTGTTATGGGTCGCAGCGCATTAGTGCGCTGGAGGCGCTGGAGGCGCTGACGGAGGTGGCCGGAGGTGGATGCAGACGCCTGGGGTTCGGCGTCCGGAGGGTGGACGGTGTCAGGAGGGTGGATGGCGTCCGGAGGGCGGATTGGTGGCACTGGGGGTATGTCGGCCACGACAATGATGTCGGAGCGCTCTGGCGGTGGTCGGGCAGGGCGCGGGCCAAACCACCTATGGACAATCAATCAGTAATTATGCACATGAAGCTTGAAACAGCGATCTCCAGTGTGATAGGGCACATAGGCTTTCCGTGTACTTTACCTGAAAGCCTAAGCGAGGGCAATTTCTGCAGTAGTCATTGTCATACTGCAACAGAACAAGAAGACCAAACAAAAAACTACTTATAATATCCTGGCCTTCCAACTGGGGGCCAAAAAAAACTTCGTACAAGAAATCGACAACAGACTTTGGTGGTTCTGGGGCTGACATTTTGAAGAATGTTGGTGGTTTACAGAGTCTACTATTCTGCGCATCTAAGATCTGGTCTTGTCTTTCCTAATGGCGATTCTAGGAAAGAGCCAAGGGAGGAAGGAACACTTCCGGGTAAATTGCGGTTGACGGGGAAAGAGCGTCTCGATAAAGAGACCCTCCTACGATCGGAATCGCTGCTCATGCCTTTGACTCTAATTCCGTACCTGCTGCCATAGATCGAGCGATGGGAAACCCCCGCATTGTTCGTCTACTGAGTCTGCCTTTATATTTGACCCATTGTCGACTATTTCTCATGTGCTGTAGGCTAGTCTCCGCAGAGCCCTCAATCTCTCCAACTATCAGTACAAAGTTGGTTTGTAAACGGCCTGTGAACTTGTCTGTTCAAGTTAGTTTCGCCTGGGTTTAGCACCCCAATATGCCACAGTGCCCTACACCACGCGTCCACTGAGAGCATGGATCGTGCTTATTCTTCTGGAGTAGGACAGTGTATAGTTGCTAATGCGCCATATCATATTTTGCTAGCAGAACATTTCATAAAATCAGTATAAGAGTATTTTATTGACTAGGTATAGAAATAGAGATTCATAGAGTAGAAAGTCAATCAGACACCCAAGAGAACCAGGGCGGCGCCACAAGACCGGAAGAAGGTCACCAATGGTCAAATTTCAAAGCGTCAGGACCTGATGCAATTCAACTTCAATATACTCAGATTCTAGAGACGGTTAGGGACAATGGTCGGTTCCTCGTTCCGACACATATACTCCATTCATACAATCCCTGCCTAGTCGGCCAATATTTCACACGGCGTGTTCAGGGGAACGATCCAAATCAAGCTCGCATCCAAATCCGGCAAACAGAACCAATCTACCCAGAAGGAACACAGTCCTCCTCTCATTCATCTGAAATCTTCAAGTCCTCCCACTGACCCCCAACCGGTGGTGAAATCCCCTAAGGGAAACGAACTAAAGTCGGAACCTACTAGCTCTGACCAGAACCTGGCTCGGAGATGGAGTCTGGAATCCTATATCTCCTTTGTGGGGACCCAGGCCTGATGCCGACTCTGGGTCCTCGGGAAACTAACCACGCCTGCAGTGGGGACCCCTGATAGCCCAAAGAGGGTTCATCAAGGATTAGGATGCCAGCCAGATACAAACAACAAAAGAATGAAGTCATTTCACAATCAAGGCGGAAGGTCAGAATTAGAGTTCATCAGTGGAGAATGGAGAGTAGATCAGGTAAAGGTTTCCAAGTCTTGACTTGGACAACCAGGTCAGGATGATTCCGGATCAAGTTTTCATAGCATTTAACTCGAGACGCAAGAGCTCGGACTTCACGACTCAACGGGCTTCTCTTAGCTCGTCTTAGAATGACAGGATTCACTGGGTGAGAACTAGATCGTCCCATTTAGTTGATCCTAGGTCCCGGTGTTGGCAGATATTTCCTTCTACACATGTGGTCATTTTCATTTTCATTTTGCTAGATTCATGTCCTAAACTTTTTAGCATGGAGCCAAATGGGTTTAACTCGACATGGCAGATCTCGCGAACGGATGATGAGGTTGGTTGATATATATACTTATGAGAAACGGATTGGTGGGATGAAAGAGGGGGAAAAAAAGAGCAGCTTGCTGTTTGGAATAAAGACATATCCTAGATCGAGCACAACACGTAAGGGGAAGCGAAACTCTACCACAATGAAACATGATATATCGTACCGATATAAAAGCCGACGTTGATTCGTGCCCAACCCCACAGCCAGTTTATGCTTAAAAATGCCGGATCCACATTCTAATATTGGAAAGCTGACTCCGTTACATACCTGAGTTGTCTACTAGGGGCCTTTCGTGGTCCGCAGGTGACTTCTCCTCTAATGCCTGACCATCTTACACCAGAAAATACACATGACTATGGATGGATTGTTGTATTCTTTCCCTTTTGATTGGTTTTCTTGCAATTTCGAATATAGATAGCCACGTGATATGGCACATGTGGGTCCTATATGGTTAAGGCAATCTCCTTTTTAGACGTTATGTTGTATATTCTTATTCATGTGCATCTTTATTTAAAATCCAAAAGTCATAGTCTGAGCCACTATCACCAGATGTACCTGATCCCAGACTTTGTCGAAAAGTAAACCAGAAGCTTGATAAGCCACGTTCAGGACTCCTTCAATCATAGGTTTGAAGATACAAGCCTCCCCCAGCCCCAGTGTAAATCGACTCGTCTATCATGTATGAGATAATCCTGCCCAGGATGTTAGCATGTCCGAAAGGTGCGGTTCCAGATAGCGCGTTACATACGATTCTGCTCGACGAGAGCCATGGTATGGCTCATGCGAGTCGGGGCCACGGAACACCTTCAAAGTAGGATATGCACCAATAGCAAAGTCCGAACATAGTCTTTCCTCCCGTGTGCAGTCGATCTTCACCAGAGGGATGTTGTCACTTTTCAGCTCCGTAGCCGCTTGCTCAAATTTGGGGGCCAAGTTTCTGGAGTGACGACACCACGGCGCGTAGAAATTAGCCAAGACCAAGTCATGCTCCTCCATGAAGTCATAGAATGTCTCCTGGGTCAAAGACACGACATCCGAGTTCTTTGTACGAAGATTGGCAGTAAAAGCAGCCGTCGCGGCTCCGATGAGGCTCAGAATATAGAGGGACGGTCGCATACTGGAAGTGCGGAAACAAAGTAACACTGGAAAATTTCCAAGATGTCCGAAGAGTGGATTTGGAAGGAAACTTCGAAGTGGAAACAGATTGTGGGAGGAAAAGAGAACTGAAGGATGGAGGATTAGGCCCCAGTGCTCTTTTTTACCACGGGGGCTGTGCTGACTCTGTTCTCTTTGTGGCCCCCTCGCCCCAAGCGCGCTAGCCGCAATTTGAATCGAGGTGTACGTGGAGGCTTTCGTGTATTGTTCAGTTAATTCAAAGGTGACTCTATTTTGGCAAGATCCCTTAAATATCAATAGAGCCCAAAATACTTAGTACCCACACTGGCGGTCCGTCCCGTGTAGTTTATCGTCCGCAGGTGGTACGCACATGGTGATGGGGAAATATCGGGTGCTCCACATAGTTGGCCCTAAGAAACAACAGCCAACATGTTACTGTAAGCTATCTTTGTTTGCCTTTTTGTTTGCCGAGTTAAACTGGGAGAAAAATGCGTTCAATATACTCTAATTATCCCTGCTTGAACTATTCGCTTCCTTTGAGAATTTCTTCCCCTTTGAAAAGATCATAGTTAATGACACCGAAAAGTACGGTCAACGTCACGGCGAGTGCTCCATGAACCAAGTCTCTCATCTGCTTAAGTGGCAATGACAGTAATTCTTAACATACCTGGAATGAATCTATATGCCTCAATGTAGTCAGTAAACCAAGACTGTGTAGACGCAAGGTGTACAGTCTCAAGATAATCCCATCGTTCTACTCGCCTAACTAATGGAAAATAACAGAGACTAGCCTGACAACTTGTATTCATTTACATACTCACACTAGGCTAGTTAGCTAGATCCTGTTTGACCCGACCCAAAGCATAATAGCGAACATAACCCACATCTCTGGCTTTGTATAAATCGGTTCTGAGCCGGTCACACCATCCTAGAGATCTAGGAATGGTCATAAATAAGAATTCATAAAGCTAAGGCGCTTCCATTTAAACTAGCAAAGCAATAGTATTTCCAACCAAGCAGCATGTTAGCTTAGCAGGTGAAGCGTCGGGCTCATGACCCGGAGGTAAGTCAAGGTTCACACGCCAGTTATCCATAATAACATCATACTAACAATATATAGACCCTGGATCAAAACCAGGACATGCTACATCTTTTCTTTTTTCATATTTGATCGACCCTTAGTTGTGTTATTACCTACAATTTTGCTCACGCAACTATGTAGGCCTGGCAGCTTCCGAGATCCAAGGGACTACGATTTCATTAGCTGTATGAGTCCGCTTAGAAGGTCATGATTCAGAAAGTACAAGTTATTTCGATCGCTTTATGAATAGCAATCGTCTAGAAGCGATGCCTAGCTGATCACTTTTTTTTTTGCCTTTACCCAATTGGGATGCAGAGGGCTCTACCAAGGTACACCACCGAGTTACCCATTAGACCAAGAGGTCAGTCATAATGGAGTAAGTCTCTCTATGTTCATGAAATATACAGCGCTGAATATGATCAGAGCTTTTGCTGCATCATCAACTCGCGGATACTATTGATGTCTTCTTACACAAACGCCAACTGCAGGACTCAAAAATCTTAGGATGCATTTCAGGTTATTGAGGGCTATCGCAGATATCAAACCGCATCTGCAGGTCTCCATCATACTGCCAAGTATGAATTTGGGCAATACGACGTGTGCCCCCTAGGAAAAGCACCTAAGACAAGAGCACCGACAGCTTTCCCCAACGGTGTCCCCATTATCTCCCGATAATCATCAGTATCGTACAGCCAAGTTCTCAGTTGGCTATCTCCCGCAAGCTCAAGCCCATATCTCGGATATAGCACCTTGACCACAAATGTATGTGTCTCCTCATTGACGACGGTCATACGAAAGACGTACTTCAGAGACCCGATATCGAAGAAAGCCTCGTAGTGAGCCTGAGCAATTTGCGACCATTGAGGACCATCAAGTCTGACATTGTTGTCAGCGAAGATAGCAGTGTGTGCCACACGACCGTGGTATTTATTCCAACCCACAGACCCATCTTTCTCGACTCCAAGTTTGCGAAGATATAGCTTGTGGTAATTCAGTCCAACGGGGAGATTGAGTGGACGAGGATCGCCAATTTCCTCTGGTGCGCACACCCATTCATTGCAATACTCGTCCCATTGATACCTCTCGTCGGAGGGGTGGGCCAGCTGGTCCAGTTTTATTGTGGATGGCGAGACGATGCATGGCCTTTGGCAGTCGGTGTCGTCGGGGTAATTGATCCAGGTTTGGTAGTCCTTTCCCTTCTGTCGGAATATGTTGATCATCTCGTCGGTCATTGCGGGGTGCAGATCCAGTACATCGGCCGGGTTTGTTTCCGCTTCAGGTGGTTGATCTTGACAACTGACAGGCTTCTTGGGGCCTTGTTTTTCTGGGTCTTTGAGGCGTCCATCTCCAAGCACCGAGGTAGTTCCATCTAGACCAAGGCCTGTGCGAAGAGATGTCATGTTGCCAATGTCAATGTAAGAGAAAACGCATGGATATGGTGAACGTATGTATAGAGAGAAGAGAGCTGTTAGAAATTGGGGGCTACGCAAGAGCTAAATACGGAAGGTGAGACGGAGCGTGATTTCGAATACCTCCAAAGTAAGATGCTCTTAAGGCTTTTGAATGCATTATACCATAACCAGCCGCTTATTCTTCAGACTGTTGCTCTTCTGGATGAATAGAATACTCGATTATACTTGGATTGTGTTAGTATTTAAGTATAGTAGACGCATTACTATCTGATCTCGGATTTCAACCCATATATGCTGGCGCGATCTCCCAAGGAAGGTTCGATCTTTATGTTAATATTTGCTTTCTGGCCTTTATCTATAGATGCAGGTGCATATTTCCGTGTTTTTGTTTGATGATCCGTGGACAACTAGATCATAGGTACGCTGCACGCGTGAGCGGTTTTCTCTGAAGCTATAACACGCCAATTGAGATATTGGGTTGATACAGTTGGAGGGAGACTTGGTTTATGACTTGACACTTTATTTTTGTTATGGAAGGGATAATGAGATTCGGTTCCCGGGTCTTACCAGGTAATAGTCGTGAAAATCTTGATCAGTCGTATTCGTCGGCGACCCCGCAGAAGAGCGATCCTCTTCATAAATGTGTACTCAGCCCTTGTTCATTCGAATGGATTCTGGGGAGAGATGTTGTTCTTCCTCCTGAGGAGGAGCAAAGTCTGCACTTTTGCTCTCAAAGAACTCGTGAGCTTTCATTATCAATCGCAGTGCCTTCTCAACACCAGGAGAAACGGAGGATCCATGGATCGTCATCCATCGTTGTAAAAGCTGCTCCAGGTGAGGCCCTAGTTCTAGCAAGGCAATATGGCGAAGCTGCATTGTGAGCTGTGGATGACAGAAGCCGCCCATGAGAGTCAACATTGCCGTTTCGAGCCTAACAAGAGGATTTCTTATATCAGTAATAATGCACAACAGCCGGGAGGCCTGAATGAGACTTACGAAAGTGAGCATGGCCATGTGTCTACCATGACGGTATACGGCACCTGCTTCAGATACCTTAATTTGAATAGGCAAGTATCGAGAGCAACCCGACAACCATCGAGCACACGCAGGTTGTTGTTGAGGTCCCACAGTGGATTAGCGAGGGCCCATTCCAGATAAGGTCGATAGATGACACTTCGACAACTGAGATACCACTGTCTCAAATACTCGCTATGCGGATCATCTGCGGGTTTTCCATCTTCGGGAAATTGGAGACTTGGGGGTAGTGTTTGATACCAGTCTTGCAGTTGGCGTGCCAGTTCTTGATTCACGGAAGGAAAATTATTGGAATCAATCTGAAGACCAATGTCGCGGTCATAGAGCATGTAGTGGGCTCGGTTGAGGAGGCGACGGAGTGCTATGGATGCGAGGAAGTAAAAGGTCGACTTTTCTTCCTCTTCAATAGCTTCATGCGAGTGGAATTTGCCCGGAAGTGAAAATACTGATTCGATTTCTGCATTGCAGTTTTGCGGAAGCGACGGCAACTCTGAAATATAATTGCTAGTGCGAGTCAGACGGTAATGAGTAAGGTGTCATTGCCTATCCTTACCTTTCTAGTACAAAGCACGACCAGAATATTCTGGTGATGTGTTCTCGATCGTCGCGCTCGGGATTGTCAAAGGGGCAAGAGAGAAGGAAACGACAACGAGTCGCCGCGCTATTCACATAGGACCATGTTTGCAGCGGCCTTTGCAAAAATGAAAAGTAGAGACTAGATATTTGTCAGTTTCATCTTGACTCGCCGTTTCAGTAGGTAACAATGTTGTCATACCCAGTCAGCAAGAGACATTGGCACGCTTCCACGTTCATCTCAATGTGGGCCAAGTGAAGCATCTTCATTGCGGCAGTGAACCATGATGCTCCTTGCAGCTTCAGCTGCTCAGACCCGTTTCCAGAATTTTCCTCTTTGTCTGTCACGGAAGCGCCGACGCAGCCCAACGCCATGACTAATAATGCGAGACACGATTGACAACTAGGCTCCAGATTCTCCTGCCATATCCTCAATTGCAAGGACTTCAGATCGTCCAAGCTGATTGTCGGGAACCAAAAGTTATATGTTCGCTGGAATATACCTACCATATCTTTGACCTCTGACAAGCCCACGCTGGGGAATATGCCGTAGAGTTTGCTTTGGAAGGACGGCCGTCCATATTCGAGCGACAAAAATGAAGTCTCTGCCTCCTCTAATATTGAGGGATGATCCCGGAAAACTGTCCACCTCAAAAGAGACTCTGCCGAGGAAAGATGTCCTGACGAAAGCACTGCACTTTCCGTAGGGTCCCTAGTGGTCCACCGGCCTGAATGATGGCGTGTATCCTGAGATACCGGTGTAATTGTTGAACCAGGGGACGTTGAATTGGCCTGAATACCATTCATCGCACTTGAATTGGAGCCCATAGCCTGAATTTTATCATTAGCAAGTAATAAACGGCCTTTGGCCACTCATTACGTACGACCATCCCCTTAAGTTCTTCAATAGAAGCTTCCATTCGCAAGACCGTATCCAAAATCATTTCACTTTTCCCTCTTCTAATCTGATGTCAATCGCTTATCTTCGAAATGGCATCGAGACTTACTTACGAAGTAGCTTCTGTTCCGTATAGACATGTTTGGTTCAGGCTCACACAGGGTCCACATGGATCCCGAGCATCACACCTGTCGAGTCTGTTAATCGCTGAGCACTACAAAGTCAGGTGTGACATTACTAGCCTCGTCTTGCGATGGCGGCATGAGTCGCACTGTGAGGTGGGTTAGTTTCGATATTCGAACCAACTGGCTAGTTCCCGAGGGAGAATGAGACGGACCGCTCGAGCCGCCCTGAATCTCTTCATTTCGAGCCAGGATACTGATATTGGGGAGATTTTCCCTGACAATAAAGTTCTTGATCAATTTCGATACTGAGCTTGTGTTGGCAGCAAATGAACGAATTAATGGCGCCGGCGGCGGGTGGGAAGGTCGACATGAACCTCAGACGACGTTAACGCGGGCGCGCACGTGATTCCTCCATTTTCTATAGATAATTTCGGTTTTATATATCTAGCTAATCATATTTACAAGGCAGTAATGAATCAAAGGGTGAATTTTGGGATATTTGAATGATACTAGTCATGGGTAGTTTATGAAACCCAGCCTGAGTTTTGCAAAACTGGGGTGCACTAACATGGTTCTATAGATGTGGACTAAGATGCAGATTTGACCAGCTGTCAGGGAATGATGTGAGCAGTATATATGGGATTGCAGCTTATTTAACAAACTAAAATCTGACCTTTAAGTCTTCACAAAGACACAGGCTCTAATAGCATACCAAAGGTGATATCCTGCACCTTAACTAGATGCTCATCCATAGGCCCTGGGCCACAGGCTGCAGTTCCCACGCCTGCAACTTGGTCATCCAATCTCACAAACACCGCGTCATCTTTGACAAGATCGCAAGGGTGTTGTGCGGACTCAATAACCTGATCGGAGTACTGACTAGCTTTCCAGTTCAAGCTTGCCGTTCCTCCATTCACCACTGTACTTTGTTGCGGGCTTGCGCGGAAGCCTATGCCGTTTGTAGTGAGAAGCTCCATCCAAGCAGTATCTGTGCGGTTTCCATTCTCCTGTGGAATGTCATAAACCGTCTCTAGCGATGCGATGTTATCAACATTCCACAAACCAAATTTCTGGGCAGCCTTCTTGTCGGGATACGATTCTCCAGGACCAAGTCCGAGCCAGCGTGCTGACTGCAAACTAGAGCTTGCACGAAGATTCATACCAACACGAGGAACAGTTGCTGGGGCGGCTCCAGTGGGTTGCAAGCTTATCGTGGTGGACAACGAGCCGTTGGGAGTGATGGTGTAACGTGCGAGACATTTCCATCCCCAGGAAAGGACTGGAGGCGACAGGAATGTCTCACTTTCAATACAAACACTCCCATTCTCCATCGACGTCATATGGAAAGAACGGAACTGGTTTGTGAGATTGTTCACTCCGAATCGCTTCGAATAGGGCGCCGCAGAAGGTACGTCGTTGTCTGTCGGAGGACGCCAGAAACCAGGGACCATGGCAAGCCCTGTGTCAGGATGCGGCTCAAGAATAGACGTCAAGTTGTATGTCCACTTCCTGAGATGTCCCCGAATGCGGTCAAACTCAAAGGACCAGTTGGCTCCGCTGACAGACACAGTTGTTTTGGTGGAGTTGGTCGAGATAGCATCCTGAGCAGAGCTCAGGCTGACTGGGACTTTCTCGGTCGGTTTTGATACCAGTTGTTGGGTCCAAGCAACCACGTAGGTCCCCTGGTCCCATTCAACCTTTCCTCGTTGCTCAAGCGTAATAGTCAAGTAGACTGGATGGACATTGTGTTGGAAGAGCTCTGTCGGGAGAGGAATCTCAACAGATTGGCCGGCGTGTAGAGTGGGCAGCTCCAGCGGTCCAGTTTCCAAGGTTTTCGCTCTAGGTAAGCAAGTTAGCTTGCCTTATATCCATTCAATAATAGTTAGACTCACTCTTTGTCAAATGATTCAAGGTTGTATAAAGCTTGAAGATGGCTTAGGTCCGAGAAGTTGTACCGGTTCTTCAGAGCCAAGACTTGTCCACGGACTTCCAACTTGACTGGTTCAAAGGCTCTCTTCAGCTCCAACAGACCTGGCAGAGGCTGGTGGGCGCTGTTCAAGAGACCATCCATCACAAACGTTCCATCATTCGGATAGTCGTTGAAGTCACCACCATAGGCATAAAAGCCGTCTTTCTGATTGTTTCCTTCAACGTACAACCCGTGGTTGGCCCATTCCCAGATAAAACCGCCCTGCAAACGCGGGATCTCATCGAAGCATTTCTCATACTCCGTAAGCAGGCCGGGTCCGTTGCCCATGGCATGAGCGTATTCACAGAGAATAATAGGTTTGTCGAACTCGCCATTCTTTGAAACACCCTCAGTGGCTGCCAAGGATCGCAGCCGGTCGATCTCCGGGTACATGTAGCTGAACATGTCTGTAGTCTCCGCATGAATGTCACCCTCGTAGTGGACCAAGCGAGTACTGTCGAAGGCCCGGGCATACTCTACCATAGAGTGTTGACATGTGCCGAAGAAAGCCTCATTTCCCATAGACCAGATAATAATACTAGTATGGTTCTTGTCTCGTTGAATCAGTGAATGAACTCGATCAACGTAGGCTGCCCGCCAGACGGGATTGTCTGATGTATGTGTACCACACTTGGGGAAAGTCATTGCCTTCCGCTCCTCGTAGCCAAGGGTTTCGTCCATGTCCATTGGACGTGAGACGGCGTCGTAGAAGCCATGGCATTCAAGATCGGCTTCATCGATAACCCAGAAGCCCAGCTCATCAGCCATATCAAGAAGCCGAGGGTCGGGGGGATAGTGGCTGCAGCGAAGGGCATTGACGTTGTGACCTTTCATGAGAAGCAGATCTTTCCTCATAAAGTCCACCGGCACGGCACGACCCAAAAGGGGGTGGTGATCGTGTCGGTTGACTCCACGAAGCTGAATAGCCTTTCCGTTGACAGTAATGAGACCACCCTTGCGCTCAACTTTGCGGAAACCAATGCGCTGTGTAGTTCTGAACGCCTTGTCGGATCCAAGAGTTTTCAGGAGCATCTCCACTCCATACAGATACGGCTGCTCGGCCGTCCATTTCTTGGGGTTGGCAACAGGCAAGATGAGATCAACTGCGGATGTTGTTGGCTCTACAGTGCACTCTGTAGAAGCAATGACATGACTGTTGCCCTCTACCGACTGAATTAAGTTGAGTGTAATAGTGCTTTGCTCCGAGACTTGATAGTCAATCGTTGCGAGAAGCGTCGCATTTTCGTATTCTGCATCGAGATCCGTGCGAACGAACCAGTCATTCAAACGATCGTTGGCTGGGAGCGCAATCAAAGTGACGTCCCGGAAAATTCCTATTACCGTGATATATATTAGCAGATGATCCTTTCCCACTGTCGCATATCGAAAATTAAATATTACCAGATAGCCACCACTGATCCTGATCTTCGATATACGTAGCGTCTGACCACTGATACACCCGCACAAAGACTTCATTGTCACCTTCCTGCACAAATGGTGTGACGTCAAATTCAGAGGGGTTTCTGCTACCCTGCGCATACCCGACCAAGGACTTGTTCACCCAAACGTGGTACGCGCTATCGACGCCGTCGAATCGCAAACGAATCTCTGACTCGTTGGCCTGCCATTCAGCCGGCACTTGGAACTTCCGACGGTATGTGCCCGTGGGGTTCTCGGTGGGTACGAAAGGAGGACACACTGGGATGGGGAATTGTGTGTTGGTATAATTTGGCTTTCCCCAACCCTGCAACTGCCAGTGACCTGGAACGTTGATGCTAGACCAGTCCCCATCAGAAGTCTTCTCGTTAGGCTCGGGAGCCTCCGGTGGTGACCGGGACATATTGAACTCCCAGGCTCCATTGAGAAGGAGAGATGTAGAGGGAATATGATAAGAACGCGCAGGGAGGGTATTTCTGCGAAAAACCGCGGGGTTCATGAAGTCGGGCCATTTGGGGTCGGCCTGCATGGCCAGCTCTTTGGTCTGAGTAGAGCTCATAGTGACGGAATGCGAACTTGAAGGGAATAAATTCGGGCTCTCAGGTCGTCTAGGGAGGTTGGGCCAGCAATGCTACTCCGCGTCCTTTATACCAGAGTGTTGGACTAGATGACGTCGGAGCTTGAGAAGCACCACCAGTGGGATTATCCTGCATATTTTATGGACCTAGCGGGGGTTGAATGACTTGTCTGCGTGTATTGCGGGACTCGGCATGCAGTTATCGCCTGTTGCCCCGGGTCTATCGGAGCCGATGAGGTGTGGAGTTGGTTTCGCGGGGAGAGTGGATATTCCCTAACCAATAGGCGTCTCTGGGGGTAACGGCGCCGGGGAAATCGGAGCCGTAGAAGATTTTGCGAATTCTGAAGGTTTCAGTTGCCCACAAAAGGTGAAGATGTCCAATCCCCATCCTATCACGTGTACATGTGGATCTCAACGGGTGTATCGGGGAACACGTCTGTGTCTCAACTCGTCCTTCGGCAAAGCGAACTTGGCAGCTAACTTCCCCAGATCTTAATATGACCCGGGGCCGAGAATCTGTACCCCGAGGCTGGCTCAGAAGAATGCGGAGGTAGTAGGCACATGGTATGAGAAGCTTGAAGTATTAAATCTACGAAATTCCCCACCTAACAGCAGCAGAATTTTCTTAATTGTCTTGAATCTCTTTTGAAATCCCTTGGACACTCTTGTCCTTTCCCCCTTTTTTTTCCCATTATGGGTCTTGAGCAAGACAAACCTGGTGAAATTGTCCACTTGGAGGCTACTCCGGTGACAATGAATCCCACCGATATAAAGAAGTCTGAGCACCCTGATGAAGTCTCCGGATCTGTTATGAGCCTGAATGTGGCTCTTACCAGTTACCGGAATTCTCTACTGTTCAGTTTGTTCTTCTGCTTCTCCGCTGTTCTCTGGGGTTACGACATGCAGGTCAGCGGAGGCCTTCTTGCCGCTCCCGAGTTCCGCGCGGTGTTTGGATACACCCAGGCTGATGGCACGACTATCCTTCCGGCGGAATGGCAAGCTGCTTTCAATATGATCGCCACAGTTGGTGGAATGATCGGAAGTCTGCTCTGCGGTCCTATCTCGCCTTACGCAGGTCGAAAGATGACTTTGATCATCGCATGTGTCATCTCCAGTGGCTCCGTCTTCTTGCAGTTCTTTGCGTTCACTCGGGGTGTTCTGCTTGCTGGAAAATTGATCAACGGCATCGCACTTGGCATGTTCCTCGTCACCGCATGTGCCTACTGTTCTGAGGCCTGCCCTGTCGTGCTTCGCGGCATTACCATTGCCATGGTGAATCTCTTTGTAGTCGTCGGTCAGCTCCTCGGGAACTGCCTCATCAAGGCTTTCGGTGGGCGATCAGACAATTTTGCCTACAGAATCCCCTTTTCTTTTCAGTGGATTTTCCCGGCGATCCTTCTTGCTGGCGTGTGGTTCTGCCCCGAATCCCCGTATTGGTATGTCCAAAGGGGCAAGCATACAGAGGCCAAAAAGTCCCTCGAACGATTCCAGACGGGCGGAAGCATTGATAGCTGGCTTATTGAGATCCAAGAGACAGTTCGTATAGAAGAGGAATCAGCATCGTCTGCTAGCTACTTGGATTGTTTCCGAGGAACTGATCTCCGTCGAACCTTGATTGTCATGTCGGTTTGGACTATCAACTCTTTCAGTGGTGTCAACTTTGTGCTCAGCTACTCAACGTACTTCTTCCAAAGTAAGTCTTCTCGAGTCGACAACCATTTATGTTCACTAATAAATCTTTTCCAATTATAGTAGCCGGCATCCCTACCTCTTCATCGTTCGACATGGGTGTTGGCGTGACTGCAGTTGGTGTCCTAGGGAACATCTGCTCGTGGTGGGTCATCAACATCATCGGTCGCAGAGCTCTCGTCCTGGCATGCTCATTCTCACTGTGATTCTCTTCATCATTGGCATTCTCGACGTTGTACCGGGTTATAACTCCTCCACTGCCATGGGCCAGTGCGTATTGATTATCGTCTGGAACTTCTTCTACGATCTCACTCTTGGACCTCTTGGATACGTGATCTGTGGAGAGATGTCTTCTACTCGGTTGCGGTCATACGGCGTCAGCATTGGTTTTTTTACGCAAAATTTCTGGACTTTAATTATGACGCTCACGACGCCTTACATGATAAACCCTGATGAAGGTAACCTTCGGGGCAAGACAGGCTTCATCTTTGGTGGGTTCTCAGTCATTGCCTGTATCTGGACTTACTTCTGCTTGCCAGAGACCAAAGGCAGGACCTTTGAGCAGCTGGATCATATGTTCGAGCAGAAAATCTCGGCACGCAAATTTGCCGAGTATGACCAAAGACCGCATGAAGGATAAGCTCAAGTCAGCGTTCAAATCCCGTCCGGCATAAGTTCCACTGCTAGACAGCTGTATAAATACACAGTAGCTTGGTACCTGTTCTAATGATGGTCTATGTACTCTCTCGACTTCAGTAGGTTCGTAATCAATGTATTCCAAGGTTGCCAAGTCCTTATAGTCCAATCCCAAGGTGCGTCGCCACGCTGCGTAGTGTAATTTATGGTGGTACTTCTATGATAGTATAGTAAAGCGTCTATGCCCTACCCTCTAATTCTTATTCCTAATGCTGTAGAACTTACTAGTAATCTAAAATTAATGTGTGTAATCCAGTATATACCCGTGGACTGAACAAGGTTCCCACCACCTCGGCAACTCTAGCTTTCTTGGAGGCTTAAGAGATCCTTGGCATTATAAATGCCGAAGAGGACTTTCTGACATTATAGAAAAGCGTTTTACCTTTTGGAGAAGTCATTATAGGATTATTTGACTCGGACGAAAGTATTGCTGTCATTCATCCAACTACCTTGTAAACAGGCTTTCCCCCCTTCTCCCGCTGTCTTTTCCTCGGTAATGTTTGTTTATTTCCCTATATGTTTCTCTATATATTTTGACACGTTGGTTTGCTCGTTACAGACTTGGCTGCGGCGAAACTAATACCTAGGTAGTATGCATTATCGCCCAGCTATGGGCTGCGGTAAATAGCAAGGTTTAGTATGATCAGTCCAGCCCTGGAGCGGCGTAATTCCCGACTCCTCGGACTTCCACCGACCACAACAGCAGGCTTTGTGCTAGACAAACTTTGGCATTCAGCCAGACTTGTTAAGGTGGACCAGCGCATTGAACCGGGTTGAGCTATGCTTTATATTTGAGTCTGCTCTACTCGTCAGCCAAGGCCAACCTTCCCCACGTTTTGACCAGATCATCTTCGCGTGGGGGCCCCGTACTGGGTCTTCCCCGCAGATGATCCTTTACTATTCCATTTGAGGCAGGCAAGCTTTGAAATTCGCGGGGGATACGAGATGGCTGCTCTTTGTAGCCTTTCTAACCTTGTCTTGAATCAAGGAGGGAGACTCGGGGTCGTCCCGAGGTTGTCATTATCACTTTACACATTTCTTGCCGACCCATCCCGTGGCATTAGTCCTGCATTTTATATATATTTCGATATAGCCCACTTTCATGGATTTTGCTTCTCCACTTCCTATCCTACAAAAGTGACTCCACTATGCCGAACCATGCTCCACAAGATGTTGGCTCAAAGGCCAATATCGCCGAGGTTCCCACTATCAGCCATGCGGAAAGCAACCAAGAACACTCCAAATTCAAGTCTGCCAAAAATGTCGACGGCGATACGGCCATGGCGCTATTCGATGACCCGGACGAGCTCCATGAAGATGTCGATCCTGTGGAAGCGAGAAAGCTATTGTGGAAGATTGACTTCATGATCCTGCCCTACTTGGCTGTTTGCTATGCGTTCTTCTACATTGATAAGGTCAGTTTCTTTTATTGGAGATTATTTGCCTATTTTATGCCTTTTACTCGAAAGGCTGTGCTAATAGCACACATTTTGAGAACAGACAACGTTGAGCTATGCTGCTATTTTTGGGATTCGAGAAGATCTCGATCTACATGGAACCCGGTATAACTGGCTGAGCAGTATCTTCTACTTTGGTTTCTTAGCATGGGCATTCCCTACCAATTTCTTGATGCAGCGCCTTCCAATCGGTATGATTTTCCCATTGCACGCTAGACAATCTAACTAGATATCCATCTGATACCTGGTTTAGGGAAATACCTGGGTGCGAATATTTTCATGTGGTTTGTTGTACTGAGCTCGGAGATAATACAACAGATGCTAACATTCCTATTCAAGGGGCGCCTTCCTCATGATCCAAGCTGCCTGTAACAGCTTCGAGACCCTCGCTGTTCTTCGAGCACTTGGCGGTGCCGCCGAGGCTTGCGCTGACCCAGCTTTCATGCTCATCACGAGCATGTGGTATACCCGTCGTGAACAGCCAGTGCGTCTCGGACTGTGGTATACAGCGAACGGACTCGGTATTGCATTGGGTGGACTATTAGGCTATGGAATTGGTCATCTTAAAGGTGCACTACCGTCTTGGAAATACGAGTTTCTTGTGATGTATGTTGATTTCCTCTTGCCATCATTGAAACTCCCATTTACTAACCTTGCTTAGTGGTGCACTATGTTCTGCCTGGGGTATTGTCATGTTTATCTTCCTCCCAGATTCACCCGTTACAGCGAAGGGTCTTAGCAAGAGAGAGCGCCGCATCGCTGTTGAGCGTCTACGGGAAAACCAGACTGGTGTCGAGAATAAACATCTCAAGCCATATCAGATCCTGGAGGCTTTCATGGATTATAAGCTCTACATGTTCTTCATTCTTGGCATGGTTTGTATGTGACTACCAAGGTCGTGCCATATCCAAACCGGTGCATTATCTAACATCTACATAGGCAATATCCCCAACGGTGGTATCTCAAACTTCGGAACTATCATCATCAAAGGGTTTGGGTTCTCGACATTGGTGACCACTCTTATGCAGGTAAGATTAATTTGATAACCACATGGTCTTCAGCTAACATGATACGCACATAGATTCCATATGGCTTTATCATTGCTATCTCGATCTTGATATGCGTCTACCTCAACGACCGCTTCGAAAATCGACGATGCCTTTTCATCCTTATCTTCCTGATTCCTAATATTGCCGGCGCCTTTGGTCTTCGCTTTGTTCCCATCGAACACAGTGTAGGTCGTTTAATTTGTTATTACCTAACAGGTCCTTACAATGCTGCATTTGTACTCGTTTTGAGTATGCAAATGGCCAACACCGCTGGTAAGTGAAATCTTTCAGTTAAATAAATCACGGAAGTTAATGATATTGTGGATATAGGCCATACTAAGAAAGTCGTCACCAACGCTGTGCTCTTCCTAGGGTACTGCACTGGAAACATTGCTGGGCCGTTCTTCTATAAAACCGATCAATCGTGCGTTTTCCTCGGGGTAGTTCTGTTATTTCTGGAAGTAAGAGCTAACTCGGACTATAGACCTACCTATGAGCTCGGTATCTGGTCCATGATTGTGTCGCACTTGATTGAGGCCGTTTTAATCAGCATCCTTGGTCTACTGTTGCGCTGGGAAAATCAGAAGCGTGATCGTATCCAGTCACAGATGGAGGGTGGTCTTGAAGGGAGAGATCTGGATGCGACTGCGTTTTTGGATTTGACGGACCGAGAAAATCTGAAGTATGTCTCTCTATATTGTTCTGCTACTATCTTGCTGCCCTCCTTCAAATCTGGTATGAAAATGACTAACGATTTCCAACAGTTTCCGATACATCTACTAAGCGAGAGAACCTTGAATCAGTGTTATCAAGCACCTCGTTGAAAGAATCTAAACCTTGTGAACTAGACCGTCGGTGGTGAATACTTCCGGATTTACCAGCACCAGGTGAAGACGACTATATAGCACTCAAACGATCCAAAGCTGGTGCTGATTTATTGGAGCTATTTGTATGGTCATAGAGAGAAGAATCGAAACGCATATGTGTCTTTTCTGCTAAGTACATAATGAATGGACTAGATACAGAGCATCTTAGGGAACCCAAAAACGGCCACGGCCAGCCTTGTTGAAAAAGCATATCCCGCGAAACCAGTATGAATAGTTCAGCATCATCCGCTTGGAGGCGCTACTCCAAGCTTAAACCCATTCCTTCAATGATGGCCAGTTCTCTTTGATGAGCTTTGGGCCAGAGTCCAATGTAGCCCATGTAGTTCCGTCCCACTTCAGCGTTGCATACTGATCACCACAGAAAACGTAAAAGATGTCGTTGTCCGTGTGCATGGTGAAAATTGCATCGATCGTGTCGAAGCCAGCTTCCTTGATGGAAGGCCAGCCCTCAGCGATGGACATAGGCCCCCAGATAACCTTGTCTTGCGACATTTTGTACTTCAAAGTCTTTGTGCCCGAAAAGAAAAACAGGTTGTCCTTGTCTATCGGATCAGGACAACCTGCATCCACAGTTTCGAATCCGGCATCCACTAGACCTTTCCACTCCGCTGCAGTAGCGACAGCACCATAGGGGGCAGCGTCTTTAAGGTCATCTTCGGGGTAAATTGCGGTTCGCATATAATGCGCTCCGTGGAAGACGTAAAAGATATTCTGTTCGCTAGGTGATGGAATGACAGCATCCACTGCACCCCAGCCTGCCTTTTGGAAGCTGTTCCACCTGGACCGGGTGTCATATGGACCAGACATGATCTGCTCTCCTTGGCCATGAAATTGGCATCTAGCATACTTCGTGCCGGACCAGACATAGAAACTTTTGCCTTCTTTGAAGTTGGCGATAGGGAGGACGGCGTCGACCATATTGTCAAGATCGGACAGGATAAGAGGGGGATTGATGGTAAGTTAGAAGAATTGAGACCAGATAAGAAGTTCTGTTGTTTGGGAAATGAATGAGACCTCTGTTGATGGGAGACTTGTCTCTATATATGCTATTCTCTCAAGAATCAATTACCACATAATTTGGCTCACCGCATGTATTTTGATGCTATATAGTTACACAGAGTGGACCTGCATCTTACCTAGTTAGAGAGGTACGCCAAATATCAGCCAGCCATCCATGGATGGATATGATCGATTCATGGCAAGAGCGGTGAGGTTTTCATAGATCTACTGAATTAGGTCTGCTTTCACATACGGAGTACATACATGTATGTAGGATTGAGTTATCCAATCCCAAACAATCACTAGAGGCTACCTGAGTGGCGGACGTATAACGACGATGATCACACTGCAATTGCCTTGCATCCCAGTATCCGGTGTTATATTGTCATAGAATGTGACGTTTCCTTATCCTTCAAAAGGATGTGCAGGTGTTTATCAAAACAGCTGCCTCGAATGATTCATTCATTATTCACGCCTAATCTGCCCTACTTGCATATGTATGTACTTGGTGGCCATGATCATATGTCGACAATATTGCTCTTGCGTATACATATCGCTCAACCCAGACTTTTTCAAGCGTCATGGGCATCATAAAACATGATGTAAGTCAACAGATGGTGCGCCTACAACGATACACCTAGAGCCCGCCAGGACTGAGCCCTTAGACTTATATTGTGGCCATCTTTACGGCATTCGATGCCTACGTCAGATGGATGACCAGTAATCAGTAATCCAAGCCACAGAGCAATACATCTCAATCTACGGGAGCAGCGAGGTACTACCCCTGTAATTGCACACTTAGGTGATGTATCATAGACATCTTGCAGAACAACTCATACTTGCATTTCCCAGCTTCTCACGCCCAACCTGCTTATGCCAAGGCACTGAGTATAACTAGGCCTGTGCGCAAATTCCTCAATATTTTTTTTGTTCGAGTTGTCGCCCATTTATTTATTGGAGTTTCAACAGCCAGAGAGAAAGCTATAAGCAGCGCCACTGTCGCAACCTTGGAATGGAATCAAAGATTCGGACCCTCTCCAATTGTGCCCAAGCAACGATTAAGACCGTTTTCGTCGTGGATACTTTTCAGCTAGCCACATACTTGCATCACCCTAGGTGTAGGGCGATCCTTTGCCTTCGAATTGCTGCAAGGCGGAGCAAGGAACCAATGATGTACGCTGATATTATTTTACGTCGGCACTTGTGGGTCGGCCCGGTCCAACCTTATCTGATCTGCGATTTTGTCAATCAGGTGCACAACAAGCTGCACGAGGCAAACCAACAATGGCTTGCCAAGAAGACACAGCCCTAAGTTCAGCATGCAGGATCAGGCGTATCCCTGGTCATGGCTTGGGTTTCCCATCGTGGTGCACAAAGATTGGCCAATTATGCGAGTAGCTAGCCTTGCTTTTACGGTGTGTGAATAGAGGCAAAGCGGGATGTTCTTTTCTTTGTCAATCGTTGCGTGTCATCAGTTCTCAGTATTCTTCGATACTGCCGGATAGCCTGTATAGGTGTGCAGGTAGACCCTTAGAGCTTCCTTGTCTGTACGATTCGACCTGAACATTTGGGTATCTTTAGGAATGGGATACATGTAATAAGGCAATGCCTGCGTGCTCTAAATGACCCCAATATCTATATAATCCTAATTCCTCTTACGTATACGGAGTATACATAGCCCACATAATCTAAGATATCTTATATAACTTACTAGTAGCCCTGGCGGCTATACCATTTGTAATGTAGCTTAGAGCCGAGTATTCCTAGGTTTTGAGAGTATCCAGGCTAGTGTTGCTTGTCTTAGTATTGTAAGTGCCATAAGGGGGAAATGATCAGCAAATGACCTTTATATGGCTATGAAGGAAAACGGAAACTCTCAAGCGAGAAGAATACTCCCAACGTAGAGGCCTCATGCATTATTTGACTATCTCAAGCGCAGGAGACCTGATGCTGGAGCGCCATTGGGCCTTGAAGGCCTTGGGAGGACCAATGTGCGATCCAGTACGACGCTACCTCTACTGTATTATGCAGGATATCATTGAACTGTACCATATCGGGGAATAGCTACGGGTGAGACGGTACTACTCACATCCTCGTAGGAGGAAGATAGAATCCGTGTCTGTGAGATGGCTGGTCGTCATAGGTCATTGTTATTGGTTGTACGACACATGGAAGCACATACAAGACTAGATGTGATATACCATGCAGAGCAACCTTTGACCGAACCACCTTTCCCCACTTGACCGTGGAAAGATAATGGCAACGCCCAGTAGATGCAACACTCCGCATTCCTCCTTATATCACAAACACCCAAGCAAGCTCCCCAAGGAGACTCGCGCGTTCTGGTACCAAAATGGTAGTTGACAGATTCACAGAAACAATGAACACGCCAGACGGGGCTGTATTCCACCGAGCGTATGCACAGGATGACAGGGGCCTCGAAAACGAAGCTATGGCCATCCTCCTTGCAAGTGCTGTGCCTTCCAATCCCATGATCGCGCTAACTGGTTTGCAGGATGGGAAACAATTGCTTCTCGAGAAAGATCTCTTTTTGAGCGACCATATGGACTCGAAGACTGCGTCGGCAGTCTTGATATACGCAAATGAAGGGAAAGGGTTTCTCGACTCGCGAGATTCGAAAGGCAAAATCGATACACTGGAAGTAGGGCCAGATACTGGTAATGGTCTGAGAATCCTCGTTTTGGATGAAGGGCGTGATACATTCGTTCACCAAGACGTGCAGATGAGGCGTTTCTTTCAGGTATGGAAGGATCGGATGCCTGAAGAGGAATCGAAGAATTGAACTGAATTGCTTCCATCAAATTGGCATGCTAAGAGCAAACAAGATTACCTTAAAAGCCTCTTAGCATCTATTATGAGCTTTCGAAGGAATCGGCATTGAATCATTAGCGGGTACTCCCTGTATGGAACGTACATATGCAGCTTGGACAAGATGTTCATTGCTTGAACGCAGAAATCGGGTCATCATCCAGCACTCGGTTGGGGCAAAACCAAGATGGCAGGAGGGTTGAAGAGTCGGAAAGCGGCGGGTGCAGAAACATGTTATGAGATGGCATCGGCGCTAGAATAGAAGAGCTAAAATTGTATTTGATATCGCAATTTATAAACACAGATGAAGTACAAAATGATAGGTAGTAATACAGCCACACGTATGCATATGAGGGTCACTCCAGACGCCCTCTAACTCAATCACCGCCGACGGTTGCCGCCACCCAAGAAAGCCTTCTTCTGGCGAACATAGCTGGCCACAATGTTCTCCACGCTGCGACGGTCGTGCTTCTTGTCTCTCAAGAAGTACAATCTCGCCCTTCTGCGCTTCTTCTCCGATCGCTGGACAATCTCCACGCTGTTCACGTTGGGACTGAAGACCTTGACCGACATCTCAACAGCAACACGAGTAAGTTCGTTCCGCATGAGGAACGACGTTTCAATTCCGCGCAACTTGATGCTCATCACGATTCCGTTGAATGGGTCGCCGTTCTTGAATGTCACTCGCACGATATCGCCGGTCTTGACACTGCGCGGGTTTCGTCGGTAGTCGAACATGGCCTTGCGTTCACCCGTGGGGTCGAGAACTGCCAATTGCGATTCGGTAACCGCTCCAACGGGGTCCTTGCATGCTTTGCGAGCGGATGGCGGAGCAGGGTAGATCTTGAGGGGCTCGCGGTCTACATGAGTTAGTGAAAATCAGTAAATCTCGCGTCAGTTTTCCTCGACTGAAAGGACATACCAGGATCGGGGCGAAAGCGAAGAGGTATTTGGGATAGGAATTGCTCAGGCATGTTCGGGGGAAGAGGTACCCGTTCGGGCCTCTTTGAATAGGCCGTCGAAATGAATCGACGGTGGATGAAGGGTTGGATAGGCTCTGAAGCCCTCACCAAGGACCTTAAGCAGCCCAGCGGGCGCATTGCTGGTAGAGCCGCCATGGTTGTGATGAGGATGTCAAGTCAAGAAAGTCGGAGTCGAGTTTTGGCCGGATCGGCAGAATTTCCGCCAAGCCTCCAGTTACCCGTTCGGGTTGCAGATAACAGCGATTCTTTTTTCTCCTCCAACTCCAGGATACCAATCTGTCTCGTTTTCTTGTTTTTGCTTTGGGGGAAGTCTATCGGCCACTACTCCCATACCCTGCATCGCTTCATACATAGCCTCTGATCACACATTATGGCGCAATTCGCCATGAGCAGGCTCTTCCGCCAGAGCACCACCAGCTCGGTGCGCCAGTCTGTTCTGAGACCGATGCAGGCCCGCAGCTATGGTTCAAACGCAGGTATGCATTAATCTATCCATAATGGGTATCAAATTCTCATCGGAGGCGACCGGAACAGCGATCCCAACCTTCACCTCAACATCCTCCCCGAGTTAGACGAAGCTCTGGAGCGGTTCCGTAATGAGCTGTTCATACCCCTTGCTCTCCCCAAGCGACAGAGAAAGAGTGTGTTCAGGGAGAAATACGCCACACAATTGCAAAATGAGCCGATTACCGTGAAGATCAGCGAGACCGAAGAGTTCACCCTAACGCCCAAGACGCGCCACGATCTGCCATCGAAGAAAGATGCTCTCGAGGTTCTCAAGATGATGGTCGCGGCCAAGAACTTCAGCAACCTTTTCCCGTACCTCAGTGCTCTCCGAATGTCAAACTACGCCATCAACAGCGACCGGTGGGAGTATCATCATTCGCAAAACCAGCGACGCTGGAAAGCTTTCAACCATTATTGAGTGCGCCAGACAGTCCCAGCGCACCGGCTTGAGCCTCGGCAATAAGAACGTCGCTCGCCGTCTGTTCTTCGAGCTTCACAGGACAGCCGCGAAAGCGGATTTCAAGGGAATCCCAACCGTCAAGGCCCTGAGATTGGCCAGGGAGGCAGCTAGCCTGATGGATGCCCCCGAGCACTCCGTCCAGGACATCCAGGATGACCCCAAACACCAGCCTTTCGTTATCGGCACGCTTTTGGAACTCAGTGCCGCCTGTGCGCAAATCCAGGAGGCCGACATTGCCTTGGTCCGTGGCTACGCTCAGAAGCTTGATGCGGCCTGGTCCCGAGGAAATTTCAAGAATGATGCGGCCACTGGCTTTGAAACCATTGAGAGACTCGAAGAGAACCTCGCCATTTACAACGGCATGCGTTTGGCCCTTGGGTTGCCCAAGGCAGCACAAGACACTGGGAATTTCAAGGCTCGCTGCAATGGGCTTAGGGGTGTCTTGATTTCGCAGTTGCAGAAAGTCAAGAACGCCAACGTGCTTGGAGATGAGGTGGCCAAGAAATTGCTCAGTCCAAAACCCGAACAAAAAGTTGAAGAAAACGCTTGAGCTTTGTTGTGATTCCTTTTGGTGTTGATTGAGCCACATCGGCATGTATATTACTGTACTTCCCAGATATTTTTGAGCTGGCCATGTATTTCAGAGAATAGATATTTTACTTCATGCCACATCTGACCCCGCTAGGTGCTATTCAGATATACGCAATAGTTCGGTCAGTTTCATTACAAACTTCCTGGCAGTTCAAGTTTCGAATACGCTCTTAAAGTAAAAGATGCTATTCCAAATGGCCTCTTCGGGATTGACACGCTCAGGAACACAATTCCAAGGTATTGTCCTTGCTGATGCGGACTCGGCCGGTAAGAGTGGTGGTGCCGCCGACAACAGCAGGGCCAGAGACGGTGAGCTAAGAACGTGAATGTTAGTTATATATGAAAGCGGTGGAATTGAGCCTTACCTGTCCCTCTTCCGTGCCATCAGGAGAGTCTTCGGGCACATTGGTCAGAGTGATCTCAGTGCTACTCAGCGGAGCGCCAAAGTGGCTAGGGCCGGTGAGGCATCTGTAGTCAAAGGCATTTGTTTGGGCAATTGCACCAGCAACACCAGGACCAGTCAGGGCATACACAACCCGAGCCCCAGTGAAGATTCTAAGCTCGGTCAATTGCTCGGAGGTAAGATGGGCGGCAGGGTTGCCATCAATGCGGTGGGAGATGCAAAGCAGGCGCAATTCATCTAGCGAAAGCTCAGAAGTCGGACTGAAACGAGCCAATTGGCTGAAAAAGTTGCGCGTCGGCATGTTTCCCGCATCCAAAGTCCGTGCCTGAAGCCAGCGTCCAAGGGAGGAAATGATACCAGTGTGCGGGCGCATGATATTGTCGTGGTACTCGGCCATGGTCTGCGACGAAGCAACAATGACTGTGGGAGACACGCCAGCCGTGGCCAAGGCAAAATCAACATTCTCCCCAGCGACCGAGTTAAGGGCGATAGATGAGTTAGCAAACAGTGCAGCCATAGTTGTGCAGAGCGGGTAGGACCGAGAAAGAGAGTCAATAGAAAGAACAATATCGGTTGGGTTGAAGCGCTGGGCGCGAGGGATAGTGGAGGTTATGGCTCCAATGGCAGACACCAAGTTCTAGTTGAATGTTAGTCAAAGTAATATCACAAGAGCTGGGTCACTCTTACCTCTGGCTGGAAATCAATAAATTGGCCGGATTGTGAGGAAGACGGCCAAACGGTGTTGATAGCAGGGGTTTCTGTCTTTGGGTCGTACTCGGGTACATCATAGCTGGCGAGTTCCTTGAACTCCTCGACCAGTTCATGCCAAACTGCAACCTTCAGACTATCCTTGACGTTCTCGGGAAGTGCGTTCCAATCCATGTGTCTATTGCCATACTTGGCGACCCAAAGGACGAGCGACAATTGACTGTTACCCTTGACGATGAGAGGCAGGTCGAGAGATCCGGCTTCAGCAATAAGAACATCCGCTTGTGCCTTTTGAAGATGGGCTGATAATGTCTCTGCTGGAAGGTTGTGTGGCACAATGACTGTTTTATACCCATAGAAAGCGCCAGCTAGATTGCGCAAGGTTAGACATCGAGACTCACACAAGGAATGATAAGGAACGTACCAAAGATTGTAGCTAAAAGCTCGGTTGAGTCTGTAAGGCAAACAGCCACCGTCTTCGCGCCAGCGTTTTGGAGATGATGGCCAATGACATTGATTTCCTGTGTCACCTGGTCCAAAGAGTGTTCGATAGCCTTTCGACCTAGGACAGTGTATATTTTGCCTTGCTTGCCCGAAAGAGTACCGTCCTCATTCAGAGCTCCACGCACAGCAGTCTTCCAAATATCGCGCAGGTCTCCTCTTCGACCGCCAGTCCATTTCGGGGCGCCCGGGTCCTTGACGTTCAGCCCGAAGCGGAGAGGCAAGCCATGTGGGGTTTCCAGGCATCTGTAAGTAGCAGACTCACCCTGCTGGCGGATTGGGGCTGCTGTCGATTGGCGAGCGAGCAGGAACGGATGGATATCTGGATCCCGAGACGAGATGACAGAGTAAACCGCAAAAGCGAGGACAATTCCGGCGACAATGGTAGTGTAGATATTCCAGTCGGCAAGAACATCAGCCACCAAAGCATCAAGCTTCTCCACAAGTGAAGTATCGGCAGCCATTTTAGTTGGTCAATCTGGGGATGAAGAAGGGTCAGCAATCAGCGACTATGACGTTGAGGGGTACGGCGATAAGGGGTGTGTCAGCTTGGCCGGGTCAACTTATGCCCGCGCAGCCCCTTCCTCGAGCGCAGCCACTTGAGGATCGTCAACGCATAGCCAACAACAATACTAACGACTTTTGGAAAGAACAGTTGTTCATAGCTATGTGCATTTACTAACTTACAGCTCCTTGTGTTTGTTCCCCCCTAGGTAAGTACTGAACAAATAATATCAGAGTGTCCAATCCCTATTGTCAAAAAGATCTCGAAAAAAAAGACATCCTGAGCATCTAGGAATCGGTGGCTGACTTCAAGATTGCAGTCTCGAGTCAATTCCATCTCATTATCCATTCTCGATAACATTTTCACCGCTTTAGCAATGGCGACTCAATCTCTTCCTTCCACCCCGAAAGCAACACCTCCGCTGGCTCCTCCCACCCCAGAGGGTACCCTGACCCCTGGGAAATGGCGACACCCTCAGCTGGATGAGATCGTCCGGCGCCAAAATGCAGCTACATTTGATCAGAAAAATGTGAAGAAGCTGGTTTGGAACGGTGCAGCTTTGATCATGAGCTGGACGTTTGGATCTACTCTCAAAACCTAGTGAGTGCGATAAGAACTCGCGTGCGTCGCGTCGTGTGCTAACAGCCTCATTTAAGCTCACGCCAAATTTTTGATACCAACCATATGTATCAAGGAGTTCCGTTATTTATTCTCCAGCTCTTCTTTGTTTTCAACATTCTAGTGGCGCTCTATCCCCTCTTCCGGCCAAAGGACGACCTCTCCGACATTCCCTTACCCCCACTCAACGCTCACTCCTTGGTTTGGATCCTGCTGCCACACCACCAGCAACTCCTGGGACAACATTCGTTACCCCGCCCAGATACCGGCTTTCCACATCACGCAAGGCTAGTCCTGCAAGCAGACAGCCCTCCCCCATGTCCGCAAATGCAAGCTTTTCTGAGCGACGCTCTTCTATCAGCACACCCTTCTCGCCTGCCTCCAGTCCTCTGCTTTACAAAGCAATGTCAAACGGGGGCAGGGAGTCTGTTCAGCGCCAGAGCTTTGGATCCGCATCCCCTCTGGCTCGAAGTAACTCCTTTGGGGAGTCAACCATGAGCATGGCCCCAAGTACGCCTTCTCCGCTCGTGGGAAAACGTGGAAGCCTAGGAGTCAAGAACAAGTGGTTATATGAGAGGAGCCGGCGGCTTTCTGCCAGTGGAGGAGCTCCCTGATTCTTTTCGCGGTTTTTTTCTGCACAATCTCGCGAACTGGCGCTTGGGTCATTCATGGTTTTGGTGTTTAATGTCATAGCGGTTCTTTCATTCAATGTATTACAAGGATACCAATTCAAGGTTTATTATTAGACGCTGGGCTGATTGGACATATTTGTGTTTATCAAAATCGGAGCGCTCCTGGATATCTTTTCCGACCTACGTACCTAGGTATGGATGCTAAAAGTGCCTTTTGATACACGCGACTAAATGGTAAGGATATATGTAGACAAGGGAAATTCGTACGAGACAAGCTACCATTCAATCTCATCTCATATACGGAGTAGTCCCTGTAAGTCGTACTGGTGGCAATCGGCCGATCTGCCATACCCCGTGTTCAAGCCAAGATCCCGCGCCCGGACAATTAGGACCACCAACCACTTCTAGCACTCGGCAAATTATCACGCAGAAAGCGCCCTCGCCTCACCAACACATTGACATTTGCTGTGGAAAATCTGCATGAAGCCCACAACGGCGTGATTACCAGCTTCCTTCCGCTATGGGAGCTTCGGAGTCCAAGCTTGTCTTCAAACAGGGCATCTTCCGCCTCTCGGAGGAACAGGAGATCCCCGCAGACGACCCGTACTGGACCAGAGTACGTTCTGATACAAAATGACTATTGTCCAATAGGCTCAGAAGCTAACCATGCTGGCAGTTCTGGGAGCTTCCTGAATCAACCGAAGATGTCTTTAGCCTTTTCACACCGGCAGACATACGACGCACGCGAGATCATGCCTTGCACAACTTCCAAACACTCCTACTCGCAGTCACGTCGCGACTAACGGTTTTGAAAAATCATCCCTCGTTTCCCGACCCCGATCTTGCCCCCGAGCGTGATGTCCTCAACTGCATTCGGATCCTCACCCGCCTCCTTCCCTATGTTTACGAGGCGGAACATCTGGAGCAATGGGAGGATAATTTCTTCTGGGCACGTCGAAGGAGAAGAACCAGGCAATCACAAATTGCTGGAGAGGTCCTGTTTGATGAAGCACAGCCGGAGGATAACCAAGAGGCGACGTCACCGCGCGCAGAGGATTACGAGGATGTGAAGCCTCTTGCCGAGGAGTTGATAGATACACTGGTGGACTTGCTCTTCTTTGCCGACTTCACAATCCCTCGACTTCCAACTGTGAAGAGCAAGGTCTCTTTTTCAATTTGGCAGAGTGGTGTTGGCTGCAACACGGCTATGGGGTCCAACAAAACATTCGAGAGCAACCGATGCGAAATTCTACGGCTTATGCTTACTCTGACCGGAAAGGCCATGTATTTGCCTTCTAGTGAGTCTGGAGTTCTATGCAGGCAAGGTATTCAAACATTTACTGACCGGTATAGATACATTGCCCGTCCAAGGCGTCAAGGCAATTACTTACATCACAACGTGTCAAGATAAGCAGGCTGTCTTGACTCTACTTTGCTCCCTTCTCAATACAGTAAGTACTACCAAATAGGCGGCGGGAGCCATGCTAATTCAAAGCAGGCAATGAAGTATAACCCTGCATCTTGGAGAGTCCCATACGACCACGTGGTTTGGAAAGATCCCAGGCAGATATTAGTGATCTATTGCGTGCAACTTCTCCTTGTCCTCTTGATGTATCCCATTCCAGAAGACGGTCGTGGGACTCCACCGAAGAATTATTATCGCCATTACTTTGGCAGGCTACACAGACCTCAAGACTTCCAATTCCTGGTGGATGGGATGACGAGAATTCTGAATCAGCCGGTATTTATTGTTTGCCAAATGATATATTAAGATATTTTGCTAATTAACTAAACCAGATGCAAGCTACTGCTTCTTATCTCCCTGGGAGTCAAAGATCGGTGAAATGGGCCCCCGAGATGTTGGTCCTTTTCTGGGAGACCTTGCAATGCAACAAAAGGTTCCGGTCATTTATCATCGACTCTAATCGCTCTCACGACTTCCTTGTGCTATGTGTCTTCTATGCAATGGAGTATAGAATGGATGCTTCCAAACAAGGAGTTGTCCGGATGTGCGTTTTTATCCTTCAGACAATGAGCGCGGAGCCAACATTTGCCAAGAGCCTAAACAACAGCTTCGAGGCTCAAGAGACCTTACCACAATCGATTCGGCTACCCAGGTTCCGGGGGTCTTATGGCGACTATTTGATCATGGTTTGTCTTTTGCGCCCATCTGAGAGCATAATCTCATACTAACCACCGCAGTCAATTCACACGTTGATGACAACTAGCAAGGGGAATCTCGACACTGTGTATCCTGCGCTTTTGATCATCCTCAACAACATTGCTCCCTATATCGAACGCATTTCTCCATGTGCCTGCTCGAAGGTGATCCAACTTTTTACTTCTATGTCCTCGCCCAGTTTCTTGTTGGCGAATGAATCCAACCATACTCTTCTTGCATCATTGCTTGACTTCATCAACATTATGCTCGAGCACAAGTTCACCGGTAAAACCCCTACCCGGATCTTCTCTTTCCGCCAAGCCGTTTCTGACCTCTATAGACAACCCATATCTCGTCTACTCGATACTGAAATATAGGCAACGCTTTGAAGCTGTGCGGGCCTTCACTCTCGAGAGTGGTCAGCAAGAGATCGAACGGCAGAATGAGAGGAGGAAAGCTGGCAGTTCTTCAGATGTCGCCATCAGCCCTACACTTTCACAGTCAGAGGATGATCTGCACACTCCTTCGGGTGCCCGGTCACCATTGACTCGAATCCCCGAAGAGAATAGTCCATTTGCAATTGGCGATGACGACTCCGATGATGAACGTGAGGAAGAGGGAGCACAGACCCCATCTCAGTCATCATTCTCAGCTCAAACCTCACGGAGGCCCTCCACGACATCCACCATGGACGAGAACGGAGTGCAGCAGGTGCGAGCAATGTCCGAGAAGGCACGGGGAAAGAAACCCGCTGGGCATCCACCCTTCTCCCGACAAAACAGCATGACCAGTCAGACGAGTATGTCTGCTTTATTCACCCCCCTCTGCTAGTGGCTTCACACCAACCGTCCCATGGGTAAGTTTTTTTGCAGACCGAACCAGCTTTCCATTAAAGGTTGCGCTACTAACAATATTTCCCAGCTCGAGTCATGGTTGCCCGAGCTTCCTTTACACACAACTCTCACCATCATCTCAGCAATTGCACCTCATATACCTGATGCAGCGCTTGCAAGCGCTGCCAGCCCAGAGGCCCGAACACTAGTCCACAATCTCCCATCATTTGCTGATGAGCCCGAGGTTAAAAGTATAATCTCCGAGCCCACCCCGGTTCGCGTGCAATCATTCGAGTGGTCTGCACTTTCCATGGGCTGGTACGAATCACTGCTGTGGGGCTTCATCTTCTCCAGCGAGATGGTAGTTGGTTCCGCTTCTGGTGCAACTCCAGGAACTGTCGGTGTCTGGAACGGTACAGCTATTAAACTCTTCAGAGTCCAAGAAGCTGCCGCTCAAGGCCCGACCTTGCTTGCGCCCAAGGGTGCAGTTGATGCTGTGGGCAGCAACTTAGTCCAGCGCATCGGAAACCTCAGTCTTCGGGGTCGGAACTCACAAGACTCCGGGGCTGCCTCTTCGCCAAGCGTGCGGGAGGTTTAAGGTCATATTATCGTGACGTACATAGATTTCATTTCGCAACCTGGCCTCTTCTTGGACAATCTCGCTGTCATCCGTCCTCGAGCTCCCTGGATGACTATGTTAGTCTGGCGATTTTCATGTTTTTTTAGCACCTTCTGGCATTGATGCCAAATACCATACATTATTATTCTCTGTTTCTTGTAGTCTGTCTAATAAACAATAAGTACGATCAGCTCTTAATTGGTCTTGCATCTTGAATTCTAATAGCCAAGATTAAATGATCAACCCTGTTTCTTATATATTGAACTCATGAAATTTTTTTTCCTCGGCGTTATGGTCATTACTTGACCCCTTAGAACCCCTTGGGGAAACACGTGCGTGAATCTGCCGATCGTCAGTGCAATTTGCCTCTTCTGTTCAATTGAATTCCACCTTCTTTCAATTCCTCGATATATAAAGGAGGGTCAATTCTTTGAGTAACTTCATCAGGTAATGCTCTCTGCCTTCATGTTGTTCCTCTCTGCCATTGTTGTGGCTCTCCTCGCGGGTCCGGGTCCAGCCGTTGCGGCGATCCCGTCAACCCTACAGAGCATCTTGAAAAACACCCACGGCAGCAAAGAATATGGTTATCCCACTGACCTGACAAGAGATCTCTTACCTGTGAGTTCTATCCATGATATTATACTCCGTGCACCGATGAACACTGTGGAGCATCCCACCATCTGGACAATGTTGTTAACCCTAGGGGTCACGAATGTCTAGATTCCTGTTCATTCTCACAAGTACGGATAATTCCCATCTCACTCCTATTGATTATATACTGATATTACCAAAGTGATTATTGGCGAGACAAGCCTTTCTATACTGGTATGTCGGAGCTCTAGTGTCTAGTGTCTAATTACCCCTAACATGACCATGCACAGGTCTCTCGCATGGCTGCATGTCTACCGAAGCTGATGTCTGGCTATACAACGGCACCCTTTATGTGTGTTTGATTAACCTAGCATATCTTGCATGTTCTTGTGGATAGCATACTAACTATACAAGGTTGGTCACGATGAATCCGCTCTGACGGAGTCACGAACTCTCGAATCCTTGTATATCAATCCCATTCTGGATGTCCTGGAGCGTCAGAATCCCGATAGTGCATTTATTTCATCGCCCACTAAAAAGTGAGTATCTGGTCGGGGCCTAACACGGTCTCACTGCTGATGCTTTGTCGAAATAGTGGCGTGTGGGATACTGTTCCGGACCAAACGTTTTACTTATTCATTGATGTGAAGACATCCGGCCCCGAGACATTCGAGGCTGTGATTGATGCTCTAGAACCTCTGCGAGAGAAGGGATATCTTACTACCGTCAAGGATGGCAAGAACGTTACCAATGGACCCGTCACTGTCATTGGGACGGGCGAGACACCGTTCGACATGGTTGCGCCTGTCAAAGACCGAGACTACTTTTTCGATGCGCCTCTCGCGGATCTCAGTGATCCAAAATACGCTGGTGTGACTAGCGCTGTCTCGCCTATTGCTTCAACGGATTTCCAGGAAGCTGTTGGCAAGATCACTGTCGATACGGACCCGATTCTCTCAGACGACCAAGTCAAAGCTCTCCGAGCCCAGATTGCCATTGCAAATGAGCGCGGGATTGGTGCTAGATATTGGAACACGCCGTACTTCCCGGTTCGCACACGAAACCTTGTCTGGAGGGCTCTTTTGAGGGAAGGGGTCATTCTGCTCAATGTCGATGATCTGGATGCTGTGGCGTCTTACTTTTAAGTAACATCAGGCTCTAGGAATACATCGATGTCATACAATCACTTATGCATTCAATTCGATTACATCTATTCTCCATCCGTGGCTTTTTACTGGGATTCAGGTTAGGTTAATAACCCTGGTGGACTTCCTTCCAGGATCTTCCTTGATTCAAAGATAGAAAGTACCGGCTTCTCTGCTGTGATAATCATATGTGTCTTAATGCGCCGTCTTCGCCCTTCCCAGACTCCCAAGATAATGCCTTCTGTCAACTCCTGTCGAATAGATACCATACCATGTGTCATTCACTTCGCAGACATAGGCGACACTTGTGTGGCGAGTTCTTGACATCGATGTGTTTGATTTGACGACCAATGCAGCGTTCATCCTCCTTCTTCATATGTCGTTGACACTTGATGAACTCGCCGCCTGCCGAGTGACCACAGGTGTAACGGATCTGCAACTGGATGCAGACCTCCTGGTCGTTGAGGTCGGGCACTGAGGTACATGATCAGTGGTGTTGTTTTCTGCACAGAGGCAACACAAATTCATTCTTACCTATGAGGTCTCCGGAGGTTCTGTGATACATCTTGATTGGTACTCTCGGTGTGACCAGGATGCGGCTCTGTTACACTTGAAGCTGTGCTTTCCATGTTTGATGGAATATTAATATAATTAGTCTGCTCAATAAAACATCAATCTGATTAGTCTACTTACCTTGGTGGTAACTTTTGTTCTGCTATCCACTAGTAGCAGAGTCTGGGTTGAGTGATGGGTTTGTGTTTGAGAGTGGGAAAACTGGAGAAAGTGAGAGAACCGGTGGGACAACAGAGGTCCAACACTTCGAAATAGCATAAATCAGGTGGCTAACATTGGTATTGAGCAAAAATGCTAGGCACCGTGGTCTCTATGAATAAGCCTTTCCCGTCCACGGGTGTTCTTTCATTCAGGTATTTTCCACATAACCTTGGAAGTATCTGGTCATCCCATTGAAACCTTTACTACTTCCCTACTTAATTAACCTGTCCAAAGAGTTCTGAATGTCTACAGATCGACCTTCCTGAAACGGCAGTATATGTTCCTGGCACGTGATCTCCAAGGGCGCGAAATTGAGCACCGCGATCTCCAGCTCCTCTCTTCACCTTTTCCACGACTCTCATTGGACGAACGAGAATGGAGGCAGATCTGGCAGATCTCTTGGCCAAGGTCCTCCCCACCGGGGTTGAGATCACCGTTCGCCATGTCTCGTCAACACCCACTCCGTGCGAAGCTCTCTTTGCAGCTGCGCCGGGCCAGGTCTCCGAGCCGACATTCTGCGAAAATCATTTCCTCTCCGTGTCAATTGACGCCAACGATGATGGTGAGACAATTATCTTCGGAATGGAGGTACTAGTCTACAACACGGCCCACTTGACCACCATCTTCGTCTCCAAGGCCGACTCGACTGGACTCCTGCATCTCCTAAAATTGTCACGCGGGGTATCTGTCCTAAGACTGGTATCCAATACATTTCTCTCATTTCTGGCTCGAACTCGCCAAAGGCCCGGTGTACGTCTGGTCGTGTCGCTGTTCGCCCGCGCCCAGAATCAGTACTTGTTCCCGGGCAGCATTGAGAACGCCGAAAAACACGTTCTGGACGACCGAGGCCTAATAAAATGGTGGTGCCGTGTTCTAGACCCGATTTTACGCGAGCATGAGCCAGAGTCTGCTCTTCAGGAGACGAAAGCGCTGGATCAAACAGTCGAAGCTGCCAAGGCTTCTGCCACCGCATACTTGATTGTTCCAAGCTGCGACCGCTTTGAAACGCGCAATTTCTTCCCACCTACGGCCAAGAACGACGCGCAGGATCGCCCACGGTGGCTCAACAGCTACCCACTGAAGCAATTGTACCACGACCCTTCGGCTCCTCCCCGCTGCTTGGTGCCTCGTTTCCCCGATGACCCCAAGACTCGTTTCCTCATTGACCTAGACGGTGAACTTCCCGAGGAGAATGAAGCCCAGCCTGACGTTCCTAATGCCGGACGATGGCGCAGCGTACGGTCCTTGGACCAATTCTGGGAGATGATGTCCTTCCGCCAGGAATGCTCTGCTGGTCGGTTAGTCGGCTTTCTATGGTTGGTCATCAATCCTCCTGGTCTGATGAACTCGACGTCAATGGAAAGCCAAACACGCGGTTCCTCTGACAACGGCCTGGCCTCGAAGGGAGTAGAGGTTTCTGCGGCCATTCCGAACGAGCAGAAAATGGAGAATGGCTCTAGCCAGTCCGAAGAAAACGCCACCTTGACGAAGGCAACAACAATTTCTGCGACCACCGATACCTCCCCCAAGCTTCCCCGGGACGATGGATCTAACACAGTCAACCCTTTCGACTGGCCAGAGGCCGGACGCGGACAGGTCGTTCTCAGTGAAGCAGACTACAAAAAGATGATGGATTCGGTTTTAGACCATTTCTATGACGAGAAAGAAGTTGTTACCAGTACCAAGCTCTACGTTGACCTAGTCTCTTCCCTCGCGGATGAGCTTACGTGGGGCAAGAAGGTTGTCGGCAGCAATACCACAAGCAGCACTGCTTCCCAGCCTGCCGATACCAATACCAACAATGTCCTTGACCTCGGACTGATCCGCAAGCGCAAGAAGTCATTGGGCGAGGGCACGCCTGTTGCGAATGAAACCCAAGCACCGAGTGAATCGGGAGACGCGCAACCAGCTCCGTCAGAGCCGGCAGGGGTCAATGTGCTCAATGCGAGCTTGGTCCGGAAAAAGAAGAAAACATGATTAATGGGGATTTGCATTTGCTTTTGGTATATGGGAGAGGAGGAGTTTGGGGGCCATATGGATCATTTTTCTTCATATTGACATTCGACAATAAAAGAATAGCCATAATTACTGCAATTGAACTATATCAGTACTTTTCTTTACATCCGGAGGTTCCGAGTAGGCAGCTACTTTGATACATCGCATTATTTAGAGTGTCGGAAAGAGATGCTCTCTGGTTGGTCCAATGCAGGTCTTGTAGTTTGTGAGGGCGGAGACAGCCAACTGCCGAAATAAAATCCACCCACGTCCAATTGCTGCTTCTCCTTCTCCTCCAGAATGTCATTCTCATCTGCTCCTATGTTGCTTTTCCTTTGTGTCCCATGCTAAAGCCTACCTTTTCGTTCCTCCTTCGCAGGTCTGACGATGGCGCGCTATACGTGTCCGTCGCGATCGGTTGGATTGCCCTGATCTGGTATGCATTCATACTGGGAGTTTGCGGCCTGGGATATTTTCAGATGTATGATTCGGCCTACTATTTCAATATAGCATACCGCTAATTCAATTTCCTCTGCTCAGATGGAAATATTTCCTCAGCAAGCCACATCGGTCACGGCTAACGAAAGCCTCCGTCTCCGACGTACCGCACGTCACCGCCATCCGGCCTGTCAAGGGCCTCGAGCCGCACCTCTATGACTGCCTCGCTGCCACCTTTCGACAGGACTACCCACGCGACAAGCTCAGCATTCGGCTCTGTGTAGCGACGCGCGCTGATCCGGCCTACTCTACCCTCTGCAAACTAGTCACCGACTTCCCCCATGTCGACGCGCGCATTTTCGTCGAAGAGGAAGATCCGCTCTTGCAGCAGGATGGCAACAATACGTACACACTCGGACCGAATCCCAAGATCCGGAATATGAGCCGCGCATACCGTGAAGCCAAAGGAGATATTGTCTGGATCATTGACTGCAATGTCTGGGTCGGAAAGGGAGTCTGTGCCCGGATGGTAGACAGGTTGTGCGGGACTGGACCCTCATCGAGCAAGAAATACAAGTTCGTGCACCATCTGCCTGTGGCAGTGGATGTGACCGGAGATAGCAACCTTCGTGAAGAGCGGCAGGCGCTCCTAGATGCCAACCCAGAAGGCACGGGTGCTAATGCAGCGGCCGCAGCGATGCCGTCCGTCCGTCCGGAGGATGGGCCTGCAGCCATGATCGCGACTGGAGGCGGTCGCCTGGAAGAGCTGTTCCTGTCCTCCGCGCACGCGAAGATGTACACCGCGATCAACACGGTCCTCGTTGCACCGTGCATCGTGGGAAAATCCAACATGTTCCGCCGCTCCCATCTGGACTATCTCACCCGTCCGTCGGCCTCCGATCCGCAGGCTCGCAGTCCCGGCATCGATTTCTTCTCCGACAACATCTGTGAGGACCATCTGATTGGTGATCTGCTGTGGAAGAAGCAGGTGCGCGAAGAGAAAGAGCTCCGCGAGCGTTGGGGCAAGCACGCCATGGTCTTTGGCGACATGGCTATTCAACCTGTCGCCAACATGAGCGTGCCGGCGTACATTGCCCGTCGTATCCGATGGCTACGGGTCCGCAAATTTACCGTTCTACTCGCTACGCTTGTCGAACCAGGCACCGAGTCATTCCTATGTACAATCTACGGTGCCTGGGGCATTACCACTGCCCTGGCGCCGTATCTCGAGCGGAATGGCATGCAATTTGCCTCCCGTCTTGGAACGTGGGGTGCATTCTTTGGCTTGTTCGCACTTGGCATGGTCTTCTGGATCCTGGTCGATTGGACACTGTATATCAAGCTGCATTCCGGAAAATGCGTCGAATTGGACGAGGATACCCCGGCTTTTGCTCGGCCCCAACGCTACCGATCATCCCAAGCTACCCGTCGCCCGTTCATTCAGTGGTTTGCCGCCTGGCTTGGCCGCGAACTGCTGGCCCTGCCCATCTGGATCATGGCGGTGTATGGCGGTGTGACTGTCGTCTGGCGGGACCGGCGCTTTAAGGTCGGCTTCGATGCGAAAGTTCGGGAGATCGGCCCTTCTACTCCACCACCTGTGGAGGTTTCGTCTTCTACCGGAGCGGTAGCAGGCAAGGTCCGCAGTGATTGAATTGATGTGTAGACGAGAACATACGAACATTATGTATATGTACTAGAGCAGCATTCCGAGGCCTGCAAGGTCTTCCAATGTAATCTTAGGATGAATAGAATCAAATGCATTAATATAGACAGTAACAAACAACATATGCAAGATAAGAAAGTACCCGTATCTCCAATTCTATGCGTGAAATCTTAAACTTTTCTTCAATCATTTCTGCAAAAAAGCGCTGTCATCCGATCTCGGTATAAATCAAGCAGATCCACTAGCCTCACCCTCAGTAGCCCCCTTCTCCAAACTAGCGGCGTTATCCGAAGCCAGGAGCCACTCAACCACCTGTCTGCCCGCAGACATCTCACCAGCACTCTCAGCAGGCTTCTCCTCACCCTCATTCTCGCCAATAGTCATCTCGATCTCCTGAGTCTGAGCATCATCGCCCTGAGCACCCTCAGCATCGTCACCCTGGACAGCAGTCCACGCCGTCCGCTCAGCCAGGAAGACAGCGTCGTGGCCGGCATCGTTCTTAACCTCAAGGTCTGCGCCAGCTTCGACAAGCGCCTTAACACATTCCAGGTGCGCGTTAAGCGCAGCCCAGTGCAAGGGCGTGTTGCCGGAGTTGTTGCGGTGGTTGACGAACGCGACGCGCTGGGCAGCGTCTGCGGATGACAGCTTTTGGAGCAGAGTTTTGAGGATTTCTGGGCGGTGTTAGTAATGCATATGAGATAAAAGGCGGGTGTCCAAAAAAAAAAACAGAATATTTGACATGAGATGAAATGTAGAAAACAACCAAATCATGTCAAATCGTTCATTGACATACCGGAATTTCCATTCGCAGCGGGGAAGTGCAGAACACAGGATCCCGAGCCGCCTTCGCTTTCATCTGCCATGTCGATGGCAGACGCCACGATCTGGGACTCGTTGCAGCTGTGTTGGCTGGCCAGGTTGGCGATGTCCTCGTTTAGGGCCTCGAGGTCGCCTGCTCGGGCGTCATAGATCAGATCGTCGACTGCATCGGCAGAGAGTGCGATTGGCACTGAAGGCTTTGCCTGTGATGTCGTGGAAGCGGACATTATGTATAATGAACCAAGGTTTGATATTATTTCTGTCTTCTTTTTGGTGGGGGTCTTTTTTGATATCCCACTTTATTTGATTAAGCTGGAGTGGGGTGTCAGTAATAGGTCCGTATTCAGGATTGGAAGATGACAAGACGAGTAATAAGAAAAGAAAGGATATGATAGGTGTAAAATCACAAAGGACTGGAGAAATTGGGGGTTTTTTTTTCATAGTTCGACAGCATCTCCCCCGATATATTCATGCAATTTATGTCGTTGATAAGCGTTTCAACGTCAAGAACAAGGCCCAGCCACAAATGGGAATCGGTATTCAAGGTGTCTTTCCGCAAACTTGGAGTCAATTAACAGGGAGTAGATTCATTCTTACCTTTGTTTTCAGTTCTTTGCTTCCTAGCGTAGAGTATCCCGGCGACAAATGAAGCGATCGCCGCAAAAAATAATTTGATATCGCGAGTCATGTGACTGATAGTGGGCTATCAGTCAACGGTACAATACAAGTCGTGAAATGAACGTCGATGTTAACCACTACGGGTGCATGTATGGATTCAAATTACTAGGATGGTCTCATGTCGAGACAACTTGTGATGATACATGCTACGTTGTACAAATAATTTTGCTCAATCGTGGAATGAGACGACAGGAAGTCTGCCTCTATCCACATGCAAGGCAGAACGCCGAGAAAAACAATCAAACAAGCTCAAACGCCGAGTCCCACATCCGGTGGGATGGTATCAAAAAGCTCCGAAATGGCAATGCGACCCATGGGAACGAGAGAATACATCAAACAGCCCTCCCTCCCTCCAGAACTCAAACAAATAGCCACAGACCCCTAATCTCTGAGCCAAGCCCGCCGCTTCTCCTCTTTCTTCTCGCGACGCTTCTCCTTGAACTGCTTCAACTCTTGCTTTGTCAACTTCCTAGCACTGCGCTCTGCGCGCAAGCTCCGGCCGTCATGGCTATTTGCCGCGGCATCAACGTCGAAGAAAGCATTCATCTGTCGTCGAGACTTGTTCTCATCATTGTGGTTTTCCGGAGTAATCGTTGCAGCTTGCCATCGTCCAGTGAAACGATTAAATGTGCCGGTAGCTGCATATGCTGCGGAGGGGTCGAAAACGGCTGCGTTCGCGGGCTGTTCAGGCTCTTCGTGGTATTGCGCATACGGTGCGGTGGGGTCATAGTCTCCATGAATCGCGGGATTGTAACCACCAAGCACTGGCGCTTTTTTGGGAACTGCGCTTTGGGTGCTGTCTTCTGTGCCCGGTGCTGCTGGGATTGCTGGGGCCTGCGGCACGCGGGGGTTTTCCCACTGTGAAACTCCAGTGAAGCGGTTGTAAAAATAATATGCCCCTGCGGTGGCGTCCCATGCAGGTTCCCATCCGTCGTCCTCGACCTTTGCAGGAGGAGCCTCGGCGGGAAGTGGCGGTGGGACTTCATCGGGGAGTGGTGGTGCAGATGTCTCTTCATCTTGCTCAGGTTCATCGGCTTGCGACTTGGATGCATGGGTCTCCGGTTCTTCAGTCGGTTGGGGCTCTTCATTATTTTCCACCTGGTCTTTCTGGCCGTCGATATCACGCTTGGCTTCCGTCTCAAGGCCCGACGAAGCAGGGATGGGCGAGGCGCTGGCGCGCTCTGCTGGAGCTGATGCTGATGCTTCGGGTGAGGCAGACATACTGGGCAATGGAAGCAACGATTCCTGTAGAAGGTGATATAACAAAAGAGAAAGAGATCGGAGGATGCGATCTACCCAGTCGAAACAGAGGGTCTGTGCGGGGCATTTAAACTTCACCGCCTACCTAAATAAAGCAGGTCTTGCGCTAACCCATTTAGTGTTAGCGCAAGAGTATACATCCACTTTATACTCCAGGGCCACTGTCAATTGAACATATCTCTCACTTTTACCTCAGATCAAAGTCAGATTATCATTGCTGAGGAGCTCTCCTACAGTTCAGATTGTGCTCTCAAGTACTCCGAAAACAGCTCTGTGGCTTCCAGCGATAACATGGTACTTTTCTAGTTTGCCATCTTGGCGTTTTCACTCCAACACCTTCCTACCTAGTCTCTTCGTAAGAGGATTTTTTAACGTCAATTCTGTTGGCCTGTTCACCATTATCATCCAGTTGTATCTTTGCACACAATCTATACAGGTTAAGCGCGGTGACCGATCTCTGGGCCTCTGATTTGTTATTGGCTTGTCACAACTGATTTTCGTTTCTTTCGTTACTTATTAGTCTTTCAGAGACAGTATAAACTGCTAGACTACATTCCAGTTATGCACCCAGATCAGTATCTCAGCAGCTTATTCTCACGAACATGAATATGCTAGTACGCCCTCTTCTCTCCCCTCCCTAAGAGTTCCCTATGGAGCTTCTTGCGTAGTCAACAACGAGCTTCTGTGTTGAACTTTGGTCACATTTTATTTGACGCGGTACAACTAACATGGGAATTGAAATAGTGGTTACTTGTTAGGCAACTGTCTGGTGGAATGCGCGAGCAGGAATGTATGTAGTCGGCTCTTCCGGTTCTAGATCTCTTCCACATGTTTTAACGCCTCGTGAATCGCAGATGCAAAAACGACAGATACAGGCTTTGGTAGTACGATAGACCAACGATTGGAAGCTAACAAGATCTTTATATATAAGAACTCTGAAGCAAAGTTGGAAATTTTCAGCTTAACCCTCGTGTGCGATCTATATATCCACATACTATGGGTATGCTTAGTATCCGAGCATAGATACTGATATATTATGTGTTATTATGAAATCTTTCGTAGTGCCGTTTAGCCCATTTGAGAATCAGGAAAGTCTCCCGAGCAATACACTGTAGGACACTATGGTTCTAACCTGAATATATCTTTCCAAGCAGCCAAGATGTAGCTCCTTGCTTGATTTGCCAACCCTTTGAACCTTTGGGGTATTCCGAGCGAGCCCTATAGCTCGGGTACAGTTACCGACGGTTCTAATTGGTCTTTCGGGATTGATGCCTCTGGAATGTTCCCCTGCGCCGATCCCTTGAACTACAACGATGTGAATTACCTGACTTCAGTTAAACCAACTGCTTCACGATGATTTTGGGCTCCCACCATTGGACTGATCGCGAATTCCTGTATCCAAGTGGCTTACATTCTTTTCTACTTTGAGATTTGTTGATATCACAGCTTGAGTAGGGAATATTTCTTCTGTATATGTTCGAGGTTAAAAAGCACCATGTCCTGGCTCTCTTTGATACTCGCCATCCAACATCCAGTCGACAAACTTCGCCAACATCCTCTCTCGTTTTCGTTCTTTTTTTACACCCACGCTCAACACAAGCGTCATTCGCTCATTTAGTACCCTATTTGATTACTGGCTTCAACTAATACAGCTTTGCCCATTATGAAGGGAATTGCTCTTCTTGCGCTTTTTGGTGCTGCGCTAGCTCATCCAGCAGGCCTTGTGAGTACTTCTATTCTACGACCCAAAGGACACTGGCCTGACTTGGGGACTTCTTAGTGGTGGGGTACCGACGTCTGCTACACCAGTCCAGACAATACCGACAATCAGTGCTCGGATGTTCAGCGGAAAGGCTTTGACTTGTCTGAGCTCGCAAACGGTGACAATTGGAGCTTTGAGGGCTTCCACTTCGTTGGGCTCGAGCCCAAGAATGGCTGTCAGGGGTCTAGTTACGGGGTATGTCATTGATACAGTTGCACTTCTAAAAGGGTCTCGATTCTAACTCATTGAAGGGCACTTGTCTTTGGGGGAAAGCTCTCTCGTGATAACGACTGGACAATCAAGATTTCCGCCGCTGATGCTCCATTCTCAATCCGAAACTTCCATCTTTCAACTTCCCGAAATACTGATGTCTTCATCATCTACAAGATGCCTGATGGTTCTTCCTGTCATCATGTCACATCGAGCTGGTACAAGGGAACTGATGTCGCCAACGACCAGTGTGGCGGTGCTGTCTCAGTTGAGTTCACGCTTCCCGAAGAGAGCAAGTTCGGCGATTGTGATCTAGAGATTCATCAGATCGACTTTGACTGTTCTACTGGATCCAAGCCCCCAGGTCACACTGTCCTTGTCCCCTCCCACTCTCACACTGAGCCCAGTCCAAGCTCGACTACCTCTCTGCCTCCTTTCCATTGGACCTCGCAGGAGGTTTCTACGACTAGCCACTCTACCCAGCAGATGACGACATCCACAGTCTGGACTACTGAGGAGATCACCATCACCAAATGTGCACCAACCGTCACTAACTGTCCTGGCCATTCGACTGTTTTGATTACCTCTACATATCCATTGTCAACCACAGTCTGCCCGTCTACTCCCGTGGAAACGAAACCTAGCACAACAACTCCTCACGGTCATTCGGATCCCCCGACTACTAGCCACTCTTCCCAGCGGATGACGACTTCCACAGTCTGGACTACTGAGGAGATCACCATCACCAAATGCCCACCGACAGTTACTAACTGCCCTGGTCATTCGACTGTATTCATTACCTCAACATATCCGTTGTCAACCACAATCTGCCCTTTTAAGCCCGTGGAAACAGAACCTAGCACAACATCATCTCGTGTTGAGCATTCGCATCCCCCGATCACGAGCTCCATCAGCACCACGACCGGCACCGTGCCCAGCCCACCTGCTATTACTGCGCCCTGCCCCAACGTGGTACCCAAGTGTCTCAACACATGGCTCTCCATTCCAAAGTGCGACTCCAACAGCGACGCCGCATGCTTCTGTCCATCCACTGAATTCACAGACAAAGTTAGCGGGTGCATTCGGGCCTGGAGCACCTCCAAGAAGGAGGAAGGTTCCGCCCTTGCTTTCTTCGCTGGCATCTGCGCCCCCTTCGTGCCAGAGAACCCTGCTATTGTAGATATCGCAACAACCTGCACTTCTTCGGACCCCGTTCCTAAGACCACTGCTGTTCCCCAAATCACCGGCAATACACGTACGCTCGTTGAGACTGTCGTTGTAGCCACGTCCGTCCCCCAGGCTCCTTGTACCACCATCAGCTGGGCCTCTCATACGGCAACTGTTCCGCTCGTTGGGTTCAGCACTGTCACTTGTTCCTCTACAACCTCTGTGGATCTGGTCGTTGTTACTACAGCCAGTCCTCCTTCTAAGACCGGCCACCATGCGCACGCGTCGTCCTCCAAGATGACAACTAGCTGCAAAACCCACACCACATCTCTTCTTACACCGACTGCTCCCAAGACGACTGTTACAAAGCCAACAGCATCCAGGCCAACTGAAACTGTCATTTACGGCAATGTTGGGTCGAAACTACCTTTGTGTAATTTCTGGGCTTTTGGTGTTGTCCTTTTGGCGCTTTTCTTCTAATAATCTTCTTGTCCAAATTCTGAGAAGACGAACTTCACTTCACTACGATCACTATTTGTTCCATTACATGTATTGATTGCAAGGCAATGCGAACTATAGTCGATCTGATTAATATTACTTTCTGGGAATAATTAGAATAATTATATACATGATCTGTTATTCTCGAAGATTTGACTTGGGCGTGACATTAGAAGCAAATCGGGCTATTTAATTTCACTTATTTAAATTAACTCTTCGATTCACTTTGATAGGTTGTATACCATGCAGATTCGCATCTTAACTGGACAGCAAGTAACTTCTAATGTTCCTATACTGACTACATCTTGCCCATAGTCTTTCTCGTCCAAAAGATCAGTCTCGCACATATCTTTTATTTTGACTTTCGCCGTCCCTTCTTAACGCTATCTGAGTTCTCTCGTAATAACTTCTACAAAAACGGGTTTAGTCAGGCTTCCACACTCTCAACTTGGAGTTTAAACGGGTGAAACAAAAGGAGTTATGCAAGGGAGCTTACCGAAGCGAGCGAGTCGATCGGGATATCATTTCGCTTGCTTTTCCATAAGTTGAGGAAGTTGGCCACATGGTCTATGAAGCTGTTTCAGATGCCGACACATACCCGAGCTTGCTTGGCCTTCACTAGAGCGGGGTTGTGAAGGAAGCCTCTGCGTGGTTCGTGAACAGGGGGGGCTTAGCAGAGGAGTTCCACGCGGAATGAAAGCTTAGGCGGTCGATTTCTTACTTCCCCAGATGAAGAATGTCTTGCTGACTTTGGTTTCCAGCCATACAGGAATGCCCCTATGAGCTCGAAGACGTGGAATGATTTCGTTTCGGTGTTGGGCTCCTTCAGATCTGTTCCTTGTTTTCTGATGAGGAATATTCATTGTTTGAATTAATATAGCCACAGAAATTCGTTGGATAAGTGGATATTTTGTAGAAATATAGAAGGCGGGCACCCTAGCTCATGTGTCTAGTACTCCGTACATCCATAGAATAGTGTAGCCGCGTTCAAAGGCATGATTTTTGCGATGCCTTGACGATTTGGGGACTACAATTCCTCATGTTTATCATAATTTTCAATGGCCATTTATACAAGGAACTTCTCCTATTTTTATGGTCAAGCTATTAAGGAAGGGTTGACTGGGAACTGTATTTGCACGATGGCATACATGTCGCCGCCATATGGGTTCGAACTCCGGTAAATATTCCTGGTTAAAACAGAAAGGATTGATCGGATCAATCCTGACCGGGAACTAAGGTTACTGGCACTGGTGACAATACTTTTCAGATTTAATTAAACGTGGAAGGCGTCAGGAGAGTAATGTTTTGACCGGTTGGTTTGCACCAACATGGACTATCAGGTATAGGGGTGTACCAGGTGGTGTGTACTAAATATTCAAAATTCGTAAATAATATGATTGGACTTTTTAATGAATTGCGCATTTAAAAACATATCTTTATCGTTATGCGTTGAACTAAATGTATGTGTTGTGGATATATATCCTTAACGAGGGCCATCAGGATATATATTTACAACCTCTATGTCCAAATAGAGAATCCATACCACTTTAATAGGAAGTAAATCAAAAGAAGAACCCTGGAGCATCTATGGAAAGGTAGAAATAATTATTCGAAATATGAGGATTTGGTATATTGATTTCATGAAGACTACTAGAACTGCCGGTCCACCATCAACTAGCGTTGTGGTGGACAGTAAGCTCACTACTTCTGGGGTTCACTACTCTGGGGATTATCTTCGAGATACAACTGCTAGTCTATTGTTCAACAGCTATTCAACTATAATGACGCACTATATCATGCCTATTGGGCACCGCAAAGGACATCAGGCGTCATTTTCCTCTACATTCTGATATCATCCTAAAGTGTGACTATAGTCGATAAAACTTCTAGCAATAAAATTGCGACATGCATTAGAATGAGTCTAGCAGGATCTCGATCATTCTCAATATCGCCAAAAACTTGATCCAAAAATGCGATACGAGACTACATTGGAAAACCAACGTACACGAGCAATGCGGACTACGTATAGACCAAGGGGAAACATTGCTATAGATTGATTGAAGGGGACAATATTGATAACCCCAGACCATAAAACCAGGACTGATTCAGGTCCTGTGAGAAGCCGCCAGGGGGAAGCTTGGTAGTAATCGACGAGATTATGATCGGAAAGCAAGACGCCCAATCGGAGACTTCACGGGGATACTACCCTGTGCTCACCATTACGGTGCTTTAATTCCTCGCAGGTTAAGGGAAATTAAACAAATTAAACAATGAAGGGAGTGTCTTAGATCTCCCTACGTAGCTTTAGTGTCCGAGGTGCTGTGGGCGCCCTTGCAGGTGACCCTCATATGGGAGGTTCGACCACTCAGAGGGAGAATCCCAGCCTTCTCAGCAGAGTCAGAAGATTGCCATGAGTGTATGCGTGGCATGCCTTAGCTCCCGAAGTGTAGAGACAAAGTCTAAAGGGAGAAAAGCCCCTGTGGGAAATTGGAAGTAGAGGTATGCCCTTACAACGTTGACCCACTTGGAAGAGCTTAAGCTTACTTTGATTAGGTTTAATGGGTTGATGTGGTTCTGTTCAAAAAGATCAACATTGGGTACGGAGTATATCATAGCTGAATTATACCTGTTTTCATCCAACGTTACAGACAAATTGTGGACACTTGGACTGAGGGCTGATGAGCCAGGGCAAGGGAATGCCAGGGCTCTCCCTAGTCACATGAAGTGAGAGCCTGGGAAGTAGATCCATACCAGGAACCTCCACAGGAGCACCCTCGTTGGTTTACAGGCACTGCATAGTGGAGCGATCTTCATCTCCCTTTCCTTCCCAGTTACATTCCGAAAACATACTGGAGATGATCTTGGTAAGTAGCAAAAACAACTTGGCCCTGGAATATGCAGTCAGGGAGACTCACAGACCGCCAGTCAAATCTATAAAGACGAGGTCATTCATCGCCCTCAGTTAGTTTTCTCTTCATCCGCATCACTCTCTTTCAAGCTTTCCTTCTCTATTCTTCAATCTTCTCTACTCTCCGAGTCTTCTCTCGTTCAATTCCAAACCCACCGTCACAATGCAGTTCTCTCTCTCCGCTATTGTCCTCGGCCTCGCTGCCACCGCTTACGCTCTTCCCCCTGCTGGCCCCAACGCCGGTGGCGCTGGCAACGCCAACGGTGTCGGCAACAAGGGTAACACCGACGTTCGCTTCGCTGTCCCCGACAACATGACCGTCAAGCAGGCTCAGGCCAAGTGCGGTGACCAGGCCCAGCTCTCTTGCTGCAACAAGGCCGTCTACGCCGGTGACACCACCGACATCAACTCCGGCATGCTCGGCGGTGCCCTCAGCAACCTGATCGGCTCTGGCTCCGGTGCTTCCGGCCTTGGTCTCTTCGACCAGTGCTCCAAGCTCGACCTCCAGATCCCCATCATTGGTATTGCTCTCCAGGACCTCGTCAACCAGAAGTGCAAGCAGAACATTGCCTGCTGCCAGAACTCTCCTTCCAGCGCCGTGAGTACTCCCACTATCACTGACCATAGATCACCACTAACATATCTCGCAGAACTCCGACCTCATCGGTGTCGGTCTCCCTTGCATTGCCCTTGGCTCCATCCTCTAAGCGCTTCGCTTTGTTTTCTCGCATCTTGCAAGAAGCACCGGTCACCATGCCGGCTCTTCGGACCTTGGTGCCGAGTTCGACATGGCTGGCGATGTGGACTGTTAACGATTTCGGGCATGGGAAGCAGGCTTTTGGCTTTTGTTTGATTAGTTAGATTGTCCTGTTCATTTCACATCTCGTGTATCATTTAACTTGTGTCGTGTGGCACCCTCGGAGAAAGAAGAATGTTTTGCTTTCTGCTTATCACCTTGTGGTGTGTGTGTGCTTGTTGCTTTGCGCATTGGAATCCCCCAGCTGCTGTCTTGGTTAGGGTTTCTTTCGCATATATTACTTTAATTCATTAGATTTGCTTGCATTATCACCATTGCTCTGAACCCGTAGAACATCTTTAAGCGCTATCCTACTTCTTCTGTTTTTCCAACCCTCCCTCTCTTGTAGTCCGACATCCCTTGCTGCAAATTCCTGCCCCTTCGGCCCAGTCATCTCAACGTTAACCCTTCCCTCGTCCTACTCCACGACTTTTTTTTTCTTTCTTTTCTGCCATTGTTCTTATCCACTTCCCCGTGGGCACAAGATTCTACCAGTCATTGTTTAGCAAAGAAATGTAAACCTTCAATTTTGCCTTCATTCCAACTACAACGCCAACTATTTACAAACTGACCCTCCAACAAACTTCTACCACAGCCTCCCAAGCCCAACACCACCCCATACACTATTCCTCTTCTTCTCATTCAAACTCACATCCACCCACTTCTCATCCTTCTTATCCACCAACCCCTCCTCCTCCGTAAACCCAGCAGAATCCAACCCCCTCGGGGATTGCACACTGCGCGACGTCTTAATTGAAATCGACGAGCGCGGGATATTCAACCCACAATGCCTCTTCAACAAAGCTGACATAGACCTCTTATCCTTTTTCTCAGACACGCCTTTCTCGGGTTCAAAGCCATTCTGGGCCGTTGTCGCAGACGAACAAACCGAAGTATTCTTTCCCGTATAACCACCAGCATACTCTGTAGCTTTGCCCCGTGCAGCTTTGTTCTCAGTAGCTTTATTCAAACTTCCATCCCTCCCCAGCTCCAAAGGGCCCTGAAGTACCTTCCTCGGCGTGTCAACAGGCGACCGACAATCCAATTTCAAAATTGGACGATCCATCTGGTTGGCAGTACTATCGTCATCGAACAACGTCCGCATATTCCCATTATCTGTCCTGATCTGCATACGGTTCGCAGGCGACTCGCACGGCACGACTGGTTCGTGGACCGAATGATGCACCATGGTTGAGGTGGAGTCCATGCTTGTGCGGGTCAGAGAGGCTGTTTCGGATGTTGTTTTGATTAGATCGTTTGAGTCTTCGTCGTGGAGTTTGGGGCTTGTTGTTGAGAGTCTTTTGGACAGGCGGGCTTTTCGCATGCAGCGTGTCAGGGTGGATATGATGCCCATTTTGGATTTTGGTAGATTTCTCTCTGAGGGGTTGTGTTTGAGGTGGGTATAGATAGGTATGGGGTTGGGGTTTTGTTTTGATGTTGATGGAGCTTGGAATAGCTGGTAGAGAGGCGGTTTGGGGTATATAAATTGAGTAGCTAGTTTGCGGGAGGGAGAGATAGAAACTAAAATCGAGTTCGGTTCTGGGCTGGAACACGTTGGACGAGGTATGTCGTTATCTAGATCTTCACGGGGTAATGCTGGGTTGTATCACTGTGCAACGCAGTGGGATATTGTTCATTTGCTTGAGAAATTGGATTGCGTATGCTAACCTCGGTCATATCTACGTTTTACCTCGAGGACTTCTACCCCTCACCATCTAAATAGTGAAAGTGAAAGTGAAAGCATACCAAGCATGATGGTATATGTGAGTGGTAAGGGTTGCCCGGGGAGAGACCAATCATGGTGAATGATATCATACACAAAGGCCGCGACAGCAGGAAGCACAATTAAGAAATCAAAGCTACAACTGAGACAGAGCCAATCGTCCAGACTGGAAATGTAGCTTCTCCAAGAATTCCCCAGAGGATCGACTTCATGCAAGGATGTATCCACTCTTCTTGACCTTGTATGAGGGGACTCAGCCCTGGAGGGTTCGGAGAGCAAATGTCATCCATTCTTTTTTTAATTGCAGTTACCGGGGTGAGCTTAGCTTGGAAAAGGACTCCGTCACTGCGTTCGAGTCATTGTTGTTGGAGGTTGGAGTCGAAGGAATGTCCGAGTATCCGAGGATCTGCGTGTCCCGTGTTGATCCTTGATACAATATCACGGACCCTCGCTCGGGAATGCTTATTATTGACCGTTGACCAGCCCCTTGTGGCTCTTATTTTAGCACCGGAAATGACGTGAATAATTCACGTGAAGAGAAGATAATATTATTCAACATGCAAATGTACAAAGCCAGGTCAAAAATATCACTAGATGATTCTATTGGATCTTTCCAAACAATAGGAAGCTAAATACACAGACTGAAACCACATCTGTAACATAAAACCCCTTTAAAGCTTGCTAGAGGGAGCATCGCTAAACAAAGACCTGGTCCGGCTCATCGCCTCTAGGGCCTCCTTCTCGATCCGGGTGAGCAGGACCTCACAAGTCGGGATGTCGTGAATCAAGCCAATAACCTGACCGGCAGTCCACACCTGTATGACAAAAGGAGTCAGCAAATACAAGACATACATAATTATGCAAGTAACTTACGCCGAAATCAACGTCACCATTAATGAAGACCTGACGACCCCGCTTGCCGCTAACATAGGGCCCAACCTCGCTGAACTCGCCAGTCTTACTCTCCTGCTCAACCTTCAATGCATCCTTAGCCACCTTATTAGCGAACAGACGGGAGGTATTCTTCCACCGACGCAGCACAAGCGCGGTATCAGTCTCCTGTGCCGCGACGATAGCCTCTTTAACCTTCTGGTGAATGGGGGCTTCAACAGTGCTCATAAAACGAGTACCCATGTTGATACCCTCCGCACCGAGCGCCAGGGCAGCAGCAAGACCCTGGCCATCGGCGAATCCACCCGAAGCGATGAACGGCACGCCGAGTTCCTGGCGCGCACGGCTCAAAAGGATGAAGTTGGTGATGTCATGCTCACCGACGTGGCCGGCACACTCGAAGCCGTCGATGGAAAGGAAGTCCACGCCGAGCTTGACGGCGGCCTTGGCGTGACGGATTGTCGTGCACTTGTGCAGGATGATGGTGCCGGCCTTCTTCAGCTGGGTGATGACGGGGCCTGGGTTGTTACCGGCGGTCTCGACAATCTTGATTCCTTCGTCGATGATTACTTGAGCGTAGGCGCCGTAGTCGGGGGGGAACCATGGAGGGGAGGAGGGTCAGGTTCACTCCGAAGGGGTATTTGGTCATGGTGCGACATTTGCGGATTTCTTTGCGGAGGTCTTCGGGGGTTGGTTGGGTGAGGGCTGTGAGCTGGATTGCGGTGTTAGGTATTGTATGCAGTTAGGGCTTTCATTCAAAGGATATACGACGTACAAGTCCAAGTCCGCCTGCGTTGCTAACAGCCGAGGCCAGCTCAGCGTATCCAACCCATTGCATACCACCCTGCACGACGGGCACTATATCCATGGTCAGCAGCTGGAGATATTTCCAGAATAATTAATTCGTAGCGCACCTCGAATACCGAGCTTTCGCGTTAAGGCTGTGTTGAAAGGCATCTTGTTGATATCTAATCTGATGATTGCGGAGTCAATAATTTCCAAAGAAACAGCATGGAACTTGAACAGGGACCAGATATACTAACATGAGTATGATTTCTTTCTTCGCTTCTGAATGTATAGAGTCAAGAGATAGTTTTGAATCACGAAAGACCAGATAATAAACCGATCTTACAGCCGCGGACCTATCTGCTGTGGGGAAGGTCCGAGGTGCCGAGGTTGCATCTGGGCTCCTACACTTGGGCTCAATTTCTGGATTACTGAGCAGGCCGACCTTAAGATATGCCACGGGGAGTCCTAAAGCCCTTCGTTCTTCTTGTGAATGATCAAAATATTGGCCTGTGGACCAAATACCAAGCCCAGATGTGAGGGAAAGAATATACATACATGTCGTGGTCCCTTGACATGTGACAGGAACCGATGACCTTGGATGGCTCTATCTCCAATCTTGGACTTTTACAGCTGACAGTGTTTTACGGGCAGAGTCAAGTAGGAAAAAGATCGTTGCTGAATTATCCATTGTGAATTATATATTGCTGGCTGTAGACTTGGGCGAACATCACAACCGTGCAAAAACATAAATGCCTCAGCTGGGTGCTTCTCCATAGCCAATGCAGGCTCTTCAGCAGCTGCCGTGACCTTTTCAATCACTGTATGTCCAAAGAACCTGGCAATCTACAAGCATCAAGCAATGTGATACATGCAGTATGTATCCCTGATATGAAACCCCTTCCCCTCATTGCTAGAGTGGAACGGGCGATTAACGACGGGACTCTCCTTCTGAGAGCCTTGAGATCCCTCGGCGTCCACGACAGAAAGCCGCAGTCAGTGAGGGAAAGCAAACGACGACATCATCCCAGCCAAAACCAGTAGACGACGTGAGCGGAGACTCTTGAGGAAGGGAAAGAAAGGGGAGCTGCAGACCGAAGAAAGTGGGAAAACAGGCGAGAAGATCACATGACTGCAGTAGCGTGTCGGGAAGAACGATACTCCGGCTGGTAATAGATCCGATCTGATTGGCGGACGCCGACTACCGGGTGCCAGTCCCGTGACTAAACACTCCCGTACCCGAGGTCGTCCGTTGATTCCGATCGCTCGCGAGCCACTTGGGATTTCTTATCCTGATCAAACAGAACAATCTCAACTCCGCAATCACAATGTTCTCTCAGAAGGTTGCCCAGCAGTCGCTGCGACGGCGTATGTTACCCCCCAATGCCTACCCTGTCCGAATTTGCGATCTAACTTATCCCCGAACAGTTGCCGTCCAGCAGCCGCTCGCTATGCGGTCGTCCATGATGGGTGCTTCCCCTGTCGCCGTTGCCCTCGGCAAGAACATTCAGACGAGGTCAGTTACCCGGCGCTAAAACGACGAGTTTCAATTGTTTCGCCCACCCTCGAATCCAGCGCCCCTCACGAAATCCTACGTCATCCACAATCGCCAGAAGAACATACTAACCATACACTGGTCTATAGACAAGTTACTTCGACCCCAAAAACCGAGGACCCCAGCCAGATCCTCGTTAAGCAGCGTCTTAACCGCCCTATCGCTCCTCACCTCAGCATCTACAGGCCCCAGATCGGCTGGATCGGCAGTTCCCTGCACCGTATCACCGGTGTTGCTCTCTCCGGCACCCTGTACATTTGGGCTACCGCTTACCTCGCCTCCCCCGCTCTTGGTTGGCACCTCGAATCGGCCTCCATGGTCGCTGCCATGGGCGCTCTTCCTCTCGCTGCCAAGGTCCTCCTCAAGACCACCCTGGCCCTTCCTTTCACCTACCACGCCATGAACGGTATCCGCCATTTGATGTGGGATCTTGGCCGTGGTCTCACCAACCCTGTGATTATCAAGACTGGCTGGACTGTTGTTGGCCTCAGCATTGCCAGTGCTGTTGGTCTTGCTTTGATTTAAAATGTTTCCGTACCTCATACCTCCGAATTTCCTTATGTGTTATTAAAGTGACTTTTCTCAAATATACACGAACCTGGTCAATTGGCGCAAGCTTAAAAGGCGCTGATTCTTTTTCTTCTGTTCAGCTGTTTATTTTTATTTCCATGGAATTGCGTTCGGACTGGGCTAGACTACTTGCACGATTTGAATCTACAGTATGTTAATGTTGGAGTTTGAACCCCTGCATGCTCACCCTAGTTGCGTCTAGACTTTATTGGTCTACCTCTGGATGTTTGTACATGTGTCGATGTACAAATGAGCCGGTCTGACTTGGTATAGTTTCATTTGACTATTTTGCCCGGTGGATATACGAATGAGAAAAGCACCTCAGGTATATAAACCCCTCGAAATCCATATTCACTCTCACAGTTCAGTCTCACACATTGTACTTTCATTTTCTCCCCTTAAGGGTCCAGTGTTCCTCATGGCTTTGCCATTTTCCCCGCAATTGATATTGCATTGACAACGATACACATCGCATTATGATATCCTAGTCGCCCATCAATCCACATCCCCGCTGTAAAGACCGTGGTTGAAATGCCTTGGAGTATGATCTGGAAAGTAAGTTAGTAGTTGCCCATGTGGTCCAGTACCTATGCCGATATATATCTACCTAGTAGATCTGTATATTTGACATGGCTGCATAAAGAACACTCACCTATTACCCCATGTCGCCTCAACGCCAAACAAAGAAAAACCCAACCAACTGCCATTTAAGCAGGACTAGGAGGAGGGTTGGGTGGGAAAGGTCGTGGTGAGGGAGGGTCTTGCACCGAGTGATCACAAGCCAGGATGTTTCCCACGGAGGTATAGCATGTCTGGACCGGCGATGAAGGGGTGGGCTGGAAGCCATGGGCAAAAGTAGCGTTGAAAGCCATTTCACTATTCGAAATACACGAAACGAAGGTGACTATGGTAGAATGGGGCACACAGATCAGTGCCGATAGAGAAAGGAAGTATAGATATTCAACGAAAGACAGGCAAAGGACACAGGACAGAGTACTCTGATGTTCGCAAGGATGAAGACTAGAGATCTGGGCAGGTCCATGTCATCTATTTAAATGATTCGAGAACTCAAGTTTACCTGGGGGGCAATAGGTCGCGTCATCCGTAGTCGTACACCGCTATCCCGTCGAACATCCCAATCAAGGATCAAGACAAGAAGCCGTTTGGCGATAGCCATATTCCCGTTGCTATCCGTGGACCTTGGAGATGGCTCCTATCCGTGAAGATCAAATATCTCGGTAGAATCTGCAAGGGCCCGCCTGAAGACTTGATGTATAAACCGTTAGACAGTACCCGCAGACGGTGACACCCGCTGTTGTGAATATTATATGGTTGTTTCGTTTCTTTTCATTTCCCCGGAAGCAAGCATCGACCGGGAATTAGGTGAAGATCCACTTGAAGAGACGTATTAGCTTTCATTAAAAAGCAAATAGTATAATGTCCGCAATGGGCGGGTATAGATCCTTTTCCCCCGGACCAACTGCAGACAGTGGAGTTTCACCAGCGGTCTGAGCCTTCGGTTTCTTGCAGCGTCTTGATGAATTCTGTTTCACTGGGTTTGTTCTAGATGATTTGCCGTTGGCTGATTATCCGATGTTATTTACTAAATAATGTTTGGGTTGAACAGCCGTGTGTTGTTTTCAAAGGTATACATATGAATTCGAGGCTGTCAAACATCTAGTTTGTGTCCTTGTGTCATTCAACCTTACGATCTTTCGAAGATCAACGATCTCCTGTCATTGGCATACCCCAGCCCTTTTATATAGGACTCCACAATGCCCATTGTGGGTTGCGAATTTGCTTAGTCGTGAGACGAATGTATATGCAAGCCGTAGAAGCTTCCAACGACCAGAAGAGGCAACAAGAGAAAAAGGGAGCCTACCTATGGAGCACGGTCGAACAAGACTCAATACAAATACACGTGGATCACGTTTTACTTCCCAGTACATGACAGTCTCTTGCCTAATCTAGGGGGAGAGCTCAGGGTACGCTGATACAGCAGGGCCGTTATTCTGCAGTCCAGAGAGACATGGCTTGTTCGAGCCAACCACTTGTGCCTCAGCCGAGCTTTCCAGCTGCGTATATCCGCAACCAAGCAGTCTCAATAACACTGCACCGTGCTCCCGATAGCTATGAGCTATGACCTCTGCATACCCGGCAGCTTCTGCGGAACGACTGTGTTCCGAGAAGGCTACCGAAGCTTCTGCTGAATGGGCCGCGCTCAGGGTCTGTTGCGCCGCTGCTCGCATCGCCCGTTGGCCAGTCATATAACTGGACGATGTTACCTGGCAGGACTATTAGACCTATAGTCTATAAGTTAAGAGAGCACAAGTTTCCTGTTGGGGAATATAATGGCCATGTTATCCAGAGAAGGATGTTGCTGGATAGAGTGGGGAGATCTGCGAGACCACCATCAAGTCGAACCCCGAGTTTCAATGATGGGAGCCCGCAGAAGACATGAGTCAAAGCTGCTAGTAATCCGCAACTGGGGCAAATATACATCATGCATCATAATGGAGCCTACCAAAGTTGAGCGGAAGCCTATATGTTCTGGATCTGGGCCCGCAAACCAGCGGTATGGTGTATATCGAAGCGTCTCCCATAGATACTATGGCCTGACCGCTAATATAGAATCCGCATCGCAGGGCTTCCAGGGCTCTTAATTAATGTGAGTCATATGCCGTTTTGATCGTACATGCATCGAGGCATGGCAGAGTCGGAAGTTTATGTACATCCCAGCTCCAACGGCCGTAGCCCTGCTAGCCTGTGGTAGGCTCCCACGGCCGAAATCAGCGTCAGTACGGAGTAGTTTCGGATCCGATGCACAAGTCAAGCATTCGAGCAAAAGATACCACGCAGCAGCGGTGAAGGTCCGGTTGCCTCCGGCTTCCAAGGTTGTTTAACTGCATATCAAACCGCCATAATGACAATTGAAGAGACCTGAGTCCACATTGCAAGGACTTGTGAGAATTACAGTCATGAAAAACAAACCAAGGTGTGGTCGACAGCTAACAGAGACCTCATGGGTCTCGTGTACATTTATTTGTACCTGGACATGACCGGCAGTATCACACCGCCCAGGCCGAATTCTTTGCTTTCCGTTTGATCAACTCCGAGTCGACTCGCAGACCACCGACCCAATGTCTTTGAATCTTTCTTCTCGAGCGGCCAGGACCGCCTGCGCTGCGTCCAAATTTGTCGCTCGCCCAATTGCCGGAGTCATCCCATCCCGCACCTTCGCGACTTCTACCCCGGAGGAGGCCAGTCAACAAGAAAAGCCCCGATGGTCCTACACTCCCGCGGCAGCAAAGGCTCCGTTTAGTCTGCACCTTGACTCCAAGCGCCCGACTTTCCATGTCAATGCAGACCCGCTACTGCTAGACCGATTCTACATCCGATTGTTCGGCAATGGCGGCGACAAACTCCTCTCCGACGAGACCAAGTGGTTGGCAGTGACGCATAAGAGTTTCGACCAAGGGCGCCGCGGATTCAACGATCGACTGGCCTTCTTGGGAAAACGCATTGTGCAACTGCAAGCATCGCTGGCTTTGGCGCAGGACGCTCCATACGCAGGCGCCGCACCGGCAGAGAACAAGGACGAGTTTGGTCGCGTGCCCTTCACACACCCGGCTCTGGATGGATTGAACAACCTCTCTGGTGAAACTAAGAAGATTCTCACCGAGCGGTCGAAGCTCGCTGAGCTTGCAAATAAGTACGAGTTGCAGAAGGTTCTCAGATGGAGTCCCAGAAAGGTATGCCTCGACTCTGGTCTATTTTTGTGTTCTCAGCTAACGAGTGTCTTTACTGCAGCCCAATGACCTCCGTGCCTCCGGTATTGAGCTCGTTCTCGCGCATACCATGTACGCTATTGTCGGTGCTGTTTCGTTAGAGAAAGGGAGGAGTCGTTGCCACTAAAGTGGCTCGTGAGCGGATACTTGAACCCCTGGGACTCAAGTCGGTCTCGTAAGGGTCTGAGACTTGGGGTATTGGTCTCCTTTGGAGCATTTTCAGGGCGTTATCTTGTTTGATATTTCCATCTGTGGTAGGTTGACTGGGGAGCGAACTCCTCAATCGGGGAACCTCTACGATTGTACATGTACTTTTAACAAACTTGTCTTTTTATATCATCTTATTTCTCAGCTATTAAATACCACTTGAGAGTTCAACTTGCAAGTTCAAAAATTCAATGGATGTTCACTACGATTTACAAGGGATCTTTGGTTTGATATTAAAAAATTTGAATTCAAGTTATAGAAATGTACGGTTCCTCTGACGCCGCCCGAGTAACAGAGAAAGTACTCGGCCAGCTCTTATGGAACCCTCCTAAGATCGTAGTCTCCGCGCCTCTGTATCGCAAGGTAGTAATTAAAAAACCACAGCACCCCGACAGAATGCCGGAGTAGCTGTAGAAAATCACAAGGACTTTGTACTGCCTTGAACTGTCTATTGGGAGCGTTGAAGAAAGAAGAAAATTAAAAAGTGCGCGACCAGCTTTTATGTGTGATTTTATACGCTAGTCCGTTTTGAGGTTGGCGTATTATCTCCGGCCTGGGACATGCGGGCATCGCCAACAATCATCCGTTGATCTGCTCCTTTCATTTCTCACCTCATCAGCGGCTATTCTATTTGTTCTTACTACTCGATTGACAATGCTGCAGTAGGCGCATCAGGTGTCTTTGTTATTCTTTGCTTTTGCCCCACCTTAAGAGACCAGATCACAACTCTCCCGTCACCTATTTACCCCCATTGACACGTCATGGCGTCAGCACTCTTCTTCCTCGACCTCAAGGGCAAGGTAGGCTATTGGATATTGTGCAAAACATGGCGATGCGACTCCCTGTTGGGGAAATCGCCAATGCGTCCAGGGACAAGCCCCCGCTGACCATCTATAGACCCTCTTGGCCCGCAATTATCGCGGAGATATTCCCATGTCCGCAGTCGAGAAATTCCCTATCCTCCTCAGTGACGCCGAAGAAGAAAGCTCAGCAGTGCCCCCCTGCTTCTCTCACGAGGGAATCAACGTGCGTTTCACCGAGTCTGGGCATTTGCTGTCCCGACCACACGACACCCGCTCCTGAGTGTCTCCTTTTGTGTGCTCCCGCCTACTAACACAGGGGTGTTTTTGTCTAGTACCTTTATATCCGCCACAGCAACCTCTATATCCTTGCATTGACCAAACGAAACACAAATGCCACCGAAATTCTACTCTTCCTCCACAAGCTGGTGGAGGTCTTCACCGAATATTTCAAGGTACTGGAGGAGGAGAGTATCCGGGATAACTTCGTCGTCATTTACGAATTGCTGGATGAGATGATGGATTTTGGATACCCACAAACAACAGAGAGCAAGATTCTACAAGAGTAAGCAGCTGGATCTGAATGGTACCGCGGGGTGATGGTGAAACAGCATAACTGACCTTTCTACGCTATGGGCAGATACATCACCCAAGAGTCACACAAGCTGGATGTTCAAGCGCGGCCACCGATCGCTGTCACAAATGCTGTCTCCTGGCGTAGCGAGGGGATACGTTACCGCAAAAACGAAGTCTTCCTCGACGTGGTCGAGTCCCTCAATCTTCTTGTCTCAGCAAATGGAAACGTCCTGCGGTCCGAGATTCTGGGCGCTGTCAAGATGAAGTGCTACCTGAGTGGTATGCCAGAGTTGCGATTGGGCTTGAACGACAAAGCCATGTTCGAGACCACGGGTCGTGCTACACGAGGCAAGTCAGTCGAGATGGAGGACGTGAAGTTCCACCAGTGTGTCCGACTCTCGCGCTTCGAGAATGACCGCACAATCAGTTTCATCCCCCCGGACGGTGAATTCGAACTCATGAGCTACCGACTGAACACACAAGTGAAGCCGTTGATCTGGGTGGAGTGCGTGGTTGAATCGCACTCGGGATCCCGAATTGAATATATGCTCAAGGTAATATCCCCACCCAATACATCAAACACCATCCCTAACCTCGATTCTACAATAGGCCAAAGCCCAATTCAAGCGCCGCAGCACCGCCAACAACGTCGAGATTCTCGTCCCCGTCCCCGAAGACGCAGACTCCCCACGCTTCCGCACAAATATCGGAACCGTGCACTACGCCCCCGAGAAGTCCGCCATCATCTGGAAGATCAAGCAATTCGGCGGCGGCAAGGAATTCCTCATGCGCGCAGAGCTAGGCCTACCCTCCGTCAAAGGCGACGACGAGCGCGGCGGCGGCATGACCGGCGGCTTCGGAGGCAGCATGGGCGGAGCCGGAGGCGTAGGCAAAGCCAAACGTCCCATCAACGTCAAGTTCGAGATCCCCTATTTCACGACCAGTGGCATCCAAGTGCGGTACCTCAAGATCACCGAACCGAAGGTACGTCTTTTCCAGCAGTGGATTTCCCTCGACTCTTTTTATCTCTTGAATTCATCGCTAATAACATCCCACAGCTGCAATACCCCTCTCTACCCTGGGTGCGATACATCACACAGTCGGGCGACATTGCCATGCGCATGCCAGATGTCCAATGAAAATGTTCCAGCTCGTTGCATGATTGATTTTGTACAGCCCCCTCCGTTTCCTCTATCCCCTTCTTGTCCTCATTGTCTTTTTGTTCCTCCCTTTTTTCCATCCTTCTCCGTTGAGGCCGGCCGGTCCGATAGATAATCAAATCCCTCTCTTGTTCTTACTCTTCTCTCTTCTGCCTTTGGCTGCTTTCTGCATCGGATGCGAGGAATATAGATGGTTCGGATGGGATCTTATGTCTAGTATTGTATTTGAAGTAAATGCGATGAATGTTAAGGTCTTGTTATCGGGTCATTGTAGCAACTCAGCCTCTGTGCGGTATATGACAGGGGAATTCAGGTAAAGTGCAGAAGCATCAATGTGTGTACCTCTGTGACATAACGGTTTACTTTGAAATCAGACTCGATTGCTGCGCTCAAAAAGTGTTCTAATACCGTGTCGCTAAGATGGATATCACTTGAAGAAATATGTATTTTGTATAAAACTCAAGGGCTTTGCTAGTGGCCTGAAGAATAGTACCTAGGTATGTAGTTTTTCATGAATTTTTAGAAGAAAAACAGTACAAAGAAATCCCACAGGGTATCTCAATTCTCAGAAAGCTTAGAAAAGAAAGAAAAGAACACAAAATGAAGTACATTAATCTCCATAACGCCATCGTTCAGCACCTGCTGTATTTTGTCATAAAACTGTCGGAAATCAAAGGGGAAAACACCATCCCCTAGCTACCTAATGTCACACCCACCCATTTCACGCGGGATTCCCATTCCCGTTCGTCGCATGCTCCTCCGTTGTTTCTGGCGGAGGAAGAGGGAACCCATCACCACCACCGCTGCCGGCAGCTGCCTTTGAGAATCCCTCGCGAGCAAGCATGGTGTTGAGCACGGCGCAGTTGTACGAAGCCTCGCCGGGAGGCACGACAAGGAAGATATAGGTGTTATCCGTGAAGCGGCCGAGGAAGATATTGAACTGGGGGGGTTTTAGTGTGCATGACGACGAAGCCCGCAGAAGCCGGGGTGGTGAGGGTGTTTCGAGCAGCGCAGTGCTTGAATGCCTTCATGATATTCGAGAGACGCTCGTGGCGATCATAGATGGGATTGAGGTCGCCGACCTCGGATGTCACGGAGGTAACAGTGAGGAAAGTAGAGCGCTCGAAGAGGATGACTTCTTCAGCGTTTATTTTCTTCGCGAAGGCGGTTAGGAAGCGCTCAATCACGACTAGGTTTGGGATGAGCTTGTGCACGATTCCGGCCCAGGCTTTGTACAGCGATTGGTCCCAGATGCTGCTGGCGAAGGTGTCGACGCGGAAGTCGCTGGATCGGCTGCGGATTACCGCGGAGCGCTCTTCGTAGATGCGTTGGCGGTGCTCGGCTTGGATTAGATCCATCTTGTGCACGAGACAGAAGACGTAGGCGTTTGGGCTGAATTCGCGCAGGGCTTCGATTATCGCATGGTAGGTGTCCAGGTCGCGCTCGACTTCTCGTGACTCGATGTCGAATACGTAGATGAGGACTGCGACGTCTGAGAAGATGTTGCCGCGCTGCGAGGCTAGATAGGTCTCCATGAAGGCATCTTGTCTGAGACGGAAGACTTCCGTGTTAGTGGGATGGCTTCCGGATTGGATGTCGAGTATGCATTACTTACCCTCCGCAATCCCACAGATTCAATGTGAGGTTACCCATGAACTTGACGTGGCTGTGCTCCACATCAATCGTAGCACCTAGGCGCCGGACATCCTTTGCGACGTAGTTGCTGAAGATAATTGAGCGCATGGACGACTTCCCTGATCCGCTCTTGCCCATTAAGAGCACCTTTCTCTTCTTCTTCCGGGCATCCATCCTGTCTGATGTTCTTGGGGTTGCCGTTGAGCTCAATGCCCCGCTCTTGCGGGGGCAACTCGGGTCGATCTGGAGGGCACCTCAGTGCCTTCACAGGGTCACTCGGATGCAATGGTATTGGTTTCCAGTTAGGAGTCCAATATTAGCATCTTCAGTGTTGACAATGAGATTGAGGGCGAGAGTGCATAAGATAAGAAGGAAAGGTGACAGGCCCCGGGGTGAGCTCCGACCTTCTGATGCGGAGACGGAATAATGTTATTCCGCATCACGTGATCCTTGAGTTACCTGTTGGAGAAAGCTAGGATTGGGCGGATGAGATAGGTGGAAATGATGAATCTAGCAATCTGCCCATAGGTATTTTGATATTTTCCATTTAGTTACTGATCCAGGTAATGAGACCTTACAATTGTGCACTTGATGGCACATTTAGGCATTGTTGGTGGAGGTTTTGTTTTATTTGAGCTTGGGACGGGATGACGACATCCCATGGGTCTCCCGAAAAATCACAGATCTTCTATGGTCAAATGGCTTTTATCAACAGGGCAAAGGAAACAATAGACAGTGAAAAAGAAAAGATGAAATGTGAAATGTGCGAAATGCAATATGAAATAAGCCGCCCAAAACCAATGGTAAATCAGATGAATAGCCTCAAATGCAGAGGGGAAAAGAGAAGCCCAAGATGGTAGGAGGAAAAGGAAAATAGTTGAAGAAAAAGGAGACGAAGCCAAACGTGAGATATAGGTATGAAGGTATTCGGTCATGAAGAGTTCATTTCATCAAAAAAGCTCGTCCCAAATAGCAAAACCAGATGACGGGACGAAGGTATCCAGGTATCCAAGCAATTAAAATGGGAATAGAGGGTATTAGAAGACAGTGCCGTCAGATCGTATCATGATAGGGGGTTCCTTGGTGTTTGGTCTCGAAACTTCCGCAATCTCGCGACCACCCTGCAGGTTCGTTAGAATTTAATTAACTGGGAAAATCCTCGATGAGTGCTTGGTGCTTACCTTCCAGGTACCAGCCTCAAGCATTTGCGCTAGTGAAAGTGGCTCTTCAGAGCCCTTAAGCCCCAGCTGAGCGTTGACCTCCTCTAGGAGCTCATCCAGGAACCCGACAGTAGCGGCTCGCCATTCGACAATTACATCGTCGTCGGCGCAGAAGAGCGGTGCCACTTCGACACTTGGCTGACCCTTGATCTGGGCATTCTCTTTATATGCATCGATTCCACGCTGCATATCTTCCGGCTTCAGAGTCAAGAGTCCCAGGTCGATAAGAAGGCCTCCGTTTCGATATTCAGGAAGCCCTGTTAGAAGGTCGCTGCCGGCGAAGTGGATGGACATTAATTTCGACATCGGAACCATGATCGAGTAGCATAGCCACTGTGTCAGCTTGTGGAATGGAACGATGCTCTCCCACTGCTTTGCAGGAGGAGATTCGGGGAGACCCGAGCACTTCCAAGCATCTCCAATGGATACTCCATCAATCTGTGTTCGTGATGGGGGCCAGATGGGAGAGAAGCCATCCATAAGCACGGACCACAAAGTGGTAATCGGAACAATCGGTACGGAAGAAGCAAGGGTTGATGGATGGCCGAGAAGATAATCTGAATAAAGATTAGTAGTTGATCACACACCCAAACCAGATCGCCTTACCTAGCATATTTCCTGGTCGAGCATCCACACCGAAGAAATCTTGATTGTTAAGTGCCTCGGAGAGCCGGATCAACAACCCCGTGCGGCCTTCAATACCGGCCAATGGGTTTTGTTCGGAATGTTGCATTCCCTTGGCGAGCACCTCGGCTGTAACTTTTTTAAGTCCCGCACCGTCCACCTGGCATGGCTCCGTAGGATCGCTACTGAAAAGACCTGACTTGAACATCTCCAAACTCGCCACAGCCAAGCCTTCACTGCGCGAGAAGACTTTACCAGACTCCTTCGACCGGTACGACCACTTGTTCCCGGAACCCGCATCGAGCAGAACGGACACGACAAACAAATCAATCAAACGGCGTGTGCGTTCCTGCGCATCAATGCGACTGGGCCAGGACTGAAGGAGCTGGTTGATGCGCGGTCTGCCGCCAACGTCGAAATGCTGCCAGCGACCATGCGGCGGAATGTTCTCATAGTCTGGCGCATAATCTCGCTGGTTGGGAAGACGTGTTAACGCAACTTCATATGATCGTAGAAGTTCACTGGATTTACCTTGATTATGGAGACGACGTAGGAGGCGGTAGCTTCGAATTTGCTCATGTCGACATCGAAATGGTTTAGTTGGTTATGTTTGGCCTTGTTCAGGATGATGTTGGAGCGTTCGCGCACTGCATGGATGCTCCGTAGGTATGCGGCCGGGTCCAATGCTGGGTCTGGGGGTCTGGCGATAGGGAGTTCTGGGATTGAAGCTGGTGGACCACTTCCCTTGTATCCTGGCGACCTTAGGGATGTGTTTGATGTGCGAGCGCTGTTGACGGATACGAAGGAATCGTTCTCATTCTCGCTTTGAATGGAATTCTTTGAATCTTTGCGCTTGAATAGCCCCATTGTTGCGTGAGTTGGGAGTTTCACCCCAGACCTTGGGACTCAAAGGTTGGAAGAGGGCGCCAGTGGAGTAATCGAAAGGAGGGGCGAAGAGAATGTAGGTAGTTCGGATAAGGAGTTCACAAAGAGGGGGGGGAAAGTGACATCTGGAGGTTCTGATGTTTTTTTTTTTTTGGTTTTCTTTTCTTTTCTTTTTTTTCTTTACTAAAATAACATAATAAAGGCTCTAAGGGTATAAACTAAGTAAAAATAGGTAAAATAATAATGGTGATTTTTTTTATGGGGCTTGATGACTGGAGCTCTTTAGCTGGACAAGGGCCATTTAGTAAGGGCTAGACGTCCGAGGGTTAATAATTTGCAGAATTATGGAGTCGATTTAGGGGAAATTGACTCTGGCAAAGTCTGTCGGAATCCGGCGAAGTCTGGATCGAAGAGAACAAGAGCGAGATTGGGTGATACATAATCCACAACTCGTACTTTATGCAGAACCGGTACAGAGTACCGGGTACGCAACTAGTTAGCTCAATGGGCCGGCATCTAAACCTACTGGCGTATATTGTACATCGGAGTACATGCACCTAGTACATATGTATATTTTACTTTCCTACTACAGTAATAGCTGTAGTACGTGTGCACAACAAAGGCGTTGTGTGCGGAGTACTACCATTCCCGCAGATTAGGACCGATTGCCGTATGAGGTATGGGGATGGGTCGCGGAGGGGTGGGCCAGTCGGAAAGCAAGAGAAGGGACTATCATTTCACTGTGGCAATGGACGAATTGAATGGAAATATCAGATAAATTTTGGTCCGAGGTGCCACCAGGTGGTACGTGTATAGATCGCTCACATGCAGATTAATTCGATCAGACCAAGCCCTATTCGAGAGAGAGAGAATGGTACGGAAATGCACGGACTAGCGTACCGTTCAACGAAAAAAAGCAAATAAAATGATAAAATGATAAAAGGCACGGCTTGCCCTATACGGAATCTCGAACCCACTTCGGGTACTTCAATAATGGTGTGAATGGTCAGCTATCGCGCATCGCGTTAATTTCCGTGTGAATATCTGGTTAAACAAGCGCACGTTCGAGATTTTATGGTTTAAGTTCAATTCCAAGGTTATTATGGGTAATAATTAATAATAGGCTGCGTTTTAGGGGAATAATTCTGGAACTTCATATGTAAACCCCCAAGGTGCGCCTTGGTACGGAGGATGGGAAAGTACAACGCACAGCGTACAACGTGTACACCGAAAACCGGACAATTGACTTGGTTCAATGTCAAAACGCTTCCTGCCAGCATTATCCCTATCAGCTAGAAGAGGAAGGTGTCGCTTTCCACATGTACGAATATGAACTACGTCTCTCAAGGCCAGACTCCAAGGTTTCACATCGCAATCTGCCCCTCTTTCCGGAAATGTGTCTAGACGATAGTTGTAAAGTAATTGCAGGCTCAATCCTTATTTGTCACGAATAGATACAATGCATGATACATGTAGAATAGTGGAGAGTGCAGGGGTGCGAAGGATGATAGTTCTATGACGTTGAAATCCTTCGACCCTTAAATGTAACATTTTGACTCTTACCTAGGTAGGGGCCTCATCTTCCCGACTTAAGCCCAAATTTATACGATAATGCAAGGACCCAGCTAACGGGAAGCACGGGCCTGGCCACTCTGCTGGGTCGTTTCAGTTTAACTCTGTTTTTTTTTTCTTTTTTCCTTTTCTTTTCCTAATTTTCCTTTCTTACTTTTTTTCTTTCTTTCGTTCTTTCTTTTTTTTCCCTTCTGAGTATGGCAGGTAGAAATGGATCATAACTTTCACGGAGTACATTGTATCCATATTGACTTGGCGACAATAATTGTGTATTGCGTGAAGTGACTATTAATTGTCCGAGCCCTGAAAGTCAGGGGCGTCAGATCCACCGATTTGATTTCCATTCGCTACCGTGCTCGTCCTCCCGAGAGGTTCCGCTGTTTTTTTGAGAAAAAGCGGAGTTCCGACTTGCCTTTCTACCGTAAAACACTTCTTGGTCTTAAATATTCACGGAGAACTCCGTTGCATGGCGTTGTCAAGACACAGTACGGAGTACATACAATATAGAAGAGACACTTGAAATACTATAGGACTCTTTATAGTTACCCCGCCCTACGGACTAGATAGTATATCAATAGTAGGAAACTCATTTTTGGGAACTCGACGATGAGGGGATTTTCCCTGAAAACGAGTACAATAATCAATAATGATACAATATATATGCAGGCCTAAACTTTGATCTAGATTATCGATTTGGATACATTCGGTTCGGAGCTGTAAATGAACTTACCTGAGCACAGAAGTTATAGTATAACAAGGTGTAGCCTGATTGGCCTTGTCACTGGCATCTCTAAGACATACACTTTCCAAGTGTACTCTCAAGGCATCATTTTTTTTCATATCTTTTTGGGCGTCTTTTTTGGTCCTCTTAAAACCATACTAAAACATCAACCTTGGAAAGAGCCGTCAAGATCTTGCAATCCCCCGAACCATGGTAGGGACGGAATTCCCGCAACCCACTCGGGCATCCACCCACTATCAGTATCTACACATGTATACATACCTACTTACATATAGATATCTTTAGAATCGCTCTCACCTGTTGGCAAACACTGATATCACTCACATGGACAGCTACCATGTTCGAACAGCACTTCCATGCTCGGATTAAGTTACGTGCTCTGTTACGTTCGCTACTTCCCTGACCTAGATATCTGTCACTTCCTACTCTCTCAGCTCTCATTCTCTCACCTCCCACTACCTCGCCTGCTTCTCTCCCCCATACACATACACTGAGAGACGTGATCTACCTTCATAGCTCAGCAGCATGGCAAACACTGAGCATGAAGGCCACCAAGAGTCGGAGGAGACCTTCGATTCTGATTACGACGAAGGCGATGCCGTCCTAGCTCGGGGTGGCCACGCAATTACCACAATCTCGCGAAGCACGGGTTCCGTCCTGTATGGACTTCCTGGGAAGGCTACCCTGGGGACGAGATCCCGGAGGATATTCGAGAATGGCTTGATGAAAATGCCCAGCGTAGTAAGTTTTCCTTTTCCTTTTTCTTTTTTACATCCTTGTTTATCGGGATTAGCAGCTAATCTCTCTACGACAAGGATCTACCGAAATTATCGGCCCCCTACGTAGCCTGGCATGGCTAGCGGGTCTGGACGAACTTGTCGAAGCCATAGACCATCCTGCGTACGTTATTGAGGATGACATAGAAGTCATTCCTCTCGGGGCAGGCCTGTTGTGGCCACTGGATCGACGGGTAGAAGAAGGGACCGTACCACCCATGATATGGACCAAGGCCTCAGGAAACAATCCACCGGTCATTTCCTCGCCCCTCGTAACGACAGTCCCAGGCACCGTACCAGCAGCTGTCAAAGACAGGCTCAATACGCACAAGCTCCGCGACCTTTACCCTTCTTCTCGAATCCAATCACCAGACCATGTCAAATGCCTCAAGATACCGTTCGACAAAAACATCACTCGACTAGAAGCAAATATCGGGAAGCTCGTGGGAGCTCCGCTTGAATCAGGAGACCTTTGGTTCCGGGGATTAAGTTTCGGTGCCCTAGAGTCGAATCTAGCCTTCTTCATCCCGGAAAGGAGCAGTCACGGCTCTGACAATGAATTTGGTCCTGGATTTTACACTGCGGACACCCTGTATTTCGCATTGGCATATATTCGAATTGGAGGCGCCATTATGGTCTTTAAAGACCCAGATATGCACAGTACCGAGGTTTGGGAGCCAGATTTGCAATCCTGGAATGCTTGGGTGGCCAAATGGAAGCATCTCCCACTGGAGATTGCGCAGCAGCCAATCCCAGTGGAGTATGGCAGCGCGGACTTCATTAAGGGGGCAATTTCTAGCTCGGCCCAGGCAGGCCGTCGGGTTCCTACCCCGTCAGAAGATATCCAGTTGGTCGCCTGCAGCTATAAAGGCTGCAAGGCTTTGTCCGAATCACTTGAGCTAATAATCTATGTTGAGCGGGCCTAGGGAGTCTTGTTGGTCCTTTTATGTGGCCCTCTTGGCTTTTTGCTCCGTAGTTAAAGGACGCTTCATTTTTAGACGGACATTACTTCTTGCTACAACGTGACCATTTTCATTTGCACCTTTCGGTCCACTTTAGCACCTTAACACATAGAAAGATAACTTGGGATCGTCGACATGGAAGGGAACTGTGTATACTTAGTATAGTCATGGATTATGTGCATACAGCGTTAACGCTGTACGCACGTGGTACATGTCTATATAGATCTGCACTGCTGCCCTTGATACTGCCTACATACATGCATCTTGGGTAGTCTGTACAACATACGGATTCCCGGATTCCCGGACAAGCGGCTTTGAAAGACAGCGAGTTCTGTGGTTCTTTGATCTTTTAGCATTCACTACGGACTATGCGGGGTACTGAAGAGGGGGTGGGCACATATGGAGACCGGACTGCCGCGAGAGTTGCGCCATTCCTCTTGATTCTCGTATCTTCTTGCCAAACTTCATTAGCCTGGCGCGCTAATGCAGAAAGCTTTTCTCAATTAGTGCTTTCCACTAAATCTTAAATGATCTAACGTCACGAATTTAGCGAATGATGCAATAGCCCCTTTTCGACGCTTCAAAGGAGACTCTCATACGGGGTAAACCGAGTACGGACTACATTTGTAGCTTGAGAGAACATAAATACATATGTAGATATGGGTTGCAACTTAGGGTGAATAATGTATGTTGGAGGCCTTGGATCTCCAACTACCCCTCTACCCCTCTACCCCTTTTTGATGCTTCCAGAAAAGACAAAATAGTTCTAGACTGGTCGGAGTATTGCATTTCCCGCCAATGACGTCCCAATTGGGGTATGATACGCGTTCGTCAAAAGTAGAAATGGAACCGAGTTAGCCAAATCTGCAAGTAATTTAGACCCTGGAGGCCAGGAAATCTCTTGGTTCCATTATGATTGACTGGCAGTTTAGGTTCCGCCGGCTTGCCATCTCGAGATCTTCGAGGGCAAATCTCTTCCGCGGTCTCCAGATTTTGGCTTTTTGCCGCTTAAATTGCCAACGTGCATGGTGGACGGAGTACGGAGTACCCTGTACGGAGTAAGTATTCCGTACGTTGTTTGGCTGTGGTTACGGTACTTGAGCGGCCACTGTTATAGACAGTTCCCTGCCTTTCTACAGGAATAGCTTTAACGACCGAGGCACGTTGCCCTTGCCGATAAAACCGAGATTCATGGTCCCTCCAGTGTAAGATGTTTAGAGCCTTTCTCAGTGCCTTGGCCTGCACAAATCCATCATCAGAGGATCTGGGTGAGGAGTGACTTATATCCATCATGCGTTGTCGGTGTATTGTTAGGCAGTCTCTTTTCTATTTAACCATCGGATTTGCCAAGTTCGTGGGGTCAGTTGGGTGGAGCAACTATGGTGATATCTGCGAATACCCCCCATGTTCTTTTAGGAATTGAGGGCGAGGGCGATTTGAGCGATTATTTAGTTGTTTATAAGTCAAAACATAGGGTAAAAAGGAAGAAGTTGAAGGTCTCCAGGTTGGGATATCTCTCACATCGACGTCATTGCGTATACCTTGAACTAGGTTAGTTAATGTTAGAGGCAATCGATTTCTGAGAGGCTCTCAACCTCAATCTCAGAAATTGAATATAGTAAGGTAATCCCCAGACAGCATTTAAAGGAAATGAAGCTATCCCAAAATGTGCGAGATGAAACCACAGCATCACGTGCCGGCCTCAATGCGGTCTGGATCCCCCACATGCAGGGGGCAAGTGTTTCTGCATCTGCTTGCTAGCAAACGGTCGTTGAAATTACTTCGGGCTTCTTTCATATTGTGAGCTGGTGAGATCATGGAAAACCTTCATCCCTCTTCTGGGACCTAATCCTCATTCGAACCCACCAGACGTCACCTCTATCCTTTGCGACAAGCTCACCATGGAGGACCTAAACGGCTTAAGTTGGTCCTCCGACTCCAAAAACCCAAGCAAACCACCGCCAATGAGCTCTGGGTACTTGTACCCAAGTATATCATCAAATGGCGGCTCCGGCAGGTCTACCCCGTTATCCGCGACCTCGAACCGCTCAAGCTCGCCATCCAAGCCCGCCACCTCTACCGGAGATAGCTTTGCGAATCTGGTCTCATTCAACTCTTCCGCCGGAAACAAGAACCTTTCTCTCATAGAACAGCAGAAGCGTTTGCAGGAGGAAAAGGCTAAGAAGGAAGCCGAGAATCGCAGCCGATTCGAATCGCAATACGGAGGCCAGAACAATCAATTCTGGGACAACTTTGAAGGACGTACGCGGAGCCCCGCATCTGTACCTGCTTCTCGATCTGCACCACTGCCCGCGGATGATGAGGATATTCTGGCCGCGTTCGATGCTGCAGCGCCGGTGGATGCGTCGACACATTTCCCAGTCCCCACCTCTTCGAGAGCGTCGCCTCAACTCGACATGAACAGTCGGCCAGAACCTTCCAATGGTGGAATTACCATGCAGGACAACACGGGTATGGACGCCTTTGATGACGATGACCCATTCGGCCTCAATCAATTGAAGCCAAAACCTGCTCCCGCTCCTCAGCCTCAACAAGGCGACGATGATGATTTCCTTGGTTTGCTCGGGAAGCCGGTATCGGATATCCCCCGCCAGGAACCGCCTCCCACATCTGCCACACCATCAGATCGAGACCGAGATGCATCTCCTATGCCTTCCAGCGAGGTCGATCGGGCTATTGCGGAGTTGGTGGATATGGGATTCCCCGCAGATAAATCTCGCCGGGCCTTGAATGCCACAGAGTCTGGGACCGACGTACAGGCTGCTGTTGGTTGGCTTCTTACCCAGGCTCATGCCGAGTCTCGGCAGAAGACCGAAGGACATCCCAGTGCAACTCGTCCTGCCGATCGCGCTGAAAGGAGTGATAGTCGTAACCGTGACAGGCCTTCGTGGATGAGAGAAGAAATGCCGGAATCTCGGTCACGTCAGGACAGACGGAGTCCAGCATCGGCGGACAAAGACCCTGCGCAGGTTGCCTCTCAATTTGGTAATAACTTACTGAAATCAGCTGGCTCGCTTTGGAAGACTGGCAGTAAGAAATTTCAGCAAGCTGTAAACGAATTCCACGCCGAGCATGATCCCAGCCAGCCACGTTGGATGAGGGATGCATCCTCTGCACAAGATGAACCTCCTCTCCAGCCGCAGCGTCCAGGTCGTCGTGATCAAACGGCTCAATCACAACGAGAACAGCAGGAATTCACTAATGAAGCGCTTCTTCTTGAGTCTGGAGATGGCCGGCCTCAGAAACCCCCCTCGTCCTCGTGAAAGCCACCCCGACCCAAGAAGCCAGCCTCGTAATCAACCGCCCCCTGGTGCTGTGCAGCCAAGGCAGCAAGCCAACTTCCTCCAGCGTCCATCCCGACCAAGTTCTCAAGATCCTAAATCTCGGCTTTCACGGTTTGCGGCTGAAGAGCAGACGGCGCAAGCATATGTTAGTCCTGCGAGACGCAAGCGACCTCAGGCACCACCGCCGCCTTCTGAGCCTACCGTCGATCTCTTTGATTCTCCCGCCCCTTCGGCTAGTCGTCCAAAGCCTCCTACCCCAGCCCAGACTGCCACGACTCCGACTCGCTCAGCTTCTATCCCCGTACGCCCCAAAGCCCCAACACGGTCTATTCCGCCTGTATCACAAGAGGCACTTCAATCGACACATCGGCACCGCGGAAAGGCCGCAGACTCATACAAAAGAGGTGACTACGCAGAAGCCCACCAGAGCTTCTCTACGGCTCTCGGTATGCTCCCTGACAAGCATCCTATCACTATTATCATCCGCAGCAATCGAGCCATGACAGCCCTAAAGATCGGAGAACCCAAGTCCGCCATTGATGATGCCGACATCATCCTAACGTTCATTGGCCCGTCTAAGGGTGAATCAGAGGCGATCGATCTATGCACCGGGGAAGCACCTAAGCCCATGAAAGACTTCTTCGGCAAGGCTTTGATGCGCAAAGCCGAAGCCCTAGAGCAACTCGAGCGCTGGGGTGATGCCGCGCAGACGTGGAAGCTGGCTGTAGAGTCTGGCCACGGTGGTAGCACGAGTATCCAAGGCCGGAACCGTTGCGAGAAAGCGGCTGGTATCAGCAAGCCTCAATCTAAGCCCGCAGCCCCTGCTAGGAAAAGGCCCTCACCCCCGCCTAAGAAGCCTTCGGCTATGTCCGATCTCACAGCCACATCAGCATCTGGGGCCGACTTTGAAGCGGTCAGTCGTCTGCGGCAAGCCAATCAGGCGGCTGAGCGCGCCGACGAAGAGAAGTTTGCTCTTTCTGAGAGCGTCGACGCGAAAATTGCCGCCTGGAGAAATGGCAAGCAAGACAATTTGCGCGCCCTGCTGGGTAGCCTGGATTCTGTGCTATGGCCCGAGGCTGGGTGGAAGAAGATTGGCTTGTCGGAGCTGGTTCTGCCGAATAAGGTTAAGATTCAGTATATGAAGGGCATTTCCAAGGTACACCCTGATAAGGTATGTTTACTCCCTTCTTGGTGGTATTAGCTGCATTTCATCTGATTATCCAACTAACGTTCCCTATTAGATCCCTACCACTGCCACTACTGAGCAGCGTATGATTGCTGGATCTGTGTTCGGAACCCTAAATGAAGCCTGGGATAAGTTCAGAGCTGAAAATAACCTCTGAACGCTCCTATTTCCCTGTTGATACCATCTACCTATCGTCATCACTTCGCTTGTTGCATTTCATGATCTCATTATCTAGAAGGCGGCTTTGATAGCATCTTGTCCTATAGAGAATTCCCACCTGAGCGGTTGCCTTCTTATGGTTCTGATCACCTGTAGTATTCATTCTTCACTGCTTGTTTATCATTGTCATTGACCCAAGCTCGCCTGTTATGCTCAGGTAGCCTGCATGACGACTGCTTAGGCCAAGCATTTAACGCCAGTTTCGCATATGTAAACAAACGGCTCCAAGTTAACATCCAAGCGGATTATCGATCAATTCATGACTGTCGAAGAAATTCTGCCTCTGAGAGGATTGCAAACGCTGGTTTGATACGGAGGGGTTGATGACCACCAGCCTGCCTCCAAGATTCCGCACAATGCGAGTGATTAAAGAGTCTTTGAGTAAATAATATCTGCAGCGTAGACTGTATTCAAAGCCGCCAACGCCATTCTAGTTGTGGAACTTTTATGCTAATGAAACAAATCACTGGTATGGGTTCACCCTCATGCCTCGGTGCTTTCTTCCTTCATCTCTTCTTCCTTCATCTCTTCTTGCTTGATCTCTTCTTGCTTGATCTCTTCTTGCTTGGTCCCTTCTTCCTCAGCCTTATCCCCCGATTCTGGCTGTGGCTTTTCCGCCGACTGCTTCTGTTCTTCGCGGAGCTTTGCCCGTTCCATGGCAGCCTGTCTCTTCATTTGCTTCTTGCTTGTCTTCGGCTCATTGTCGGACCTAACGACCTTGGCAGATGGCCATTGATCCCGGCACTTTTGCTCATCTTCTTCAGACCAAGCCCGAGGCAAGATCGCAAAGACTAAGTATGAGGTGTGAGTTCGGAGGTCCGGCTCTGATCGATGCGTCAAGCGACCCTGGGCATATACAGGGATATCGGTCTTCTCCTTATAGAACGGCGTCTCCTTCGCAATCGGCTGATAATCTGGCTGGTCTTTGGTCAATCGGTTGTCCCGGATGAGCTTGGCACGTTGTTCATCACTGCGAAGTTTTGCGACTGCCTCCTCGACGGTCTTAGGAAACAGTGTAGCTCCGCGCACGCCTTCGGTATCCAGACCAATACGCTCCCGCTTGACATCTAGCCGACGCTGGGCAACTTCCACCATTGAAATATTGAGCCATGATAGCTTGCGCATAGTGCGAATTGTACGCTCTGCTTGCTCGAGACAGGGCGAGAATGTACACAGATAAGCTGGGGATTCAGGGTCCAAAGCCGATTCCTGTCCGGGTGGCGGAGTGCGCGTGAGATGTTTCAGCGCGAGCCAGGGAGCAGGAAGATCCAGGAAGATGGCGTTGGCTTTGGGTGATTTGCCGGTCTTGGGATCGCCCAACAGGAATCCGTCTTCGTAGACATCGCGATGCGTAGCCTCCACTATCCCGTCGAGACCGTGATCTCTCAGTTCCTTCTGCACTTTGGCCGCGCGCTGTTCGTGGAATTCGAAACTGCAGACTTTGCCTGAGACGTCGCCGTTTCGTCGCTTCTTCTGTCCCGGGATACCCGTTGAAAACGGCGCGAGCGGAGGCGTGCGTGAACGAGCCGCTGCCGGCTCCGGCTTCAATGACTGTACACCCCGGTCGTGCGCGGAGTCGGTGGAGGATGTAACTGTAGTCTGGGGTGTAGACGACCTGCGTGCGGTGTGGAAGAGATATGGTCCATGCTTCGGGAGTCGGGGCAAGGATGTGTAGGAACCCACTCTCCGCAGAGACGGGGGCTCTTAATGATGGCTTCTTCTTCTTCTCCTCTTCTGCGCCAGTTGTTGTTGCCTCGGCATCGAGCTCCTCTGCCTTGCGCTTAGCGGATTGGGTGCGACCGCGCGAACCTGTGTCGACTTTCGAAGCGACAATCTGCGAGCCCCAGGGCTGTCCGATCAGAGTGCTGTGGGGGAACGAGCCAAAGCGGGTGTTGGTGACCTTTCCTTCCCAATAGCCTTGATTCTCATCGTCATGGTCGCGGAGGATGGTCGGAACGATCTGGTCGCGGCGGAGTTGCAAGAGGGCAAGGCTATCTTTGTCGGCTATGGTGTTCCGTGTGAGGAACGGGGACGTCATGGTGAGCGATATTAGTGAGGGTAATGGGTGTGGACAATCCCTAACTTGCTAGATCTCATTGCCTCTCCGCAAAGAAAAAAAGTATGTCATGCTCATTGCCTGATCGGGCCATAAACTAGGGCTCAGGGCTCGGTCCTCCCATCCCCAGTTGCCGCCAATCACAGCGAGTCCGCAGTTGATGGATGAGTCGATCTGGTCCTGACAAGAGCCCCTCCCCCTCCATTGCCTTTGTTTCTCTCTTTATGCTCTCCCCCCGACCCTCCCTTCTTTCCTTTTCTTTCTTTACACCGTCCAAACAGCGGTTTTTATTGTCGGTCACTTCTTTCAGGTCTATGTCTTCTCGCCAGCAGCCGCCATGGCGGCAACCGCCCTCTGGCCCGGACGCGCAACTGCCTCCATTGAAGGTGTGGAACTCGTTGACCAAGTCCAAGACGCCCTTCGTCCCGATCGACCCTGCTGGCAAGAAAGTTGTGTGGTACGCGTGCGGACCGACTGTTTACGACGATGCGCATCTTGGACATGCCCGAAACTATGTTAGCACCGATATTATTCGCCGAATTATGCGCGACTACTTCAAGTTCGATGTCAACTTCGTTATGAACATTACCGATGTGGACGACAAGGTATGGATCAGAGTTGTGTATATGGATACAGCCTCAAGCGCGGTGACTCACCAATCCTATAGATCATCCTCCGCGCCAGACAACAACATTTGTTTAACGAATTCATCACCGCCAACCCTACGATTACCTCGGAGGTCCTAGATACCGTCAAAAGCGCTTTTGTCGCCTACTTGAAGAAGAACCTTCCCTTGCTCGACCCCGAAACCCCTCCGGCGCAGTACCAAAATGAGGTTGAAAAAACCTACGCGACTATCTTGAACGGTGGAGCTTTGCCAGGAAACGAGAAGGCAGGTGATGATGAGGCCAAGGTTAAGATGCACATTAAGACGGCTGCGTCGGCCGCAAAGGTCTTCGCGCAGGCGGAAACCCGCGATGGCTCGAGCGCCGACCCTGCTCTCTTTGCTGAGTCGTTCTATTCAAACGCGCAGGATCTCATTTTGCCTTACCTCGATGCTCTGAAAGGTGCATCGGTTGACGCGGACGATCACAGCATCTTCACCAAGTTGACTAAGAGATATGAGGAACGGTTTACTAAGGATATGCGCGACCTGAATGTTCTCGATCCCACCGAGTTGACTCGCGTGACTGAATATGGCGATGAGATTGCGGCATTCGTCGATCGAATTGTTAAGAATAACTTCGGATATGCTACAAAGGATGGATCGGTGTACTTTGATATCAATGCCTTCGAAGCTGCGGGCCACCCGTACGCTCGGCTTGAGCCATGGAGTCGATCAGACAACAAATTGGCTGCTGAGGGCGAAGGCTCTTTGGCCAGCAAGACGACAGAGAAGCGCGGTGCCTCCGATTTCGCTCTCTGGAAGTCGTCCAAGCCAGGCGAGCCAAGCTGGTCTAGTGCCTGGGGCAAGGGCCGCCCTGGTTGGCACATCGAGTGCTCAGCCATGGCATCAGCCCGGCTGGGCAACCAGATGGATATCCACTCTGGTGGTATTGATCTTGCCTTCCCGCATCATGACAATGAGCTGGCCCAGAGTGAGGCATACTGGCACGGTGACCACAAGCATGAACAATGGGTTAACTACTTCCTTCACATGGGCCACCTGTCCATTCAAGGATCCAAGATGTCCAAGTCGTTGAAGAACTTCACTACCATTCGAGAAGCGCTTGATCGCAAAGACTGGTCGCCGAGAAGTCTGCGCATTGTTTTCCTGCTGGGCGGCTGGAAGGATGGTGTTGAGATCACAGACGATCTGGTAAACACAGGCAGCTCATGGGAGGAGAAGGTGAACAACTTTTTCCTCAAGGTTAAGGATCCTGCCGCTCTCCAGTCCTCAGGCACCGACACCACCTTTGCTGCTGATCTGGAAGCGACCAAGAAGGCCGTTCACGACCAGCTCTGTGATTCTTTCAACACTCCCGCTGTCATGGCATCGATCTCGGAACTCATCTCCAAGTTCAATATTGCCGACAAGGCCGCCGTGCCCTCCCAGGACGTCCAAGCTGCAGCCCAATGGGTTACCTCCATGGTGAACATGTTCGGTCTTAACGGCACCGCCTCGACTGACAGCACCGAAATCGGCTGGTCTGGTATTGATATCCCCGAGGAGGCCAAGCCCTATCTCTACCCCCTATCGGCTATGCGTGACACGCTCCGTGAAGCCGCGCGATCCAAGGCTGGAATCTCCGCCAAGGATATCGAGGCGGCAGTTGCTCAAGCATCGGCCCCCCAAGAGGCTTCCGAATCTGCCAAGCCATACGCTGAGCTTTTCTCCAACTTCCGTAACAAGGTAGTCTCTTTGGAGTCCTCTGATTCTATTGGAAAGGATATTCTCTCCCTGTGCGACCGTGTGCGAGACATCGACCTCTTCGATGTTGGTATCGCCCTCGAAGATCGGGAGAACCAACCTGCTCTGGTCCGGCCAGTCACCCAGGAGATGCTTAAGGCGCGGGAAGAGAAGGAAACTCGGGCTCGCCAAAAGCAGGCTGAAAAGCTGAAGAATCAGCAGGAAGCTCTCAAGAAGGCGGAGAAGGGCAAGCTGAGCCACCTGGAGATGTTCCGTACCAGCGAGTACACTGCCTGGGATGACGAAGGCATGCCTACTCGCGACGCTGCCGGCGAGGAGATCACCAAGAGTCGGGCGAAGAAGCTTCGCAAAGACTGGGAGCGTCAGAAGAAGGCACACGAGGCTTGGTTGGCTACCCAGGCCAAATAGGAGCCAACAACAAAAGAGAGCATTTGATTTTTACATATCTAGTCTGATAGGTGGGTATTTTGGGGGGTGGATTTCCACTTTGCATCGCGAGGCGTCTCGGAATATATCCTTCTTGTCCTATACAAGCATATTGCCTGATTGGGATACTTTAAGCACCATCTTGATTTGCTGAATAGTTCTACTAATTGTTATGACCGTAAACTTGTCCGACCTAGCTATATCCCATCCGCCATCCCCCATGTACCACAATACACATGTAGTCTAGATGCAGAGTTCAAGATGGCCCACTGTTACTCGGCCCGACAAATCCGTGCCTGCGGAGTGTGGAGGCCCGGAAGACCCCTCTTTATTAAATGCAGGAGTTAGGGAACGTGGGATGACCATTTCCGAATTTGTTTTCCTCTTCTCTCCATCCTCTCGGATTTACTCTACACTCAAGATGGCTGTACAGACAGGCCTCGATTATATGCGTTCGCGCACGCTGGTCGACTGTGATACCATGGACGACGAAGGTGAGTCAACTGGTCCTTGTACATCGTAGACATTATTATATTACCATTTCCAGATTGCTAACTGCTTTTTAGTCGCCAAAACCCTGGGCCCATTCCAGGACTGCACTTCTAATCAGGTAAGCACATGGACATCCCGTGGACATAATTAGGCCATGAAATTGACCGCGCAGGCTATTGCACTCGGCGAGCTTTCTAAACCAGAGCGATCTGAAATCATCGTCTCAGCGCGGTCAGATGCGGCAGTGCTGCATGCGAAGTACTCCATGGATATGAACGAACTGGCTGTCGAGATTTCGGTGAGTTGTGCTTCGACTATAGCATTGAGGGACTCGAGGAAGAAGTCGACTAACATGGATTAATAGATGGTTAAATTGGCCTTGGAAATGGCAAAACACATTGGTGGACGTGTCCACGTACAGGTCAATCCTTATTATTCGTACTCGACGGAGAAGATTATCGTCAATGCATTCCGTATGCTGGACTCTTCCTACTGGCAGCGTTGTTTCTCGGTTAAATCTGATGCTGACGATATCAATCATAGGAATCGTGCAATTGTTCCAGCATTACCAGCCCGACTTCGACGTGTCTCGAATTTGTATCAAGATTCCGAGTACATGGGAAGGAATGATGGCCTGCCGCACACTTGAATTAGCTGGTGTGCGTACTCTAGCGACGACTCTGTTCAGCATGGCTCAAGCTGTACTCGCAGCTGAGGTCGGCTGTACTTATATCGCACCGTATGTGAACGAACTGAAGGTGCATGTGCAACCAGGGTAAGTTTCAAACTCTTCTTTAAAATCCCTACCTAACAATCCTGCCTCTTAGTTACGTGGACAATGCGAAATTGCTTCCGCTTTGCGCAGCTATTCAGAAATACTACAAGTCCATCAATTCGCGCACCAAAGTCCTCCCTGCTAGCTTGACTTCTGTCGAGGAGATCTTCTGCCTTGCTGGGGTGGATCACATCACCATTTCACCTGGTCTGTTGACACAATTGAAACAACCTTGTGCAGGAAATATCAAGTCATTGTTTGATATTGCGCCGACACTTCCTATCCCGGCACGGGGTGTCTCTTTCATCAACGATCGTGGAAGCTACCAGATCACGTTTGCCCGAGATCAGGGTGGTGCTAGTCAGATCAAGCTGACTGAGGTAAGCACATACGCTGATCGATCTTTAAGCTTCGCTAACAGAGACCAAGGCCATAAATATATTCTGTGATGCCCAGGATAAGTTGGAGCAGCTTATGAGGGGACGTTACCCATAGATCTTTGAATTTTGATAGCTCATGATCAATTCAATGCCATTTTATTTGAGCTGTAGCTTTATATATTGCAGGAAATAGGAGGAATTGAAAGAAATCAGCTCCTGAAATGCCGTCTACTTTCTGAACTTCTTATACTTCTAGTGCACGTGATCACACGTCATCCATGGCTCCGTCTTCCAATTCTCTTCGCACCTCCAATTGCCTTATTTCCTTTTTTCCTTATTGCCAACTTGCACAGAGCTGGATCTTCCAGCAATTACATCTGTTTATATTGGCATTCTATTTTTACATTGTTTCGCTTCCCAAACCTCTATTGAGAGTACCTGAAAGTACTTGACTCTGAGTCGCACGGTTCGCCTGCAAGATGTTCCCTTCGCAGGCGGCTAATTTTAACATTGAGGCCCTTAGCGGCATCTGCGGGTAAGTTAAACAAGCTGTACTTCTCTTCTTTTCATTTTTGGTGGCCTTCCATTCGCTGTTATATTCATTTACTGCATGCACGTGTGACAGCGGATCTAGATCTACTTGGCCCGACGATCTTTGCATGTTTATGTTTTGTTTTTCTTAATCCAATACTAACCAATCCAGATCTATTTCTATTGCCTGCTGGGTTGTCGTTTTCTCCCCTCAGATCATCGAGAACTTCCGACGTGGCTCTGCAGATGGCCTCTCTCTCATCTTCCTCATCATCTGGTTGGCTGGCGATGTGTTCAACATCTTAGGTGCCGTCCTACAAGGCGTGCTCCCTACCATGATCATCCTTGCAGTGTACTACACTCTAGCAGATATCGTTCTGCTGGGCCAGTGCTTTTACTACCGTGGGTTCAACCTCAGGGAGGAGCTATCCCCCTCTACCACACCGGACCTTTTCGCATCCAACGGTACTACAGATGCGGAGCTGCATGGCGCCGATCAAGCAGCACCAACAGAGAGATCAGCCCTCATCCCAAAGTCCAGCGGCCAGGCCCAGACTCAAGACCCAGCTACAAACATAACTGGACAGCAACCCCAAGCCGGGCCACACCCACCCTCCGCCGGAAGACGGCACTCAGCAGCGTCGTACCATGATCTCTTCCACTCATCGGTAGACGCCACCCATCTATCACCCGCAACGCCCTTCGTGGAACCCACCTCCGATTCCGCGGAACTGCGTGCTCAACGCGCCCGCCGTCGCCGCATCTCCGCCCTCCAATCCATCCTGTTCAACTCCACGGCTGTCGCTCTAGTCTGTGCTGCGGGTGTGATGGGCTGGTTCGTCAGCCCGGCAGCAAAGTCATCATCGCCAGACCCGGAACCTCTCACCATGGACGTTCTGGGTCAGGTATTTGGTTATTTCTGTGCAGTCTTGTATCTTGGCTCACGCCTGCCCCAGCTTCTCTTGAATTACCGCCGCAAATCAACGGATGGTGTTTCACTGCTGTTCTTCCTCTTTGCTTGCATCGGGAACTTGACTTATGTGCTCTCTATTCTGGCATACTCGCCTATTTGCCATGGGTCTTCCGAAGAGGTTCTGGGCCACCGCCGTCACCGTGCGCATTGTCGTCCTGGTGAGCTAGCTGCGCTGTATGGCCGGTATATCTTGGTGAACTTGTCCTGGCTGGTTGGTAGTGCTGGCACGCTGCTGCTGGATATGGCGATCTTTACACAATTCTTCCTGTATCGCGATGGCAAAAGTGATGAGGAGGAGGAAGAGTAGATATTCAGGAATTAGATGTAAGTTATAGTACATACATGAATGTTTTGAAATACATATTGTAGAACTCCAGCTGCCAGCTACCTTTATTAGCAGTACCTGTGCCTAGCAATACTCCTATTCCACGGCGGTAAATAATAGTAAGGGCTTAAAACAATGTGGTATATTCCCATCCCCCTACATCGTTTGTACCTACAATGTAGCAACCTTCTATAGCGCAAAACAAGTTGAAACTACCAGCTGCGTATTATAGGACCAAAGCAACTCATTGGAACAAACTTAGGGGAATGTACAACTACGAAACAACATAGACTTGACAACGTAATTAAATAGACGCTGGAAGTGAGAATGTGGTCATAGTCCTGGGAGAACAGGCAGAGCCATTATCAAAAGAAAACATAGGTGAGATGTATGTCTTAACTGCCAACACATCCCATGCTTCTATTTCAATCAGGAAAGGGAGGATACTCCCTAGATTCCCCAATGCGTTGTTGATGACCTGGCTATTAACCATGAGGTTCTGATATGATATCCAACTGAAGTATGAATGTTCACCGTAGCAAAACGCCTCTCTTCCTCAAAGCCCCGACAGAGGCAGGGCAAAAGAGCCGTAAGACCAGTCAGATGGACCTAAGACACTGCGCTGGACACGCTGCCACTTGTACGTGGATATAGAAGGAACTGGGCTTCGGTGGTGCCAGCAACTTCTGATAATCATAATCGCACTCAATAATACCGCATCACTGCGGTCTTCATCAAAGTAAACGTCGGCCAATTGGCTCGACGAAACCATATTACAGTTCTCCGAGACGTTCACTAAATGTGAACCAACCGAACCACACATTCGCCTTAAGTAAATGAAGAGAGGTAAACTGGCGGTCCGTATTAATTTACAAGTTGAGTTCTCGAAACGGGAGGAGGGTAAAAACATACACGATTGGCCCGTTTCGGCCATGAACCATCAACGACATGGGCAAAATGTCAGACCCTTAGACCTGAAACATCTCCGATAGTTTGCATCATCCCATACCGGTAGCGCCATTGTGCGCTTGAAGGGGGTATATCAGCTCCTGGAGGAGATGCAACTTTACCGCTGAGCCAACCATCCCCATCGAGACGCAGGCGTCTCAATACTAGCAGACTAGCACAACCATACCAGTGCAGATTATGGCTTGCAGGACAGGGGTGAGTGAAAGACAGAAGTCCCAGTGAGGTGTAGGGGGGGCCGGCGCCAATATAAGTTTCACGGAGAACGAATAGAACTCAGACGAAGTCCGAGCCCTAAGCGCCCACAGCCTATCATTTTGCCTTTGAGTATACTTACTTGCAGGGCTAAGCTGACTTGTAACCCCAAGTCCTTTCGCCTTATATTCTCTCGACGATCCCATATCACGATATCCGGTCTATAAGATCCGTGGAAGCTTCCCATCCAACAGTATATCTATATGAAAGGTTGCTGTTGAGTTGGGTTTCATTCTTTGCAGCGTTGTTTCCAGCCCAACTTTCCAGATGGTTTTATCAGTAAGACAGGAAATGGGTATATATACTCCAGTTCGATCGCACCATGGGGAGAAGTATTCAGAGATCAACTCGAGATACAAAGCAAGTTAGCAAACCATCCACAAGCACCTCATCGACCAAGACAAACTATTTACTTCTTGCCTAAACAACCAACTCGATGCCCGCCGTTTTGATCCAACCGATGATAGTGGTTGCTGACGACTTCGGAAAGGGCAACTGGTTCAGTTCCGATGGTGTTGAGGCACATAAAATGGGCACATCCTCAGTTATAGCAATTGCCAATGAGGAAGGCTTTTTGCTCTCTAATGCTTCCTCGGATTCGTCTAAGGATATCGATGCTGCATACGAGTTGTGCACACGATACGAAGAGAACAAGCCGCTCTTCTGCAACAAGCCGGTGACTGTGTGGATTGTGTACGAGCAGGGAAACGAGAGAGGATCAAGTATCCGGGGAATCATGCGGGGAATCCAACCTGCTCCTGCTCGGATTGTCGAGCAGAAGTATTATGGGGAGTCCTTCATGAATTACCCTACTGACGAAGGTGCTCTGTTTCGTCTGGAATTGGTGGGTCGTACTCTCAGGGCTACTATGTGCCGGCAGGATGGACATGGTTCTCCTGTTGCGGTCACTGACAATGGGCCGACTCTGGTACATGGTCAGTAGAGTGCCCTGGAGTGCTAGCAGGCTTGGGCTTGCGCTTGGGCTAGGGTTGGGTTGTGTTCTAAAATTGAATATCTATTGGTGTTTGGAAAGGGGATCTCATGGAGTTTACATATTGAACTACTTTGCTTTTCAGAACTAAGATTAATACATAATTTGGAAAAAAAGACAGTATATTCAGTAAATTGAGACAAATCTCACAACGAAAAGTTGCGATACCTGGTAACACCTCGCTACATGCGACTTAGCAATAAGAAGAGAAAATGACAAGTGGAAAATCATTCAGGGCGAGCTTCCACCTTCCCCTTCGCAACCTCAGACCAGTTCGTGCTCAGCGTGGTCCCCTGGCTTTCGGTGTAGCTTTTGATCATAGCCCGGCGCGTCTCTGGGTCAGCGTTGGCATACAGCTTCTTGAAGAACCCGTCGACAGCATCACCACCTTCGTCATCCGATACATTTTCATTATCCCCTGACTTGCCCTTTGCTTTCTTCTCAGTGAGCGAGGATGCGACCTTGTCCCAATCCTTGGTGCCGTGGCGTGAAGAGGTGGGATACGAAGGTCCCGCGGTAGCTGGCGCCTTTTGCGCGGCTAGAGGGTCGGCGTGTGAACCTTCGAGAGCACTCCAGTTTTGGCCGGCTGTAAGCTTTCGCAGAGTGAGTTCAATCTTGGTGCTCTTGACTGAGACTTTGGACTCGGCGGGGTTGATAGATGCATAGAGTGGGTCGAGGGTAAAGTCGTATTCAGAGCCAGATGGGAGGGGGAATTGCAGCGAGACCTTTTGCAGGATTAGTTATGACCAAGAATGGCCGGGCACAAGATTACTCACCAAATCTTCTTTCAGATCGACTGCGACATTGTCCTTTGAGATTCCCTTGACATAAAGAGTCACAACCACAGAATCCCGTGACTGATACCACTCATGGCGAACCTTGTCCGGGGTAATCGAGGTAGCCGTAGCACTGGTGTTTGAGCTTTGAAGTCGAGAAGCTAAAATAGCCTCCGCTGGGGGATAGGGTCGAACCCTCTGAGGGCTGCTCAGTCTGCTGCGAGGCTGGGGCCGCTCCCACGTTGTTGCCAGCGCTGAGGCCAGCGCTGAGGCCCGTCAACTGAGCCTTCACCTCATCTGCAGTGGGAACGTGAATGGAAGACGGGAATTCAGCAATAGACACAGCGCGCTTCGGATCGTCCTTGGGTAACTCTGCCAGCTTCCGTTGAAGTTTGGCGGTCCAAATCGGCATTTGGGCTCTGTAATTGTTCCTGGGGCCACCCCACCCAGATCCTGGTCCTCCCATAGCAGCCTGCACCTGCTCCGACTTATTCTCTGGCACTTTCTGGCTCTTTGTTTTCTCTGCGATAATTCCAAACACAAATTCTGCATCTCCATACCGTTCAAGCTGGTACAGCGAGACGGCGCGGCGCATCTGAGCGGAAATGATCAGCTCGCGGTTTCCCCGCTCTTTGGCAAGTTGGAGTGCAATTTCGGCGTCGTTCAGGGCGGCCTGGTAGTTGGGTCCGCCATTTTCGGGCTTGAGGCGCGAATAGGCAGTCGAGCGTGAAATGTAGTAGGCCGGAGCGCGGGGTAGCTCGCTCAAGGCGCGGGTGTAGTGTTCGATAGCGATAGGGTAGTTGGATTCGGCCGAGGCTGTGTCACCCTGAGCTGCAGAATTCATGGTGATATGACGAGGGAACAGAAGTTGATTAAGTGAAGAACAGCATGTGCAATCAAGAGAAGAGGGTTGAATGAGCCTCAGTGGCCCAAGCTCCTGTCGATCACTCATTTTGGATCACGTGGTGTATTTGTGAGGGGAAGGTGAGGGGAAGAAAGAGAATAGAAACAAAACGAGACACAAGATGGCTCCAGCGCATTAGTTAGATGTCTGTATTAATTGAACACCCTGCTCAATAGACCCTTGATTATTGATTAAGTACATAATAGAATATTATTTTCCCTTTGAGATAGTTTACACGAGCTCTGCATTTCCGAACTTCTTACTATACAAGCCCAAGGCACGGATCGGCCAGTAGAACTTGTAGTTGGGGTACGAGATCATGCTATAAAGATGGTCAGTAGGTAAAAAAAAAAAACAAAGTATCAGGACGGTCTCACCAAGACTGATTGAATACACCCTCAATGGCCTCCTGTAGCCACTCGCCATTCCGCTGCTGGCGAGACATCAACAGCTTAATGCCCCTCTCCAACGGTTCTTTGTGCGGGTAGCCCGCCTCCATAAGCGCAAGAAGAGACCATGCAGTCTGACACACCTGGGACTTTTCGTGCTGAACATACTGATGGGTCGAGCTACTAAGATATGACTCGCCCCAGCCACCATCGGCCTGCTGCTTCCCGATCAGGAAGTCACAACCGCGACGAGAGTCGGCGCTCGTTTCGTATGTCTCGCCGACGCTGGCCAAACTCTCGAGCGCAAACAACGCAGCGTAGGTGAAGCAGATACCCCACGAGCCGTACCAGCTACCGTCCGCGCGCTGTACGCGCTTGATGTAGCCGACGGCCTTCTGCTTCGCGGCGCGGATTTCGTCGGCGCGGTATTTGGGGTAAAATCTGCTAAAGAGTGACAGAGCCGTAACAGATGCAGTTGTGCATTCAGGGTGGTCGTAGCTGATCATGATTCCGCCGAAGACCTCCGCGGCATTGAGACACTCGACCTTGGGTGAAGCGCGGGTAATTTCGTACTCAGAGAACCCGCCGCTTGGGTTTTGCATAAGCAAAAGACAGTCAACAGCATCCTTCAAGCGTTGTTCGGAGATCAGCTTAGGGAAGCCGTGCATTTCCTGTAGCTGAAGTGTTGACCGGAGACCCTCAGCGGTGCAATCGCTAACTGTGTAGCCTTGGTCCTTAGTGCTGAACGGCCAAGCGCCCTTGCGGTGCTGGCGGTAGCATTTCTCTTGATCTGGCACGTTCTCTCGTAATTGATGATCGTCAAGGAATTCGAGAGCTTTCGTCAACATCGGCCGCCACCTGGGCTCGTCAGCGAAACCAGCGACGACGATCGCCTGGGTGATGAATGCCGTGTCCCACACTTGCACGCCATTGGTTCCATTCGCAAGCATGCCCTCGCCCTTTACCCACATATAGTCATTCAACCGCTCCCTGTGTTGGCGGACAGAGTAACTGTCAGGGCCATCGTGGATAAAGCAAGCCACCATATTCATTGGGTTGTTGACAGGTCCCAGCCCTGCATATTTGGTGTTTTCATCTTCCATGCGAATCAATTCCCAGGTCCATTCCTCGGCTCGCTTGACAATACTAGGGAGTCGAAGATAAGGGTTCCAGACCCGAACCAGCAGTTCATTGGCTGTATTCAACAGCCATGTCTTGGGGTAATAATTGTCTGCCTCGTGGATCGAATTGCGATGCGCGGCAAAATCGACAGAGCTGTATGGCTGGGTGTACAATTCCTCGCGTAGCTGTCTTGTCAAGTCGTCTAGAGGATGAGACCATTGCTTAGACCACAGCCAAGACATTGGGAGGAACACCTGGCGCATATGAATCCACCACCGCCAAGGAGCAAAGGGAACCCAGTCAGGAAGAAGCCTATGTCGTCAGTTAGTAAAAGAGAGGTTGTACATGTTGCAGTGCGTGACTAACCAGATCTCAGGGGGGAACTGGGTTGACACACTCCCACTCCATGACCCCCAGAATGCTGAGCCAGAATTTAGCCCAGTGGGGACCGTAGATGGCACCTCCAAACTTATGCAGAAGGCCCCGGGCTTTGATCATGCGCGGATCCTCTTCGCTAACACCGATCAAACGCAGCGCCACATAGTTCATACAAGTACCGAAAGCGGAACTGTGGCCTTCAATGTGCAGACCCCATCCACCATCCTCTGGGTGCTGACGAGCAAACAGATAACGCTTGATCTCTGTTGCATATTCCGGAGGAATTGGTGTATTGGTCACATAGTAAGTGATCAGAATACCCGGCAGCAGGAACATAGGGCCACCGTACTCGCAGGCCCAGTTCCCGGGCTCCAGCTGCAGATGCGAGAAAAATGAAAGTCCATTCTCGGCAGCTTTCAATGGCGTCTTGGCCTCTGGTAGCTCTGGAAGGCCCTATACGCGAGGTCAGTATTGGAATTTTTGGTCAATTGTGTGGGGGTTGAATACTGTTGGTAGTCCCAAGTGATATTTATCAGCTACTGATTGCGGCCATTCGTTGTTTTCCGCATCAGATTCGAGATACCGCCATGTTTGACGGCCTTCTTCGTCGACCAATCGCCAGCGCGTATAGTCGGTTTTAAGGTCTCCATTGGCATCTGGGGTGAGATGACCCTCAGCTGGGGTTCTCCATGGGCCGATATGAGGAGTAGAAGACATGGTATGAGGAATTGGGTCTTTCTTGCCAATCTACATATATGTACGGAGTAACCAAGACGATAAACAGCTTGGAGATGGGCCCGAGGGAAGCTTAGTCATCAGTATCACGACTGCGGTGTATGTTGTAGAATGAATCATGTGATTCCAGGCAAACAAATTAATCAAATTAATTGAAAGACGATGAGATGAGAGGTTGGAATGAAGAAGTCCTTTTATCTCTGGGATGAGAATCCCAAGGTGGATGAGAATCTTGATGGGATGAAGATCCCCCGGAAAAGGCTTGATCCGGTAGAAATGAAGCTATCCCCAGATTGTGGAGATGCCGAGGATGATGTCGTCGATAGAAATTGATGAATTGATCAAGAGATTGATGAAGATGCAGAGAAGCAATATCTGTAGGATATATGCAGGCGAGAGAGTTGTAGGAACATTTGAAGCAAGCTCTGTTTGCAAGGTTGCGAGCAGACATCATCTAAAGTACTGTATTTGGTCCCAAGGTGCAGAATCTCAAATCTCTGAGTAGAGATCTTGTCACGCTGAAGCTATCCACGAATAGGCAATTCTCCAGTCTTGGCTGAGGTGTGGATATTGTTGGAATGTGCTGATATAGAGCTTAGCTCGACTTGTATGTCGTGTTGTATAGTTGTGTACACAGTTCCGAGGATATGACTGCGAGATCAGGTTGAGTCCCCGGGCTCATAGGTATTATAAGAGGAAGAGAATCTTCGACATGTATATGGCATAGTAACCAATTTCTGATCTGTATAGATCAAGTCATAGCAAAGGTCAAGTGATTCTTGCTATCTTTTACCAGTATTAATCCAATTACCTAGATAGGTATTGTTATTGACATATGTAAGTAATAGAAATTACATGTATGTACCTAGGTACACTACCTAGGTAGGTACCGTCGTGTCATGTAAGCTCAATTACACCTGGGCACATCCACGGGTATGCTTGTTCTCCCCAGAAACATCTCGCCTTGCTCAAATCCACGGCAATGGCTGAGCCAACCATCCACAGTTTGGAAATAGACGATGGTCGAGATCCTTCAGTCCAAGGATTCATCGACAACACCCTCGCAGCCCTCATGAATGAACTCTCACGCTCCCCGGCAGAGGCAGACATTTCCATCACCCTCAAGCGCAAAGCCAGCCCAATTGCTTGCATCATCAACCCCACCACCGGAGCTTTGGAAGCGAGTCCGACAATTGATACATATAGGAAATACTCTTGGCCTGGGAAAACGGCACACGAGGCATGGAAATTTAGTAAGATCTTTCCCTCCAACCCACAGCACTGACCGCACCTGGACATCGCTCTTGGGTGACAAACTGACCGAGTCTGGGTTTCTGATAGCTGTCATTCTTCGAATCCTAGCTATATTGGACCAAGCTATTCGAACGGGTCAGCTGATCTCCAAGAGGTGAGCTAGCAATGTCCAGGAACCAGTCTGGAAGGTATGCTGAACACATCAATGCAATCACCAGAGATATATACTATATCGACCCGGAATTCTTCCGCAAGCAGTGTATCGTGGACCGCATTGTCGATGACCTGGCGTACACCATCGGAGTGAATAGGACAGCATTGAATGTGGTTTGTCCTGCGAATGCCCTGGTTTCATAGCACTCCGAAGTCGGGCTGCTGACATCGTACACGACTTTCTAGGAAGCAGCAGCGAAAGGGCTGGTGACGGGAGACTTTCGGTTGATCCGTGGCTCCCACATTTTGATCGATGCGCAGTCTGTCACCGGGGACAGTTTGATTCCTCGCATAGAGGACGGAGACGAGATCGACATTTCACGGGTCCGCTGGGTACTGGTCATTGAAAAAGAGGTATGGAGTATGGAAAGACAGCACATGCAGCAACAGTACGCTAAGCCCCTGTTCACAGGCAGTCTTCCACCCGGCTCGCGCGAGTAAGTTACCACACCAGAGCACTAGCCGGGGAAGGAATTATGGTCACGGTAAGCTGGGTCCCTGCTTTAGCATATCCTGGCCCCCAGACGAGTAACTGAACTCAACTTTACTCGGACAGGGTAAAGGCTACCCCGATTTCATGACACGAACGTTCCTGCGTGCAATGTCCGACTCCGCATCCAACCAGAGGAGACGTCCGCCCCGTTTCTATGCCCTCACCGATGGTGATCCCCACGGTATGGCCATCATGTCGACGTACAAGTACGGCTCGGCGGCACACTTACATCAAAATGCTCGGCTCAGTATACCGAGGCTGCAATGGCTGGGTCTTCGAGTGTCGGATATCATAGCAGTGCCGGAGGTACTTGGTGACACGGCTCTGCTTTCGTTGACAACGCGAGACCGCAAGAAAATCGCGGCTATGCTTCTGAACAGTCCTGTCTGGGCGAGCGATGGACCGGAGCCAGAATGGCGTGCTGAATTGCAGCGGATGCTGGTTTTGAATCTGAAGGCCGAGATTGAGATCTTGTATGGGTGCCAAGGGGGTTTGGAAGGGTGGATTAATCGAAGGATGTTTCGGCAGGAGTAAGATGCTGTAGGATATGTATCTCTAGGAAGGCCTAGATGCATAGACCACATAAAATAAAGACAGGAGCGATATTCCATAATACTTGCCAAGGATCTCCAATACTCCAGTAGAAGAACGAGACAACATTGAGGAGAGTACTAAATCAGATGCAAATTTAGCAAGTCGCAAAAAGGGAACAGAACAGTGTATCGAAAATCTGCATGTATTTCATGCGCTACCATAATGCGAGGATAAGAATGCACTGTACAGACCGAGAAGCCATCTCATATCCAAACCATGCAAAAGAAAAAAGAAACCCTCGAACGCCAGTCATCAAATCTTGACTCCCGCGCAGCACAAGCAGACCATATCGACAGACATCCACCTGCGCAGCAGCGAGAGAACCGAGGCATTCAACCACAGCCCAACCCGACTCACAGACCCAGACCCTTCTTCACCTCGTCCCTAACCTTCTGCTCGTACTCGGCTCTCCGCTCGCGCCACATCTTAGCAGCCTCGACGTTGGCGGGGCTCTCGTCATTCGGCTCGGCAAGCATGCTCATAACAGAGATGAGGATCTTCTCCACGCTCTGGATGGGCGACCAGCGCTCTGAGGCGTGTTCGTAGTGGTTTGGATCGTCGCCGGGCGGATGAAGGATGGAAATGCAGACGGTTCCGTTGGGGTATACTGTATTCCAAATGCGTAAGTAAGATGTTTGCCATTGTGCGTTGAGCAATGCGAGCAAGTAGCCAGCCGCAAGTCTTTGTCTCGGTCACGTACCGTTCGGGTGCCATACGCCACCTCCGATAAACTTCATCGTCGGCGGGCTCAAGGGGTAGTCCCTTGGGAACTTTAGTTCCGCTGCGAAGACGCCGCCCTCGAAAGGGGTTTCTTCGGGGCCTTGGATCAGGGCTTCCCAATAAAACATGTCATCTTCGGAGACGGGTCCTGCGGTGATACCCTCTGGTGGGTTGGTGGAGAGGTTCTTGTATTCGTGGAAAAGGCGCTTCTGAGCGACGGTAGACGCCATTTTCGCTGTTTAATGGATTGAGAAGCGAAATGCGTTCTGGAAATACTTAGGTGGCAGGGTTGTCTGCGGGGGCTTGGGTGGGATAAATGGTGGGGATGGAATAATTCCGGGGCGGTGGACAGGGCGTGGCGATACCGTTGGGGAACCTGGATTTAGGGCAGAGGAGGTCAAAAAAAAAGTGCGATTGAGAAAGGCTGAAGTGAATGAAAACATTCTTAGTTTAAGAGCAAATATTACATCTAAATCGTGAATTTATAGTACAGAAACTGACCCTCGTCACCAGTCAAAATAATCACCGTCACCCCCATCACCAATGTCACCTCCGTCACCCCAAGGATCATCTGCACCCCAAGGGTCTTGAGGTTGATCCTGGAAGCCTTGTGATCCCGGGTCTACCGGTTCCGATGGTGGTGCATTGGGGTCGGTTGTGCTGGCCCCCCTCTGCATTGCTTCATACCCAGCCATTGCACCTGCGGTGGTAGCACCAGAGACCATACCATTTGGCGCACCACCAGCGGTCCCAACCCGCTCAAGAGTCCCTGCAGTGGCTCCACCAACAGCCCCAGCTTCACCGGCAGCAGCACCTTCTGCAGCTGCACCGCCAGCGGGAGCCTGGCCGCCCATATGGAACACGGGCGGGAATATACCAAGGCCACCTCGTTGACGGCTGAAGTAATCAAAATCAATACTTACAGCTGTGGCCAACATAACAGCACGTTGGTCGAGGGTCATGCCTAAATTTTTGTTGCGTGATGTCTCTGTGCCGAGAGCTGCAGAATCCATTTGCATTGCATAGACACCGGTGTCTGTGAAGATTTCGCGACCGAAGCCTGCGAAATCGCGATTGACAGATCCAATTAACTGATCGTCTGCTGATTTCAGGGAGAAATCCCATGATAGAAACGGCTCATCAACGTAGGCAAATTGGTTGAATATACCCTGATTTTGGTCGGGCGTTCGCGCCAGTTGCATCTGCTGTGCTTGTGATAAACCAGAGTCAGATAGCGAGATACCACGAGTTCCCATGTCTGTTTCCGGGTTTGGGGACTGGTGATGCGTGAATAGATTGTACTTTCGCCGCAAAGGCGCCCACTGCTGCTGGGCTTCGCCGATAACTCGCATTTGACCGAGACCAAGTGGCGATATCCTTGCGCTCGACCTGGTGCCATGTTCAATGAGAGAACCGGGTGTTGTACTTTGAACAGAGGTGGATGCCGAGGAAGCATTTGGCGTTTGATCGAGAGGATCATAGACGTGAATTTGGGAGTTGATCCAAGAGAACGGGCGATTGAACTGTGATGGTCAGCCAAGCCAAAACCACAGCAAAAGAGGGCTATTTCATGCGCTTACTCTAAGAACCTCATTTTCCTGTCGGTCAAATACATGTGTCACGAAACTTCGATGGGTGTGGAACCATTGCCGTGCCATTGTATTTGCCAATCCCTTGTCCTGTTCTGCCATGTATCCAATGTGATTTCCCTGCGCATCCATGATGACATACTTATTCGCTTGTTCAAATCCACTGAGGAAGTCAGTACACACGTTTCTCTTAAATGGGCTTGCGCGGCACTCACATCATAACATTCATCATCTCTAGTTCTCGTTGTACGACTATTCCGGAGTTCGCCAATATTGAAACTGCCGGGTGGTTTTCTTTAAGCACACCTCTGGGATCTTCAGGCAAGTAAACGGGAAAAAGCAGAGTGTTTCGCGAAGGGTCATAATCGGGACTTGTGGTATCTTGGGACTCGGAGACAGCAGGTTCAGGTTTGGGCGAGGTTTCGATTTTCCTTGAAGACTGTATGAGATTTGGTCTTTTTATGCTATTGCGAGGACCTCGTCGTGATTCATGACTTCTGAAGCTTGAAAGAGCTCGAGTTCGAGCTGGTGTCCACTGCTTTTGCAGGAGTCGGAGCCTTAAACCCCACATGGTAGTTGAGAGGGACCAGATTAGCTTAGATATAAGGATTGAGGCAAAAGACTGATGGGATGCGAAGTTGGTAAGTAACCCGTGGACTCCACCGCCGAGACGCTGAGGAACCGATGACGGAAGGCCACTGCGGAGATAATCGGAGATAGCGACGGCAATTGCTTTGTAGATCGTCTACTCTTACTTGAGGCATGGGGTTCTATTTCTGTGGTATCCAGATTATTTCCAGGTCAATCCAATACTAATTATCCAATTATTTACGAGTATTACTGATGGGTGCTTTTCCAGGCGTGAGAAATCGCATCCCAAGCCATTTTGAATGCATATACATAGTAGACCACATTGGCATGTCTTAGATAGAATCACTGGATTCCATATGAACATACAGGCGTCCGTATCCACATATGAAATAAGCTTGCCAAGTTTGAAGCACATCTGGGCATGTCCAAAAAAGATTCATAGTAATTTTATCGGATTAATCCGTCCAGCGGCACCAGGCTCCATGACTTGGTCACAACCCATCGGCAGCTGCATGCGGTTCTTATATAAAACAAAGAGCGTATGCCCAAAGTCTTCACAAAAGACCCTTGCGAGCCAATTCAATTTTCCGCGCAGCTTCGCCTGCCTTGAACCCTCCCTTCGACACACAAACAGCACTTCCTTCTCCAAGTTCGACCTTCTCCTCGACATTAGGGTGGGGGCATGGGCAGTGGTGTGGGAAGTGTACGCAAGCAAGAGTTCCGGGGCAGAGGTAGTGGTCGCATTGTGCTATAAAGAAAGGTCGCGATAGTCAGTTATGTGGTCCCGAGGGCGATGTGGACTTGCGACAGTATGTTCTCAGTAGACAATTATTTTGAGACTTACCTCCATTCCACATCTGTTGGTACCGATCACTGTCACTGGGACTGTTCTGCGACCGCTGCTGTTGGCGTTGTTGCTCGCCGCCTCCGAACATCTGGTCGAAGAAGTTGAATTGGGCCTGAGCGACAGACACGAGAAGGAGAAGAGCCCAGAGGGCTTGGCGCCAGCTTTGCAACATAACTGAATAATCACACAATAATTGCAGAGTCAAGTATTTGTATAGAAAGTAGAACAAGTTCGAGTTGGTGTATAGATGAAGCCAGCTTACGGGTACACACGTGACGCCAAGCCCGATCTCCGAACGAAAAACTTCCCCTTTGGAGCTTCACGATCTACACCTCCAAACACTCCAATTACAACCCACTATGTTCAAGCCCCGAGTGCTAACGCCCCTGCGGGCGCTGGAGCGAGCCTTTACCCCGACAATCCGGTCGACACCCGCGCTCTCGCAATCGCAATCCCTCCTGCGCACCCTCTCCGCAACACCCACATTCCCGAAAACCACACCAACACCCTCCCTCTCCAGCGCACTCCTCCCATTCACACAAGTGCGTCACGCCTCACACGCCTCGCAAGGAACGGCCAATCGACACTCACGTGATCCGGCCGGTAAGCGTCTCGGAGCGAAGCGCACAGGCGGCGAGTACGTGGTACCGGGATGCATCATTTTCCGGCAGAGAGGCTCGCTATGGTTCCCCGGTGAGAACTGCGACATGGGACGGGACCACACAATCTATGCAACACAGGCTGGCTACGTGCGCTACTACCTCGACCCGCTGAAGCACTCGAAGCGCCGGTATATCGGAGTTGTTTTCAACAAGGATGAGCAGCTTCCGTACCCTCGCAACGCACCCAGCCGGCGCAAGCTGAATATGGCCCCTGTGCCGATGGCCGAACGCGTCGAGGCTCAGTCTGATCTCGTTGCTTCTGTTGATGAGAACGGTGTTCGTGTGACGGATGTCGAGGCTGTCGAGGCTGCGTCTGGCCCCCAGCTGCGCCCTGGTTACATGTACCGTGAGGCTAACTGGGAGATTGGTCGGGCTGCTGAGAGGGCTGGTATCACTGCTATGCCACATGACCGTGGTAACCGTTGGTTGGCGTGGAGGAAGCGTCAGCAGAGAGCCGAGCGGGCTGCTCAGCTGAAGAGTTTGAAGGGCAAGAAGAAGACGGCCAAGAAATGAGGACATTTGTCGTGTGCATGATGTCTTGTTCCAATAACTTCTGGGTTTCTGTAGCGATATGAGGATTTGTATCTGGTGTTCACTGTATTATAGAAAGAGCATTTACCCTTCAACTTTCCCACGTTTACTACCTTCTCCCCTTCTTTTCTAGAGGTACATTGGTGCGCAGTTGCCATTTTCAAGCCCATATTCCATGGCATGCTGATGTATAAAGTATGCCTCGCATAATTGGCGTTGCCACAGCCCAGCAAAGCCAATCAACAAGGCCATTTATTATCTAAATATCAATTTAGAAACATGTATCTAAAGCCATTGGATCCTTCTCCCTTTTCGCCTCTGAATCCAAACTAAGGCACCTACGAATCCCGGATAATATCCGCCGCGATCTTCTCGGCAAGCATATCTGTGATGCAGTTAGCACTCGGCAATTCCGAGCAGTGACCGAGAGGAACCATACAAACCGTCGACTGAGGATGACCAGGAGGAAGGAAAGGAAATGCGCTAGCATCGACTACTCGCAGTCCATCCACTCCATAAACCCGGGCTTGAGAGTCAACCACAGCCATATCATCATGGGAAGTTCCCATCTTGCAAGTACAACTCGGATGCCAAATGGTCATCACATTATCCTTGATGAACTCGAGGATCTGGTCATCAGACTGGACCTGCCGCCCGGGGTTATACTCCTCGCCAATGACCACGGGCCTCATAGCTTCACTCTGGAAAGCCTGGCGTATTCGCTTGAACATGGCAATGACAACTTCCTGATCAGCCTTGTCATCGAGCCAATTGGGATTGATTACTGGCAGATCTGAGGTATCTGCGGACTTCAAAGTGACATTTCCTCGGGACATGGGTGTAATCAGAATACCTAGTATTGAGGCATACTGGTATCCATCTCTTGGCTGGTTTGCCAGGAGATTTGACACATTGCCGATATACCCTGCGCCAGATATGTACTATAAGCTCACGTGTTATACATCTTTCTCTCTATCTGAGGGAATGTTTCTCTCACCTCTGCTTCAGGCCAGTCGGATGGAAATCCGGCTAATTTAAGGTGCGTTTGCTCAGAGAAAGCCGAGCGGAAGAATAGCGGAATCTTCTCGAAGGCCACGAAGTCCGCGATTGGATTGGTGACGAATCCATTTTTGGCAACTAGTGCATCGACAATTTGGCCAGCCGCGTATAGCAGGTTCGTAGCGAATTTAGTGAATGTTGTCGCCCGCACACGGTACGAAGGAGCAAAGAACGGGTGATCCCACATGTTCTGACCGACCCCTGGTCGATTGGCTATAATGTTGATTCCATGCTCTTGTAGTTGGTCGGCCGGCCCGATGCCAGACACCATGAGGAGCTGGGGGGACTGAAAGGCACCGGCAGAGATGATAACCTCTTCTGATGCTGAAAGAGTGATGGTATTGCCCAACAAGCCTTTCACTTGAACTCCAGTTGCTCTTTTGTTTTGATCAAAGACAATATTCTTGGCAAGGGTATTTGTGTAGGTTGTCAGTGAGTCGGGCACGATCTTGTTTAGGAAAGATGACTCGGAGCTGCTTCGGAGCTGGGTGGGTGCATTGATGGTCGATGCACAATACTGGGCTCCCATTATATTACCCAGGTTAAATTCATCTACTTGATTAATGCCGATAGCTTCCATGCCGAGGCTCATCCATGACGAGAAAGGCTGAGCAAAGTTAGCATATGACACCTGTAATGGGCCACCATCCGAATCGTAGGCATCGATATCATAGTCTGCGGACGCATTTGGAACTCTGTAGTCAGTGTTCGGGGGCGTGAACTGGACGCTCTTCTGGTAGAATGGGAGCACTTCATCGAATGTGTAACTGCTGTCATTGACCGCAGCTGCCCATAGCTCCATAGACTCGCGTGTCGGACTGGATGATCCCAGTTAGTTAAGCCGCAAGTATTCAGAGTCCATGGTCCTTTACCGTTGGTAGACCATAAAATTCAACGCTGACCTGGAGAGAAGTCAGCTTCGATCTGATATGTCAGGTTTGGAAAAGACACCTACGACCCCCCAAGACATTTTCCCCGGGTGAAATGAATCGCCCGCCTATTAGCACCCGGTTGATCTCTTGTCACAAAGCCCCAATCCACCGGTGAGCTGAAAGCAGGATCTGATCCCATTGTCAATGCAGCAGCTGCAGGAAACTCAGCCACAGACCCAAGCTCATAGTATCCCCCGGCTTCAATCAACGAAACGTCGAAGTCATTCTGTGCTAGTCGCGTCGCGATCACGCTTCCGGCGGTACCGCCACCAACGACTACATAATCGAAGGTTTGGTCCGCGATGGGAATTGCTCGTCGTTCCGCAGGCGCAGATGCCACAGTACTCGCCTGGAGTATGAGGAGGACCAGAGTAGCCTGGAACAGCATCGGTGATAGTGGTGCAGGCAAGATGCGGCCGTATTACAGCGAACCAGAACCGATATGTACAACTCTCGACCGGAACATTGCAACTGTTGCACTGAAGTAGGCTCATTTCCGGAGAGCTTGCGGTCTTGAGGTATGCAGTATAATCTGGCTTCATTGTATTGAATTATCCCTGTGCACGGCAACCTCCGTTAACCGGGTACCCGACTAGATGTAAGTGCACCTTGTGGCTCAAAATTAAGCATAACCGCGGCCCGTCAGCCCTATCCATGGATGTGATGGACGAACTTTAGGTACCTAGGTACCTACCTAGGTATTTCTGATTCTCAATCTCAACGTTACATTACATGTGTACTCCGTATCTGGATTATAGAGAATGAATAATCCCTCCGAGAATGTTTATATTTTCGTTCCAGATGAAGTACTCCGTACCTGCTTTGACCCGCAATATTAATCCGTACCTTGCATAAACCCTAGATGACCTACTAAAGTGACAGGTTTGCTTTGGGCCAAGCGAATCAGTTCGTCCAGCTGCTCACGAACATTGAGACTCACTTTAGAGTAATTAGTACTCTCGAGGGGTCATTGACCGTCTGCCAAGTAACTTGGTATATATCACTGCATATTCGATCTTCCGAAGCCCTAAATACTTAGCAGTTTCGTCTAAATCAACCAAGTGCAACATAACTGACATTTCACCAGACATAGGAGAGTTTCCAAATGGAATTTATGCATAAGATTATTTAGAATCCGATGAACCTCGACGTCCATTTCTGTTCCAATCGCAAAGTATACTAACCCCGTGAAACGTCCGTGCGCAAAGTAAGCGCCAAAACCCCTGATTATACGATATTGCAAGAACAACCATCGCTTGAATTTGTGTAGACTCCCGGAGGCGGCTGAGTACCATTTCTTTCTCCCATTCGAGTCTGTCCAGCTCGCTCCGGATATAGGAGACCATACCTGGCTCTGCTAGACGTAGACATCTTAATACACACCGCGTCAGCGGGACAAAAGATATCTTCCATGAAGAACCCGTTGCACAACCCGTTGCCTGCCTCGCTATCAAGTATCATCCCCATGCTACTGCTACCCCACATGGCCGACTCCGGGCTGACCGTGTTCCACAGGCGAGTGCAAAAAGGCCGCTGCGATTCTCGAATCCTTCATCAACCCGAAGCTCAAAATCGATGGAGAAATCCCACGAAAGATATTCGCGGGAGCAAAGGTAAGAGAAAATGCTACTAGAAAACAGCCTAAGCGATCATGACTTACTTTATGCCAGGGAATCGCCATATTCACTGCGTTCAGATTCGGATTCCTGGGCTCTATCCGTTTTGGCTCGGGACTAATTGTCGCTCGTCTCCCAGATGGCAGCTGGTCCGCCCCGTCAGCCATGGCAATGGGCGGCCTCGGCGCCGGTGGCCAATTTGGCGCAGAATTAACTGATTTCGTGTTCGTTCTGACTACCGATGCCGCCGTGAAGACATTCATGCAGTCGGGAAACTTGACCCTTGGTGGGAATATATCCATGGCTGTCGGTCCCATTGGTCGGAGCGCGGAGGCTGGGGGAGTAGTGGGGACCAAGGGCGCGACTGGAGTCTTCGCCTACTCCAAGACTCGGGGATTGTACGGCGGTCTTACAGTCGAGGGTGGTGTACTTGCCGAGCGTGCGGATGCAAACAAAAAGCTGTATGGGCGGAAGATTCGAGCGAAGGAGCTGCTGAGCGGATCGATTCCACCACCACCTGAAGCGGGAGCTCTCATCGAAGTCTTGAATGGGGAGTTCTTCCGTATCGAAGGAGCTGCTGAACCGGCTTCGGAAGGCTCCGAGCAGGCGCGCGAACAAAGTCCCGAGGCTTCTGCGCAACCCCCTGACGGGCAACCACAGGGGATTCTGGCGCCTGCTGCTAATCAGCCATCAGCTGTCGAGTCAAGCGCAGAGCAGATGCCTGGAACTGCAGAATTACCCATCAGAGATCCTCACGGTGTACCTCATGAGCGAGATGCTCAGGAAGCAATGCCAGCCACTGAAAGTAAACCAGCTATTGAGCTAGATACGGAGGGAGCAACTGGGGATGCTGGATTATTCAACGAAACTACCCACGATACGCATACGTCAAACATGCCCGAGCCTATATCTACTGCTGATCATGTTTCCGCTGTGGAGTCGAATACACAACTGGAACCTAAAGGCAAAGAACCGGCAACTGGAGACACGCACGTTACCACTCATGAGGCAGATATCACCGGGCCTATGCCCGCTACTGAGCGGCTGTCTGAAAGCAAAGAGACTGCCCCTAGTATGAATCGCTGATTACTGAAGGCTTTGTTATAATAATGTTCTATTGGCTTCCTGTGAGAATAGATAGATATCCAAAATGAGAAGAAGCAGTTCAGAGAACGGGAGCATGCCCCAAGCAGAGTGTGCACCCGCCTCATCAGCAACGAAAAAAACTTCTCAGGTGTGCGATTGCACGCCATGAGGTCGAACTGAATGATTGCTCTGCTCCAGTTCTACCAATTGTGTGTAGCTTCGACGTGTATTGTGGAGCTATGATCTGATCGGATGAAGATATAGGATCGAGAATTTTATGAGGCTCTGTTGAAGGAGCATCATCAAATAGGGAGAGGATCTCATTCCACTCAATGGACAAAACAACGAAAAGTAAGGGTGATCATGATCAAGGATTGGGCAAAGAAATTTGATATCGAAAAGGAAAGGGGGAAACATGGGGGAATTCGGATCACAGCTCATCGATAGGAAGGGTTCCAGTAGGGCTCAGTTTCGGCAACCAGGTCTGGATGGTCGCGATCAATTCCTCATACTGAATGATTCTGGTCCGTAGACTCCGAACCTCTTTGCTTAGTAGCCGATTGGTTAAGGCCACTGAATTCACGCCCGACATTTTCATCCTTTGGTCATCCGACTTCTTCGGATCGGGTTTCTTGCCAGGACGACTAGGCGTAGACTTGGCTTGAACATCCTGCAAGTTCAACCATGGTCTTTTTGCTCTTAGACAAGTTTTGCGTGCTTTTCCCGAGGGGATTCCGCCTCACAAGTAGTCGACTTTAAACTTGATGCCGGAACAAGGACTGTTGACTGTAGAAACAAGTCGCCATGCTTCTGAGAGGCCGACCAGGGCGTAATAACCGGCGAATACCGGAATGAATGGAGCCCATGCGCCCACGCAATAAGTGGCTCGCCCACTTGCCATCGATCGGGGTAAATGTCACCGTCTGAGTTGAAGTCCGCCGGCCATTTACCGCGGCGATTTCTAGCGACGACGATGTTCTATCCAACAATCAAGAAAACCAGGGCGTTCGATAATCGGTGGTTACCTGGGTGATCAACCATCCATGCTCGTCGAACTCGATTTTGTCGTAGTACGGGAGTTTGTGTTTGTCTGTGTACGACGCCAGTTCCATCTGTGCATTTTTGTTCATGATCGTTAAAGAACGTGTCGTTGGTAGGATTTCACCGTCAGCGCAGAAGCCATATCGGGCTCTGGATGGGCATGTCGACGCACAAGAGCCCCATGGACCCGGGCCAGTGGTAGGTGGATCGAATGTGGTATTGAACGCCGCGAACCGGAACCTTGGATGCCGCGCAAATCGGTCAGACTCGTGCTTTACCGGATGTCGGATGTAGTCACGATATGGCACATGTCTTAGGCGAGGCGTCACAAACTCGACGCCTCCGCGCGGGAATAGGGCAGGGAAAGCTAGGGACAATAGGGGTTCTGAGGCGTTGAAAAATGAGAAGGGTGCTTCGGCAGGGAGGCAGTGTCAGGGTGTGATGGGGCGCTACCATCTGCCGGATGCTATCGATCTTTGAGTGGTCAGGAAGGAGGTTTGGTACAGCCGAAACTACTGGCGTATCGATATCACAATCCGTACCGCGATCGTCAGTAGCGGTCTCCTGGGAAACGACGTTGATATCTTGGGTAAGTACTTGATCTAGTACGCTATCATCTTCCGGGAGCTCCTGGACCCGATCCCACGAGACGGCGATGCCCCGATATCCTAGATGATTCTCCTGGAGGAACCGAAGCCATTGGGAAACGGCCTGTCGTCGTACACGGAAGTCTTGAATAAATTGGCGACGCATGCCTGGGTGCTTATTGGTATCTGCGGGTCGAAGCAAGACGATATCCAACTCTCCTCGGAGTGGGAGCTTGGCAGTTGAGGATCCGGCTATCACTTGCTTGAAAGGGAGGGGATTCCTAAAGCCGATCTTGAGCCTGTTTGCAGTATTGGCCCAATTTGGACCTTTGCAGCATCTCGCCGGCGTCTTCCCTTTTATTGTGGTTCCATAAGCAACGCAGAAGCAGGTATTCCTCTTTTGTCAGCTTCGACACTGAATTCCACTGTTGCGGAGCGTGTGGATCATTGTTCAGGGTTGATTTTCTGACTGCCCGGTCCACAGATGGTCTCTTTCCTTGGTAGAAACATCACCTAGAGACTTTGTCTCTCGTGATCTGCTTTCGTTGATGGCTCGTCATCTTCCATCTCCGCCTCTTCAAGTCGAGTAAGTCGTTGCGTGATACCTAGTACATGTCTCTCCAAGGCGTGTATGCGGAGATCACAGGCTCTCCACTGTGAGGCATTTCTTCTCGCCGTCAGTCACTTTGCACTTCTGAGGTAGCTAGCGATCGTGTGTTGAGATCTTACCGAGAGTAATACGTCAATTCCATTTGCAGCTTGGTCAGTCAGAAAATTCGGAATGGAATCGGAGAACGAGTTGTGATAGCAAGAGTAGAAGATGACGGTGTGACCGATAAGAAGTTGTGAGTGAGAAAGAAGATGATGTCTGTAATTTGCTTCAAATTGAAAGAGAGGAAAGTGGGGGCAAAAGAAGCAATCCATCGTCTGATTAAAACATCAAGTCCAGCCAAGTAACTGGCGTGAATCCCAGGTGAAAGGGAAAGGAAATCGTTAAGGAAGTATGCAAGATAAACATGATGTATAGAGAGGTTGGCTGGAGTAAACTTCTGCAGGAACATAGCCCCATGGAGTAGCGATATGAAGAAGGGAAACTATTGATCAACATAAAACAAGTAAATATATGCTAGATCTTAAGTGAGAGCCAGACAAAGAATCATCCAGGAAAGGGGCAAACAGTCTGTACGGTTCTAATATTCCATTGCACAGCCTGAGATCTGATATTTGTGCATCAACATGACTTTAGACATAGGGGTGGATATAGATTCCATGTATAACGTGGTGAACACTCCGGATACGAGGTCACAATGAATCCAAAGGCAATAAATATTCTATTTAGAGACATTACACCCCAATCATCTTCGGTGGTGAGTCGTTAAGCTAGATAACAGACCTCGTCTAGAGAGAGTAGTAATCTTATAGGAAAATAGGAGTGTGAATAGATCCGTTAAAGAATAAATATGATAGATGACATTGGTATCAAGAACGAGCACAAGATATCACTCCTCAAACAATCGCCCTAAAATCAAACTCTGACAAACAAACTCATTACCAACAACCCTCGCAGTACATTTCAGCTCATTAGGCGGCGTAGGGGTGGACGATGCAGTCGACTTCCTACGCTTCTTCCCATGGAACAAGTGAATTCTCTGCGTCTTCGGTTTAGGCGTCAACATCGACTTTGCAGCAGCTTGATCTGCATCATCAACATAAATCCAGTCCCAGCTAGTCGACAATCCAGCATCAGACTGTGAGTCCATCAATGCCCTGGCCGTGCCAAGATCAGGGACACGCTCAACTCGGGAAGCCCCTAGGGCGTAAGTCAGGAAGATATAGGCTTTCCTCTTTTCCTCTGCCTTTCCACGGCCCATGACAAGGAGCACAGATTGCCCTGCTAGCAACTTTGTTCGTGCGGAGATAGTTTCGGAGAGACGGGCTGTGGATGGAGGGTTGGGAGCCATGACTCTGGATTTTGTCGCTCCATTGAGGTACATTGAATCGCCGGCTGGGAGGAGGTAGATGTCCCAGTCAAGGACGCGACCCTGCGCGATGCAGTCCTCTACCCACCGCCCGGCCAGACATGGGAGGTTCAATGCCAGTGCTTGCATGTATTTTTCTCGCCGAGAATGGGTATCGGCAATTAAGCAGGCGAAGCCAACGTCTTCAGCAAGAGCTGTAAAGACGGCCCCTTGTTATTGAGGTCTGCATCCTTGGCTTCACCTTTTGTGGGCGTATCAACGGGGACAATTGACGAAGCCTCGAACAATTCAGTAAATCCATCATGTAATACAGTGCCCCCGTTCTCCATAATCAGCCTAGTCACACGATTCTTAGATGCTTCGTCCTCCTTGTAAGAGACAGCAAATACCATCCCCGCGAAGATGCCGCTGCCTTGGTGAATGCTGCGGGACAAGCGAGAACTAGGAGAAGCAGGCGCGGATGACCTTTCGGATGGGGTGTGCACCGTGCTCTCTTGTTGAACAGGCGCCGGGCGATACGTGAACATCCGGTCTTTAAGTTGATTCCACAGGATAGTATCAAGATAGACACGAGCAATAGGAACTTTGATCACGTTCTCGCTGTTGCCAATCCCACCATTTGGCAGGCTTTTGCGTTGCTTGGGACCGACTATCACAGTGGTGTGACCGTAAATGTCGGTTATAGGATAAAGGCCATCGTCCGCGGCTTTAGCCAGCTGTTCTCTAGTGAGCTTGTCATCGAACCCGCGGACGATATGAGTGACTTTTGGAACATTATCCATCTCAATCTTGACACCGTCTCCGATACGAAGCTCAAATCTCTTAACGGCACCCTTGGGCACCTCGACAGGAAGACTGTCCTCAAATTTCACAGAGTATTTAACTTGTGATACACCCAGTGGTGTCCCGAAGCATGTTGCTGGGTAGTATGCTCGTTTCTGGCCCATCCAGACAGAAAGGACCTGACTTGGAGCAACCACGGGGTTTTCCGATAAAGTGTGGGATGGGCGAGGCGTGGTAGGGGAGTCATCGACACTGTTCGCCTCTGACTCAATTATATCTTCCGAGGCAATTGTTGATGAAACCTCAGTGAGTTCCGATGACGGAGGTGGTGGTTGTTTATGGACTACAACCTTCGGTTGGGGGGCTGATCTCCCAGTAAGTCCGGAGCTCTTTATTGGGACATGCTTCTCTTGGGTAGACTTCGATGTAGAGGTTTTACTAATTCTTGATTTCCGGCGGACGGGCTGCTCAGGCGATCCCTCGATTTCCCAAACATTCTCCGGGGCTCGTCGCGGGGGCTTTGATTGTCTTCGCACGGCTTGTTCAGGGAGTTGCACTAAAGGCACATCATCCGAATCCGCGGGAATGGGAGCTGGTCCTTCTTGTGTTGCTCGAATGGGTGCAACAGATTTTGGGGGCTGTGCGCGAGGGGTGAGAGGTATGATAGGGTCGGAGGCAATGTAGCTTGAGCCATTATTGCCACGCCGCTTCTTCTTCGGTCGAGTCGGCGACCCATCGATCAAGGCTCTGAACTCTTGATCCTCAGTGGTAAAGATCCCAATTCCCATATCAAATCCTCCCGCCCCAACCTGCGGCGAGAGATCGGCCGCAATTTCAGTCAAAGCCCTGCGTTGGCCTCCGCCTGGACTGGACAGCAGTTTCTTGAGAGGCGAAGAGAGTGCCCTTGTCCCAGCTGGGCGGACATGATTCTTTCGAATACTGGGGATTTCACTGAACATGGGTGGAAGATCGTCGTCTTCGTTGTTCAGCCCATCGCCATTGGACCCAACCTCGGAATTACATTGGGAGTGGCTAGGACTTGTTTCTGGGATACTCGTCAATCGAGCCATATCACTGAGATGCTTGAGACGTTGATTCATAGGTGTCTCAGCCACACGGGATGGCATCGATGATGAGTTTCCCGCAGTTCCCGCTTCAACTCTGGAATGCGATGAGTTTACACGTTGCTGCTCCTCGGGATTGCTAGAGTGTGTGGGCATATTCTCGTCAAGGGATGCATCCTGAACGGGTTGAATGGCAGGTTCATTTGACACGGAGCCATTTCTCTGGGTATTGCTGTTCGAATGTCTTGATTTTGGTCGCGAGCAGGGAGAGGAGGTCTGAAGACGGTTTCGTGGGGGAGTATCCACATGAGAACGCGAAGGCGAGCGATGAGCAATTTTCCTAGGATTATCGGTTTCTGTGCATTTTGGTGATGATTGAGGTGATGGTTGGGAGTCTTTCACCATGGCCTGGGAAGAACGCATAGCACCATTCGGCTGACCACCATTGTGGGAGCCAAAGGAGTCTCCGTGACCAATTCCATTCTCCATTCCCTCGTCTACGCCCACCCCGGGATGGGGAGGGAATCGGCTCAAACCCAAGTACCTGAGATAGTCGGTCGTGGGCACTGGCGGCAGCAGCGGCATCCAGAGGAGGTCCGTCGTAGTTCTCTTTGTCTTCTTCGGCTGAAGATTGAGGAAGCTCTTGTGACCGGGGCACTTGCATATCTTCTTCTTGTTCGGTTTCTTCCTCGCTGGCAACAGCTTCTATCATTTCCTGGTCTTGTCGTCCACCTAGCTGCTTGGGAGAAGTCCGTAGTCTGGCGGAGAGATTGGATGTAGATCTGGCAGGAGCACTCAATCCGGCGAACTGAGCCGCAGCTTCCTCGTCGATCTCTCGCTGTCGCCGTGCGCGTTCTACAAAGCTCGACTCTTTATAGAATTCCTTGTCACTCTGGTCCGACTGGATATTGCCGGCCGATCGAGTCAACCTCTCCCCAAAGTCCTGTCGCGCTTTGTCTGCGATTCCTTCATCGATATATAGTTCATGTTGGGTTCCGATGATTCTCTCATGAACTGAACCGGCATGCCCATCAACGGCGACGAAATACCATTGACAACACGAGCGGGTTGAATCGGGATATTGGGCGACGGACGATCCGATACAAGTTCCGTCTGCAGGCCGTGGACAATGGGAGAGGACGGGACCTGGGTAGCCCCGAAAACCTGGCTCAGACCGAGAAGGCCGCCACTTGACTCGATGCCACTAGCCAGGGGATTCCGCGAGATGCTCGGGGTCTCTGTTGTCCCACCCTTTGCCTCATTCTTTTTCATCACGGTGCCGGGTGTTTCTGCTAGAAAGCGTTGCGATTCGGGGAAGAGATCCGGTGCGTAGGCCATCGGAGAAGACTCGTTTTGATCGAAGGTGCTCTCGTCGTCGTTATCATCTTCGTCTTGGGATAGGTTCGTTCCATGGTGCGTGGCGTCCAATTCGGAGAGGAGGTCGATATGGCCGCTGTCACCCTCATGCAACGTTCTCAATGTCGCTCCGTCGGCCCCTGTTTGTGAATAATCTTGCTGCATGGACTCCCCATTCTGTCTGATAATGCTGTCGTACACTGACTGCGAGACGACCTGAGTATCCCCAGGAGCAGCCTCTGCGGAGCTCATGTTGCCGAATTGTGATCCCGGTACAATGCCCAGTTCATTGTCACGCTTATTAGACATTATTGGGCGTCGTTCATGCTGCCGAGGTCGAGACCGAGGTGGTTGGTGTTGGTGCACAAGGCTCGCGGGGTTCGATGGTGTTTTCGGAGATAGGTGTTGGCCGGTGCACACTCCGTCACCATTGGAAGCGCCGTTGACTGTGTGGTATGTGTAACAAAGTGTGTGATTCGGCTTGTTACCTGTTTGTGCAGATCCCGAAAAGTACGGCTGAGATGGATCGTGCTCCTGGGGATGTCGGAGTTAGTCCAATGAGGGCGAGGGACGCTGCAGGGTCATTACATACTAGCCCCAACGCGTCGCGTTGCAACTTTGCAAGGTCGATGCTATCGTCCTGGGTCTCCATTTTTCGACGACATATAGTCCCTGAAGACTAGCACGTCTTGATAGCAACAGTGTCCTCTGTAGTGTTTGCTCCAACACAGTCTGATTCTTCAAATGCCTTGCGTCGAGACCTAAATGTAGATGGAGGCGTTAAAACGCGAAACGCGTGTCACGTGTCTCGAAGTAATATTACCTCTTACGGACTAGCGCCATGAAGGCAGACTCTCAACAGCGTTTTCCGGCATGATTTGGTAGCGCGGACATTTTATTATTCACACATCTACGAAGTACCTAGGTAGTTTATTACTCCGATTGGAAAGAAGTAGGAAATAAGACATGGATTTCATGGGGTCATTATGCAACGGTAATGCATTTGTACAGTTCTGCGAGCAACATAATTACAAAGAGGGTATCAGAAGCCCTTAATATTCCCCGCCTTGAGGGGACCCCAAAAAAATTGAGGCAATTAATCACGAGTGCGGTTCGGAATCCATCTCTTGATGAGGAATTCGCGCACCTCGTACTGACCAAACAGCGCCCCAATATCATCGAGCGAAGCAGCTGGTGGAGGCACATCCACATAGCAGACGACCAAGCTCTTCAACACCTGGGCCTGCACACGGCTGACACTGTGCATCCACCACCAACTCCTCGCCTGCTTCTCTGCTGTGTAGTTCTTCCGTTCTTCTGTCTCGGACCAGTAAGGGTGGGTGTAGGAAGGAATGATGATAACTGCGAACTCGGCGTGGGAGAAGACCGGTCCGCGGTTGTAGAGCAGGTAATCTGTTCCGAATTTGACTCCGGAGCGGATAACCCACCCGAGAGACCGGAAGTGATGGTAGACGGTGTAGGAGATCATGAAGGGATCATCTGGTTGGAGGGATGCGGAGGCGTCACGGGCAGGTTGGAAGGAGTGGTGACAGAACTGTTGGAGAAGGGCAGAGGTGGTGATTGACGAGGTGGATTGGTCCTCCCCCGATTTCGAGGGTGAATCGTAGATTTGCAATGCACCAAGCGAGTAGGCAAGGAAGAATGCCTCTTCGTTGGAGAGTTGGAGATGCTCTTCATTTGGGAAGTCATCTGAATCGGGGTTGTCGACGACGGAATCGGGCAATTGTAATGATGAGGGCGAGGTGGATAGAAATTCTTTTTTTTGCACGACGGGTGAAAAGCGCACGGATTTGTTGTTAGACGAGGTCTCGGGTTGGTTTTGTTCAGCGAGAGCCGGATTTTGTGCAGCCAATTCCCGTGCCTGCTTGGCCTCCAGCATCCGAGCTTCTTTTGCTTTCTTCAAGGAGAACTTCTCCGTTGTAGCCGCTGTGACGTTAGTCGTATCGTCTGAGAGTGTTGATTGTGCAGCTTGGTCAAGAGGCTCAGAAACGCCAGCTTCCCTAGCAGCCGCCTCGGCTTTGAGCCTTTCCTCAATGGCCAGCTTCTCCATCCGGGCACGCTCTAGCTTCAGTTCACGACGTTCAGTCCGTCGCAGTCTTGTAATCTCCTCGCTGGTCTTTCCATTATGTAACCCTCTTCGCTTTTTCTCTCGCGCCAGCCAGCTGGGTTCACTTCGACTGAGACTACCCTTGCCGAAGAACCCCATCTGCCATAAGGCATTAATGGACCTCTCGTCCGTGACATGGATCGATGAGGTAGCTTTGTCAAAGTAGGCCGAGTAGACTTCTTGACGGGGTGGCGAGATAAGGAATGTGAGGTACGAGAGAGCAACGCTTATAAGAGAAAGAGGGTTATGAGGAATTACAGGAGGAACGTGATGTACATTGACCGGAAGAGGAAACTGGTGAATCTGTCTGTAGTTTGGCCTAGGAGGTCGAGGGGCACGAGGCGGACGCGCATCTGATGCAGGCCCTGACTTGGCAGCCACAGGTTTGTCCATGGTGGTTACTGGAGTGGCCATCCTGGGAACCGCTACTGGATAAGAAAATATTCAAAGTCCTAAACACAAGATTCGAGGTTAGCGAACTGTGCTAAAAACATGTGAGTGAATCAATCGTCATGGTAATATCTTCTCAGATACCGTTGTAGTCAATTCAGCATATCATTGACAGGCAACTAGAAATCAAAGTGTCGCCTGCCTGAGCTAAATAAATGGTGTCATCACCGAAGGTGAAGGATGGGTTGGAGGGTGTAGAAGAGCGGAGGAGCATCTTACCTAAAAGTCTCTGTATGTATGAACAACCTGAATCAAGTGTCAATTAGTAAAAATACTTCATGGCTCTGCACATTAACAGAGCACAAAGGTCATTTAAGAGATGTTGTTCTCTTCTCTGCTCAAGTGCGAGAGAAAATGGAAATTTTGTGGTCGAAAGCTCCGTTTAAAAAGCACTCCGTGACTAAGCAACCTGGTCCGAGCTCTTTCTCGTTCAGAAAAAAAATTCCTCCACTTATCGCCGCGCAAGTACTAACACAGGACAATTCATCAATACCGCCAAGTGAGTTTCTAATCCGTGTTGAAAGTCATCTTCATTGCTCGTATGCTAATATTGCTCTTTTCAGAATGCATCTTATGGTATGTTTCGTTGCGACCTCGAAGCGAGCGAATCTTCAGCTCCGTTCGGAGATCAGTCGCTAATTTTCTGACGAACAGTACACCCTCGACAACCAAGGCAAGCGTGTCTACACCTTGAAGAAGGTATGGAAATCTTTGCGCCTGGGAGACTGCCGCTTTTCAGCGAACATGTGGCTCCTTAGATCACAGTTTCAACTTTGGACGATTATACTAATCTTCGGCAATTATAGGTCCTGAACGGCGAGGTCACCAAGTCTGCCCACCCCGCTCGCTTCTCCCCCGATGACAAGTACTCTCGGTGAGTAGCGATGTTCTTATACATGGAGCATAATGAAGCATTGGAAACTGACCTCTTTCCCAGTCACCGTGTCACTCTGAAGAAGCGTTACGGTCTTCTCCTCACCCAGCAATCCAGTACGTCGCATCTCTCCTTCCAGAACTCCGCTCTCTCAGAAGTACATATAACTAACATTGTATCCTTCAGAGGCCCCTACTAAGGCTTAAATGGATCAACACTGGGAAAAATGAATTACCGGGTGGCATAGCCCATGTTTTGGCGAATGGTGTTTTTCTTGCGGTCAACGGATGGCTGAGATGTCCATACTTGTTTTGCTATCCTTGGATAATCTATTCAGGGCTTCACCTAGACATTCTAGAGAATACGATACCTGATCTAGGTAACCAACGAAGATTTTGTTAAAATGTTCATAAAGAGCCCTATGGATTGGCTATATTCTATGTTCAACCGTAAATCACAAGACAAGACATGGTCATTCCTCATAAAAAGGCCGCCAACCACCATGACAGTGGTATTGACCAAATGAACTTTTTTCTTTCCATGCCCCAAAACTCCAGCCCATGTAACCAAGATGCAAAGTCATCCACGCAGCACATTTAGCGCTTCTTTGAGTTGACGTTGCGGCCAGCACCGACCTTGGTACGGCCGCCAGCCCTGTTCCGCTCGCCAGTCAAGATACCAGGCAGGTAGTCTTCGTCCATGAGATCACGCTCGCGACGCTGTCGTCGCTCTTCTTCCTGGTTGGCGCGGACATACTCCTTCTGATCTTCGGCAAGAACGAGCTCGGTACCCCATCCGCGCTGGCCACCGCCGCCCTTCCACTTGCCGTTCGCGCTGCCTGCGATGGGCTTGGGAACGCTGTATACATTGCCGCGCTTGTTCCACTGCATGTTCTTCTTCAGGTGCATTGTGAATGCGCCGTTGGCAGTGGTCGTGCACGAGACACGAGTGAGGGTATCCTTGCCACAGCGAGGGCAGAACTGCTTGTTCATCTCCTTAGTGGTCAAGAAGCAAGCGTGGCAGCGCTTGATGAAGGTTCTAAGATGCTGGATCTTCTGGAGGGTGGTGGTAGACAGAAGATTGAGGTTCATTTGTAGGAGAACGTTTTGACACTATAAAGGATAAGTAATTGGGCGATAGACAGATGTTGTGCGGGTGTACTTACCGCGAAATCAGTGGTCATAGTCGCAACCTGCATAGTCTTGGGCGCAGCGGTAAGAGTCGCTGTCCCCGACTCATCTTTAGCAAGACGCTTTTTATAGTTAGAGGGTGTGATCCATTCTCCGTCGTCGGAATCACCGGCAGCATCATCCTCCGCATCCTGCTCTTCGTCCTTCTCTTCTTCTTCGGCAACCGCAACAGCAACCTCGGCGACTTCAGCCTCGTTCGTTGCGGGGTTCTCCTCCTTTGGAGTCTCTTCCTGGGCGTCTGCGACTGTGGTCTCCTTCACTCCTTCCGTAATGGCTTCCACCTCCGCATCCTCGGGCTTGACCTCTTTGGATTCCTCCTTCACAGGCGGCTTTCCATTGATTTGCTTCTGTCCAGGGACGCTTCTTAACCGCCAGTCTCCATCATTCTTTTCGCACTCGATTTCATATGCAAGGGCGAGGACCTCAATATCAGTCCTACTCAGGACAGAACGGTCACCGGTCTTGCGAGCAAATTCGCTGACGATATTGAAGCTCTTAGGTGTGGGGGATCGCTGCTTCAAGAAAGGTAGGTAGAGGGTCTCGACACGCATGCGGGCATCGGGATCACGGATCTCGCCCACCACGGAGGGGGTGGTGATAATTTCGTCGCACTGGGCAAGGAGGGTTGAAAGCGGCGGGGTATTCTTGAGAATCGGGCCGGCGTCCAGCACGATTGTGGACACGGGCTTGGTGGATGGGGCAGTAGTGTCTGCCATCTTGTCCTATATACTAGGACTATTTCCACTGATCGACAATGAGAAAAAACGAGATCGTTGTCGACTTGAAAGAATTGGCCGAGTTGTGAAAAGGAAATTTCTCTGTGAATAGTGGCCTGTGCGTCCTTATCGTCTATCTTATCGCCTATCCAAATCTACTGCCCAGGTGCACCACTTTCGTCTTTGTACATGCAATTGGACACCAGAGAGCTTTGTTTGTACGCCTATTTACTTGTTATTTGATATTTGGATTGTTACATTGAGGGCTGTATATTAATTGAACACTTTTGGGTAAAATGGAGACCAAAACACCGTTCTGTTGTCAGGATATTTTCCACAACACTGAAATGCCCCTATACAATTTTGATTGAATGAAGGGGATTTTATGCCCATAGTGGAGGCAAATCTCTAGCTAGTACCAGATCCTTCTAGGTCTCAGCAGAAGTAACATTCCATCTTTTCTTCAGGTAGGACAGAACACCCAGTCACCGCCATGTTGAGATCAGCTCATATTGGAAACCAGGCCAATAGGTTACCGATGCCTCCCCGGGCTGAGTAAAGAGTCTCTCCAAATACTTTCGAAGGCCAAACAAATCTGTTCGTCTCTTGCGGCGAGATTAGTTTGATAAAAGGTATAATCTAAGTAGAGAACCTATGTCCAACGCAAACAGCTTCCAACCAATGTAAGTTCCAAGACTAGTACCATAAATCTCGCGTGTCATATGTATCTCTCTGTGGATATATGATTTTCCTAGGATAGGGACATTGCATGTTTCAACCTGCAGCCTCAACCAAAATTCTCAAGGTCCTTGTGTAAAAAAGACAAATTGGAAAAAAGACAATGGCAAAGAGAGTTGCTGCAGGCTGTAAGGAACCATGGTGACTTCTCGCGTTCTAACCAGCAGCAGCTTGATTTAGAACAGGGAGTTCACATCTTGGTCCAAGTAGCTTGCACAGCCCAATAATTTCAGAGGATTTTTTGCCAAGTAGGTAACAAGCTGCCTAAACATGGACCTAGTGCATTCCTAACAACTTGGAAGCTTCTGGGAGAAAGTTATCGGATGGGAGGCTTGTAGACTCAAAGCCACGATAGAGAGAGAGAAAGAGAGCGGCCAATACACGTGGAATCCACTCCAATCAAGCTGTTCCGATCCCAATTTGAATCCGGCTAGCTGCAGTAAGTTGGGTAACCAGAGATAAAGGGGTGGTAAGGAGATGCCTCCTAACCCATGACATCGTTGACTAGAGTAGGTATAGAACCGTCTTGGCTTATCAAGTTGCCCAAAATTGCGATAAAGAACCTTTTTTTAGCTCCATTAGTTTCTCCTTGGCAGATCACTAACAATTTAAGCATCGAGTGTAAGTTTTCGGTCTCCAATCAAAAGTGGTTGATGTACGGAGTAAGTACCTAAGCATTGAGGAGTAGTCGGATCCTAATAGAAACTACGGAGTAGATTCTACTCTGTACATTCTAGGTTAATGCAAGATTTTAAGTCCCAAGCTGCCATGACAACTCGGTAAGCAAGGCAACCTGCATACAACGCGAGTCTAGCACCTAGCGCCCTGCATATTGACAAGAGGGATTGCATATATGAGTGTTCCACTACAGAATTGAAAATGTGGTAGTTAGAAGCGCAAAGCCATGTTTCTTTGATCCTGCGACAGAGTACCAACTTTCGATACTTGTGTGTCCCAACGAATAGCCCTAATGATCGTATGTGATATGTCAACTAGCCAACGCCACTTGGCAGGGGTCCATTTCGGCCACACTCCATTAGGGAACAGTTCAAAGAGCGTAACGTTTTAATTGCTTTTTCTTGGACTCTTCCAAAAATTTCGACGCATTGCCACGAGCTGAATTGCGTGGTTAGCAGCTTTGGATATTGTGAGACGCGACTAATCGAGGCCACATTGTCATATTGAGACCGACGTTCTTTGTATGAGAGACACTCACAAAAATCCAACTAACAGGTTTAATAGATTAAACAGGTTCTCAAATTAAAGCAAACGAAGCTTTTCGGGAGCGGATATCCGGGGCAATGCAAAATGGTCATCCCTTACGAGGCCTCTGGCATTATCGAGTGAAGTGGCTGGATTTTCTAACAAATAGGAGATTTAATCCCTCCCTCTCCCGCATTTTTATTCGATGTTCAATCGGACACTCTGTTATTTCAAGTGTGGGTATGTATGCTGCATAGAAAGTAGTTCAGTGGCAATAAATGGAGAGCCCCTTACACATCAGATGCGGCAGATGAGCTTAATAGAGCCCTAACATGCAAAATGAGACAATGTCTACAGGAAATTGTTCGTTTCTCAGTCAACCGTTTATAACTGTTTAAGACAGACGCAATCTTGTAATAACCATTCCTCAAATCTCCAAGGTAACAAAATGAGGGGCAGAATGGGAGAGCCATAAGTTGAAGGAAAGTTGATCAACTCATGTACAGGGTAGGGTATTCAGACAAGGGTCGTGTCCTGATCAATCAAGGCTGTCTCGATATTGCGGCTCCGAGTTTTTACCAACCACCCCCGTCATTGCTGTTTGCACTGTGCCTTTATTGCCTGGCAGTTTTTACCGCAGGACTACTCCGTATAGAACAGGATATGAGAGTTGACTTCTAACCTAAGATGACTCGCATGACCACCATCATAAAAACCAACAATTAATACGGAGTAGGGCCAACGCATTTAAGCCAGAATTGATCCTTATGGCTGAGCATCTTTCCACATATAGACCAACTGCAGTGAGAGATTCCATGAGCAGATTGATACATAGGGTTGGCTAACTCCACGTCAGTATAGTATCAGACCCCACGCGTCATCATCAATTTCTATAAATCATTCTTCAGTGTCACCGTCGGAGATGATCGGATAGCAAATAAGATGACCTCCGAGCTGTCTGCAGGTACAAAGTGTATGCAAGACTTGCGTCATGGCATATTCAAAGTGATTTGGAATCATTTCAGATAGAGTATTGCATGTATACGGCGTGTATCATTATAAAATATTGAAATCGAATGATAATCCGTGGAAGTATAGTTTACCGTGCGTCAATCGAGAGAACAACCCAGTGGAGACCCGATCTGATCGGTAATCGAGCAGATCGTCCACAGGCGATCGACATGAATAGATTTAAATTATTGATCAAGGCCAGTGGGACGAAGGGGTAAATGTTTCTGGGGTCTCAAAATAAGGTGGAAATTGATATACCAAAGACCCTGCAAACTATAATTTGTGTAAATTGAAGCACAACCAGGTTCAAAGAGAAAACCTTTTCAAAAATGAGGGCAAAAGCAAAAAACAACAAAGAAACATCATAGAGTTGTTAGTACGGAGCACAGATGTACATATCGAGTCCATCGGGGCCAACGCTGGACCCGATTCGTTGTATGGGACCCCTTGCGCTGCACGCTGCTGCAAACACGCTTCCCAGACGGGGATCCTGTCTCGCGTCAGAAGCACTCGCCCGCTCATCCGAGGAGTGAGGGGAGAGAAAATGACTGTCCTTTTAGGGAATTGGTACTGTCTCTCTCTCTCAAAAAGGGATAGTGGATTCGTTCCTAGGCCGTTTGGTTTCTGGGGCTGCATTGTTGACTGCGACGCTGCGCATCAGTTTTATGCACTTGGGATTATAATACTGCGATATCCTCTCGTAATTTTCGCTTACTGGAGAGGTTGTTCTCTTATCACTCTTTTGGTGCCCTATCTCGATCGTGAATCAGATCAGCATCCTATACTGATCTGATCGTTGGATTATCTCCAGGCAATCTTCTCTTTGAGGAGTAGCCATCCCTTCTTTTGTTTAAGGCCGCAAGATCGATTGACAATGAATTTGGTGTACATTCGAGATGCGATCTTCAGGCGAGATAATGACGGCATATTGTTGTCCTCCCGAGGGCGGGAGGGCTTGGTTATAAGCGTTGTGTTCACGGCCTTGGCAACCTGCTTCGTGGGGATGAGGATGTATACTCGTATGAAACTTATGAATCGGGTGGAAGCAAATGACTGGATGGTCATTATTGCACTGGTAAGTTGGGTGATTGGTGTCGAAGAATACCAGATACTAATGCAGATGTATAGGTCAATTCATATGTCTTCATGGGCCTCGACATTATCGAAGCCGTCAGTGGCATGGGAGTGCATTTGAAAGATATCCCACCAAACATTCTCGAGAGACAGATGAAGGTGAGCTTGCCCTAAGCCGTGTCCTCAGCTATCAACTACATCTAACAACCAATCCGAACAGGCCTTCTGGCTCACCATTCCTTTCTACAATGCCGCCGTCCTCTGCGCCAAAGCCTCAATTCTGATGCAGTACTTCCGAGTCTTCCCAACGCACCGCATGCGAGTCGTCTGCTGGGTCATGATCACCATCCTCGCCATCTATGGCACCTGGGCAGTCATCAGTGCATTCCTCAACTGCATTCCCGTCGCCAAATTCTGGGACGATTCAATTCGGGGTTACTGTTTGAACAAAACCAAGCTGTGGTTCTCCAATGCTAGCATGCACATCGCGACCGATATTGCCATCCTCGTCATTCCCATCCCGGCTTTAATGGCAGTCGACTTGCCCCGAAAACAGAAGATCGCTTTAATGATCATGTTCGCTATGGGTGGCTTGTAAGTTATCGTATTCCAGATATCAGATCTCAACCGTCCAGAACTAACACAGCACAAAGTGTCTGCATCACCAGTGTCGTCCGTCTAGTCAGTCTGAAAAAGATCGCCGAATCGACCGATCCCACCTGTACGTATCGTTTCGCTCAGCTCTATCACACCCCAAAACAAAGCTAACCCCACACAAAGACGACAATGTCGGCGCTGCCTCCTGGTCCGCCATCGAATGCAACACAGGCATAATCTGCGCCTGTCTACCAACACTTAAACCCCTCGTTGCCCGCATCTTCCCAGGAATGGTATCGACCTTCAACGCCAGTCGTCCCACGCGCGGCGACACAACCCAGCGCAACTCCGACTGGAACGGCGATGCATCAACTCTCGCTGCTCACGGCGAAGAACACGAGTATGGCGCCGGTGACCCCGAGCGGGTTCTCGCTCTTGTTCCTGGTACTGGCTTCAGGTCTAGTATTAAGCGCTGGACGAGAGAGGAAGAGAAGAAATTAGCTCGGATTGCGTTTGTTCCTGAGCCTCGCGATCGGCCTAATCTGACGTATCCTCGTCCTTTACCTGCGGGTTCAGCGGTGCCGTTTTGAAGGCCCGTTGATGTATAGACACGCATTTGGTTTTTGGATGGCTCTTGCAGTCAGCTTTGTGGCTTGGAGTATAATGTCATATACCCGTTGGACTTTTCCTTTTTCGTTTCTCGTCAGGGTTTCACCACGCTCTTTGGGCCTGGCGGTTGCTGGGTCATAATTACCCTTTGGGGTATACTTCCAGGGCTGCGGACACTCACTATTTTTGTTCTTATGTCATTTTAAAGATATAGTAATATGGAATGTAGGTTTGGAAATTCTTGGATATATAGATAGTCGAAGTACAGCAATCGAATCAAACAAATAATTTAATAACTTAATACCGAGAGATGGAAGAGCAATAGTCACAGAATGAAGCCATTTGGTTGTAAGTCAATACACGTCCCAAGAGTAGAATAGCGAGACAACACGCCTATAGCATGCACAAATGAGAACGGGTCTATACTGTCTAAAGCAAAGTGTGGAATTATCGATCTAAAAGTCGGTGAACTCCTTATCAACTTCTTCGTAGTGGTCGAAGAATCCCTTGAACAACTTCACACCCAGACCGGGGTCCAAGCTGCCAGTAGTCGCCCGGATACTGTGCATGCTCAGCTGCGGGATACCGCAGTCAATGGCCCTCATGCCGATCTGGGCACTGGTCATGGGCCCAATAGTGCCACCGCTGCGAGAGTCATTGCGAATCTGGAAGACCTGCAGGGTTGACCCACAGCGCTCTGCAATTCGCCTCATGACGCCCTCGCTGACGCTGTCGGTAGTCATGTGTCCGTTTGAGTCGGCAGACACTGCCACGCCAACGTTAAGGCGGGCGCGTGGTTCTCCAGGTAGACATTGAGGAAGTTCGGGTTTACTGCGTGTATGACATCTGATGATACCAAGAAGCTGTTCGCCACTGTCTGGGAAAGGAGGTTGGGGCCGTAGTTGTCCTTCGCGAAGGCCTCAGTAATCCGCTCAATGACGCTGCTCATAAAGTTCGACCGAGCACCTTGTCGGAGCAAACTGCCAATCTCTTCATCATCGAACATACCGACCATCTTCACGGTTCCGGTCGATGTGCTGTCCGAAGAAGCAATGAGCGCTTCCTGTGCGGCATAGCAGCAGAGCTTGTCGTCAATGCGACCGGCGAAGATCATGTCCTTCTCCAGACCGCCTAGTTGAGCGGGCTGGGTATCAAAGAGTTCCAATTCCCAGTTGACAATAGTGCTATAATCTGTGATGCCAAGCTCCTTGGAGATGATTTTCACAAGCTTCTCAGGCTGGGTCGAGGTAAATGTGCCAAACTTGGTGTTGCTAGACTCAACCTTGGAGTTTTCAAACAAATCGGAGTTATCGATTCCGATGACAGGCACCATTTGGGTTTCCTGGTTGAACGGACCATTCGCGGGAGAACCGAAATGGGGAGCGAGGGTAGGAATACGAGCAATAGGCCAGTCAAGTTTGACCAGCTTAGCCTCCACCTTGCCGGTTTCCGGGTCGCGGACAAGCACGCGACCACCGATACCAAGATCACGATCCCACCAAGTGTTGCCGAGACCACCGGCGTACGGGGCAACGCCGAGCTGCTGGAAGCCTGCTTTGTTCGGTAGCTTGGACACGGGCTTCAGCTTGGCAGTCAAGGCGTCGACGTGGCCAGCAACGATAGCCACGCCGTTGCCGCTCTCGTATTTGGAGCCAATGTTGAAAGCGATCAAAGAGCTGCCGTTGCGGGTAGTATAGAACTTGCCGCCTCGTTTCAGGTCCGATGTCCACACCGCTCTCTCGGAGAGGTGCTTGTAGCCATGCTCTTCAAGCTGCTTGGAGAAGGACTTGACGGCGTGGAAGATTGTGGGATTGGATGTCATGAACTCGCAGTATGGCTTGGAGTAATCCTCTGGTCGGACAGGTTCATCGGCGATCGGTTCCTGAGCTCGGACTGGCTGTGCTGCAGGTACAGGCATGAATGAGCTGGGCAGCTGGGCGGATATTTGCGAAGTCCATGGCGTTTCAAGGCCTTGGGCTGAGTTGTATTTTCTGGTCATATTGAAAATGTGCTTGTATGAGTGTAGGGAGGAGAGTTGGAGAGAATGACTCGTGAGGGGAAAAGGCGGAGTTCCGACGGGGCTGGTACCTGACCCATCCCTTGCTTATCGCTGAGTCCGGTGATAACGGATTCAGCTGTCCACGGGATTGGCGCGTGACAACGTATTCTTTTACTATAGGTTAAATTATACATATCGACATGTAGGCATATTCTATTAACCGTGTAGCAAAAATCTAGCTCGCTTGGTACATGTTTAGTTTAGATCTACCTACATGTATGTATGAATCGCATACATCGAAACCAAGCCCTATGACGCCATTGCTACCAGATCCAATCCTACCAGATCGTAAATCTGCCACGAAGACAATATTCGAATAAGAAAATATTTACATTCCATTGCAATCTCCACTTAAGCGACGTAAAGGCGGGGTATTCTTGAAGCGCTGATGGAATAGACTATTTTTCTGCAACTATCTCGGATATATATCTGAAAACTACCGCGCATCGGTAACTCCCATAGTTCAGAACGCTTGCATTCAGACCTAGGCGCAACTATTCGCCTTCTCCAAACTCCTCTTTAAAGTATTATAGTCAAGTCAAAATCCGCATTTTTACTGCAGCCACACAGATCCAGGCGACATCTGTGGGAGGCCAATGGCGTGTGGCCCGCGAGCAAGGTGCAAAGACAGCGGGTCCAATTTGATCCATGAATGCCAGAGATATAATGCTCAGTATATAACAGCATCTATATATAGTAGAGTAGAAATAATAATAATCTCGTCCTGGAAACTGGTCTGCTTGACGCATACGCGACATCATGGTGATGTCAGACAGAAATTCCCCCAAACCCCAGATTTATCGCAAGCTAAGCTTCTAGAAGCATCACATATAAAGATTGACTGCGGATCTTTTCAATGAGGATAAAGCTGTGCTTGAAATTCTTACTACTTCCATGGACAGAGTGAACGAGTAAATTCACGGTATCCCAATTGTACATATCAATCCACTGAAACAGATTGAAAATGGCGATGACCCAGGCAGCAAACCTGGTAGAGAAGGCTCTCGGCCATGGTGATAATGCAACAATCACCACTGATGTGTCCAGCTACGACAATGAATATGGAGTGGAGACCGGAGAGATGATCCAGGCTACTACCTGGCAAGGGAAGAATCAAGTCAAAGTTGGTAAGCGAGAGAAGCAACCCTGGGAGTATCAATTTAATCCCATGCATTGCTGACCACTGCGATCAGTGGAAATGCCGAAGCCACGGGTGATTGACCCTGGAGACGTGATTGTCAGGGTGACAGGAAGCACTATTTGCGGTAGCGATCTGCACCTGTATCATGGTATGAAGACAATTCCGTGAATCCGGGCAAGCTAGAAACTGACACTGCTGGGCAAAGGGGTCATTCCTCAATTGGAGAAGGGCGACGTGCTCGGCCATGAATGCTGCGGGGTTGTGGACAGTGTAGGGCCCGAGGCAAAGAATGTCAATGTTGGAGAACGAGTTGTTGTTTCTTTTCCAATTGCTTGCGGGGATTGCAAGAATTGTCGGAGAGAATACTATTCTCAATGTGACAGGACCCACGAGAACACTTTGACCAATGCCTTGTATGGGAAGCGGACTGCAGGTAAGTTATATGCACTTCGCCTGAACCTGAGTGTCCTAAGGGTCATACTAAATGGATAACAGGCATATTTGGATATTCCCATTTTACAGGTGGGTTTGCAGGTGGCCAGGCCGAGTACATTCGAGTTCCATACGGCGACGTCAATCTACTTTCTATTCCAGCCGATGTGCCAGATGAGAAGGCACTTTACGTCTCGGATGTTGTGGCGACATCATGGCACTGCGTGGTCGACACCGGTGTTAAGAAAGGAGACGTTGTTGCGATCTGGGGAGCTGGACCGATCGGGCAGATGTGTGCACAGTTCAGCTTCTTCCATGGCGCTAGTCGAGTTATACTTATCGACGGAGGTGATGGTGCATGGCGATTGGACTTTGTGAAGACTAAAGCGCCAAAGGTTGAGACAATCAACTTCGCTGATCTGCCCAAAGGCGAGTCAGTGACATCACAGCTGCAAAAAATGGTTGATGGCGGACCAGATGTTGCTTTGGAATGTGCAGCGGGTGAATATGCCAAAGGCTGGGCGCATTACTTTGAACAGATGCTTGGAATGGAGACGGATACCTCGGAGTTGTTGAATGAGATGATTACTGCCGTTCGCCCGTTTGGCCATGTTGGGGTGACGGGGGTCTATGCCGGATTTGTGAGTTCACCGGTTTTCGGAAGAGTGAAGTATCTAACCATCATTCTCAGACCAATCACTTTAATATTGGGGCTCTGATGCAGACCGGTGTACACCTTATGGGTAATGGACAGGCTCCTGTGCAGAAGTATTGGAAACACCTCATGCACCTCATTCAGACGAACGATATCAATCCACTGGATATGGTGACCCACCGGGTCCGTTTGGAAGACATGGAGAAATTGTATGCAATTTTCAACAAGCGAGAGATGGGCATGCAGAAGGTCTTCGTACAGACCAAGCACTCTGCTCCCCCAACAGACGGAGCTCCTCGATTAACGGAGTTGTGAATGTCTGTTACGTTGATGTTATGGATGTCTTGAAGAGGATGACTACCAATTTGCCATCAGTCCTGTACTAATTACACTTCGGGACATTATCATTAGACCCGCCTCTTGGAAACATTCATTCCCAAGGGAAGGGGTCATGCTGATGTCGTCAATGGAAGGAAATGTATATTCTTGTCCCGAACACTTCATTGACTCTCAATGGAGCTGGAAAGTATTAGTATTTTGTGAATCAAATACCCAAGAATTGGAGATATTCTAGGTATCAGCGTAGCGTTCATGTCTCTTGCAGATTGAGAGCTCTGGAGGCAAACGCCGAATCTCGGCAATGATCGGCTGTACTCCGTAGCTGGAATCTAATTCGCTCATAGTTTATGTTCTATAGTAATTCATCCCAGAAGATTAAGTGCGAATTGGGGTTTCTTTATATGTTGTGTAGTTCCTTGATATTTGCTAGAATCTCACGAGGTCACTGCGCCCTCAAGTCAGTTTCCACAACTCGTTTCATGATAATCGCATGAAAGGATATAACTGAGAATAGTGGATCAGCTTTTCGGATCGCCGAGAATAGGCCTTTAAACGCTATGGTGTGTCCAATGGCGGCGAATTCTTTCTAGGAATTCCATATTTTCCGTCAATCTCTGCATATCCATGTCACAGCCATCTCTGGTTGTGACTAAGTAGCCGCGATATTCTCCAGATCGGGCCATGTACACGAAAGTTCCGCTGTTCGGCCTTCACAATGAGGGCATCATTTACTGATTGATAAGATTCTGCTGTGTGGGGTCACTTCCAAGGTTGGCCAAGACCAACCATTTCCACCAAAGGCTCAATCACCAAGAAAAGGGAAAATACGGTAATAAAAGAAAGACAAGTTTTGCCGATTATCAGTTTAGCCCTTGGATTGCTCCTAGCCACGAGCGGCATTAGTGCAATCAGATAAGATCAGAGGGACCGAGAACGGCCGTACGGGATCCAATTCCCTTGTCGATCCATACCCTCACCGCTGATGGATAACTCCTGGGAAAGTTCTTTTGCGCATTGGCATGTTCTCATTGGCTTAATCGCCGTTTCTGCTAGGTAATGACTACAGGGCTGGGAGACTGGGACGTAGGGGGGGTTTTTGCCCACCCATGGTCAATGGATTGACGAGACGCTCCACCCGAGCAAATTTTACATCTGGAGGGTTCTGATCCGTGTCGCCTGTCATTGAGTCATCGACGATCAGGCGGGTGAACGGTGAACTGCGTAGGGAGTTATAGCCATGTTACGGAGTATGCAATTGGGAATTGGGACGCGATTATTTGGTATTGCAATGTCGTTTGTTCAGGCAATTGATGCTCGAGGTGTATATACAAGAAACAATACACGCAGTTAGCGAAGAAAATATGAGAATAATATGACTTCGTACTCCGTTCTCCGTACAATAAAGAATGTTGCGTCAGCCCACCGACGCTCTCTCGGAACCATCTCCACTCAGATTCGGATCAGATAAAATATTTCGAAGGAAATCGCGGCATTGGGTTTAGCGAAATATAAATGGGACCAATGGTAAATTAGCAGAAAAAGAAGAAAAAGAAGATCCCACCTTGGAAGCCAAAAAACTCCAAAACTCCAAAATACAGCTCTTCCGAAGCCGGCATCATGTGAGCACATAATCTAATCTGATCATCGGCCACTTTTTCTTCCCCTCCCTTCACATCTCTCTTCTCTTACTTTTACTTCTATACCTTTTCTGTGTTCTCCGTCTGATTATTTTCCACGAGTTTGAACACAAGTTTGAAAGCAAACTCGTTCTTGTCTCTACTGGTATTTCTCGCTTATCGGCTCATATGAGCGCACTTCCGCTCTTCCGACCGAGAAACGGCTCGTGCGTCTGCCCCGACCACGCCCGATTACATGTTCCCAACTGACCTCAAACATAGTATTTGAACATCAATTTGGTGTCAAAATGGCCAGTGGTGTGTCTATGGCACCTGCTCCAGCTGGAGTTCCTGCACTGGCCCTCGCACCCGCACCCACGCTGGCCGCCAGGCCCTCCGTAGCCCCTTCGCCAGGACCGGGTACACCCGGCTCCATCACCTCGAAAGAATGGGTCATCCCACCACGCCCCAAGCCAGGTCGCAAGCCAGCTACAGATACACCGCCAACCAAACGCAAAGCGCAGAACCGAGCCGCTCAACGGGCGTTCCGTGAGCGTCGGGCTGCTCGTGTTAGTGAACTGGAAGAGCAAATGAAGGAAATGGAAGATAACCACGATATCCAAGTTGCCTCGCTCCAACAGCAAATTGGAAACCTCTCCGGTGAGGTTGATCAGTGCCGCGAGGAGATGGGCTGGTGGCGCGACCGATGCCACGCCTTGGAGAAGGAAGTATCGATCGAGCGCAGCGCAAAGGAGGCCCTTGTCAAGGAATTCAGGTCATCTCTTACCGGCCCTAGCGCCAGCAAGCCCACGCCCATTCCAGACTCTGTGCCCTTGCCACCTCGCAAGACCAGAAGCTCCCGAATGGAGGATGTTCAGCCTACCAGTACTGAACGCAACAAGGAAGATGGACAGGTGAATGTACCTCTGGGGTGCAACAACTGCTCCAACGCCCACTGCCAGTGTATCGAGGATGCATTCGGCATGCCAATGGACACCCACGAGTCATCTCGTTCGAGACACGAGCCTCATGGCGTCGGCAGCCCGGAACGAGACCATAGGGATCCCCGCATCAAGCCCGATCCGGAAGAGATGGAAATCGACTTCACCGCTCAGTTCTCTAGTGTTCCGACTCAGTCTCAGGACAACGACGTCTCCTCGCCCCCGTTGATCCCTGCGGGTTCTGCCAGGACGGTACTCCCTGTATCTGCGCCGAGATGGCCGCACAGGAGCAGCAGCGTGTACGCAACATCAACACATTCGAGACCAACCGTCTCGCGCCAATCCAATCCATCTCCCAGTTCACCCCACCCCCATCCGAGGGAGACGTCCGCTCAGAAGTGACTCTCCCACCCATTAGCCAAGCGACCAACCCCTGTGCCAACGGGCCAGGCACCTGCGCCCAGTGTCAAGCCGACCCCCGAAGCACTCTTTTTTGCAAGACGTTGGCAGCCTCCCGGTCAGCGAGCGGAACTCCATCGGGAGGAGGCTGCTGCGGAGGCGGAGGAAAGGACGGCGGATGCTGCATGTCAAGAAATGCCCCCTCCACCGCGCCCAACTCGCGTAAAAACGCCGCCATGCCTTCGCAACCTCCCGCACCCAAGCCCGCTCCGCCCTCAGAGTTAACGCTCAGCTGTGCCGATACCTTCACCACCCTGTCTCGTCACCCGAACTTCTCTCGTGCCACTGACGAGATCTCAACCTGGTTGCCGAAGCTCCACACCCTCCCCGACCCCCGCGAGATCGCTCCACCAGACAGCCGCGGTGCCATGGAAGTCGAGGCTGCAAGCGTCATGGGTGTGCTGCGATACTTTGACCGTCGCTTCGCTGAAAAATAAACAATCCTCATTGTGGATCTCATGCGTCCGGGTTACCTGCGTTTTTTCCGGTCCTCTCCCACAAGGACATTTTTGATACCCATACCCCCCTCCTCACCCCGGGCGCTCAATGTACCATCATACGGACTTGTCTTATATCCTTCCTGTCTTTTTCTCCCTGCCTCGCATGGGAATCGATCTGGCTCCATGTATATCTATATGGCTCGATCTATTCTCTGTCTACTCAAAAGCATGACATACTGATTCTCATTCGATCTCACTGGGCTCGCCTGGTGCAGAGTCTCCTGGCCGCTATGAACATGGTCAGAGGTTGATCTGGTGGTCCCTTTGTTTTCGATCTCAATCCGCTCATTTCATTAGACGGATGGAATTTAGCGGCGTTTCTGTTTAAGGATTATGTGTAGAACGTGGTTTTATTATGAATGAAACGATAGTACCGCACTGCAATTTGCCTTATCAAAACCGTAATTCGAGATGTAGAACAAGGAGAGAATATGATTCCTCTATCAGGATGGTATATGTGAAATTGATCTCGTATACAAGGGTTGCACATAATGTGAAGGAGAAAGAAAACGCCAAACACCAGCCCAGATGCTAAGTTGATGAGCCAGCGGTTTGATATGGAAAAGAGAGGGAAAGGAAAAGAAGGGACGCAACAAGATCATCAAAGACCGAGCTTAACGTCCTCTCCCACGTCCACCACCACCGCCTCCCATTCCACCCATCATTCCACCCATTTGACTCATTAGGCTCTGCATATCCGGCATGCCACCACCACCACCTCCCATCATCTGCATCATCTTGGCCATGTCAGGCATACCGGGCATACCACCGCCGCCGGCACCACCCATCGAAGCCATCCGCTTCTGCATGGCAGCCATCTGCTGATTTTTGTTTCCACCCTTCATCATGTTCTGAGCTTGCTGCATTTGCTTCTTCTGGCCACCAACACGCTTGGCCATGCCGGCCATCATGCGGTGCTGGGAGAGCAAATCCTCGACCTCACGGACGGTGGTTCCACTACCGTGCGCGATACGGACCATGCGGCTAGGCTGCTCGACGAAGTTCTTGCCGTCGCCGTCCAGCTCGGCTACAGTCATACTATCGAAGATGTAGACCATACGGCGTAGCTTCAGTGAACCGTCCTCATCATCCAAACCCTGGGTCATGTTAGACAGACCGGGGATCATGCCGGATAACTTGGACAGCGGGCCCATCTTCATGATGGATGTGATGTTCTCGCGGAAGTCGCGCAGAGTGTAGATACCTTCCGCAATGTGCTTGTATGTCTCCTTGGCACCGGCGGAATCCTTCGTCATGGCCTGGACGTGCTCGACCAGCCCGGCGACATCACCCATGCCCAGTAGCTTCTGAACGAACGCGCGGGGCTCGAATCGTTCCAGATCCATCATGTGCTCACCAGTACCAAGGAAGATAATGGGAGTGTGCGTGGCGGCGACAGCAGAAATGGCACCACCACCGGCGGCATGGCCGTCGGTCTTGGTAATGATAATAGCTCCAAAGTCTGCCGTTGCCTTGAATGCTGCGGACTGAGCCTCGGCTGCTTGACCAATTGTGCTGTCGAGCACGAGAATGGTCTGGTCTGGCGTCACGGCAGTTTGAATTTGTGTCATCTCCGTGAAGAGCTCCTCCTCTTGCCGGTGGCGACCACTGGTATCGACAATGATGATATCGAAACGCTCCTTCTTAAACTTGGCCACACCCTCTGCGGCCACGACGGCAGGATCCGTCTGCGTCAGACTACCATAGTATGGGATCTTGGCCTTGGTGGCGTTCTGCTTCAGCTGATCGAAAGCACCAGCACGGAAGGTATCCGCGCAGACCAGCGCTGTCTTGAATCCTCGCGTTTGGTAGTGCCGAGCCAGCTTCGTACACGTTGTTGTCTTACCCGCACCCTGCAGACCGACGAACATGATCACATTGGAGCGGCCCTTCTTCGGCCGGAAGGAGTCTGCATGGGGGGTCCACCAATTTTACGAGCTCATCGAAGACGGTCTTCTGGATCAGTCGCTTCTTGTTCACTGCGGCTGGGAGGGAGGCGAAGTTCACGCTGGCCTTGATCGATTTGCGTAGAGTTCCTACTTAGACGGACGTTGACATCGGCGGAGAGAAGAGCGGCGCAAATTTCCTTGAGCATGTCATCGAAGGCCTGTTATTGTATTAGCGGGCTGGCTTGTGGGCCATACTGGACAACACATAGCATACCTTCTCGTCGAGGTTATTGGACCTCGTCAGATCATTGACGGCGGAGTTGATTCGCCGCCCAAGGTCTTGAAGAACCATGGTGAGTGTGTTTGCAGATGTAAACAATTAAAAAGAAAAACCAGACTAAGACCGTAGTTGTCTATGATTCCGCGATGGAGGAGGGGTGAGGATGAAGCCCGTCGAGAGACCAGAGAGGCAATGTGGAGGGGCCAATCGGAGAGCCGACGCTTTCTCACCGCCCCAAAAAAAAGTTGTGATACGGCACGTTGGATCAGCGTCTTGACTTTCTTCTTGTCTTGTATTTATTGCATTATTTTTTTGTGACAATGCCTCCTACTTTTTCCAAGAAGCGCAAGGTCCTTGATGGCCTAAAGGGCGAGACTGGCCGCAAGAAGAAGTTCGTCAAGCAGCGCTTCTATCACAGCAGCTCAGAGGACGAAGAAGAAGATGGGAATTTCAATCCCGTCAGTCTTGAAGACTCGGACGCCGAAGAAGGAGGAGTCACAGTGACCAAGCCCTCAGCTCTCGATCTACGCATGAAGAAGGCAAAGACGCAAAAAGCAGCACCCGCACCGGAACCGAAAAAATCAGACGATAGCGACGCTGACTCCAATGTCGGCGAGGAGATCGAGCTGGACGATGAAGACCTCGAGAACGATGACGATGAAAGCGACGCCTCTGGGTCCGACGAAGATGACCTTTCCGACTCGTCCCCAGCCGGCAAACCTACAGGCGCCAATCGCGGCCGAGCCGTCCCCAAGCGCAACGACCCTACCGCATTCTCAACCTCTATTTCCAAAATTCTATCTACAAAACTTCCTACCTCTGCACGGGCTGATCCCGTTCTCTCGCGAAGCTCATATGCCGCCAAGCTGGTCAACGAGGTTGCGGATGAAAAGCTCGACAACGCCGCGCGGGCTAAGTTGCGCGCCGAGAAGAAAGAGGAATTGGATCGTGGCCGTATCCGTGATGTGATGGGTATCCAGCGAGGCATTGCTGGTGCCGTCGCCGAGGAGGAGAAGCGGGTGCGCAAGATGGCGCAGCGTGGTGTTGTGAAGCTGTTTAATGCTGTGCGCGCGGCCCAAGTCCGAGGAGAGGAGGCGGCCAAGGATGAGCGCAAGAAGGGCACAATTGGTATGGGTGAGCGGGAGAAGGCTGCCAATGAGGTTAGCAAGCAAGGATTCCTTGAATTGATCAATGGAAAGAAAGGAAAGCCTTTGAACATCGAAGAGGCGTGAGCTGGATCTACGATTACCCATGGCATGTTTCAGGCGTTGGGAGAGTCTTTTTTTTGTTATATATTCTTTTCTACATTGTAATAAAATTTGCTTATGTGGAAAGTATCGTTTGATCAAAATAGTAGCTGAAGCAATAAAATCCTAGAACATTCAGGGTATCTAAATCCGACTAGCATTTGCCGTTCGCCACTTCTGCAGCCTAGAGTTTGTCAATATTCTTGCCGAAAGCACTGTTGCTTTGTCCCCTTGATATATTCGCCTGAGTTGGACTCTCTTTGGTAGATCTTGTTGATATATCATATTCCTTGATAGAAATGGCATAGATATAATCTTGATCGGCGGTGTAGCTGATGCATTTTAGTGAGATCAGCAGTTGGGGGCTAGCTGAGGAGGACGAACCATGCGATCAGCGTGTATTCGTCAAGGCTGCTCCTGCCCGGATCTGCGCAGATCTATGCAACTTGGGCAATCCGTGGGCCAGAACTCCTAAGCCAGCAAATCAATGCTGTCGACGAAGGGAGGAAAATGTGACCCATTGCCTGCCTCGTTGTCCCAGATGCAGTGAATATCGAAGAAATCACTCTGCATAATCCCGGCGTGATACGGTAAAGTATTAAGATGGGAGAACGCGAGCTCGGCGATCATTGAAAGATATAAATATACTGAGGATATGCCCCGGAAAGTGCAGATTACACAGTCAACAATTGCATTATTGAAATGGTGTTCTTCAACTTTCCCTTCTGGCGCCTCTGTCTCCTATCTCTGCCCCTTGCTTCTTCTCTCACTGTCCCCCAGCAGCCTTTGGCAGCAGCGTCCGAGGAAAATATCTCCGAGGTCACCCAAGATCTTGCGAAAGATGATAGTGCGTTCAATATAACAGACTATACTTCGCCCGATGAATGGAACCCTACCAAGTTTGACTATGACGTTGTTATCGTCGGCGGTGGCCCTGGTGGCCTAGCTGCGTCCATGTCTCTTGCTCGAGTTGCTCGAACATCACTCTTGTATGATTCACAGGAGTATCGGAATGAACAGACTAGATATATGCATGATGTACTTGGCCAAGATGGTAAGTGTTTCACGAGCTCAAAAGTCGAGGTACTGACTCCCTGTAGGACAGGTGCCACTGAAATTCCGAACAGCCGTCCGACAGCAGATTGACGAGCTATATCCGGACTACTCGTTCTGGGCCACACGTAAGACGAAAGTCATGGGCATTATACCTCTCGAGAAGGGGTTTCGAGTCTACGACGATAGGGGCGGAACGGTCACTGCCAAGAGGATCATTTTGGCTACTGGCGTTAAGGATGTGTTACCCAATAAGCCGGGCTTTGCCGAATCCTTCGGACGAGGTGTATTCTGGTGCCCCTGGTGCGATGGCCATGACTACAAGAACCGCAAAATGGTCGTCTATGGCAAGCTTGCAAGTGCCATTGGGTCTGCCCTCAATATTAGGAAGTTGACAACCGACATAACCATTGTGACAGGGGGGCCGATCAGCAAAGAAGACAAAGATGAGGCAGAGGCTCGCTGGCCCGGCTGGGAGACTGTCATTAAGAAGACCTTCAACATCCCTATCCGGGAGAACGATATTACCAAGGTCGAACGGACCACGAGGGATATGGAACCCAAAGACGACGAGTATAAGGTCCACCTGAATGGCGGCACCCCCAATCCTCTGATCACGAACGGAATGCTCATCTCCGTGCCGACTACCCAGACATCCAGTCTTCACAAGCAGCTGCGATTGGAGATGGATGGAAAGTCCGTCAAAGTAAAGAGCAACATGGAGTCCAGTGTCGGTGGCGTCTATGTTGTCGGAGATGCCAATAACGATGGCTCGACGAATGCTTATCATGCCATGTGGTCTGCTAAGCGTGCGTGTGTGAATGCACATGGTGAGTCATATCTCCTTTCTTCTATCTGAAGTTCCTAACGGGCCATTCTAGTCTCTATGTCGAAACAAGAATACCTCGACGCTGTGCCTGAAGCCATGGCGGCAGCCGCTGGAGGAGACAAGGAGTTTTACCGCCTTCAGCTTGAAGAGCTTGAGCTCCAGATAGGAAGTGATGTTGAGCAGATGTATCAAGCGCTCGGTGGTTGATTCATAACTTGGTTAAGATAAACTGTCATTGAGAATCACAATGCTACTCTCATCGGAAATTAAGGGTATCCAGGAATAGGTTAAAGAAACCTGTAAGCTCACCGAGCCAACTATCTTTCGCTCGAGTTATTGGTTGTTCAAACTACCATTGGAATCAATAAGCTCAACAATCGAGCTGCCTATCCCAGGGGAACACAGTCTAGTAGACTGGAATTAGGACTTTGGTTTAACTATAGGAAAAAGTGGGCCCCCCAAGGAGCCACATGCCGGGTCTGCTGAAGGCTACCATCTTATTCTTTCTTATACCTTTACAATTAGCTTTCTTCCGTCTTCTTCATTCCAGTATCTCACGTCTCACCACTTCACTGAAGCAATGGCAGGGATCATTGAAACTCCCTTGGATAATAAAACAACCCTCAAAGTCCCCGGTCTCCATGATATCCCCATCAATGTGTTACTCTCCCACGATCAATTTGCCACAGGGGTAAATGACTGGTATGGTCACATTCTCACGGCCAAAGAACTGGCCATCCTAGATCTAATCAACACCATCACCGACCGACCGGATTGGCACTGCGCCATCTTTGACCAGCAAGTTACCGCCCATGGCGGGAAGACGCCGTTGGATCGTCGTCGCTGATCAATGACAAAACGTGGGACTGGTGCTTGCAAGAGTTGCAAGACAAGGCTCGACAGTTTGACCGAGACGGCCGCTTGGTCGTCTTCAACACGAGCAGCGGTGTTTGTAAATCCGATGCGGCAATATCTTCCAATCTGAAGTCACAGCTGCCAAATTTTGTCGACCTGTTATCTCATCAAGCCATTCGGCAGAAGCCAGCCTCAGCTGTGGTAAACCTCGTCGACCCATCTTTGTTTCCTCTTGTCTATGGGAGAACGAAAATCCTGGGCGGAGGACAATCGTGTGGAATGGACGAGAATTCCTGGTCGTCACGTAGTAGAGAGTGCCTGCTCGTTTCGGAACGCCCGCAACTGGCAAAGGAGGGCTCATCCTGGATATGGGACAGCGGCCGGTACATTTGGTCCTCGAAATTTCAGTGGCTGCCGTGTGAAGTGGAATTCACTGGTCCTCCTGGGTCTGCGGATGTTCGAATTTCGTCTTATATCAACAATTTGCATCCGACGAACCGCGAGATGTACTCCGCAATCGAGGCCGTGATCTCCGGCAGTATCAAGCAATGGAACGAGATTTTGGTGCGTAATAAGTGGAGGAAAGCCATTAACCTTTTCTACGGGAATTGCGTCTCCTGGCCTCGTGGGCCCATACGAATCCGCACTTACGGAGTCGAGTGGAAAGCCCAATTTCCTAAATGGGCGAAAAAACTACCCGATAAGGAAGACGAGGGTAAACTCTCTACGGAGGAATACGAAGCCATGTGTGCTCAAGTGGAGGCGTACCTTCAGGAACCTGAATCTAGGGATAAGGTATACTGGGATCAGATCCGAACGCAAAGGATCCCGGAGGATTGGAAGGCCCGTTGGGGGTTGCTTCGCACGGCTTTGACCAAGTATGGATGCACATTTGTCTTTGAGCACTCGGACCCAGGAACTGCGTACTCGTACGAGGACTGGAAAGTAGGGAGGACCGGAAAATCAATTGTTGGTCCAGCGCACTTCGATTACGTTTGCAGTCCGGATTATGAACTGTCCAAATTCTTTGAAGCAAACCCTTGGTTGACACCCTACGAATGGATGTATAAACCAAAGGAAGAGGACCCTGACGATCACCAGTTCTACACGCTTGCATTGCAGGATGAGTTTCGAGACCGGGGTCTCCAGACTGTCGTCCGGATTCACAGCATCGAGCTAGACCCTGAGACGCCATCCTTCCCCGGCGAGGAGTGGCACACCGAAGGAAATGCAAACGAACGTATAGTCGCCAACGCCATCTACGCGCTCGATTCGGAAAACATGTCTGAGCCGCAAATCAGCTTCCGGCAGAGGTGTACAGGAGGGGGCCGTACCTGGGTCTACGACCGAATCGGCGCCGACGATTCGGACAACGAGGAAGTGCTGCAGATGAGATCGATGACCTAATGCTGAAGTATGCCCTATGGGATGTCAAGTATATAGGAAGGCTTTGCGGATTTGCGGACATTCAGGATGCTCCAGCCTGGCAACAGCTCGGCGTGGTGAAGATGCCTCCGGGCCGGCTGGTCTCCTTCCCCAACGCCTTCCAGCGCCGAATGGGCCCAGTACAGCTTCAGGACAAGACCAAGCCCGGCCACTGCCGTTTTCTCACTGTGTCTCTTGTCGATCCGACCTACCGGCTTTGCTCTACGCGGAACGTCCCACCACAGCAGACTGGTTGGACAAGGAGCGAAGGCGCTGAGTCTGCGACACAAATGGATCTGGGCGAGGCCCTCGAGCTGAGAGAGGAATTGGTCAAAGAACACACCAGGAAGGATGAAGGTGTCTTTGAGCTGGCTTCAACTCTCTCGTTTTCTGGATTTTCGTGAACGTACGGGATAGCCAGCTAGAATATACACACTTTCTACTCTCGCTATTCAGAAGCCAACGATACAGATCCGGATGTCTTTGTACCAATAGAGAAGCTTCCTGTCGCAATATCTATATGTAACTAAGTTTGATAGAGATAAACTACGATGTGCAGGACGTAGGACCTAAGATTTGTCTAATATGCAAAGAGTAGAAAGGCAATGTGGTATATTTAGCTATCTTAGACCCTAAAGCAAAAATAGAAACCATGTTGTATATTATTATCCATGTGCAGCTTCATCTGAAATTGTTGGAGCCTCTGGTCACGTGACATGAATGGCTGCCTGGTTTGTCAGGCTACTAATGCCTGGTTGTTTGTCTCCAGGATGCAGATGACCTGACCCCTGTCTCTGATTTTGATCTGACCGGTGGCCCCACTAGATCATGTGACCTTCCCTATCTTATGTATCTACACCAGTTAGCTCAGCAACCGTAATCTGTATTTAATACATACTATTACTTTATTTTACCTCCACACCGCCTATAGAGAAGGAAGTATTGGTGTAAGACCAAAGATAATATGACTCCATGTAGGCGCCATTCTGCTCTAGAAGAGGCCGACGAGTAGTCCAAAAGAAAGATACAATAGGGCAAATTAGGCGGCACGTTTCACCTACGCAGTATTCATCTAGGTAGTCTGTGCAGGCCAGTTAGGCTATGTAGCAGATATTGATAGCAGGTATCGATTACTATGTTAACAATCTGGTCTTGACACCTGTATACTGAATAAAATTGTGATTGTGATACAAAACACACAAAACATACGTTAGTGAATAAAGCAAGAGAAAGAAAGCACAGCTGCTCAACAAATCCAAACAAAAAATAGCTACATTTATCCATAAAATGTCCCCGGGGACGGCTGAAATCCGATTCCGGCTCGAGCACGCGACTCATGTTTCCTCAATTGCCTGGGCCTCCGGAGGAGTGCCCTCCAAAAAAACCAATCCCGTTTGACTGCGATTGAGATTTAGCAACAGAGTTCTGCCTTTTACGACTGGGTTGTTTAGTCGTTGGGCTAGATTGCCCTCGAACTTCTTCCCTCAGTTCTTGATTGGCAGCAACACATAATCTCTGAGAGCTCATGAGCGGAACGACGGAAGTCAAAATAAAGGCATCACATTCCAAGGAAAGGAATCCAGGGAAAACGACAAAAAGGTGATTGTCTGGATGCTCAGCCCCGATGGTATCTTCACCACCTACGGGAGACTGGAATAGAGAATCCTCATCGAGGGCCCAATCGACTGGATCAAATTCCGTCTCATATCTTTTCGTGGAATTCTGGATAGGACGCCAGACCTCGATTGCCCTATCAACAACGTTCTTTATCCTCTCTTTGAGCTCACCATACTGGGCAGTTGAAAGAAGCTCATGAAGATAGTGGGACACATTCTGAACAACAGATTTGGCCCTAGACTGAAGTTCAGCTTCCTGCCCGTCACGATCAATAGAAAGCAGGACGGAGCGATAAAAATGTTCTTTTTCGTTGTCACTTTTCGCAAGCTTATTCAAGCTCATCCTGAAATTGCCGGTCTCGGACGGAAAGTAACTCGGTTGAAAAATCTCCTTATCAATTTCCCTGGATAGAATGCCTAACATCACAGCCAAACGCATTCCCTTAGCGGCATCGGAATTCGAAGCACACAGGGGGGCAGGCTGCCCTTGGATTGCCCCATCTCGGATAGCAGCATCAGTATCCAGTCTGAACTTCTTCCAGCGTCTATCATTCTTCCAGGAAAGTTAGTCTAAGTTTCGGTTTAACATATGAGGGCATAGAATATATATGGGACAACGTACTTTGAGATTCTCGTCGCTCAAATTCTGGCGCAAGACGGTCCAAATTTCATTTATTGCGTAGTCCCAGATGCCCTCAAACCTATCAATTCTGGAACTTAAGAGTTAGCAAGCTGCAATACAATACCTAGGGAAAGTACTAACATTGACTGCTCATCAATTTGGTGAGATTTAAGGATAAAAGCATCGAACTTTTCAAGTCGACTGCGAGCCTTTTGCATCTTTTCATCAAGCGACTTCTTCTCTGTTTCAAGGCAAACGCTTTTCGCTTGTTCCTTAGCAAGGAGACTCTCAAGGTTTGCGGTAGTAGCCTTCATTTCGTCAACCGATGTATCTCTTTCTTTAAGTCTTTTCTGTAGGGAACCAATATCAAGATTGTGTTGTGCAATTATTGAGTTCATCCTCCTTTCGTCCTGCGATCTTTCAGACAGCTGTGTTTGTATCTGCCCTTGGAGTTCTTGAATCCTTCGAGAGATCTCAGCCAGAGATTTCTCTCTTTCTGTAACCGCTTTTCGAAGAGAAGAATTTTCTTTTTCTGCCTTTTCTTTCTGGGTGGTCAAGGCTTGGTTCACTGCAGAAAATCTGCTGAGCGCAACCAACTCATTCTCTTCTTGAGCTTTGATATGCTTCTGCAATTTGTCCAGCTTTTCATCTCGAATCTGGATTTGATCCTGCTGTTCTTTAACCTGACTATAAGTCGCCGATGCTTTCTGGAACTCGGGATCGAAAGTGAGTTGTCTGACGTGCTCAATGATTTTGTTCAAGAAATCTTCATGTTCCACCTTAGTAGAGACGGGCGTCATTGTTTCAGTTGCTGTTGAAGACATAATGATTATAACGACTAATGTCACATGAGAGTTTGATTTGGTTGAAATCTTAGAACTAACGTGATGGAAGTGGCATGTATTTATAATTTCTTCCATACTGGAAGCATATATGGAATGCCCATAGTTTCACCTTTGATGTTGGGAGACAACGAGGAATTCACTATTGCGCGTATGGAAACAAGTGTCAGGGCTGTAGGAGCTTGGACCTCTTAACGCCTCGCTGAGCTGTCTTGCATATGCAAGACACAGGGTTCCGAGCAACGTGTTCTGGAGGGAATGGTTACCCGCTCCCACAGAGACGTATAATACAGAGGTTCAGTACCGAAGCGAGTCATGAGATATTCCTAGCGTCCAATCAAAACCTCATTGCTCAGGGATGCTCTCCACCAAACCAGCCTCGTCAAGGCGATCAGTGTTCGTCAAACAAGGCGAGGAAGACCCGAGCCAGGATTATGAGGCATCCCGGTGTGCTATAGGTGGGTATGACGTGTAACAAGTAATATACGAGCGATTTCCGAGCTGCTTATGGCGGGTATAGTCAGTAAATCACTGGGGTCGTAGCTAAATAAATCGCCTGCTGGATGTGGCTGAGAGTGAAACGCATGAACGCTTTAAGTGCTCTGCCCCGCACGGTTGCCTTGTGTCAAGAAAGGCGAATGGTGGCAGCTGAATCAAGCTATCGGCAGCAAGTTTATCAAGGAGAATACGTAACAAGACCACTTAATGAAGACGGACAGCCGATCCCTTCACACATGTATTAGCATTTACCATTTATTTTTGCGTACGGTTATCAATCTGACCGATCTTGCATCTCTTGTAGTTCCGGCTACAGACATTAAGGCTACCTTGTCCAGAAGATCCATGGATGTGGAATGCCAAAGAGCTACATCGACGGAATGTGCCTCTCTCCTTCCCTATGAGGTGTTGGGAATTACGTTCCTGGGCTCCGAGGCACTACCAACTGACTGACGGTTTCGGGAGCTTCCGCGATATATGGTGAAAGTACATCATTTTTGACCAAAAATACGATGCGAAAGACGGTTCTGAATTGCGGGTTCTTACCGTTGGTGATATCTGTTTGCGTAAAAATTCTGAATCGACTCTTGGAAAGTTTCTAATATAAATTGAGGTAAATTCCGGTCATCTGAAGACTATTATCAAGCTGCAAAATGGTGCAAAGCGCTCCGGATGAGAGGTTGATATATTTAGCCTGCATTCTCCCCGATAGCCGAATCTTAGTATCTAGCTCCGAGGATAAGAAAATCCGGCTCTAGGATCCCGTTACTAGAGCACTATATTAGACGCTCGAGGACCATTCAGGTCCGATCCAATCAGTGACATTCTCTCCTAATGGCTAGCTTATAGCGTCTAGCTCTAGTGATAATATAGTTCGGCTTTAGGATCCCGTCTTAGGAGTCTTATATCAGGCTTTTAAGGGCCATTCATAGGCGGTTTGGTCCGTTATATTCTCCCCGACGGCTAACTTCTCGCATCCGGCTCCTAGGATAAGACAGTCCGGCTTTGGGATCCTATCACGGGAACCCTACAGCGCACTCTTGAGGTCCATTCAGGTCTAGTCCGGTCGTTGGCATTCTCCCCGACGGCCGACTTCTCGCATCCGGCTCCTGGGATAAGACAGTCCGCTGTAAAGCTCACCTTTAAACACTGTAGGGGGTTGCCAAGATATAGACATATTTAACCCACACCCACTTGGCTCCATAACTCATATTCTGGGGAAGCGTTTTTAATCCACAAGCTCTAAGATAAGATGATACGGTCCTTTTCTGTGAAATGTTTATTAAGATTCGATATAACTGTCGGGATATATATCCTCCTGTTAGGACAAACCAGCAGTGACATACTACTAGCGACTGATGGATAGCATCCCTTGCTTGGTGAATGCATTCTCGCGTGCGGCTTAATGTTGTGACCGCAGAGGGCCGGTGAGTGGGATCCAGGGGTATTTTTTAACCAGATTATTTTTGAGTGACAGCAATATTAGTCATCAGACCACTTCTTGCACCATTCACTTATAGCACATATTTTCTGTTGGATGGCAGGGCGTGCTATAAAGCGAGAGTTGACCGTACTGTACATACTACAGGAGCCGTTACGGGAATTATGTCAGGGACCAAAACTTGAGCTTGTCATGTAAACTCTGACAGTAGGATAGTTATTATAGACACACACCTCACGGTCATGTCTCGGATTTACTGCTCAACGTATGTTCCGATCTATCATCTCGCTAGGAGAGTATTGAGGGTTTTGAGGTTCAACGCAGCACTGCCCCAGGACAGGCCGAGTGAAACTCCCTTCTGGTATGATCGTGCATTGGGCTTGATTGATTGTTCTGGAACCGGATCTTCCAACAGCATATATCTCGGGACGAATGGGGTACATTCCTCCACCAGATCTGGCATAGTCGCTGGTGTGACAAGAGCCTATTCCTTGGGAAAAGAGTGCGTTCTGCAGCGAATACTGAGACTGGAGAGGAGAGAGAAAAGGAAGAAGAGCTGGGGGTGCTGTGCTTGCCCTCATACCCTTCGGTCTCCGCCAATCAGATCGCTCAAAACTAGCTGGTCTATCTAAACACAGTACACACAGTTTCCCAGTGTCACAGGGGTTTACATATCGTATCGAGAGGTCATCTAGGATATATACGAGAAGCCCTTGAATGAAATTACGGCTAAGCTTGCTACGCGACGCGAGTAGACGCGAATACTTTTACGCGTCCTAAGAGATAAAGCTATGATGCTATATACATTTCAGGATTCTTAACCTATAGATTCGATAGAGAGGAGTACTTTCTACTTGTAAGGCTAAATGAAGGGGGCTAGAGAGGGAGGGAGAGAAAAAGAAAGGAATCTTCGGTCTCTCTAGCTAGAATAGTTAAGGGATCCACGATAGGCAGTCATAGAACGCCGGTAGATCGCTGTGGATTCCGCGGCTTAACGCGATCTCCCGATTCTCGATTCCCCTTCAGTGAGATCAGATGCCAAGGGGCGCACAGGACACGCACCACCAGGGGCGGGAGCACGCACGCGGGGCGAATGAGGATGCAGAGAAATGGGATGATAGGCCCAATACCTTTGGCTACGAGGGTATAAGGTAAAGAGTTTTATCTCTATGTTACAGGTTGCTGGGCCATAGATTGCGTCTCAAAGTGAATATGAAGGTCGCAAGCGTACTGTACAAGCTATCATAGTCTTAATCCACGAGTAATCCGACGCTGAGATAAAAACAATCGAGGCGTACGCTAAGACTTCTGGTTTGTTTTGTGACTTGCCGACGGTCCATGATGGAGGTGACAGGCAAGCAACAAATCCAAGGCACACGCAATTTATTAGTTCGCTTATTTATCCTGTATCACTAACCCATCTAAATGTTTTGATTTAGCTGCAGGCGCCACACGATTTGTTGGCACCTTCCGTCAGCTGAGGCCAAAACTCTTCCAATGCGGCACGTAAGCTCTGCCTCTTTTCTATCTCCTCCCACTTGTACTTGACTTCTCGGACCTGCCTTTTCGTTCTCTATGGCGGACAGCTTAAACCTGTTGGGAGTGGTTGGCACCTGGGTAGCTGCTGTCATTGCAATTATCGCGCTCGCCGGCATCTTGCCTGTCTATGTTCTCTACCGACAGTCTCAGACAGATCGCCATATTGCGCTCAACAAGGTGCATGACCCTCATAAGACGTACATAACAGCGGGATACCTGCTATTGCCGGGGAGGCGGTTCTTTCGATCATACAGTGTGCCCGACCTGGCAGACCCTCCAACATGGTCACAGCTTACGATTGTTGCAAGGCGGCGCTGCGAGGGTTTTGGAAAAAATGTTTTACGATCTTTGACGGGGTGGGTGAATTTTGTCAATGTCCTGCAGATATACAACATCAAGCCAGCAGTTTCCAAGGGGAAACTGACCTTCGCCGGTCAAGAAGCCTTGCTGCCTGTCCATCGCGGTTGGTTGTTGCTGCTGGGAATAATTGACCGGTACTCGGATCAGTGGAATCGACCCGACAAGGGCCTGTTTGTTGGTGAAGCAGAAGAGGCAGATATGGATGAGTTTGGACCTGGGGCCATCTTTGGCATAAGCGGCGTACTTGAACGTATTGTCGCTTCGCCGTTACGGCAGGGCGATGTTGAGTCTGGACAAGGACCGGTGGATAAAGTAGCTTTTCGCATGCATTCCGTACAGCATATGGCCAGGGTATCAGAGTCTTTTCTACATGGTGACGATATGCCTATTTCATCGCTGGTTGCCTTGTATCTTGGCTATCTGGTCAGCGTTGATGGGAAAGAGCATTATGACCTTGAGACGCCGGGCAAAATGCTAACTGAGTATGTTTCGGCGCACCGTCGTGATCCAGATGGGGATAATTCTCATAAGATCTGGGTCTGGGACCAGAAACCAATGGACAGTCTACCGTCCCAACAAAGAAGACTGATGCAAGAGCTTGGAATTAAACTGCCGCGAGTCCTGAAGCTGAAAGAAATCGCAGCCCCAAACCAAGCCATCTTCAGCCAGATGCCCCGTGATGCTGCTCAAAGTTATCAAGTTATTTCGCACAAGGGGGAAGGAATTTGGATGACTCGGTCCAGTTTACATATACTTGTGCTTGCGGTTTTGAGACTGAAGATTACTCAACAGTCGTTTCTGTTCGACAACCCACCGCTTGACCACGACATATTGAGTCATTTATTTGACTCGCGAAATTTACTGACCTTCGTCAAGACGACGGAAAAGTTTGTCAGGAACTTGGATGCCCTCACACAAAGGGAAAAACAGGATTTGGAACAATCATTGCTGAGTGTGAAAGAAATGCACCCGAAGACGGCGCCGAGATGGGATGGAGCCGTACGAGAATGAACGCCTGCGCTTCACTGGACAGGGTGCTGGATGAGATTTGCCAAAAAAGTGGCAAGCTTCTCTGCTGCGTCATCTCTATCCTATATATGCAAGAGAAAGGCTTTCGATTCATATGCAAAAGATACAACTACGACGACCCCGGATTGCTTGCGAAGCAATTCATGGTGGACTTGTCGTCTAAAAAGGTTCTCGCGCCACAATCTTATACCGGAGGCGAACATGAATTCGAGGAGTTCTATTTCGATTTTCCGACAGTTTTCTCGGACGCCGAGTTACTTGACATCTGGCCCACGCCTATGAACAGATATCCAGTGCCTATTTCGTTGCCGCTCGCCATGATGGCATGTCTGCGGGGACACTTGAGGATGGCTATATGGGACATGAAACTGTCTTGCTCGCCATTGGCCAATGTTTATCAAGCGCTGCGCAGTGGTGTCGTGCATTTTGCGCCCCAGGAAATACTACCACCAGGTTCTTTTTCAATGCAAATGCCGGAATCCTTTCCTCCTCCTCCTCCTCCTCCTCCTCCTCCTCCTCCAGAACCTGCTGTCGGTGTTGTCCATTACGAAAGAGGCTCTTCCTACGATTCATGGGACTCCCGATACGATTCATGGGACTCCCGATCCAGCAGCCCTGACGATGAGCCGCGTCAGCGCGTCGTGGATAGAGGGAGAACGTATATCCAAAGAGCATATTCCATGTCTGTTGACTCCGCCGAAACACATCCCCCCATTACAACATCATCCGTCGCCCTGGATGGTCACGCCGAAGATGGCTACGTGACCGCTCCAGAAGAAGACACAGACGATGTAACTGTTGTCATAAGGGCCAAATCACCGACGCCACCATCACCAGAAAATTCTGCATTTTCTTCTTCTGCCTCATCGCAACGTTCTGATCAAGCTCACCTCTCGCATGATGAAGAGGCAGCATGCATAGTTCGGCTTTCTGTCCTGAGAAACATGTTGACTAGCGATGAGTCGGTCAGAGTAAGAGCTCTCGAAAACATCGAGAGATCTATAGGCAGACAAAGAGGAGAGATGGAGACGCAGACGGGAATAATACTATCCAGGGACCAAGAAGACAGGGAGAGAACCTTAGAGGATGCTCTAGGTCAAGAGTACACTACTACGAGATCTGGGGAGCGACGTCGTCACAGAAAGTTCGTTTCTGATGGACCTAAGCGCAGGTCAGGGTCGCGTCGTGATGGAAAACAAAAGGATGCAGCTGGAAGGAGTAAATGGCCCCCCGGAAATGGAGAAGTCTGGGTAGAAGAAGTCACGTATGGTATTGGGACAAGTCGTCGTCGGAAAGAGGATAAAAGCGTCCAGTTCGATGATATTCTGATTAGCAGTCAGCGGTAGTAGGTAGCAATGATTCCTATGAATCAAGAGAGAAACGTATATGAATCGTTGTATAAATAGATCTTTCTAAAAAGGTAGAAAATCTAACTGTAACAAGACTGTTCTTGCTGGAAGGGATGGTCCACACAATTGGAGTACGCGCTTTGGAGTTCGCGGTTGGGAGTTCGCGGTTCTGGATAGTAAGACCTCGCCTGCACTGGGCATCTCATGCAACATTTAAGAGTCAATCATCCCCGAAATAGCCGAAATGTATCCAGGACCTGACGGCTCAATCAGGGACCATCAGCATTAAGCAAGCAAGCCTGTTCCTGACAAGGGATAGGGCAGGTACGTTTTTACTTGTCGATGAGGTCCGTTGGACTGACCCTCAAAGCCTAGAGCATACAGTAGAGTGTTACGCAAAACAGCCCAACAACGACAGAGGTAAGCCTATTCCCTCTAGTTAGTTAACGATTTGGAAAGCAGCGAACTCTTAAGGGTCATTCGGATTTTATTTGGTCGGTAGCGTTTTCCCCCTTGGGCCGGCAACTGGCGTCCGGCTCCTATGATAGAGATAGTCCGGCTTTGGGATCCTATCCAGGACGCCCTATATCAAAATCTCGAAGGCAATTTAGGCTCCGTTCGGTCAATGGCATTTTCTCCCGACGGCCTACCCTTAGCGTTAGGCTTAGAGGATAACACAGTTCGTCTCTAGGATCCGAAGACGGGCGTCCTAAATCAAACGCTCGAGGGCCATTCGGGTTAGGTCCAGTCGGTAGCATTCTCTCCTAACGGCTAACTTATTATATCCGGCTCCTATAATAATACAATTCGGCTCTAGAACCCTATAACGGGCTTACTATATCGCTTGCTCGAGGGTCATTTAGGCTTGGTTTCATCGATCACATTTTCTCTCGATGGCCAACTTCTGGCGTCTGGCTCATATGATATAACGGTCCGGGTCTGGAATTTGAAGATAGGTGCTGTCCAGCAGATTTTGATAGCTAAAGGAGCAGTCAATGAGCTGCGTTTTTCACAAGATGCATCATATGTCACAACCGATTTCGGAGCCCTCACTATTCAGTCTAAATGTGGGAGCCATGCTTCTAGCTAGATAAAAAAATATAAAGCTAAAAGAATATAAACTGAGCAGGAAGCGTACCAAGAAAAAACGAAGCGGAAGTGGAAGAAGGTGTTAGTCGAAATCAGGAAGTAAGGAAGGGCCAAAAAACGTAGTGGAAAATAAATTGCTTTTATATACTAGTAGTAAATTGATCAATCTATCTATCTCTGTTTTTAAATTAATTAATTTACTACGTGGTGGTGGTGGTGGTGTAAATGCTAGTTGAATTGAATCTATAGAAGAAACTGTCATTTGGGTGATCCCTTTTATATGGGTGGCGGACCCTCGCTTGCGAGGGTCCGATTTTTTGTAAAAAGATTGTGGGGCCGGTTACCATCTGCTCACCACGCTCTCTTAGGATTCCTTTATATGAATACACCTAGCCGCACACTCTCAGATCCATACCCTTCTTCATTTCTTCACCTATCCTATACATGCTTCGTACGTTCTTCCAGTGGTATCCCATCCACCTATCTCGTCCAACTTTACCCCGCCTCAGTCACGCACTTCATCCACTTCCACCACTCCCTTCACCACCCGTACCTTCAACACCCAGCTCACCGCTCGCCCTTTATTCGCTTCACCTTCCTAGCGTTCGGAGAGTCTTTTTTCTTATATATTCTTTTCTACATTGTAATTAAATTGCTTATGGGGAAAATCCTGTTTGGTCAAAATAGTACAGGAGATTTTCATTTTGTGATACCGTGCAAGTCTACTAGATGCATCAGATGAATATTACAGTACAAAGTCCTATATTTGGTGTCCAAATAGGACCATAAACCCCCTCTGTGACCCACCGTCTCGGCCCAGATAAGATGTGAGGGTATTCAAGATCCAAACAGTCCCTCCTGGGGTTTCTTTTGGTGTCTTTATTTCGACTCAAAGTCGCTTGCTTGGAGATTCCGTGTCATGGACGGCAATCGTACGACCAGTCCGTCGAGGTCCTTGGTCATGATCACCTGGCAGCCCAACCGAGAGGTCTCGGTAAGCCCGAAAGCCAGATCCAACATGTCGTTCTCGTCGTCCGATGGCTCTTCCATCTTATCAAAGGTATCCGGGTCCTCCACAATCACATGGCACGTTGAGCAGGCGCAGGATCCTCCGCACGCACCTATTCCCGACATGATGTTAGATATCAGTGGTTAAATATGCATCATATCGGCTCAACCCACCTTCCATTTCAAGGTCATTTGCCTGTGCGATGTCGAGTAGGTTATCACCCTCAGCAACCTGGAGGTCTACCTTGGTGCCATCCTTGTCAATGAAAGTCACGTTGATCCTAAAGAATCGATCAGCATGCAGTGCAGACAGCGCAAGAGCGCAGCAAGAGTGCAAATCTGGCTTACTCTTCTCCGGGCTTTGGCGGCGTGATATGACCATGCGCAGCTTGTGCAGTCACCGAAAAAGCACGCCGGGCTGTATTATATCCTTGCCAAGGTGATTGAAGGCTTCTCCGTGCATTGATATCCGACCGAGGGTGTGTCTTGATTCCGGTGTTGGTCCATGACCTTGAATAACTTAGACATCTCCGCGATTGAGTCAAACAGACATCCCCTGTGTTAGGTACACGGCGCAATTGCCGACCGACTTCTCGCCAGAAAGCCATGTTGCAGAAAAGGGGAATAAATAAATTAAAAGGGGAATTCGAAAGTCAAAGGAGAGAAAAAGAGGATCCGGGGAAGATGGGAAGAGTGAGCAATGATCGTCCAATGGCCGCGGAGGAAAAAAATGACTGACAAAGCTTGGGCGTTCGGCCATTCCACTCCTCCCGTTCTTCGTTCCCCGACTCTTTAACTCCGACCAACATCACATTATGGCGACTCGTGAAGGGATCAATCCCTTGCGGCCTTACTATATCCCTCCGTCTGGCTTATCGCCCGCTTCAAATGCGCCCGCCGAGGTGGCATCGCCGTCATCGGCCCAGGTCTTTGGCAGCACAGCTCGCGATCTCATGCCGGACTTGGACTATGCCGATTATCTGGAAGCCTCGCCCTCTGTGACTGACTGGGTTCGAGATACATTGAACCGGGCTCTTGTGCGCTACACCAAGGTCCTTACCGCACAGCCGTTCGACGTCGCCAAAACCATCTTGCAGGTGTATGTCGTACCAGACGCCACAGAGGAGCAGCGGGATCGGAACTCGACACCGGGTGCTGAAGGAAGCTCTTATGATTCGGTAAGAAGGCTGTTCTATATAGCTGATATACAGCTGTGTTGAATTCCATGACAAATGACTGACGGATTTGCGTTTAGGACTCAGAATCATCCGATGATGAAATTAGTTACTTCACCTCAGCCGCCCCTCCAACGCCCACGCCGAGTACACCTAGATCTCGCAAGCCACGCCACCATATCACCGATCGCAGTGGCTATATTCGACCAGAGTCTGCCGCCCAGCCCAAGCATGCTCTGACTATCAAGAACTCGAACTCCCTGACCGAAGTTCTATCCCAGCTCTGGTCCTCCAGTGGCCCAACCTCCCTCTGGAAGTCCTCTAACACTACATTCATTTACTCACTTCTCCTGCCGACTTTGAACACTTTCATCCGCAGTCTGCTGACGGCAATTGTCGGCTTGCCAGAAGAAGATATTTCCTTGTCGATGACAGCGGACATTCTGACTGCATCCTCCCCTCTGGCAACGCTGGTCTTGTCATTCATTTCATCCTCGCTATCCGCCCTGATCCTAGCTCCTATCGACACCGCCCGTACATTCCTAATGCTCACGCCAGCAACCCATGGGCCGGGGTCCCTCGTCCGAGCTATCCGCCAGCTCCCCACACCCAACTGCACGATCCCTTCGCATCTCGTCCCGATCACTGTGCTCCACTCAAGTCTCCCCAACCTCATTATGACCTCGACGCCACTCTTCCTCAAATCATATCTGTCCATTGATCCCCTCCTAAACCCAAACGCATGGAACCTCTGTGCTTTCCTCGGCTCCGGACTTGAGCTCGCCGTGCGATTCCCACTTGAGACCGTGCTCCGCCGCGCACAGATTGCCACATACACGTCCTTGAGTCTGCGCCAAAAGTCATCGGGCGGTAGCATCAGTGCCACGTCTATTGATGCTTCCGATGTGGAAACCATCGTCCCTACCCGCGCACATACCGCGGTATCATTGGCACCATGTGGCACATTGTTTACGAGGAGGGTGTCAGCTCGAAACCGTCCGACACAGAACGTGCTAAACAACTCCTCGGCCAGCGTACCTCACAGCAGAAGCGACAGCAAGGCCAGGGTATTCAGGGCCTGTACCGCGGCTGGCGTATTGGCATGTGGGGGATCGCCGGCATCTGGGGAGCCAGCTTGTTGGGCGGAGTCGCTGGTGGCAGCGAAGACGAGGTGACAACAAGAGGTGGCCATGGCCGTTCCAGCGGTGGACGCTTCTAAGGAATGCCGTCAAGCCATGAGGCCTTCGTCTTCATCTTGGTCTTCATATTGGAAGCCACCAAATCGCCACTCAACTGATTCACTTAATAATTCGCGAAGAGACATTCCTTAATCGAGTCTCCGCGATGTTCTTTCGTTTCATAGTCCATCCCTCTTCCTTAGTGGTCGAGACAGTTGGACACCTGAATCTTCCATATTGGCAACATCGGAAGCATTTCTCCCATCGCGTGCGCCATTGATACTCGGTCTCCACTCTCCTCTCCTTCTTCCACTTGTCTACATCTTATACCCCAGTGAATGGATCCCGGGGAAAGTCGATCGGCGTCATGTTTTTGGTTTAGCAGCGCAAACCGTGTATAAAACCTTCCCCTTCCCTCCATATAGCTATGTAACGAGATACAAACCACAGTCCGATCTCGCTCCGGCTTGCTAGGCATTTAATTCATTTGATGATTGATTATAGAAACTGAATTTTAATTCGAATCAAGGTTGCGCTATCTAAATACTGTGTTATCTAATTTATCGCACCTGAGAGAACACCTGCTTGGTTTCGCATCTATCAATATGGTCATCCAACCTGCTTTGAAGAGATTCAAAAGAGCAAACGAGGTGATCCCTGGAGAAGCGACAAAACCAGCTAATCGAGTCTCTCGATCCTCCACAGTCGATCTGCGAGTTGAAAGAAGAGATCATTAACCGTCTCAGCAAACCGCTTCGTCAACTCCGGCAACCGTCCCACAACAGTCCCAAGCACTACACTCCAACTAAGATCCGGAATCTCATCCTGAACCACACGGCCCGGCGGCAGAGACGGGCCATGCACGCTCATATCGCGGTCCAATGGCACACTGAGACGATACTTCCAAACAACCACCCCATCCACATATAACGAGTAAGTAAGAACGGAGCTACGAGCCCGAACAGGCGCAGCAGCAGTCGAACCAACATCTTCAACCTCATCCGCAATATCAATAAGCCCGAACTTACTATTTCCATTCGGCGCATACTTCACCATAACATCCTCAGAGTCTGTCTGGTGGTACGTACGGACGGGAAGGTAGAACATGCTCAACGGCCCAACGCTGAACTCGTGCAATCCCAGCCCAGCCGTATTAGGCAGAAGTTGATCGGGACCGAGGTTAAGCTCCGGGTCCGGGAACCTAGTGGCGCCGAATTCGTGTCTGTCACCGCTAAGCATGACTATGCGGATACCTAGATCGCGCTCTGCGCGCCACATTGCTTCGAAGACGGTGCGGCGCTCGTCAAGGAACCCGCCCCAGGTATCTGTGGTGCCGACGTGCCAGTTCTTGGTGAAGGGCACGCTGGAGGAGATGATTTTCCAGTGTACGCCTGCTGGCTCTGGGGTTGAGATGTACGTCAGGAGGGATTGGAGCTGGGGGTGGCCGAGGATGGTTGAGTTCTGGTGCGCTGGCTCGGTGCGGTAGGTGCGTGTGTCTAGCATGAAGAATGAGGCTGGGCCTTGCGTGAAGGCGAAGTAGGTTACGTTGTCTGGATGGGCGAAGGGCGCTTGCGGGATGGGTGGGTTTGCCCGCACGTGGTAGTGGATGAAGGGGTCTGCTGCCGCGGGATACGGGGCGGTTTTGTTGCCCTGCGACCAGTCGTTTTGGATCTCGTGGTCGTCCAGAGTGTGCAGCCAGGGGAGGTCGATAGCGCGGTTTTCTTCTGGCCCGTGGTTCCAGGAAGGCGACGAGTAGATGCGTCTATACTCGCTGCGGTAGTGTTCCATGGATGAGCCAAAACGCCAGGGGACGTCTATGTAGATGAAGTCGCCTAGGAAGAGCATGAATGCTGGGCGAAGTAGCTTGGGCAGTTTGGCGAGGGCGTCGGTCATTTGCTCGAGGCCTGGGACCCGTAGTGGATGCGATAGTATGTTGTAAGGGAAGTTTGGCTTTAGGCAACTTGACGTTACAAAAGATAGTCGCTTTGCTTCACGGGTTTCGGGCGATGGCGCCGTGGTAAACGTGCCAGACTTGTTGTTAGACAGCGAATAGCGATAGTGTGTCGCCGGCTTCAGGTCGGTTAGAGTCACAGTCGTAGTAAAGTCCGTGGTCTTATCCAGTTTGTAAACGATGCCTTCTTCATGCCAGTCCTGGCTCATTTCAGAGACCTCCTGGAACATCACCGTCACTGGTAGGCGAGCCGTGTCTGGCTCGCGAAAGACCAAGTTGGCAGTAGTCGGGGAGACATATCCAACGCGCGAGAACGCAACATCGGTGGTTGAATAAAGTAGAACACCACGGGTCAGGAAATCAAGTGTTAGCACTGCCAGGACGACATTGATTAATATCGTGATTCTGGTCCACAGGGGCCACCTTGCCGAGGGAAGCCCTGTCAACAGAGTGTTAAGAACAGAATCGCCGGCTTTGGCACGGCTAGATCCTGACTTATGCCCTGTAAATCACGTAGTTAGAATCTCATATTGTGATTATTTGGAAGGGCAGCCTGACTGTTTGAGCCTCCGGCTTTAGTTGTTTGACTTTGGTGAGGCTGGGTGTCCTTGAGCAAGGAAAATATTGATGACAGGTACACAAATAGGGAGGTAATTACGAGAGGCACAAAGTGATGACCAGGGATCTGTAATTATGTGAGTTTTCTGAAGCGCGATATTGACTGTTTATGACTTATACCCATCGCAGAAACACGAAGCTCGTCAAGCGGATGATCGCCGAACTCGTGGCTACAGCAATACGCGTAGGGAGGCCATTATGCGAAGCAATATGGCCAATTTTAAAATGTGGAGATCACCGCATGCTAAATAGAAGAAATGGAGGTGGAGAGTGGAAAATGGGTGTTGTTGATTCCTGATATGATGACGTATCCATTTAGGGGAAAGATCGACAACAGAGGCTCCAATGTTTCAATGTTTCAAGATTGATCGTATTAATTGTATTGGTTATTGAAAATTGCATAAATCGTGTAAACGGCAGGAGAATGAATAGTCAACACCCACCAACAACCTTCCCGTTGGCATCCGACATATATCCCACCGGCATCCCACCATTCTAGGTAGAGTGATAATGGCTGCAAAACCCACTATCTAGAATGTTCTCGAAGACAAGTATATCCATACAATGGTTTAATTGACCTCCGGAATAACAATCATCATGAAAGTAAGTCAAAGCAGAACGTCATTACCGGCAAGTCCACTGGCGAGTGGAGTGCCGATGGCGGTATACCGGTGGGATACCGCTGACAAACCATCATCACCTTCCAAGGTTTGTAATGATGAGTTATGATATAATAAACTGCTTGATCTATCTACTATATATATAGAGAGAGAGAGAGTAAGATGTTTCACTCTATGCTAAACCCTTAATCATTTACTCGTTCAATCTTCAATCTGTTATTCTTTCTTATGAAACCAGGTAGCATGAACCCAATCCGCATTGGCATAATCGGTCTTTCGCCGGGTGCATGGGCAGCTAATGCTCACCTACCCTATCTCCAAAGGCCTGATTCAAAGTTTGAAATTGTGGCTGTTTGCAACTCATCTGTGGAAAGTGCTGCGAAGAGCGCCAAAGACCTCAAGCTTCCAGGCGGAGTAAGGACATACGGAAATGTGCAAGGTACGTAACAATGACTTTTCCTTTTCTATGCTATTACTTGAATAAAGGCTATTCCTTTTCCATGCTATTACTTGAATAAAGGCTACATATCTAACCACTATGAATAGATATCGCGGATGACAAAGACATTGACCTTGTTGTCTGCGCTACTCGAGTAGACCGTCATTATAACTCTATTTTGCCTTCTCTGCAAGCTGGCAAGAATGTGTTTGTGGAATGGCCCCTTGGAAGGAACCTTGAGGAAGCAAGGGAACTTCTCAATGTGGCAAAAAAAAACAATGTCGAGCTCGCCGTGGTTGGACTTCAAGGCCGGTTTGATGCTATTGTGGAGACTTTAAAAGAGGTATTGAAAGAAGGAAGAATCGGCAAGGTTCTTAGCACAACAATCATCAGTCAAGGACTGATTGCAGGGCAGACGGAGCTTCATTCTCAATCTTATCTCATTGACCGTGAAAGTGGTGGATCCTTACTGTCAATTCCAGCCTTACATTTGCTCGACACCGTCCAGGAAGGTGCGTCTTAGGAGCCTCTAAGGCTACATCATGCCATTTGTTCTAAGGTTATCAGTTGCTAATAAATCGCAGTCCTTGGCGAATTTTCAAGCTTCCAATCTCTCCTTTCGAACCAGCGACGAGTTGTTAAAATTGTTAAAGAGGACGGCTCTGTGGTAAAGGAGAATGCCGTGAAGTCTACTCCGGATCATGTTATGATCCAGGGTACGCTCAACTCCGGTGTAGTACTCTCAGCTACAATTCGAGGTGGAGCACCATTCAAGGGTTCCCCTGGACTTGAGTGGAGCATCTATGGCGAGAAAGGAGAGATCAAGATAGCAGGTCCCAGTGCCTTTATCGAGATTGTCGGTACAACCAGCGTTCAGCTTCACGACTTTACCACCGACGAAATTGTGGAACTAGAGCTTAAGAACGGGACTTTTGCCGAGATGTATCCGATAAATAGGAATTTGGCCCGTGTTTACGAAGCAATTGCAGCAGGTGACAAAACTCTTCTTTGTGATTTTGAGGGTGCTGTGAAAAGACATCACTTTATTGAGGAAGTTTACAATCAGAATTCTCAGGTCTAAAGAGACTAAAGCTGGCCTAGTAACTTCATGTTGGATTTGAAGTGCAAGTATATTATAGTTTGTCTGAAATGCTACATATCAATTGTGTTTCATTGACGTCCCTGATTCAACATATCTTGAAACAAATTATTGAGGGTGCTCGCCATCGGCCCTGCCGACATTAACTGACGAGCTGCCGCGACAACATCTCTCATGCCCATACTCAATGACATCTCAGCAGCCCACTGCCACGGTTTCGCCGTGCCTCCAGGTAGGGCATTGAAATACTCCCAACCCATAACGCCACCGAAGTTGGGAAACTGCTCAACCAACATGGCCAGGAGAGGTCCAATTTTTCCCTGGGACACATAACCCTGTGATCCATTACCCGGGTTTGTCAACAGGCCATACACAATCCGTCGTGGAGACCACCCCTGGGCAACCATAGCAGCATACATCCGTGGATCCTCAGCAAGACCCCAGCCATTGTAGAACTGGGCATGGTACCAGTCAATCTTAGAAGCCCGAGCCTGCTCGAGTTCACGGTAGTCAAAGCCGGATAGGTTCCCAATACCAAGTAGTGCAGCTGCCACAGGAGCCAGGGTAATGATGAACGCGTCGCCCATGTCAGCCTTGAGTCGATCGATGAGTCGGATAATGCCTTGCAAGGACATGGCCTCTTCTACATCGAGATCGATTCCATCAAGGCCATGGCGGCGGATCATGGTCAGGAAAGGATAATAAAATTGTTCGAATTCCGCCCGGCTGCCGTCAAGGCGCGTGAATGAGCCCGGGGCCGCCCCGCCTAGCATGCCCATCACTTTCACGCCTTGCTGCTGCATGACGGGTACTTCGGCCCATAGGGGGTCGAACTTGGCGCTGTCTGGCGGGTCATCGTTGAGGGTGATATCTCCTGGTGCACCGTTTAGGTGAAAAGCCGCGAGAATAACATGTGTTATCCCGGTGTTGTTTTCCAGGAGCGGCAGCATGGAGACATACTGGCCCCCACCTGGGATGAGCGTTTGGTGGTACAGGATCACCCGCGGGCGCTCGCCGAGTCCACCTCGGATAGGGGGCATTTTAAAAAGGGGAATGTCTTGAATGCCCAGATAAACGTAGATTATAGCAAGTTTATTCCACGAGCTTCGCTTTGTGAGAGCTGGATGACTTGCTCAAGCTTTGGCGATTGGCAGATGTGGGGGGGTTCGAAATTCCTCGAGCTCCTAGCGCTCGAAGGGAATGAGCACAGAGAAGTAAATAAAGCCCCAGTGTTATCCAATGGACAAATTTCCAGATCAAAAATGGAAATAGCCGGTGAATATTACTGCAACACAAAGTAGTAGATCGGAATGAACACCTCCAGGGCTACACACGATAAACACCTGGGCACATATCCCCACTGACTAAGCTGAATGGTTGATCCATTTTTTGGGCAAGGCTACCAGCTATCTACAAGAAACTACGGTTATTAGTGGTGATCAAGTAGGCCTAAGTACTTACATTTGTGGTTTAAATTAGATATAACTTGCTAGATAGGGCATCTTCTTCTCATCCCCAGGTCGGGCCTGGATCATAGCTTCAATACCAGAACCATGGGAAACGGTCCCTATACCCATGGTGTTGGATTCGGCTCGTTGGGGAAGACTTAGGGATGACATCAAACTTGAATACCGGATTCGTGCCCCAGCAAATTGAAACGAACAACCAGGAACACAGTGTACCTCAATGTGGACTTCTTCCAGTCATACACGAATGGCATGTAGCTAGCCGACTAGCGGGGTTCAAAGGCAATGTCATAGGGAGAAGCCACCATCGCCTCCGATGAGATGATGGAGGCAAAATGGCTGTTTCTGAAGACTACATAAGTTGCGGGCCATGCCCATCAAAGCAGCCTTGTGGCGAAGCAACATCTTCTTGCGGAGCAGCGTATACTTCTGACATCAACTTCTACATTCCAGAGTATGATGGCTTTGATTAGTACTCGGTTCATGTCACGTCCACTTCTTAGACTGCTTCCATCCGGACAGTCTGTGAACGTTGGATTGTGGCATCGCTGTAGTGTCGCCACAGTACCACCGCCTGAACATCCACATCATCCCAACCCTGGGAATTTTGCGAATCGTCCACGCGAACAGCTTTCAGAAATAGGCCACAAGGGTGGAAAGAAGGGTGGAAAAGCTACCGGCGTGGGCGGATTCCATAATATGGACCCAGAGAAACAGGTGAGATTGCCCCAACATAAGCCAGTAAAGAGGACCTGCTGTTGATTGTATGAATGTGAGTAAATAGCATGCTATCGCTTCGAAAGGCGGTCGTGCTGCAGGTCGGAGAAAAGCACCAGGAAACGGGGAAACCGAGTTAGAAGCCGAACGGCGTGGCCGGTCGCATGAGCCCTCTGTGGTTCCACCTGGATTCGAAGAATGGAAGACAATGGCTTGATTTTAGAATCAATTTCATGCAAATGGCAAATAATTAATTTGAAACGAGAGCGGAATCAGAAGTAAGAAGTCAGAAGTCAAGAAGTAAAAGTCAAGAAGTACATTCATAGTAGACACACATGCCCGCTAGACCTAAAAAGGCAGTGGATAAACATTTCTGCCTCAGGCGGCCAAATACAACCCCCGTCGCGAGATTCTTCAATCTTTCATCTCTCCCCCGCAATTTGGTTATTGTTATTTCTCTATTTACTCGGTTAATATTCTTCATTTGGTAGCTCTTCAGTGCAACCTTAAGAATTGCATTTGACCTCTGCTTTGGCAGTTTTAGCCTTATCGTGTTGCCCTCATCTTTGCGCATCCGCATCCGCACGCGTGCGCAACCATGGCCAACACAGGCTATACCTCGCCGTTCCACACCTCACATGACACCATCGGGCAGTCGACGTTGGTGACGCCTCTCTTCATGCCATCCTCTCCTCCCCAACATCCTTCCAGCCCATTGGGCTCTCCGGCAACCGCGCAAACCCCTGCAACTGCCCAGACTCCTGCAACCGAGCGCGTCGCAGCGCAAAGTAGCAACCAAGGTCGCAACGAGGGTGCTGACGATGAATACCATTCCGACAATGAAATCCAACACATATCTCGACCCCACTCTCCTAGAAGCCCAACAGGTTCAGATCTCGATGCGCGTCTTGCCGATTATACCTTGGATTTTAGCAACTTCCCAAGCGGCCATTTTGCCTTGGATGGGCCTGACGATACTCTGCCTCCCTTCCACCAAGATGTAGATAAGTTATCCGATGTTGGGGGTCCGGAAGACTTTACTGCGAATATGGAGAAATACTTGATGGGGGATCCGGAAAATGGAGGGAACCATGAAGATGAGGATGAAGCGGAAGTAGACTACGGATCGGTACGACGATCTTTCCGGAAATCAAAGCAACCGGCCATCGAAGAAGAAGCCGATTCCGGCGAATACAGTGAATTCGGACCACCAGTGGATATGTCGACCCCTTCACACCTGTTACACCGGACTAGCGCTCTTCCCAAAGATTCGACTCACCTGGAAGGTATTGAAGAAAACCCTGATGATGACGAGGCTCAAGATTCTGCATCCCCTTCCGTCCGAAAATTGTCGGACGCCTCCAGTCATGCACCAGAGGAGCAGAATGAGGATCTTCACCAGCAGATTGCACAACTGCAACAAGCCTTGAAGGAACGCGATGACCAATTGCAGAAAAATCACAATCGTGTGCTTGAGGCTGTTTCTGCTGGTGAACAGATCCGCCATCTCCAGACAGAATTGCAGCGCAAGAATGCTCTCCTGGATGAGGTGAACGCCAAAGGTAGCGACGAGGCAATGCTGCGCGAGCAAGTCCAGTCGCTTCAAAAGAAAAATGAAGAGCACGAGCAGCTATTACGTCAGTCGAGCATGAATACAACGGATCTCGGCCCTCTCTTGAACCAGATTCGTGAGATGCAACAGCAGCTCCAAGACAGAGATACACAGAACTCTTTAGACAAGGAGCGGTTGGAGACAATTGCTCACCTGCGCCAGCAACTCAATATTTCCCAAGAGCAGGTGCGAAAGCGCGATGAAACTCTGGACGAGACATTCACCAAGCTTAAGGAAGTCACACGGGCCAGGGATACACAAATACAGGAGAAAAACTCGTTGATTGATCAACTCCAAGCACAGATCGACGATTACGGGCTGGAAAATGAGAAGCTCGAGTCGGAATTAGAGCGTGCGCACAATGATTATCAGGTCCTCGAGGAACGCTTTATCGACCTGGAAATTAGAAACCGTCCTCTGGAGGAGAAGAACACTACACTGGAAGCCAATCTCACCCGTGTTCAATCCCACATGGAAGCCCAGGAGAGTGCTCTCAAGGCTGCAGCAGCTGATCTTCCTATCAGTGGCCATAGCACCTACAGCGAGATTCTCGACCTGATTAAAGATTTGGGCCCAGGGAATCCAGCATCCCCACTCAGCTCACCATCGAAGGAGAAGTTCGTGGACACCCAAGGTGTGCAGCAACCGCAACAGCCAGACACGCCAAGCATCGTAGGCCTTCAGCAAGAAATCCAGGAGTTATCCGCCGCACAGAAAGCGGCAGATACCGAAGCAGCACGTCTGCGTGATCAGACAACTGAAGCCCAGACCCTGATCAAAACCATTGAATCGGAGAACTCGCGACTCTCCACTCGAGTGGGCGAGCTCACAACAGCCTTAAACAAGTGCCAGCACGATCTAATCCAATCGCAAGAACGGAACGCCGAGTCCCTCGAGACCATCGCCCGCTTGCAAGAAGACAAGATCGCTGAACCTCCAAGCCCACCACCCTCGCCCCCAACAGCGCGTGGAGCTCTCAACCCAGAGCCAAGAGGACCAGACACAGCAGCCCTGGAGGCGAACCATCAAAGCCAACTCCGCAGCCTGCAAACCGCACACTCAACGGCAGTCTCAACGCTGCGCGCCTCACACGCCGAATCAATGCGCAAAATTCGCAACCTCCTTTCCGCCGCCGAGCAACGTGAAACCGATCTACGCTCGGAACTGGCCAACCTCCGCGCTTCATCCACTACCTCCGAAACCCACCTACGCAAGAGCTTCAAATCAGAACTCAGACGTCTGGAAGACATCATCGCCGCAAAGGACGAAACCGCCGCCGCGGTCGACCAGCGCATTGCTTTGTCGGTGGACAAGCGTGAGCGCGAGTGGGAGCGACGCATCGACCTACTCCTCAAGGAACGAGACCGTATGGCCAAGGCTTTGATGATGAGCTGGGGCGAGAAAGAGCTGGGTCGGGGATCGGGTTCTTTGACTGAGAGTCATGGCAAGGAGAACCGTCGTCGTGATCGAGACCGTGATGTCGATGCCAAGAGTGGGCAGGCTTATCGCTACAAGTATGCTCAGAAGCAGAAGCCTAAGACTACGGAGGCTCGGGCTTAATGGGCTGATTTGTTCGATTTTGTGTTTCTCATGGGTTGATGTACCATATCGGGTTGCGGATTGCATTGTGTTTCCTTTGATTCGTCTTTTAGCGGCCTGGAGTACTTCCTGGAATGGAATTTGGGATCTGAAATTGCATGTCTTCGCGGTCTGTTGTGTTCTCGTCTTGAGACGAAATTTGCATCTTGTTGCTTCCGAGTGCTACGAAATGAACTTTGTACTGATCTTTCAACCTTCTCTCTTGAATGTTTAATTATGTATTGTCTATCTACTTCAATGTTGTCTTTTGTCTTCCCATTGGCAGAATCGAGTTTGGTATCAAGAGCTAACTGCAACAACACTACGAGTAACCAAATCACCCTGGTATACTGGGTACACTATCCAATAATACAAATCATATAACATTAACAAATAAACCAAGTTGAACCAAAAGGATGTCCGACCAGCAGACAAGCATCTATTAATACTCCTTCCAAACTTCCATCCATCCAAACACGGTCTCAATAAAAGCTCAAACTCGTACGATTCGCCCCACGATATTTCGTCTCATCAATAGAATTCGACGGCAACTCCGAGTAAGTGACAGATACAGGTCTCGGACCATCCACCGCACGTGGGTCCGTCGTCTCCAAGATACAGCTGAGCGGGCCATTCGCGCCGGCAGGGGTACTACTGCGCGGACGCCGCGTGCTGGGGTAGATTACTTCGACGTCGTGTCGACGCAGGATCGGCGCTGGCATGGATCGGACTGAGCCGTAGCGGCGCTGTTTTGCCCGGCGGGATGAGTAGTGTCCGTATTGGCTGCTGCCGTGGGTGTTTGGGTGGGGGTTGTACTGGCTCTGCGAGTGACGGGGGACGTGGTTTGGGTCGAAGTGGTAGGAGGAGCTGCGGACGGGGTTGTGGATGATGGGTTGTTGGGGGTGCATTTTTGGAGGGGCGTGGCGCCGGGACTGGGAGTATGCTCGTGCTTGTGGTTGCGGGGGACGTGGGATGAAGTTTGGATGGTGTGGGTGGTGGATTGAGCGGGCTGTGGGCATGGAGTTGGCTGTTTGCGAGCGGCGCACTTTTGGTGGTGGGGATGGGGTTGATGGGACTACTTCTGGGGCATCGGCGGAGTTCATTGTCATTGTTCGGGTGTGGCCTTCTTGCTGTATTGGGTTGGGGTTGGGTTGGGTGTTGGCAGGGCTTTGGGGGAGGGATGCTGAAGAGGCGTTCGGGGTGTTGCCGTTTGGGACGAGTTGGTAGGTGTTGGATTGAGGGATACCCTTGGGCATGGTGTTTGGTGTCACGACCTGCTTTTCGACATCTGATGAGGTGTTGGGGTCTGCCAGGGCCTGGATTTGAGGATCCGCTGATAATGGAAGTGACAATGGGAATGACTTTGGGAGAAGGCGCCTGAGAGAAGAGAGTGACGACTTTCCTCTCTTATGGCTGGTGTATTCCTGGGGAATGGCCGGGACTTTGGGAGCAGGCGCATCAGAGAGAAGAGCGCGTAACTCGTTGGCTGTCACAGTAGATGTGCTCGAGAGGGGATAGAACTCGCTAGCCAGGCTTTGTGATCCCGGCGAGATACGGTGTGAAGTGTCCTCTGGCGAAATTGTTGTTCCAGACATGATCTCTCCATATGTCGAACCAGGATCAGTGTTGACTCGGAGTTGAGGCCGCAGACGGGCTGGGGCAGGGTGTCGGACGCTGGGGTGGCAGTTGACTCTGTTGGCAATTGGGTCCACAGACCAGAACTCCCCGGCTCCAGTTCCGTCGTGTTGGCGGCAAAGATAGAGAATTTCGTTTTTGAGCGTTTCCTCGCTATCCCAGCTATTACCCGAGCCGATACTGCCATCTCTGGTAACTTTCTGGCGCTTGTAGATACCAAGAAGCGATACATCATATGGTCTATCGCAAAGCTCCTTTGCACAGTACATAGTGCACACAGTGACCCTGTAGAAGAATTGTCAGTTCAAATGGAGAATCCACGGAACAAAAGTGGACCATACATTGAAACCACCGACACGATCACCGAGGCTCGGTGGAAGGCACAGCTTTTACCGACTCTCCAGAAGGTTGCGTCCGTCCCTTCCGGGAGGCAGTACACCTGCTGTGCAGCGACCACGAGACCAGCTACACTGGTAGCTAACCAAAGCATAAGATCCAAGCGCAGCACATATGTGCATATATTATGAAGAATGGTTTTCTGCGTTCCAAATCCACCAATATTGTTGTATTGCCAAGCGACTAGGCTCTGGAGGCTGGCGAGCGGCACCGAGAGAAAAGACTGGATAAGAGTCAGCGAGACGGTATAATAACCAAAGGGCTAAATCAAACGTACAGCGACAAGTGCAAGTACGACACTCAAGGTCATCTCTGAGTCAACCTGGCCATTACCGTAAAGGTAGAGTACGAGCACCCATTCCAACATAGACTCGAGGAGCAGCAAGTATAGCGCAACAAATATCACAAGCTTCGTCCATGTACCCTCCTTTCGAGGTGTAGGTGAAAATCCAGATGTCATGATTGCGAAAGCTCAAGGACCAAGAGATGAACGACTCTTTTATGGTCCTCTCCAAACCGCCTGAGACTTGGAAAACGGGTAGGAAAGAATGCGAGTGTGTTGTAGGTAAAGGACAGGCGTATTGAATGCGCCGGATCCAAATCGAGCCCAGTTGCGGTCTCACTCGAAATTCATCAATTGGGCGCAAATAATAGCATACATAAGGTCGATACCAAGAGGAGTGGTGATGGACTAAAGAGGACTTTAATGAAGGGTTCTTAGCCCTGGAGCGCGTCGACGCGAATATAGCGTGGAGGGGTGGAATGTAGCAGCCGAGGGGGATGCATGGAAAGAATCCAACGCCTTGAGGAAGGCCCTCTCTGTAGAGGGTCCACGGGCACAGAAGTACCTAGGTAGTCCATCTTAGCTTAATAACTTGGAATGCTAAGCACTTGCTAGTGCCAGGGATGTATTGAGGGTTTGGTTGTTGTCAGCCTTATCCCTGTAGATTTGCCTGTACAGACGTCAGTTCGTTTCAGTTGAGAATGGAAGATTTGAAGCGCAATGAAACTTCTAAGAATTCAGTGTAATTATTTGCCCGTGCATCGAAGGGTTGTCCTTGGCCAAGATAGGATAGAGGTGATGCCCTATCTAGGAGTAAGGAGTAGATCCCTCGATGACGTGACGTGGTCAACCACAACCACCACAACCACTCCGACCACCAACACAAATTCTTTGGATCTTTCAATTAAACCTATACACTTCTTTAAATGACTCTTTTTTATTTCAATTTCGTGTTAATAGCGTCCAAGTTTATCGCTTTGGGTAATTCCCACCAATTCTGTACACACGTGATCCGAGGGGTGCACCTTGTCAGTAAGGACGAGAAATGAGCCTTGAACCTGGATTCACAAGAATTCTGACGCATTTGACACATGAATGAAGTGTGTCTGATGGTTTCAGATTATGGAATGCTCTTCCGATCTGACTGTGAACTGAGCATAGCCGTATGGTCTCTGGCGTTTGCCTTGTTGCGTTTAGAAGGTGGAAAATCAAGCGAAGAGCGTCAGATCCCTATCTTATTTCTTCTAAATTTCTACTTACTGACGATAGTTGCAGGTGAAATAGAAATGTATCATACTCCAGATACTCTGGTACGAGTTTCTACAAATGCGAATTTCTATATACAATTCAAAAGGCTGTGGGAGTACTTCCACCCTCCGAAATGAAAGGCTTTGCTATATATGTTGATGGGATACTATGTTAAGGAGCTTGAGAAACTAAATGCCCCTCCTTAGCCTCTACCCCGGAAGGCAGCAATCCCAACATTGGGGAAATATGCTGCTACCTGACCGTGCAAAGGACACCACCGGAGGGCTAATGGATGTTAGTATAACAAGATATATGGATAATGAGGTGTCTTACCCCCAGATACGATCCCAGTCGCCAGTCCTGAGGCGATACCATTTGCCGCCCCATTAAACAAGTTCACTCTTTGCCCACTCAACGTTTGATACGTTTCATGGGCCTCCTCGACCTCCCCTCGAACATTCTCGACCTCTTGCTCATATCCTTCTAGTTCAAGTGCGACCTTCTGGGGCTTTTTGCCACGTCGAGCCGTGTCCTTACAGATTTCCGCAAGTGACTCCTCCATATCACGTAGCTCTTGTTCCTTAGCTGCTAAGTCCTCGATAAACCTTTGTTCAAGTGCCTTGAGTCTCTTTCTCCAAGCTCTTTCTTCATCCTTGTGTAAATCGCGCATCGACCTCTGCAGTGCTCGCCTATCCTGCTCGGCTTTCCTCATCTGCTTTTCCAAATCCGCCTTAAGCTCCTGCATCTCAACAGCATGCTCCGTATCTTTCCGGGACACTTCACTCGATTGCCTCTTTCGGTTTTTTTAACTCCCGCTGAGCTTTGTGCAGATCTCCAGCAAGGATAATGACAGCTTTCGTCTCGCCAATCACTTTTCCCTGGTCAATACTTTCGCGTTGTAGTTCCAAGACCCCCGGAGGATGGATGTTTTTCTGATTGAAGAATAAGATGTGTCACAATGCGGCGGGCAGAAGTAATCTCTTCAAACTACCGCATTCTCCCGAGGTCTCGGGCTTCGGTCAGCTCCCGCTGTCACCGACCCCTAGTACGTCTCATTCCTTGTAGAGTTTGACTGTGATACCTTTCAGTGGTCTCTGGAGTAGTAGCTAGACTAAATATGGTACTTATTATGTAAATAGTGAGCGGCGTACTATCTTCCACTGCGTTGTTAAGAAACATAGAACCCCCTACGATCCCAACATATCTGTGAAGCCTCCTTAACTGCAGCCTCCGCCAGGGAGCGATACTCGGCACAGTCCTTTAAAAGTCCCTCGGTCCCTTCATTGGGTTTACCAAGGGCCAAGGATGACACAAATGTTTCCACTTGCATGATAAGCCCGATGTGATATGTGCGCGAGGCGTCTCGCGGATTCCGGACGATGGTCGAGGACAGTGTTTTGGATGCGAAAATAGGGTAGTAGATCATGACCCTTTTGTAGATTAGCCACAGAACAAGGAAGCAGAAGGACAAACGTATTTGAGTCTGAGTCATCACGTACCCAATCAGGGTGATGTTAAATTTCGGCATATATTTGATCAAGTTAATCGACGCTGTTGCTGCTTTTGTGCACAGTGATTCCGACGTAAACACCACTTGGTTGGGCAAAGTGTAGACACTGCTCCTTTTGAGCAGATCTATACCTAACCTTGACCCCTGAGCTGCGGTGATCCGATGGATGGCGATCATACAGTTAAAGTATGATAAATGCAAATAAAGAAGGATGGCAGCTATTGGGGACTGTGGAAACGCGGAAATCCTTCGTGGTTCGGGTCGGAACTCGGTGGGAATACTATCCTTCCACTGTTGGAGCTTTTCGTCCAACATGGCAACCGAGCCAGCCACTTCACCAAGCGGGCGATCTCCTGCTGCGACCGAGTAGAGGTGTTTGTGTACCTGGCTCTTGATTAAGGCCAGTTCACAGGTTGACCTGAATACGTTGAAGGTCTCTTGTCGGTCTGTTGTTGGCATGATCCCTATGTTATCCAGTGGAACTTCGGTTGGCAATAAGACGTCCATGTCATCGTCGCGTTGCGCTATTGGAATACCAGCACGAAGGGATATCCTAGGGGAGGTCAGTATAGAGTCGATTTGACAATACTAGCAAGTTCCCTACTCTTTGTCAAGACAGTATGCAATCCAAAAAATCCGCCTCCGTTGTTCCACTTCTTCAGGACACAAGCCAGACTCATTTTCACTTCGTTCAAGTCGAATCTGATGGCAGATGCGTACAACCGAGGAAATCAAGTAACCGCAAGGCTGGCTGCTCAATGTTCCCAATAGAAAGATAACCTATACAGAAGGTACTGTTAGTCGGATCTTCTTGCGAGGCAGCTGTTCATCTTACCACCCCTAAGAGCGCCTGGACGGCCCATATATCTGGAAACCCAAAGCAGAGGTCATTCAAAACCCCCAAGGCGTTCTTCATATACAACCAGCCGGTCTGACGGTCAATCTGTACAGGAGAGTTATTCTCTATGCGCAGCATATACCCCATCGCCAAAGCAACATTGAGGCTCGCCCAACGACCGGGTGAATTGAATATGCCTTGTAAGTTGTCGTCATCACAAAGTGATAGTAGCGATGACGGTTGGAATATGGGAACCAACGAGTTGAACTGCTGCAGATAGTCATTGACCAACGTTATAATCTCATCTTTCGGGGGCAATGGGCAGAAATGTTTGTCCGGGAATAAGCCCTCAAGCAGCCCTGGGTTCGTTCCTGGTGGAGACCTAGTGGAAGTAGAGATTCTAAGTTGCTAACGGAACCCCCTTGCGTTTTATTAGTTATCCATTTCTTCCCTTTCGGGGGATAGGGCTGAGAATCCTATACGTATCAATCAGCTTTTGACAGTAATGGGATCAGCTATGGTATCTTACCGGGGTTCGGTGCATCCGTAAAACACCTTGGAACGTAGAAGCAGGGAAGATCCTCCGGTATTACTGTGTGGATTCCATCCGGGACCGGGTTGGGCATGGTGTGATATACATTCTGTGTAGCAGCAGAGGGGTCTTGTTGAGCGTCCATGTGTATTGGTTCTGAGTCCCAAGCGCCCGTGTCATTTATTAAATCTGCATTTTCAGCCGAGCTCGATGGTGAGAATCCATCTGACTGCTCAGGTCCGTCGATAAAGGATGACCCGTTCACATCTTCACCCAGGTCAAACCCGATCTTCTGAAAATGAGCTTCCAAGCGCTGGATATTTGTCTCCAGGCGATCGATCATACTCAGGCTGTTCGATTGTTATTCATTACTGACGAAGTATAATATCGGCTGGGATGCGGTACTTCTTCAACTGCCTATGCCGCCTTGGATCAACTAGAGAACAAGGTATGTTGGCTTTGCTGCAGAACGAGCATTTGGACTGGTTGATAATCTCGCATTTTATTTTCCTGCGTCGACAAGTCTCGCATGCCTAATGATATTATCAGTGCATGAATTTATTTGTGTCTGTGGAGTCCACACTTTTCTCTTCCGCTTCCTTCTTATCGGGCGCCCATGTTCTGGCGTTGAGAGTTGAGGTAGATGTTGGCGCAATGCAGAGCCGCCGTGAGCTTGGTTGCCGAACACTCTATTCATTCTGGATGTTCACGAGTTGTAAAACCAGATATAGTTGTTCCTGGAATTAGAACTACAGGGTCGAAGTCATTGGCGTATATCAGGGAGATGCTCCATCCGAAGCAGAATGAAAAAGATACCGAAGGGTCCAGGAGGTGCCCAGGTGGACAACCTGCATATAATTATTCTGGCAACCCGTGCAAATTATGCAAATTGTGCAAATTGGGAACCTCTTAAGTCCGATACCCCCATATATTAGATGAGTCCCTCACACCTATTATTCTTAACAGTGTCTTCTCCAATAGTGTCATTATATGTATTTTTAGTGGTCTTTCCAGATTTCTGGTTATATAGAGATTTTCTCACCCTTCTCGGTTTCTAGACAGCAGAAAAGGACGGAAGGAGGCTTAGTTTGTGAAAGCGACTTTTCCATGTATAACCTTTGAACATCTCAATGTTGAGCTAACGATGGAAAAAGATCGCCCAAGAAACGCTGTCTTGTAATGAATACAGCACATGCGAACACCGTGTACGTAAATCGGATGCCGGATGTTCTTTAAACGGTAATACCGCGTATTGAGACATGCCAAGACCCCGGCCCTAACCCGACACTCAATTTCAACTTCTCGACTCTTTTTACTCCGTACGGAGTAGAGCCCTGACGGTTATAATTCGGAAAAAGAACTGGGGTATCATAAGCCCTGTTTCGGGATCCGGAAGTAGAAGAGCAAAATCCGATAGCTAGCATTCCTACGTATGTACATAGCTACGGATTTAATGATTGAGAATGCCAATATATCTCGGTATCCCGGAGGTTCTTCTATCACGGCTACATGTGTATTCACAAAAGATGATGACCCCTAACCTGGCCGGATCTGCCGGAAATCTAATTGAGACTTTCTGTTTGGATTTAGAGGTAAACTTATATATGCTGAGCTCCCAGGCTTCGGGTTTTTTGTTGTCGACTTAGGATATATATCGTTTGGTTGCCGGATTTCTCAACCTCCTATCAATCTAATATTTTGTCTTTTTATTTTTTGTCCGCCTCTTCTCTCTCAAGCAAACACCCAACAATACAGCAGTCCTGCCCAAGCCTATGTCGCCAGGGACTTGAAAAGTCGATCTCGAAACCAACTCATCACTCTAGGGGATACCCAACTGAAATCTCACTCGATCCCAGTCCATGGTCAGCCACAATTCAATGCAACTCTCGGGTGAAGACGAGATCAACATGATCCACGATCCAGAAAAGAGCGAGGATGAAGACACGGTGCAAGAGGAAGAGGAAAACAGGGAAGCACTGGTTGGTCAGCTAGCACGACAACTCACCCGTCAATCTACTCGATTCTCTGTGAACGGTACATTGGACAATCCGTTCACCAATGGAGACTCCGAATCCACTCTCAATCCCAATAGCCCCAACTTCAAGGTGCGGGACTGGATGAAGATGTTGCTGGCTATCCGGTCTCGCAACCCCGACAAGTACCCAGATCGGACCGCTGGTATTTCGTTCAAAAATCTGAACGTCCATGGATTTGGCTCTCCCACCGACTATCAAAAAGACGTCATGAACTCGGTTCTGGAGGTTGGGACTATGGTCCGCCGACTCGCCGGCCTGAAACTCCAGAAGATCCAGATCCTGCGTGATTTCGATGGTCTCGTCAAAAGTGGGGAAACATTGGTGGTCTTGGGAAAGCCAGGTAGTGGGTGTTCCACCTTACTCAAAACCATTGCTGGCGAAATGAACGGTATTGAAATGTCAGAGGATTCGGTTCTCAACTATCAGGGTAAGTGTCTTCCTACGCCATTCCATATAACTTCATTTTTTGAAGAGGTTTTGACAAATACGCAATAAATTTAGGTATCTCTGCAAAGGACATGCAGAATTCCTTCAAGGGCGAGGCAATCTACGCAGCAGAAACGGATGTCCACTTCCCCCAACTCTCCGTCGGCGATACCCTCATGTTCGCGGCGTTGGCTAGAGCTCCCCGAAACCGCCTTGAGGGCGTGGGAAACAAGCAATACGCTGAACATATGAGAGATGTGGTGATGGCCATGCTTGGACTTTCTCATACGATCAACACCCGGGTTGGAAATGACTTCATTCGCGGAGTCAGTGGAGGTGAGAGGAAACGCGTCAGTATTGCAGAGGCCACTCTCAGTCAGAGCCCGTTGCAGTGCTGGGACAATAGCACGAGAGGCTTGGATAGTGCTAATGCACTTGAGTTTTGCCGAAATCTGGCTCTTATGAGCAAATACTCGGGAACAACAGCTTGCGTCGCCATCTACCAAGCGTCACAGAACGCTTACGATGTCTTCGACAAGGTGACCTTGCTTTATGAAGGAAGGCAGATTTACTTTGGGTCAACGACGGAGGCTAGGAAGTACTTTGAAGACATGGGATATGAATGCCCGGAGCGTCAAACCACAGCAGACTTCTTGACGTCGATCACCAGCCCTTCGGAACGCGTGGTCCGGAGTGGGTTTGAAAACCGTGTTCCTCGCACTCCTGATGAATTTGCAACAGCATGGAAGAACAGCGACGCCCGTGCCAAGCTCATCCTTGAGATTGAGGAGTATGAGAGAAATTACCCTATCAAAGGTAGCTCCTACGATGCATTTATCGATGCCCGTAGGGCTATCCAGGACAAGCACCAAAGGGTCAAATCGCCATACACCATTTCGATACGGAAACAAATTTCACTCTGTGTGACCCGTGGCTTTCAGCGCCTTCGCGGAGACTACAGCCTAACGGCAACAGCTTTGATTGGGAATTTCATAATGGCTTTAATCATTGGCTCGGTGTTTGTGAATCTTCCCAAGGATACCTCCAGCTTCTACTCTCGTGGCGCTCTTCTGTTTTTTGCGGTCCTCCTGAATGCTTTTTCTAGCGCACTGGAAATACTCACTCTATATGCCCAACGTCCAATTGTTGAGAAGCAAGCCCGATACGCCTTCTACCACCCTTTCGCAGAGGCACTTGCATCGATGCTCTGCGATACACCTTACAAACTGATCAACTCATTGACCTTCAACATACCATTGTACTTTATGACCGATCTGCGTCGCGAGGCTGGGGCGTTCTTTACATTTTGGCTATTCTCGGTTATCACCACGTTCACAATGTCAATGATATTCAGAACAATTGCGGCATCTTCCAGATCCCTGTCACAGGCCTTGGTCCCAGCTGCCATTTTGATCTTGGGTATGGTTATCTACACTGGGTTCGTTATTCCCACTCGCAATATGCTCGGTTGGTCGCGCTGGATGAACTATATCAATCCCGTTGCCTACGCCTTTGAAAGTTTCATGGTGAATGAATTCCACGATCGTCATTTTGAATGTGCAGCTGTTGTTCCCTCTGGTGGTCAATACGACAGTGTCTCAATGGACCATCGCATCTGTTCAACTGTCGGTGCTCAGTCAGGGTCCACCAATGTGTCTGGATCGTTGTATCTCAGCCAGAGCTTCGGGTATCTTAAGGGACATTTGTGGAGAAATCTTGGGATTCTCTTTGGCTTCCTGATATTCTTTATGCTCACCTATCTTCTTGCCACTGAGTATATCTCCGAGAAAAAGTCTAAAGGCGAGGTCCTTCTATTCCGCCGTGGCTATCAGCCCAAACATGCCTCTAGTGATATAGAGGCACCTTCTCAATCTTCTACAGGCGTCAAAACCGACGAGTCCCCTCCCAAAGCGGCGGCCATTCAGCGACAAACTGCGATCTTCCACTGGCAGGATGTCTGTTACGACATCAAAATCAAAGGAGAGCCTAGAAGAATTTTGGACAATGTTGACGGCTGGGTCAAACCCGGGACCTGTACGGCCTTGATGGGTGTTTCCGGGGCTGGAAAAACGACATTGCTTGACGTGCTAGCAACGCGAGTTACAATGGGAGTTGTCAGTGGTGAAATGCTCGTTGACGGAAACCCCACAGATCAGTCCTTCCAGCGAAAGACCGGGTATGTCCAACAGCAGGACTTGCACTTGTCTACATCGACAGTTCGGGAAGCACTGGAATTTAGTGCTTTGCTACGTCAACCCGCCTTTGTTAGCCGGAAGGAAAAGATAGACTATGCCGACGAGGTTATCAAGCTCCTCGGTATGGAGGCGTACGCTGACGCTGTTGTCGGTGTTCCGGGCGAGGGATTGAACGTTGAACAGCGGAAGAGATTGACGATTGGTGTGGAGCTTGCCGCAAAACCCCAGCTCCTACTCTTCCTGGATGAACCTACGAGTGGCCTAGATAGTCAGACTTCTTGGTCTATTCTTGACCTTATCGACACCCTCACTAAGCACGGACAGGCGATTCTCTGCACTATCCATCAACCTTCAGCGATGTTGTTCCAACGATTCGACCGTCTTCTCTTCTTGGCGAAAGGGGGCAAAACAATCTACTTTGGTGAGATTGGCGAAAACTCGTCCACTTTGTCGAACTATTTCCAACGCAACGGGGCCCACCACCTGACCCCCGGAGAGAATCCCGCTGAATGGATGTTGGACGTTATTGGGGCAGCCCCGGGTACACACAGCGAGATTGAGTGGCCAAAGGTATGGCGGGCTAGTCCGGAGTACGCGAAGGTCAAGGAGCATCTGTCTGAGCTAAAGTCCACCTTGTCTTCAAACTCACGAGGTGATTCTTCGCCTAGTGAATTCCGTGAATTTGCCGCGCCCTTTTACGTCCAGCTATGGGAGTGTCTCCTACGTGTCTTTGCGCAATACTTTCGAACCCCGACTTATATCTGGTCGAAAGCTGCCCTTTGCATACTCACGGCGCTCTATATTGGATTCTCGTTTTTCCACGCCCAGAATTCCATCCAAGGCCTCCAGAACCAGATGTTCAGTGTATTCATGTTGATGACAATTTTTGGAAATCTGGTGCAGCAGATCATGCCAAACTTCGTTACTCAACGCTCTCTTTACGAGGTGCGAGAGCGTCCATCCAAGACATACAGTTGGAAGGCGTTTATGATATCGAATATTCTAGTGGAGTTGCCCTGGAATACACTTATGTCTGTGTTTATCTTTTTGTGTTGGTATTATCCAATTGGATTGTACAGAAATGCAGAGCCCAGCGACGCAGTGAGCGAACGAGGGGCCCTCATGTTCTTGTTGATCTGGACATTCCTATTGTTCACTTCAACCTTCGCACATATGGTGATTGCAGGGATTGAACTGGCTGAGACTGGTGGCAACATCGCGACCTTGCTGTTCTCCCTCTGTTTGATATTCTGTGGTGTTCTCTCAACCAAGGAGGCCTTACCTGGATTTTGGATCTTCATGTACCGCGTTTCGCCCTTTACCTACTTGGTCTCGGCTATGCTTTCGACGGGTGTTTCGGGCGCCGATGCAGTCTGCGAGCCAGTCGAATTTCTGAAGTTTAACCCCCCAGCCAACCAAACTTGCCAGGACTACATGAACCCTTTCATCAAAACGGTCGGGACTGGGTACCTGGAAAATCCCTTGGCTACCACCGACTGCTTGTTCTGCACGGTGAGCAAGACTGACGCATACCTGTTGCAAATCTCCAGTGATTTTGCTGACGCTTGGCGCAACTTTGGTCTGATGTGGGTATACATCGTAGCCAATATTTTCGGCGCGGTGTTTATCTACTGGCTTGCCCGTGTGCCAAAGGGGAAGAAGACCAAGTAGTACCTTGGAGAAATGTCGATGCACGGTCTGGTCCTTGGGCCTGAATATATGCACTCTGCAGCTTCGATAGACGTGTTTCTTATTTCCGTTTCTGTTCTTGTCCCTTTTTGTTCCCTTGTATAGGGTCGTCGTAATCTGTTCTTTTTTGCTTGTTCTTCTTGTTTCATTCTTCTTTCATTCTTCTTTCATTCTTTTCTTTCATTCTTTTCTTTCATTCTTTTCTTTCATTCTTTTCTTTCATTCTTTTCTTTCATTCTTTTCTTTCATTCTTTTCTTTCTTTGCTACTCCCACTAGCTTTTTGTGGCATCGGGCCACCATGCTTAACAGACCCAGGAGCCTGACAGTTTGCTGTTGTCTCTCACCTATCCCCCTCTTTCCTTTCTTCTCACTCTATTGGATGAATACAAATATAGACAGTTTTCCCATTCCACAGTTGCTATCGTAAAGTAAAGAAAGGGACAATAGAATGCAGAAGTAAGTTAACGAATAGAAGCAGTCGAAACAAACTACAAAGACGGGAAACAAACAACCCGTTAAAAACTCAGGCCACAATGGGTTCCCGAGGTATACAGGCCCAGATAGATACAGGGGTCGGGCCCTCTTGCGTTTCCTTTTCTTCGGCATGCTCGGATGAGCGGATCTAGAATCATGAGTATATTCAGAACATATATATTAGAACATTCAATCAGCCCAAAAGGCCTTTTGCAGCGCATCACACATCAAAGTGATACACCTCTTGCCCTCAGACAACGCCCCATCCATAGCCAAAAACGGATGCGGCATGCCCTTCATGACCTGCAAATCAACCGGCACACCCGCCTTGTGCAACTTCTCCGCATACTGCTCACCCTCCGTACGCAGCACATCCAGCTCGCCAACCATAACCAGTGCAGGCGGCAATTGCGAGTAATCGCCCTGCCAGAACAGCGGGCTCGACTCTGGGTTCGTGCGGTCCGCGTCGTTGGGGACATAGTGATCGCGATACCAGTACATCTTAAGTGCCGGGAGTGCGGGTGTCCGTTCGTACCGACGATATGACTCGTTGTTTTCCACTGTGGCAGTGTTGTCTGTCACGGGAACAGACAGTAGCTGGGCTCGGAAGTGAACGGGCGGTGACAGAGTCAGCGCCTTGTGTGTCATAATCGCGGCAAGGTTCCCGCCGGCGGAGGAGCCACCGGTTGCGATTTTGGATACGTCCACTGAGAGTGCGGCGGGGCCGTCGGAAATCAGCCAGAGGAGAGCTTCCCAGCAGTCATGGACTGCAGCCGGCCAGCGGTTCTCGGGTGCAAGGCTAGAAGAAAATAAGAGACATTAGATTGAAATTTCTCAAGGTCATATATGCATGGCGTGATCAGATAGTCCACGGATGATTTGGTCACTTACCGGTAGTCGACTGTGATCACAACGCAGTTGCCTCGTACGCACAGATTGGAGCACACCACGTTCTCTGTGTCAATGTTGCCCAGCACCCAGCCACCACCGTGGAAATATAGCATCACTGGCCATCCACTAGGAGGCGCCTGGCCCTTGGGAGTAAAGCAGCGGATGGGCACTGCTGGGCCCTCAGTTGCTCGTCGCTGAACGGTAATGTCTTCAGTCTTGCCCACCTCCAGCATTGGACCTGCACCAGGAATTAATACACCACTTGTCCGTGATGCTTCCACGGGCTGGAGGTGCACCTGTTGGTTATTGATGACATGCTTGTTATAGAAGGCGACATATTCCGGGTCCAACAAGTCTTTAACGGACTCGTGGAGCGGATAAGGTGGTTGAGTGACACCTGCAGTCATTTTGAAGTTACAGATGAAAAGAATAAATATGTTGTACAAGGTTCCTAAACTTTCGGGGGTGCCAGGGTCCCATTCAAATAAAAGTTCACCCCCACGCAGAAAGTGGGGAGAACCACCCAAGCAATGCGGGGGAAATACCGCTGATAAGCTGATAAGCCAACTATATGCCGGGTTTGGGCAATGATCGACAGGACTGTTGCAGTGAGACACCCCGTCGGCTCCATTATGGGGTTCTATGGACCCATGGGGGCCTCTCGTGAAGCCACTCGTGAGTCACTTCATGTTCCTCGGCTATGTGCCACCGGCCAATATAGAGCCACTTGTTACGTTTTAATATCGACCGATGTGGGATGCAGCCATAGCTCCGGATGCTGCCCGGTTGATAAAGAAGGCCTCCCCCACGCAAGGGGTGAAATTCCTGCGTCTTTTTTCATACTTCCACCTCAATTGACTTATCCCTAGCTTATATTCCATCCTTTCAGAAACTCTCACAATGTCCTCCAAGACCCCCGTCCTTACAGACAAGGCTCCCAAGCCCCTCCCCGGGATCTACTCTCAGGCTATCATCGCCAATGGCGTCGTCTACTGCTCCGGTGCTGTCCCCATGGACGCTGCCACTGGCAAGTTGATTGACGGTGATGTCAAGGCCCATACTGTACGAGACAAGTCAACCCCAATTGACCCAATTCAACCTGCTAATACCTCTGCCCTCGAACAGCACCAATGCATCAAGAACCTAACGCACATCCTCGAGGAGGCTGGCACCAACATCGACAAGGTCGTCAAGGTCAATGTGTTCCTGTCCAACATGGATGATTTCGCCGATATGAACTCCGTCTACATGCAATACTGGGGTGATGTGAAGCCCTGCCGGACGTGAGTTCTTACCCCGCTCATTAATTTCTTATCGTTGGGGTCATTTGGGGTCATATACTTCTCTCGATTCTTTTCGTACTATGCAATGTACTGATTGCGCTTACGCATGCATCTGTGCGGGTCTGCATATGTGGTTTGGTTCGTTGCTAACGGTTATACTCGGCAGGTGTGTTGCGGTCAAAACCCTCCCTCTTAACACTGATGTCGAGATTGAGTGTATTGCTGTTCTCTGAACTGCCATTCGCTTCCTTCAGTTCCATAGAGAAATTCAAGGAATGATGGTATGACTTATACTACAAACACACCTTTCAGGTCCTACCATTGAAAATAAGAGGTAAGACAACAATACTGTTATGTGAATCGTATTATCTACGCCCTTAGTTCCATCACAATCAGAAGTACTCCAAGAAACGAACACAGTGGAAGATAGTATACCCCCTCATTATTTATACAGCAAATCTTTACTCTCAGTATGAAATTCAACACAATTTGACATGAATTTGTCCAATACGTTTGTTGTTGTGGGTTCTACGCCCCGCCAGTTTAATATGAACAAACCGATAATCTACGCAACCTCAACGTGTTCAATCTGCCGACATTTCAAACCAGCCTCATCCTCCTTATTCTCCAGTTGCCTAATCTGCGCACCCAGACCAGTACAAACGTAATCCTTAAACTTCCTCGTCGCCACCTTCTGCTGGAACATCTCATCAAGTTCCTCAAGCGACCGATCCTTGGTCTCTGGCAAAAAGAAATAAACAAAGACCATAGCAGCAACAGAGAAACTGCCATAGATAATCGCTGTCCGGCCCCCAATTGCAGCCTGCACGTACGGATTGACGAAATTGATAGGCACCGAGGTAACGAAACTGCCAAGAGACGACAAGAGAAGTGTCCGTTCGCGCAGCTGCCCGGTTCCAACCTCGCCGCCGAGAATCCACACACCAGGGCCCCAGGACAACGCATAGGAAACATACCACAGAACAAGCATGGCAACACACCCGTTCTGCGTCATCGGAGATAGAACATCGTAGCCATTCGCCGTAGTCCCACCGACCCCAATCATCATGGCAGCCATGAAGAACGCCCCGACAAACATACTGCTCCGTCTACCAAGCTTGTCGAACGTAAATAAAGAGACTAAATTCGCGACGATCCCGCATGCAAGCACGATGACATTGTACTGTAGCGGGTCAGCAAAGCCCAGCTGCTTCATGAATGTCACAATAAAATTATTGATGAATGAGACACCTTGCGCCTGTTGCAGGATCTGCACGCCCATAGCGACGATAGTTCGGCGCCGGTTAGTCCCGCGGAAACAGTCCATGATGCTCGTTGCGCGGTGGAGCTCGCGTTGTTCCTCGACTTGGAGTCGGAGGAGCTGGACCTCCTCGCTCGCATTGTAGTTGGGTCCGTATAAGTCCTTGACTGCGATCTCAGCTTCTTCGTAGTTCCCTTTGTAGACGAGGAAGCGGGGTGTCTCAGGGAGGAAAGGGTATGAGATGATTATTCCGATGGGGACCAGGAGCTGGCATAGAATTACTGTCCTCCAGTGGGGTCAGCTAGATGGGGGACAGTTGGAGTGGGCTTCAGGTGCATACAAATACGCCCATTCCCCTTTCATGTTCTGACATAGGAAAACGACTAGAGTGGCGAGGAAGCCGCCGAATGTATTCCAGAATGAGTACGCCGCCAGGAACGCGCCTGGGAAGTATAGTCAGAACACCCATTGCTCATTCCTTGTAGTTACTGAACACCACATACCTCGGATTTTAGCAGGAGCACATTCTGACTGGTACATCGGCACGACGTTAGATGCCACGCCAATGCCCGAGTACACAATAATGCGACCCACGACCAACTGCCAGAACGACGTCACAGCAGAGGCCTCGAGGACAATTCCAATGGAAAGCAGAGCAGCCATCACCAGCAGCGTGGGTTTCCGGCCCAGATGCGAGCACAGCCACGGCGAAGCGAGGCAGCCGAAGATAATTCCAGCCGAGCCAGTGCCCGTACCGGCAGACTGTTTCTCAGATGGAATACTCCAATCACCGGATGCATCCTGAGACCCATACTTCTGGGCAAACGGCGTCAATCCCAGCGCTCCTCCCCACCAGGAATTATCGAAGCCGAAGCCAATCGCTCCCAGGGAGACGAAACATCCAATGAAGAGCAGGCGAAGGCTAAGCTCCTGGTAGAGCGCGGACTGTTTTATGGCGCCAAACATAATGACGAATTGATAAGAACCAGCAACGACTTTCGATTGAAGACTGCACACACTCCTTCGACAAGAGGACTCGCAGCCCCCCGGCATGTGTCACCCAGTCTTTTATATGCATACCTAGGGTTTGAACAACGTCATCAAGTCCCTCCCGAGGAACATTTACCCCAGACGGAGCCCCGCAAGAGATGGCCTGACGTCGGGCACTGCGAATGCCCCGCTTGTCTTTTCCCCGTCAAAGCGACTAAGTTAAAGACCAAGCTTGGTGCAGAGTTCATTGGAGGATAGTCTGTGCTGGCGGTTAGAAATGCTGGTTTGGAGGTGTTGTTGACTGAACCCAGGCAATCCCCCCGGGTTCTCCGCAATAGCACGCAGCTAAACCAGGAGCGAGTGGCTATAATTGCGATTCTCGGTTGTTCTCGCGAGGGGAACTGCAAATACTGCGCTTGTATTTCCCTGTCGGAGCGAAGAAGCGAACGACTAACCAAGCTTGGTAGAGAGTTCGTCGGGGGCTAGTCCGTGGTGGTGGTTACGGCTTGGTTTGGAAGTGTTGCCGGCTAAACTTCGGCAATTTTCCCCCCAGGTTCTCCGCACTCGGACGCCCCAGCCGAACTATGTATATGCGAGTGGCTATAAGTGGGTTCTGGGTTGTCCTTGTGAGGGGTGCCCTTCAAATATGGCGTATTGTGTTCGTGAGTTCCAATTCTGTTGTTCCCTTTGTTAACATCTTCGTACAGTTATTCTCATAGCCATCATCATCACCATCGACAATGGCATCACAGCACCAAATCCAATCCTTCCCGTCCAAACCGCGCGTCTTCATCCTGAGCGATATCTCCAATGAACCCGACGATGCTGAGTCACTGGTGCGCTATCTATTGTACGCCAACCAGTTCCGTACTGAAGGCCTGGTAGCTTGCACGTCAACCTGGATGAAGAATAAGGTCTGCCCGCAGGACATGCACAAGATAATAGACGGCTATGAGAAAGTCGTAGACAATCTCAATGCCCACGTCCACCCAGACGACCCATATCCAACAGCCCAATATATGCGATCGCTCATCAAAAAGGGCGCAGAGGTACCGTCCAGCGTCATGCCCCCTCCGCCAACCCACATCCTAACAACCAAATAGAGCTACGGCATGACCGCCGTGGGCCCAGACATCCCCCTAAGCGAAGGCGCACAGCATCTGCTAGACCGTATCCTCGTTCCAACCGACGATCCCCTCTGGATCCTCTGCTGGGGCGGCACAAACGTGCTCGCATCCGCACTCCTCAAACTCCAAACCACACATTCCCCCACCACAGCCGCCACGCAGCGCGCAAAGCTCCGCGTATACGCAATCTCCGACCAAGACGACACAGGAACCTGGCTGCGCACGACCTACTCAGATCTATTCTACATCTGCTCCGTGCACGGGTGGTGCCAGTACGGACTAGCTGCGTGGACCGGGATCTCCGGCGACGCATGGTACGGCTTCGACCAGGGCGGACCAGATGGGTCGAAGATCAGCGCGGAATGGATCCGAGAACATATCCAGATTGGACCCCTGGGCTCAAAATACCCGGATTTCATGTTCATCCCAGAAGGCGACACGCCGACGTTCCTGTACCTGATCCAGAACGGGCTCGGTGTTGCTGAGAGCCCGGAGTACGGGTCCTGGGGCGGTCGGTATATCCGCACAGACGTGAGCGGGGCAGGCGTTGCGAATGGCCATTTCAGCGATACTCCAGATGAGGTCGTTGGGCTTGATGGGCGCCGGCACAAGTCGAACCAGGCGACAGTGTGGCGCTGGCGGGACGCGTTCCAGACTGATTTCGCGGCACGCATGCAGTGGAGTCTTTCTGGGGATGTGGCGCGCGCGAATCATCACCCTGTTGCTGTTATTAATGGGACTGTTGGGCCTGCGCCGCTGGTTCTTGAAGTGCCGGCTGGGGGCGTGGTGAGGCTTGATGCGCGGGCGTCGTATGACCCGGACCCGGAGGACTGTATTACGTTTAAGTGGTATCAGTATAAGGATCCAAGTGCGACGCAGTGGTCTGTTCAACATGAGGTTGGGGAGTTGGGGATTCGGCTTTTGGATGAGGCTGGAAGTGTGGTTGAGGTGACAGTCCCGCCGGCTGAGAAGTGCTGTGTGGAGCTTATTAGTCGTAAGGCTGTTGCGAGGGGGCAGTTGTTGCATCTTATTTTGGAGGTGAAGGATAATGGGTCACCGGCGCTGATTACATATCGGCGTGTTCTTATTCAAGCGACGAACCAGGAGTTGCTGGGTGGTGGCGGGGGTGCTGAGGCCATTGGTGATACTATGAGAGATGTGATCCCGTGATGTTAAGCCATGAAGTAGACAGACAGTGGGTCTGTATAAAGTACATAGATGGAACAATTTCCTCTGTTCTTCATTCTTTTCGGAACAATGAAAGATAGATAGGATGACTGCGGCTGTGCACTATCAGGCTAGTGGTCTGCTATGATCCAATCCGCCATGCAAATCAGAAGCTGATTTTCATTGTGCGCTCACGGCCATTAGTTAGTTCTTCGTCCTCGTATCTGGAGCCAATGAATATTATCCCCCAGTACCCCTCACGGCCCACTTCATGACCTGTAATGAGGCTATGTGTAGAAGTCCAATGTCGCCGTGATACTGTCCATCGGTATTCAACAATGTTCTATTTCACACAGACAGCAGATCCGGCTACATCACCTCCTATCAAAGAGAGCACATCCATTTGTCATGGCAAAAGCTAAGGAGGGAACCATACCCTTGACAATGCCATAATAACAGCCCTGGTCTCTCACACTGGTTTGGAATTTCGATATTATCCCGGGGCAATCTCAGGCTTTAGAAGTCCCTCGTAAATAGTTTCCGTTATATGAGCTAATTGATAAGAGAGAATACGTTAAACACAGGTTATTAGAGATCAGAAGCGCTTGTTTTGTCATCTATCACGTCCTTTGTTGTTGGGATGAGTCTGAGCGGCGCCTGTAAGAGATCATTAGACTTTGAGGTCCACGGGTGTTTCGCTCGGACGGATGGCCAGGTGTGGAGTTGAACGAGGTACCCCAAAAGGAGGGCTAGCGTTGATGTAGAACCGATTCCGTGTCTCTGGATCTAGGTGTCCTAAGATAACAATATAGGACAGGCCCCTTCGGATTTGATATATAGGTTCCAAGGTTGACGGGAATCGGTCCGGGAATCGGCCCCACATGTCCCATTTAGAGTTTAGTGCCTGAGGCAGATTTGTGCCTGAGGCGAATAACCTTGCTCATTCTTGTCTCCTTGCTTCACATCCCCCCCTTTGTCGAACCGTTGCTATTGGAAAAAGATGATCGTGACTTAATGGGCATAATTGGGGGCTTATGTGTGGTTTGGCATCTTCACAATGGCAATAATTATGGTCTTGTATTGATCCCCATTTCTGAAGCCGAGAACGAGGTATACGTTTTTATCTAAATTATGGCGTGATGAAATTTCTGAGCACCCCAAAACTATGGCAGATAACTGAAGATTCATTTATTTCTCCTTTCTATTCTACCCATTCAAAGTCTTGAGTCGATGGTGTACGCCTCTTTTCATTGCCGGCTCGAAACGAATTGCTCGCACGTATGGATCTGGCATTGAAGGCTGAGCCTATGGCCACTGAGAGTCTGTCACCTAAGAAGGAGAGAGCTATCGACACCAAATATGCTGATGAGACTCTTCGAATCCTTCAGCTTCATGGAGACTCTGTTGGTTCATTGACGACCGAGAAGGAGAAAACGCTGAGACGCAAATTATACTGGCGTATTTTCGGGCTACTCTCCGCTATCAACCTGCTGCTCTTTGTGAGTTCGTTATCAACACCTCTTAATTGCAGGCTCTAACTTCTCTAGATGAGCAAATCCACTCTCGGCTACGCCGCTATTCTCGGCCTGTTCGAAGAGACTGGCATCACCAAGGCTCAATACAACAACCTTGGAACTTTCTTCTACGTCGGTACGTGACAGTATTGTCCTCCGATCTCATCTTCCCTAACACTCTCGTAGGCTACATTGTGGCACAATGGCCGGGGCATTATGCTATGCAAAAACTACCATTTGGAAAATTTGTCGCCGCTCTTGTCTTCATGTGGGGTGTCATTCTACTACTTCATTGTGTTGCCACGACCTACGGCGCTCTTGTGGTTCTGCGACTGGCGCTCGGTGCCGCGGAATCCGTGGTTGTACCTGCAATGGAAGTCACAATAGGGATGTTCTTTAATCGTTACGAGCAGTCCTTTCTCCAACCCTTCCTTTGGTTGACGTCCGCCGCCGCCCCTATATGCGCCGCATTTATCTCCTACGGTTTGCTTTGGAGTCATAGCACCATCCTGCCCTGGAAGCTTTTCATGATTATTACCGGGGGTGTCTCGGTACTTCTTTCTGTTCTAGTCTGGTTTCAGTATCCGAACAACCCAGCTGAAGCTACGTTCCTGTCACTGGAAGAGAGAATCCACACCATCAAACGAGTACACGAGTCAAGTCAAAGCTCTATTGAACAGAAGCAGTTCAAGAAGAGCCAGTTTATGGAGACGCTCCGTGACCCCATCTCCTGGCTATTTACTCTTCAGTCCTTCACCTTGATGATGTCTAACAATCTCACCTACGGTCAGCAGAACCTTATTACTAAGGCTCTTGGGGTGGACAGCTTGGGCTCAACTCTCGTCGCTGCAGCTGGTGGCGGGTTTGGTGTCCTGGTTTGTCTTGCAGGAGCCTATGCCCTGCGGTGGTGGCCATCAAATCTTGCCTTCCACGGACTCTTCTGGTGTGTCCCTGCAATTGCAGGTGGGATTGGGATGGTTGCTATTGATTGGGACCAGAAGCTAGGAATGCTTGCATGTCTGCTGCTGGCTGGTCACACCTATGGTAATACCTACATTATCGCGCTGGGTTGGACTACATCATCTGCAGCCGGCTACACGAAGAAGCTGACCCGAAATGTTATGTTCATGGTTGGCTATTCCATCGCAAATATTTGCTCGCCGCAGATATGGGTTCCTAGGGACGCACCTCGCTATTACGGTGCCTGGATTTCCATGATAGTGGTCAGCTGGGTTGGGACACCATTGATCCTTTTCATTATACGGTTCCTGTTGAAACGTAGGAACGCCCAGCGGAAGGCTTGGGTTGCATCTTTGACCAGCGAAGAGAGAAAGGCTCATGAATTGGGAGTGGTTGAGGAGCTTGATGAAAATGGGAATATGACACGCAGGGAGGTTGAAATTGCCATGTTGGATTTGACGGACATGGAGAACCCGTTCTTCATCTATCCTATCTAAATGGCACGGTTATATTGAAATGGGCATCATCCAACACCAAACCTCCAGAGAAGCCATTCGCCAGAGAAAAACGTATATACCTGCTTCCAAGGTCCACCTATTTCATCCAACAATATGTAGGCAGACAGGAGGCTAAGCTCTTGCCATTGCCTAGGTGGAACTTGCTGATGAGAAAAACTCTTCGGCAGACTCGGGGGGCGTTTCTACCGCAACAATGCAGCAGAGTAATCATATGGGGGTGGAAGGTTCGGCAATGGTGGACATGAGGGTAGAGAATCCATAGTATCCGTCTATCTTTTCTTAATCTAAGAAGTGTGAATTGCTTTCAGAATTGTATAAAGGTACGGTCAGCCATGCCTGCAATTGACCCGCATCGCCTCGCGCAAAGAAAGAGCAGGTCTACTACTGCAGCCATTCATTATCATACCGTTATAATCACCGGCTTCTTTCTAACTAGCTACATATTCTCATTGGCTTTTACGGAGTAGAGGAGAGCAACTCAGCCGTGCCATCTGCTTAGCATCGAGTCAACCGCACGCTCTGTAGGCCATACACCTATTTTCCGTGGCAGATAGGCCCACCAGTCATCCATTCCGCTCCCGGGAGCAATATTATTCAGGGCCTTCACGTATTCCCAGTACTCCGGGTACCAGCCACACATTTCCCAGTCAAGAATCGCCGTGATAGTAACTCCAGTGGTTGACTGATCTACTACGCCATTTGTTGGAAAAATTGACTCTTTAGGCAGAGAATTGTTCACAACTGTGGCTCCCATGATGTTTCGTGGATGAAGATCACCGTGGGCCAAAACTACTTTGTGATCATCCTGCAGATAGGATCTAATCATAGCAATGTTGCTAGTTTGCGCCCGCTGCGGGTTGGAAGTGAGGAATTCGTTAAACTCGCACTCGTTACTTGATGCATCCTTGGGCAACGCGGATTTGCCGTCATGACCGAGGCATTGGTTGGAAATTGAAATTCGTTTCTTTCATCGGTCGCACTCCTGTCATCAGAGGAGCTGGCTGTTTGAGTTGTTGACTGCAACGAAGAATCACGAAATGCTTTCCGCAGTGCGGGATATGTTTTGGCCTTGTGCTCTAACAAGTCGGTCATATCCCGGTAGGGGCATGCTTCGACTCGCATGTTCAGATCATCAAGAAGCAATGTGTTAACTTGAATGCAAGCTTCTTCTTCCTCATCCCTAAGATGATATTTGGCATTTGGTTCCATAGTTCTTACTTTCGTGTCAGTGTGTCGGGAGATACACCACGAGTCCCGCAACCTACCTCGACCACCATGCACACCGCCCTTACATATTACCGCTTTCTCACTTTCTCTAATAAGTCAACATCGGCATACATGTATGGAGCTGAAATACCCGGCGTGTCGTTAGTGGGTCTGAGCTATCTACACACTAGTAGGTATGAAGCCTAGTACAAGGTTCTGCATCGTAGCCGTAAGTGAATCTTCTTCTTCTTCTTCTTCTTCTTCTTCTTCTTTTTTTTGGTGGAGTCAAATTGAATTTTGAATTGTGGTCTCTCCCCCAAGTGTGATGGGCGAGGACAGTCTTTGACAGCAGCAGCCTGCAATATTACCCTATATCTAGTTGACCCGCATTATCGGATCTACTCCACTCGAAATCTCCCTCCACAACAGCATGAATGGTGGCGAGAGTCTGTCCTGGCCAATATGGAACCTTTGCTTAAATTGTCTCAAGAGCTGGTGAATCTGATCATGGCTGAGACTGAGGACTGGCCAATCGCAATAGCGAGACAGAAAGATGGAAAATTGAATCGAAAGCAGAGCGCGAGCGCGCGAAGGAGGTTCAAACTCGAGAAGTCCGATATCATGATTTTGAGGGTCCATTATTTGTCGGCGAGGAAGACATAGTGTTTAGACCGTCGCACTCGTGACCGATTCTTGTTGTCCTCACCGGGTATATTATGTGAGAAGAAATGGAAAAAAAAAAAGAAAGAAAGAAAGAAAGAAATCCCCTTAACTGGCCTATTATGGGGACTCTCGCATAATACGACACTCAAAATAATGGATCCTGTTACGGTCTCTCAGCCACGTCTCCCTAAGCGAACTCCACTTGAGGCTGCATGGTGATGGTTACTAACGTTCAGGGCTTAGCTCAGGGCGTTCGGATAGCCGCGAAGCAAGTACCCTGTCTATCCCATGGCAAGGGTCTAGGACTCCAATAAAAGTCCGGAAGATCTCCGCCGCAATATATCCCCAGGCAGTATTGCGCATAGCATCAGAGCGCTAACCCCTATGCCACGACATGGTTGTATGACTACTAGTATTGCTGATGTTTTTCCAGTTAAAGAAAAGCCAGACGCCATGGCCACGTACGGAGCAATTATCATCTGATGCGATGAAAGTATCAGAGCCGTATCCTATTACAATGAGTAGTATCGGAATATATATTTCGAAACTTGGATTTACCAAAATTGTACGGACAATCTTCATGTTTAACGCCCCATCAATGATACTTATTTCCTTGTTCTCTCCAATTCGAGCATATGTAATATTGAACTCAGGGGACCTAGGGGGATATATAAATGCGTGAGGCCGGACAACTTGGATATCCATCCGCATAGATCAACGATCGGGTGGAGAATTGGCTTTCGTTATCTACCCAGTATCTTGATAAAATCCTGCTCATTCATGACTTTAACCTGATTTCAGATTTCGCAGTGACCTATACTTTCATTAATCTTGTGATTTATCAGCCCCGGAAGTATGTAGCCATATCAAAAGCTTAAACGTAATAACTAACACTGTCTATTTTCAAAATTTAGTGAGTAGTAGAATATCCATATCATTATCATCCGGAAGAACTTTCCAAGATTCCACAGAAGACCATGCCGAGTAGCTCCGTAATTTCGTTCCCACTCAACTTCCTATACTGGATCGGTCTTGTGGCTTATGGGTGGCGTTTGTTTGCTTTTTCCTATTATGGATTTTTTTTTTAATTAGTATCCATTTCGACTTAGCATAAAAAAGAAATTATAGTATTGTCCTTTTTGTTGCTGCTGCTTGAAGCTTGGAAGCATGGAAGAGATATTTAGCATATCGGAAGACCGGCCTACTGTAGGCCTACCGGCACTTACAGCCGAAAATGGAATATTTCGATTGCAAACAACAAAAATTGTTTCTAGCACAACGTAAACAACTTTCTGCATTAGGTTTCGAAATCGGGGGTTCTTCGGTTTTATGTGTTATGTTCGTGTAAATAGGGCTGGAACGGCTATAGAGAGGATCTTTTAATTACGGTCCACAGGGATCGTCCACGGTCCCCGCCTACGCAACATTATTAATATATGCTGATAAAATCCATGATATGGAGTAGTATATACATGGTAGGCTGGATCTGTACCTGCATCTAGGCTGGAATTGACTTTCTTTCATTCCAAGGTCTTATTATTGTCTCGGCTAATCCTGATCACAGGAGCACTGGGGGCGGGGGCGGCTTATGGGGAATGTAAAGTGCGCAGTTCCAAGATTAAAGGGGAGCAATCAGGCACCGTGATGAGTGGCGTCATTGTCGCCTAATACCACCTTAGAGTGGGCATATCTCCGAAGCAAATTTGTACCTTGCATAAACCGGAAAATAAAAGGAAATTGTAACGTGGGAGTTTTGGGGGCCAAGGGCTAGAACGTGTACAAAATACGGAGTACTCCGTACCTTGCACAAAGCTACATCTCAACTTGAGTTCGTTAAGGCAACGAATTAGAGGTACTAAAGGTGAACTAGAAGATGAACTAAAGATGATCAAGTGGAAATCAAGTGAGACAACAATCTCAAAGTGCCGTAAATGCTGTTCCTGCTGTAACCGAATAAAAACGGTGATCCGGCTTCTTTCCGGATCGACGCCTATGATTGGCGTATCTGGGATGGTCCTGCTCCACACTTACCCCTTAAGGGCTTAGCGCAGGCTTATTAGCTTTTGGCTCCGTCGGTTCCCATCTCCTCGATTAGGAAGTTTCCAAGACTCTTCGACCTCAGACCATATCACTTGGGTTGTACCCCATTACACTCACTTCTAAGCTTGTTATTTTTGTTCTAATGGATGCCTGTCAAAAAATTCTTCTTTACTGCCACTGTTTACCCTCCTACGTTTATCTGTTGTCCGACTCTCGGATTTAGTGCTCTTCATCCGACTACATAACATGGTCGGTGGACCCCGAGGTGTCCGTGCCCTGGTGCCTTTATCACGAGTTATGATTGGATTTTGTATATCAAGCTAACAGCCTCTGCTCCAGTCATGACCCTGACACTAATGCCGCTAGAGTCCGTTAGGGTCTTTTAGCCTCTTTCATGCGGCTCTTGCAATCTTACTGCGCCGAAATAGGCCGAAACAGGCACGGGGCCAGCACATACCCCTCTCCAAAGAAAAGCCTGTCATCGCTGATGACTGATCCAGCTTTTGCTCGAATGTGACTCTTTTACGCCACTGGCTGTATGGCCATGTTAAACCACGCGTTTGGCCTCTGACCATTCTACGGTAAAAAGTCCGGTCCATATCGCTTCCACATTGAGTTTCCATATCAAGTTCGCGGCATCGCTTGTGTGAACGGATCCTGAGGACCTCCGAGTCTAGTGTTCAGACTATCAAGCTTTGAATCCACTTTGCGACTTCGTGTTGGGTCGCCCTGCACCGGTGGAGTGCAGTCGGAGTGGCACTGACCTATGAATCATGGAAACATCCGGATCTCACGCACTGGTTCATTTCCACGTTTTGATAGCTCTGTTCTCTTTTCTGATTAGTGCGCTCTATGTCGGAGGTCGGAATCTTCCCCAGGGGGCGGAGGGGGACAGTCCCAGCTGGCGCTCGATGTATTTCAGTCTGCTTTTCCCCCAGGGAGTTGTATTTCCTTTCGACCATCAACACTCTCATTTTGAGCTCTTTGGGAAATTTCCCAAGCAGATACTTGTCTGCGTCCTCTCATTGTTCGCGAGTTAATCTGTCATTCCTTTTATCAGGTTAATAAGCGATTCTTGTTGCGTCTAAATATTGCATTTAATTACTACATTCATTTTAGTCATGATGTTCAAGTCCCTTGCCGCCGTGTCGGCACTGTCACTCTTTGCATCATCTGCTGTGGCCGTTGATGCCAGTCTGAAGAATAATGTTGCTGTCTACTATGGACAAGGTTACAACCAACCCCGGCTCAAGCATTTCTGTGAACAGACAACGTCGGACATTATCAACATTGGATTTATCGACAAGTTCCCCAAACATGTGGGCGACTTCCCTGGTTCCAACTTTGCCAATCAGTGTGACGGAGCCTTCTTCCCCGGTACGGAGCTGCTAAGTGGCTGCCACCAGATCTGGCAAGATATCCCTATTTGCAAGGCTGCTGGCAAGACAATCCTGCTATCCATCGGTGGTGGCACTGCCACAGCCCAGTCTATCCCGGACGAGGCCACCGCAGTCTGGTTCGCGGATTTCCTGTGGTACTCCTTCGGTCCTTACAACTCAGCAGTCTCTTCATTGGGGTGGGAAGAGAAACTGGCTGGCCTGGCCTTCCCTCGCCCATTCCTCACTTCCTCTGTTGATGGGTTTGACTTTGATATCGAGTACAACGGCGGAGTTGGTATGTTTTCCCGGTCCTCTGGCTTCCTCACCGTACTTTCTCTAACACTCCCATCTAGGCTACGCCGCCATGATTAATCGTCTGCGCTGGCACTTCAGCAAGAGCCCCGAGCAGACCTACTACATCTCCGGTGCTCCCCAGTGCCCTATTCCCGATGCCCAGCTCGGCAACGCTATTGCCAACTCGCACTTCGATTTCATCTGGGTTCAGTGGTACAACACCGGGGGTTGCTCTGCTGCGGACTGGGTCCACGGCACAGGCAAGTTCAACTTCGATGACTGGGTCGGTGTCATCGAGAAGAGCGCCAATCCCAACGCTAAGCTCTTCATCGGTCTTCCCGCATCCGAGGATGCTGCCAATGCTGGATTCTACTTGACCCCTAAGGAGGTGAAGCCCCTTGTCAAAACTTACATGAACAAGCACCCCAAGCACTTCGGTGGTGTCATGCTCTGGGAGGCTACCGCTGGTGACAACAATCTCATCGACGGATCAACATACACCGAGCACATTAAGGATATCCTGTACGATTGCGCTCCTCCTCCCCCTCCCCCGTCTTCGTCTGTCACCCCGATCCAATCCTCGACTGCCACTCCCGTTTCGTCTTCCACTGTTCCCCCGTCTAGCTCGGCTACAACTTCGGTCACCTCGGTTTCTTCCAGCTCGGTTGCTTCCTCTAGCTCCGTGGCTTCCTCTAGCTCCGTGGCTTCCTCCAGCTCCATGGCTTCCTCTAGCTCCGTGGCTTCCTCCAGCTCCGTGGCTTCTTCCAGCTCCCTGGCTTCTTCCAGCTCCGTGGCCTCTTCCAGCGCGCATGTTACCTCTGGCCAGTCTTCCACTTCAAGCGTTTCTAGCATCTCTGTGACTCCTGGCTCTTCGTCTCCTTCGGGACATCCCACTCCTCACCCCTCCGCCACTGGAAAGCCCACCCACAGCTCGCACTCGCACCCTGGTCACAGCCATGGACATGGGTCCCACACGCACACCCATACCCGTACCCACACTGTTCCAAGCTCTACTCCCCTGGTCTCCAGCCACCCCTCCAGCACTGTTCCTGTCTCTTCTGCGACCGAGTCTGGCTCCTCTTCCATTAGCGACAGTGTCATCCCGACCGGTGGCCCGTCTACCAGCGACGAGAGTACTGGGGGTTCCAAGCCTACTGGCGACAGCACTACCGGGGGCTCTAAGCCTACTGGTGACAACACTACCGGAGGCTCTAAGCCTACTGGCGACAACACTACCGGAGGCTCTAAGCCTACTGGCGACAACACTACCGGAGGCTCCAAGCCCACCGGCAGCGACTCCACCACAACCCCGGCTGGTATCACTGCCACTCCCTCCGTGACTGCCTCGCCTTCCTCTTTGGCTCCGGGTACCACCACAACTATCATTGTGACCTCCTACATTGATATTTGCCCAACTGGTTTCACCACCATCACCACCACTATTACCAAGACCTACTGCCCTGGTGACTCCACTGCTACTGCCACCCCAACTGGCACCGCTGAGATCACTGCTCCTACTTCTGGCCCTGCCACTTCCACAGCCTCCATTCCTGAAGGCTGGACTACTACCGTGACTGTCTGCACTCAGTGCGCCGCTACCCCGACTACCGTGACCCTAACCAAGCCCGCTGCCACTACTACCACTGAGGTTGTGTCGCAGCCCACCGGCCCTTCGGTGCCCGAGGGATACACCACCACTGTGACTGTCTGCAACCACTGTGGTCCTACTGGTAGCACCATCACCCTGACCATCCCGGTTCCCACTGCTACTGCCGCTATCCCCGGTGCTGGCTCTGGCTCTGGCTCTTCTGGAAACGGTGAGGGCTCGGGTTCCGGTTCCAACCCTGGCTCTGGCTCCACCGGTGAAGTTACAGTGCCTGGCGTCGGCCCCGTGGTGCCATCTCCTTCCTCCAAGCCCATCCCCAGCAATGGAGCCGGAGGATTCCACGCCGGTAGACCGTCGTCCAGCATAGTCTTCCACCCCTCGCCCTCACGCACTGCCGTGCCCACCGCCGCGACCACCGCGACGAACACACCCGCAGCGCCCAGCAGCAACCCAGAGGGCGTCTCCCCGGTCTACACTGGTGCTGCCTCGCGTTCCAACGTGACCGGCTTGTTCGGTGGCGTCCTCGCCGTCGCTCTTTCCATGTTCATGATGCTGTAAAGCTGTCCACTTGTCTGGACAACATGATCTCATCATCTATGTGATATGATTGATCTCACGATGCTGACTTCAAGAAGAACTGGTAATTGCTGGCGACTGGTTGCTTTTTCTTTTCATTACGATATTCTGTTTATTATATTATATTCTCTTTCACCCGATCTCCAGTTCCTGGAGAGATTCTATACCTCTTGGCCTCTTTTTGTGATTTACTCTGGCCAGTAGTGATTCATCGCGTCTTCGAATTGAAGTTTTGCGGTCGCGTCCGTTTGTCCTCAATCTCCTAATGATATACATTCCAAGGTGTCGCCGACGAGTCTTGACATATTTTCGTTTATTTTTGCTTGCTGTTTTACTATATACGATAGACAGAGATGCTCTTTGTACAAAAATACGATAATCCCTTATATTCCCTATGATGTCATTGCCTATTTGCTTTCCCTCGTGAATGAGTCCGTACATCTTAGATGTTATCACTCTTTTATCATTCTGCCGCCATGTAAAATCATACTATGACGGCCCCCTCGTTAGATAATAGTGCATTTGCATTATGAAGTGTGTGACGATCATTACCTACCTGGTTATATTTTGTGCACAATTCCCCCCGCATTCTGTGATATCCACGGACCTCGGCTGCGGAGAACTATTAAATGCCAACCTCACTTCGAACCTGAACTTCATTGTTCAATCCAATATACAAAATGTCACCATTGAAGGGAATCAAAGTCATTGAGCTAGCAGGCCTAGCCCCAGGTACGCAATCAATCTAAGAAACATCATTACCACAACTAACAACCACTCCAGGCCCGTTCGCAGGTCTCCTGCTAGCCGACTACGGCGCCTCAGTCCTCCGCATCGACCGACCCAAATCCATAAGCGGCGATCAACTAACCCGCAATAAAACCTCAATAACTCTCGATTTACGCGATAAAACCTCCCTAAACATCCTCTTCCGCCTCCTCACAGCAGCCGACATCCTAATCGACCCCTTCCGCCCAGGCGTGCTCGAACGCCTCGGCCTCTCCCCAACAGAAGTCCTCCTGAAGCACAATCCCCGCCTAATCGTCGCGCGCATGACCGGCTTCCGCCGCGACGGGAAATACAAAGATATGGCCGGCCACGACATAAACTACCTCGCCGTCTCGGGCGTGCTGTCCATGCTCGGCCGCGCAGGGGAAAAGCCCCACGCCCCAGGCAACATCCTCGGCGACTTCGCCGGCGGCGGTGCAGTCTGTTTCCAGGGGATCCTGCTCGCGCTCATCTCCCGCTCCCATACTGGTCGCGGCCAGGTCGTCGAGGCAAATATGGTCGATGGCTCGGCGTACCTTGCTACGTTCCCGCGGTTAGGGGAGGAATACTCCCCGCGTGGTCGGAGCCGCGTGGCGAGAACCTGCTTGATGGTGGGTGTCCGTACTATGATACGTACGAAACTAAGGATGCCGGGCGGTATTTTGCCGTCGGGGCTTTGGAGCCGCAGTTTTATGCGGCGTTGGTGCGCGGGCTAGGGTTTGAGATCGGGCAGCTTCCGAAAAGGGAGGATCGGGAGCAGTGGCCGGTTTTGAGGGAGATCTTTACAAAGAGGTTTAAGGAGAAGACGCGCGCGGAGTGGGAGGCTGTTTTTGATGGCACTGATGCTTGTGCGACCCCTGTTTTGGAGCAGGCGGAGCTTGAGGACAATGGGTATGAGCAGAGGCCTATGGTGCACCTTGTTAGTACGCCTGCCGCACCGATTCCGGCGGATCAGGGTGGTTGGTCGGGTGGGGGACTTTTGCCTGGGGATGGGGGTGTTGATACGCTTAGGGAGTGGGTGGGATGGGAGCAAGGTAAGGATTTTGAGGTCAGGAAGGATGGGGCTTTTGTGGCGATAGATGGGAAGTCAAAGATTTGAGGTAGTTATGGTTGATGTCCTTGATACGGCAATAGATGGATGTCTTTATAACTACCTGTATTAGTCAGGTATCTATGTGGGAGATGATTTCAGACTTTGTACTAGAGCTCTAACTAGAAAGATATCTATCTTCACAATGAAAAGCTCCCGGGTCCCTTTCTTGCGATATTCCAAACAAATCGCACACATTGAACTTCATAAATGCTAAGGCCGGTCCCAACCAGCAAGGATTATCATCACCATACGCCGAATATAAACACCAACCTAGATATACAGGCCGAAGCCAACAACAGCATGTACAAAAACAAGAATAAGAGAAGTCCACATGAACGACAAAGGGCCACTTCGAGCGGGACTACCATTGCTCTTGGGAGTGCCACTCTTCTTCGCAGCAGCCGCGCTGCTAGAAGGTGTGGAAGTCGACCCGCTGAAAGCGGGCTCGGGCTCGGCGGGCAAGTTGTAGTATCGGCGAATGATATCGCTCGCTTGCTCAGCCACGCCGTATGTCGAGGACATCAAGTGTGTAGACAAGGAAATGGGGACGATGCTGGCATCCGCAACGCGCACATTGGTAAGGCCGTATACGCGCAGATTGGCGTCGACCACGCCGCCCTGATCCTCCGGCAGCATTGCGCACGATGAGGACGGGTGGAATTCCGTGCTGGCTTCCTTGCGTAGCCATGCTATCCAGTCCTCATCGCTCTGGACGGTTGACCCCGGCGATGTCTCCTTTGTGAGGCTGTTGCTCATTGGGGTGGTTTCGCCTAGCTGGCGGGCGAGTTTGATACCTGCGAGGAGGATCTTGGAGTCTGCGTTATTGTCAGTATAGAAAATCTTCCGTTGGATATTCCTGGAGGGTATATACCAGCTGAGTTGCCGAAGTAGTTCGGGTCGATCACAGGGAAGTCCATTGGATTCGAGGAGTTGATGTAGATACGGCCGTGGCTCAAAGGGTGTTGGAGAGCAGCAGTGATGCCGATGTCACCGTTTGCATCGCTGTTCATAAATAGGATCTCGATTTGGCCTGTCGGGCTATTGAAGATCTTCGATGCTGTCGTGTTGCAGATTGCTTTGTAGCCGGCGACGACACCATCATCGTAAGTCGTTTTCGGTGCATATTTATCGATTGAGGCGAGGAATTTCGTCTGGTACTCATCGACTTTACTGCCGTATATAGAGCTGGCACCCACGTAGGCAACGGCGTCATCGATATATGTCAGGAATTTGGGATCATTCTGTGGGAATTAGCATATGGCGTTGTTTGAAGGAAGATACACAGGACGCACCTTGTCTTTGCCGCCATCGTAATAGATGGAACCTGCGGTGTCCACGTTCGTGTTCCATTTCACTGTGGCACTCTGTGTGACTAGGTCAGTTACATGTCCATTTTCTGAATAGGGGCCGGACTTACTAAATGGTCTTGGAGATGTTGACCGACACCAGGAAGTTCAGATACAAGCTCAACACCAGCCTCAGAGAGGACGTCCTTGGGACCGACACCACTGTAAAGCAATACAGCCGGGCTGCCAATAGTGCCACCCGAAAGGATGACTTCCTTGTTAACCTTAACCTGCAGTCTCGTTGATCCGCTATCAGTCGTATATTCAACAGCACTCGCTGTCTTCTTGTCGGAAGATGTGGAATTGTCGAAAACAAGCCGAGTCACATGCGCATTCGCCAATACATCGTAGTTGCCCCGGTCTGGAAGCGGATCGAGATAGCCGGACCGACTGTAGGACCGCGTCCAGTTTGAAGGATTGATGCAGGAGGTTGAGACGTCAGCGCCCAAGTTTTCACCTCCGTACATACTGGCAGAAGTGTCAATGCCCATACTCTGCAGTGACGCTAACCAGTCGCCCACCTCGGGGAATGTGCTAGGAATTCGTTAGCCTTATCAGCGAATTTTAGAGAACAAGATTCGGCATACTAGTCCGGGTATGTCGTATGGATCGGCCCGTCGGTACCATGATGTGATGCATTCCAGACGATTCCAGCCTCGTCAATCACATCGTCAGTGGGAGGAGTGAAAGTCTCGCTTTTCTTCAGAGCTGCATAGAACGAGTCCCACGACCAGTTATCGGCACCGTCCATATCTCCGAGCATATCTTTCCAGGCATTGACTTCATCTTCACCCGGACGGGTCATGTACAACCCATTGATAGCGGAACTGCCTATATCTCCGTGTCAATTTTCTGCTGCTTGTTCTTCGGAATATGAAGCTTGTACAAACCTCCGAGGACCTTTCCACGAGGCCAATTAATCTCCCGATCGTCCGCATTAGGCTGAGCAACGGTGTAAAAATCCCAATTCAAAGGCGTTGTCCATAACGAATCAAAATAAGAATATGCCGGTGTGTCTGTACCAGCGTCAGAAACGTCGAAAACTCCACAGGATCGAATAATTGAACGCACCTATGCGCGTGCGATACTCGTCTCCATTCCCTCCCGACTCAAGAACCAGCACAGTATGATTTTTATCCTCCGAAAGACGAGCGCCCAACACGAGTCCAGCTTGACCTCCTCCCACAATCACAAAGTCGTAAGAATCGCCGATTTCCGTGCGCGGTGATAATGCGCTCGCGAAGTGGCTTGCGAATAGGCCTGCGCCTACGATCTGGGTAACGGACAGACCAGATCGCATTGTAGGAGTGTGCGACGCAGATGGTCTAGAGTTAGTGGAAGGGTGGATCTCATATATAAAAAGCGCATCAGCGTGAATATGCTTAAGACTGTGGAGCTCAAAATCTTTGAAAACCTTGCAATGAACTTTCGGAATTCTCAATTCTCAAGTCTACGCACGATGATCCCCCGATAAGCACATCCTGAAGCCTCAATCGCGTTAGGTGAGTGGGTCAGACTTGGGCTTCTGCAAATGAGATCTTGGTTCCGCGTGCTCCACATGGTCTTTTCCAATAAATCAACTTTGTTTCTTTGGAACTGTCTTTCTACCCGTCCCCGTTCCATGTTTCCTATCGCGTGTTCCTGAATTATTCCAAGACAATCAGAATTTTCTTGGAATCCCACAACGTATGGTTCCCATTCTGTACACCTTCCTTACTGTGAACCCAGAATTGATAAATATCCACGATTGCGTTATCAGAAACAACACATCAATTTTCTGATGCGATGACTGATGACAGCATGGTTGCTATGCATCAACCGAGGGTTCAGAGCCAATAATGGGCTAGGATTATCTCCACTCACAAATTACCTCTCGTGGGCGGGTCTCAAAGATGGTTCTGATAGGCTGGTAGCTCGATGATCGCAATTAGAACGCAGCCAGTAGCCAGCCACGATAAAGGTATGAATCCAAAAGTCTAGAACAAAGCCCTGGAACAGTGTCTGGATTTCCATGGACGTGACGTGAAACATTAATATGACGAAACAGGGATCGATCGATTCTGATCGCAAATTGTATGTTATCCATTGACTGCGATCATGTAATATTTATTTAGTTGGAATGATCTCAGAGGGTAGAGGTGTTAGGGTTAACCTTGTGGGCGGGCAATTTATTTAATTTCCACTAATCTGATCTCACAAAGGCTGGCCCTCTGATTAGCCACCTCGGCAAAATTGTACGATTTTGCGAGAAGCTTGTTTGGTTCGTTGCATTTTGAAGACACTATCGATTTCTATTAGGGATTGTGGTAAAACTATTGTAGTCATACATTGGTCGTACGCAATTTCAATCTCCTCTGTTCCTCAATAATCCGCTGTTGTATAATAATATATAAGCTAAGGTTAATAATACTTGTTGACTCATCGCGGTGACTAGGATTACAAAAGCGATGGACCAAAACTTCCAAGCTCAGTGACCAGCAGCAAACATTCGCTCGTCCAGGGATGTTGAGGGAGGGGATTCTTGGGGCCCTGGAAGAGGTAGAGGAGAGACTTGAACGAAGAGGAGACGCCGCAGTCTCATGCCCTCGCACTATCATATAAGCAATGATGTTGGCGATGGCTGCCCAGCCATCGCGATGTACTTCGTACGCGACACAAGACCATTGGCCGCCATTATTCAGCCGGAAGAAGTAAAACCATTGCCCATCTGTTAGGGCACCCCACACGGTGCTATCGGGCTGTCCCCGAGCCTTTCGCATAGCCCGCACCATTGCCATATAGGCTAGAAGCTGCCCGTGGCTGTTTGTAGCTCTATAGTCCTGTTTGGCCTCTAGTATGACTAAGTAGCAAGCCATGTGGTTTGGCTCACCAAAAGACACACTGTAGTCGGCTGTTCCAACACACTTGTGCAGCCTGTTGTGGTAGGTAACCGGTTCACATTCAAGTGCGGTCTCAAATTGGAGACCAATATCCAGACCATCTTCCAGGAATCCACGAGCCTTTAGATTCTCGCAGATCATCAACAGCAGTCCATATATTTTGCAACGCGACCGAGCTTCGGTACACTTTTCTATACATACTTGTTAGCTTGGTAAGTGTAATGGGAAATGTTTTGGGTACCGAAATCTGGCCGGAGGTGAATGAGTGGACGTGGAAACTGCCATGCCTCGGGGCCGTGAACTTGAGTAAGACAAAAGGACTCGTTCACATCAGTGGGAGTCATGTCTTCTGCCGCGATCCTGGTGAGTTCAGATTTGAGGGGAGGGTCATCAATGAATTGTTTCAGTTCAGTTGTACTGATATCGTCCGCTTTTGATAGCTTATGGAGTTGGTCCCACCAGCTTCTCCAGGCCGTAGAACTGTTGGCTAGTGCAGGCATTATAATATAACTGAAAAGATGAGATGGGTAATGTGAAAGGGAGACGAGATGTGAAGGGGAGATGAGGCGAAAGGTTGTTGGTTCAGGTACAAAGTGGTAGGGAAAGTGCATTGGCCGAAGCCCAAATAGGAAATATACGTAGGTAACATTATATATGTAGATAAGCATGAGGTCATGTATTTCCATGGTTATGTGTCCATCTCACGTCTTTTCAGTGGTCTTCCTTTTAGTGGTCTTCCTTTTAGTGGTCTTTTTTGATGGTCTTTTTTGATGGTCTTTTTTGATGGTCTTTTTTGATGGTCTTTTTTGATGGTCTTTTTTGATGGTCTTTTTTGATGGTCTTTTTTGATGGTCTTTTTTGATGGTCCTTTGGTGATTCTTTTGTTTGCCCTTCTCTGATGGTTATTCTGGCCGCTCTTTTCGTCATTCTGATTTGTCTTTTTGGTAGTCTTCGTATGATCTATTTTGCATGCTTCCCCCGTTATATTAGGATTATAGCTAGAAGGGTAAGACATGCCGGCAGAGCATAGTGTTGGAGGTTATTGCTACTAAGGAGAGAGAGAGAAGGGAGAAAGTATGATCATCAATCTAGCAAAAGCAGCCCTTTCATAGGCTGCACCTAGCAACAAGTGCTCATTCTGCCTTCAAAAGCAGGCATCCATAGGACATGGGACCATGTAAGCTCATAAAATATAGGCCGTGACAAAGGTGCGATGATAAAAAAGAAAATAAATAAACACAGTACAATAATGAAGAAAGGCCTCCATCATGCAGGCATAGTACCAGGGGTCGTTGCAAAAGCTTCTTCCAGTATTTCCAAGCCACTAATGAGCTGATCCTCGGTAATAGTGATTGGCGGGGCGATGCGAAAGGCACCCCCAAAGCTAGGATGGCTACTGAGATTGGCCCACAAGCCTAAATCGTAAGCCCGGTCCCCGATCGCCTTACCCAAAGCCAGCGCAGGGGTCTTGGTCTCACGATCCTCAACAATCTCAACTCCTGCCATAAGTCCGCGTCCACGGACATCTCCGATACAGCCATACTTTCCCTTCAATGCATTTAGCCGGTCATGGAGTACCCTACCCATAGCACGAGAGTGCTCAACCAGCCCATCACGCACCACAATCTCAAGCACTTTATCACCCACAGCAGCAGGCAGTGGATCATTAACATGAGTAGTGTAGAAGCAGTAGTCCCGCTCGATGCACACTTGCTCAATCTCAGCGCTTGTAACAACAGCGCTGAGCGGCAGGCCATTCCCTAGCGTCTTGCTGAGGGTGAGGATATCAGGAACAACACCTTCGTGGTTGATAGCCATTAGATCCCCGCACCGGCCGACGCCCGTCTGCGCTTCGTCGACGATCAGGAGCATTCCGCGCTTTTCGCACTCCCGCTTTAGAGCGGCGAGGTAACCCGGTGGTAGAACGTGCATGCCAGCCGACGACTGGATACACTCCACGATGCAAGCTGCCAGCGATCCGCACGATTGCATGTCGATCATGCGCCAGCCGTATTCCATCTCGGCTTCCCAGTCATAGGATCCATCGGCACGGCGGAAGATGGAGCGGTATGCGTTCGGTGGTGGAAGCATCAGCATCCCTGGCATCAGGGGGCCTTGGCCTTTGCGACCGAAGTGGTATTGTGCGCCTAGTGCTTGCGCTGTCACGCCGTGCCAGCTACCACCTAGTCCGACGATTTCGAACTTTCCGGTGTATATCTTGGCCATCTTTATGGCTGCTTCGTTGCTCTCCCCGCCGGTGGAGAGGAAGAAGGCTTTGTCGAGCCCGGTTGGGAGAAGATTGCATAAACGCTCGCCTAGGCTGATCACTGGGGGTGATACCATGCCTGAGAAGAGGTGGTCTAATGAGGCTGCGTGGTCGGCGATGGTCTGCACGATCTCTGGGTGCCCGTGGCCGAGCAGGCAGGACATTTGTCCGGATGTAAAATCTAGCACTTTGTGTCCGGAGGCTGTGTACACGTAGAGCCCTCTGCTGCCACAGATAACGTCTTTGTTGAACTTGGTGCCATAGTTGAGAAGGTACTTCGATGTTTTAGCCTCAAGCTCTTCTTGGTCAACGTTGCTATATAATAAGACAGGATTGTTGTCATTCTTCGAGGACATAATTGCGACACTGGATTCTTCTGTGGTGGTCCTGTAGGATGATGCGTAGTACTTATAATCTTTTTCCCAGCAGAAGTGGGATCACGGCACTAGGTCGTTCTCTCTATTCCCCTCATTAATGAGTTGCAGGGGTTCGATCTTGTACCTGCTCTTTCTTGTTGGCTTGGCCGCGGCTCCGCGGCCAACAGATATCCTTACCCCACAACTAAAGTCTCCGACTGCAACCAAATGATTGAGATATTGCTCTGCATGCGACTACAGAAAACCGTTTTATAAACAATTGAGATAGGGGAGAATATTCGCTAAATTGGTATTGGTAATATCAAAATGGAATATATACACATACACCGAATTTTAGGCCGAGCGAGATGACTTTACCTTTCCGTCTTAGTGCTTGCTCTTGGCTGACTACCTAGGTAGCCCTAGAGTTACATAAGCATTGACTCCCGGCTGAGCATTGTGTAGGCGCGGATATACGGAATTAGCCTCTTAATCGTTTTCCCGCAGTGTCGTCATCCCTAGACATAATAAATATCATTTCTTGTCTTCAAGTATTTGCAATTCTATAAATTAACTTACACGGCTCTGCCATATGTTCATATCCATTGAGCGTTGTCAAGAATGTCTTCAGCACGGGAAGATGTCAAAGTGATCGCAGTACTTGGAGCGACCGGAAATCAAGGCGGTGGTGTGGTTCAAGCACTTCTCAAGAACTCTGCCCCGCGCTTGCACGTCCGTGCTATAACTCGGGATACCTGTTCTGCTGGTGCTTCGAAACTCAGAGCGAAGTTCGAAAATGACGACAGGTTGGAGATGGTGGCAGCCAATGTATACGACAAAGAATCACTGTTCAAAGCATTCAACGAGGTCTTTGGAGTCTTCGCAGTAACGAACAATCGACTGTCTGGGAAAACAATTGAGAAAGAAGAGGATATGGACCATGAGCTGGAAGCCGGAAGAAATATCATTGACGCAGCCAAGGTATGGAGACACCGGGGGGACTTATAAGGAGGGACTGACACCGAAATGAAATATATCTAGGCCTGTGAAGTTCAACATGTTGTGTTGAGTAGCCTGCCGAATTTGGCAGAAGCCAGCAACCGGCAGTTTACGAAAGTCTTTCACTTTGACAATAAATCGAAGATTGAACAATGGGCCAAAGATGAGCTCTTGGCTGTCACTGCCCTACATCCCGGTATGTAATATAAGTCTGAAAATGGGATATCTACTTATTCATTCATATAGGACTGTTTTACACAAATATGCAATGGTCCCAATATTGCCAACTCCAAGGTGAGCTTCACATATACTGCAAAGCAAACTAGTGACTGACGAATAAACCCAGATGATGGCACTGTCCGCTTTTGTGCTCCAATTGAGGCGGACAAACTAGCGGATTGGGTTGACCCAAGTTATGATATTGGGGTTTATGCTGCAGGTGAGGCATCGCTTTCTCTCCAGATGACCTGTCTACTTACTAACAGCCAAGAAATATTCCGTTTGGGTCCTCAAAAAACAGCATCAAAGACATACCCAGTGGTTGGGCCCAAACTCTCGTTTGCCGAGTTTGCGAATATTTTCAGTGACACCACCTCGCGCAAGGCCATCTTCGATCCGATCACACTAGACCAGTGGGGTGCTACTGTAGCTGCCACTGTGGGCAAGGGATACGAGGAAGATATCAGACAGATGATGCAGTGGATATCTGTTGCTCCAGATGAGAAGATATGCTATGGCACGATGGATCCTAGGGATGATACGTCGTGGAAAGACCTCGGAGTCAGGGCCAGCACATTTGCAGAGTGGATGGAAAGGGCTGCTTGGAGAGGACCGTGAGGTCAGACACGAGGAGTCACTATGCGTGGAAACAGGACATCGAGTGATTTTAGTAAGATTCGTATATTATAAATACACGAAGAGGAATTTACATCAGTTGGGTATCCAATACAACCATCAAGAATAGTAGGTGGTGGTGAAAGGCGGTGCCACGATTACACCGGTTTTTAAGACGCGCAAGTTGGATTTCCGTTTCCGCTGTAGTGCATACCCCTTGCCGCTTTTTTTTCTTTTTTCCTTTTTCTTTTTTTTCTCACTGAGTAAGGGATAAAACAACCAAATAGATCATCCATACACGTCAAGTTGCCAGACATTCAAAGCGTCCCCGTCGAAAAGGTAAGACTGCCCAGGTGATCGCATTGGTTGCCCTACGGGGCTCGGACCTGTCCAACCTTGGGAATGCGACGGTAACCTTAAAACCTTACTGGCCTGACGAACTATTATGACATAACCAAACTCCCAGGAGCCCCCTGCATGGGTGGATTTCTATCACAGCTTGAGCTTTCTTCCTTCACTCTTCCTGACAGTCCTGCATTTACTAATACTTCATCACTTCATCCGTTAACCAGAATCAAAACCATGAAACCGCGGACAATCTTGTTCAGCATCTTCCTGAAAGCTCCCTTCGTCTACGCAGCAGAAAAGATCAGCCTCCAATGGGCAATTTGCGACCCAACACCACAAGATACGCTTGCAAAGCTTGGACTCGATGAAGCACTCCCGTACAAAGAAAATCCAATCACCTACTACGACGAAGATCCCCCTATACATATCAGCTCCGGACTAATGTTCCGCACCAAAACGAACAAAGGCCAACCACTCTCCACAGTCAAAGTCCGCTTTCCGGAGGTAGTCCCTGATGTTCCAGACTTTGTCGACTGCTCTGGGACTACTATGGCGGTAACCGGTCATCCTTCACCTGCGAAAAGCGCTGTCCTTTGGACAGTAAAATCTGGCACGAGGAGCAGGTGCAGTTCGCCGAACGGTATGGGACTGTCGACTGGGATATGCTGCGTGCGTACGGACCCTATCAGAATGCGAAGTGGAAGGTGCGGGTCGGTGGACACAAAGCCAAGTTTGATGATGTAGTAGCTGGAGATCTGCATCTGATGGAGGTCGAGACGAAGGTGCTTAGGGAGGAGGCTGATGATGCACTGCACGCGATTACGCATTATCTAAATGAAAGGAGCGTTGTGCTTTGCGAGCCGCAGGAAGGGAAAACCATGCGACTGTTTCGTGCTATGGGGTACTTCGGGAATGAAAGGGAGGAGCTATGATCAAATGCGAGAGACGTGGACCTTGTGCCGCAGATGTTAGCAAGTCTTATGTTCCCTAAACTATCGTACTTTGCTAGACGGCAATCCACTTTCTTTGAACCAGGGGTGTCTGCTGGCGGCTAGCAGCATCCAAGGGGCAATCTGGTATATACTGCTAAAAATATATATGAACAAAGAGCCTCGTCGGGAGATCGTATGTGGATAGAAAAGTTGTGAGATGAGTTCATCATACTCCCGTTCACTCCATAATTTGCAGTATGTCCCAAGTGCTTGGAAACATGTCGTCAACAAAAGCCATATCCGGTATGAAAGGCTGACGAAGTTCAGCATTCGTCTCTCCGGAGTTCTCAACTAGTGGCTCTGACTTCAACAGCTTGTCGATGACATCGGAATGCTGCGCGAGGCAAATATCACCTAGATCCCACCCAAAGTTCTTGCGATGCGATCGCAACGAATCCAAAAGGTCACTCGCCATTCTTAGGGAGCCACTTCGTGCAAGTCCGGCGTCATGCTCTGTCTCTAGTGCGCACCGGATCAAAAATGTCACCGTTGCTGAAAATGTGAACGCTACAACAGGTAGCCAAAAGTCACCCAACTGCGCTCCTCCGAGTTCCTGGACCAGAACCACAATGTCCTCCGCCGTCCTTCGGGCCTCCATAACACGGTTGGCCATTTGCTCTGCATTAGATTCGGGTGCTTGTCGTTCGCGATCTAGGTCGATGCGCCGGAGGAGGAGTCTTGTCGCCAGATATGCCAGACGGAGATTGGAGGCACCAGGAATGTTTAGGTTTGAGCCGCGGATGATGATCTTGCGGATGTCTCCTGTGAGTGAGTCCACCCATTTGTTCAACTCTAATTCTAGATTTCTGCTTGGTCCTTGGGTTTCGATTCGGATGCTGTACACTTGCTCCAGGCAGTGGTCTAGCACGTCGGTCAAGTTCATGAGCTCGATAAAAACTGCATTTGCTTCGTGATCTCGTTCCCAATCTGACAGGTACTCGGATATTGGTAACGGTACATCGTATTGTGATCTTCTTATATGGGGGGGTGTCCCATATGCAAGACTCGACCTATTCGAGGGTGAGTTCCTTGAATGTCCTATTGTCTGGGAATGTGCTCGGAACATACCAGCGATCGTGGAGTAAGATAGACCACCAGATCTTCATTCTTAAGTACTTCTCCTCCCGTGGGATATCCCACGGGAGTGGATTTCGATTTAAACCCAGGGAATGGCACAGCGCAACAGCCGAGCCAAGTCTTACTCCGTTGCCCGTCATAGATGTGGTTGGACGGCCCCCAACATCGAGGAGAATAGCCTTTATCGTCGATATCCCAGCTGACGCATGCAATTCGGAATACGAGGCTTCAATAGCAAGGTTCCATATAAAACGAACGTCTGGGCACCTTTCTCGTGATAGAAGGGGGTCATGTTGCCACTGGGTGAGCACGTGGGCATATAGGCATGCCAAAAGCGCAGGAGAAATGCGGTGTCTGGCATTTGTGTATTGCGCCCGAAAGGAGCTTTCTTCAAGTAGTGGGAGACAAGGATTGATCTTTCTCAGATATCTGGTCACAACGATCAGTTTCCAAAGCTTCTGCCGAATACTAATGTCAAGTGTAACTCACATGTCTATCAAATGCGGTCCCCACGGCTCTACAAGCTTTTCAATAGTCTGTAGCTTATGCAATGCTGGACTAGAGTTGACCATGAGCCCCAGAGGCCGCTTCTGCACCTTCGTGAATATAACAGGGGACGAGGAACTACCTGGCTCGACGGGACGAATTTCACGGATTCCCTGGCCACCCGAAATATTAGATAGGTAATCAGCCAATACATGATTATCTCCGGTCACCGCTGGACCAAGGATATGCGGATTATCATCTTCGGCTTCAAGAGACAGTGGCGTATCCTGGTCGTTCTGAGCCTGTGTGACAATCGAGAACTGCGGCGAAGTGCCGACCAGAGGGGCCCGGCTCAGTGACTGGGAAGCTGCTACTGGCGTTCGTAGTGTTGGATGTGGTAGTAGTGGGTCTGCCTCCGTAGAATACCTCTTCTGCGGTGTTGACTTCGCTCTTCCGTTGGGAAACGTACACTCGGTGCCATGCGCACGACACATCAGACAGGCCGCGGTGTGGGGCTCCAATTTGCATCGCGATTTTCTCCGCCGGCATGGTACGCATGCTGGCTTCGTATGAGAGCGGTATGGTCGTTCGTCGCCACTTTCCATCTTGTTTGTCAGTGCTTCCCAGGCAGAGGGAAATCCCGCGGCAGGTTTCCCACGGCGAAGCCTAGGTGTGCGGCACAGTCGATTTGTGTCCTGTCCCTAAGATTGCACGGAATCAACGACTGGAAGCTGGGCTCTTGTTAGATGTATATCTTGTGTATTGTCATCCGTCAACCTCAATCAGCCGTTATTCGACAGTCAGAAGATCAGTCGTTGCAATAGGGAAATTCCGCGGGGAAGAGTGGGTCCGGCTGCTGTTGGTCCATGGACTTCCCGAGATCGGACCCCGTGGACTTCGAGATGTTGTTTGGATGAAATGTAGACCTGTATTTCTCTGTTTATAGGTCTATTTGACCGAAAATATCACTTACAGACTGGAGACAGAGAAAGTAATTTCTGATCGGGCAATATGTAATGGGATCAATCCGAAGAGAGCTCGGCGTTAGGACAAGCCCCCCAGCCCCCTCCCCCCAAATTCATGATAAGCCAAGTGTCAGGGGTAGACGCAGCTCATGCTGAGATCCGTTCACATTGAAGATGTTGTGCATACTCGTGCATACTCAACATTTTTGTGGTACAATATGTCCGTTGGCCAGGACTAGGTACGTAGACAATAAGTTAGAAAGGTCCGTAACTCTGGCTAGACCCATACATAGTGACATGACTGGGAGTCACCGCAATCACAAAACATAACCCCATCCGAGGCCATTTGTGGCTGGGCGTCTCAGGAAATTTGGTTCAGAGTCAATATCGTATATCGTAATCACTGCTTAATAGGGGTCTTTATACGGAGTACGGAGTAGGCGTTATTGGTATTCGATCGCGACCAAATTCAAGAGTGGGGAATAAATTCGCCAATCGCCGTTGCCCGGTTTCAAACCTGCGACGTGGGGCCGCTGGTCGGTCACGTGATGTTTTAATCAAGCAGGGCCAATCATAGGTTACAAAAATGCCTCTACCTTATAACCTCAATATAGGGTCTGTAAAGGGAAAAAAAATAGGTAGCTTCTCTTTGATTATGCATGTCATCCTTAGTGCGGGGGCCATGCTAATCTTCTCTGTATATTTTCAGTTGACCATATGCCCCGAAGTGCGAAATGTGTAGCTTTAAAGCTCATTATAACCTCACTTTCCGGCAGAAATTGACCGCCTTCTGTATTAGTCCGGTTTGCTGTCTACCTAGGTACGTCATTGTCCTCTGAATTTAGTTCTCTTTAGGACTGGGAAGCTACGAAGCTTTGACCATTTTGAGCTTACTTATTGCAATGAACAACCTTGGAACTATTACCGAACTGCTCAAGTGCATACCTCAAAGTGCTTGATCACTAGGAAGTCGCAATGCGAACGCGACTCATGTCTTGGTGCGATCCACTATTCTGCCCTTGCAGATCTAGAGGATCCCTTGGAAGCTTCAATACAAGTCTAATATCCTGGTCATATGCAGCCCAGTATGCCAGGCTGGGGTTGACCGGCAAAACTTCTCATTCCTCACCTTTATAGCACTTGCGCCTCCTCTCCAACCATAAAGATCTCCTTGTTTGCATAACCAACAAACCCATCAATGCACCATCCGCAGGAGATCCTCCAGATTCCATACAGACAAAACAAAATAAAACACACTCACCAATGCTAGCCAATGATTGTGCGAATTTCGACGCCCAGGAGCAACCCCAATACACTCCAACCCTATTAAGAGACCTCTATGGAGAACGAGTCTATGGCGAAAGTGTAAGTCGATGAACATATGGGTGGTCTGACTTCCGGAAGTGCCTAATGCATACGGATTTAATATTCTGAGTAAATCCCTGGAAGCTACTTGTTCATTTGATCCCTACTCGCCTTTCAGAACACGAGGATACCCTCATCATCCTGGCTTTCCTCGTGCAATTTCGGCTCCACGCGGCTCTCACTAGTGGGGTGCGTGCGGTATTACTTGTAGAACATAGGTGTCTCTCATTCATGAATTAGATGTTGTTCGAATGATCATGGGACTTTTTGTAGGCTTCAGGCCCTGATCGTAAATATAATGTTCTTCTTTGGCAGAGAGGACCATTCATCAAGTCCAAATTATTTCGAAGCAACTGCCTCGGCAACAATAAAGTTTTCCTTGTCAGAAAGGCTGACTTTGTTATGCTCCTCGTCTTGGGCTTGGGGCAACTGTGCGGCCTCCTTGGAATGCTCGATGGGAACGTGGGCCCTAACAACGAGCCAAGTAGGCCACACTGAAAGGACTGGAAGGAAACGTTAGCCCTGTTTCTTTATAATCATTTAGTAGGTATCGCTTACCTAGAAGGATCGTGTTGACGATAAGTGGCACTCTCCCACCATGCCATTTCTTCGAATTGAGACCGTAAGAGACAGCCTGCGAAAAGCTCTCTTGGCCACGAAGGATACCAGATAACCGGGCTATATCTTGTCAGTAATCTGTAGATAGCATAATCAGGTCGGGTTCAACTTACATAGTTCTGAGATGTTGTCGGTCATTGTGGAGAGAAGGTAGTAGAGGAAGTTTTGCAGTGATTGCTGAGCGAATTCTAACGAAGGGTTAGCAATGTCGCGGTATTCAATGATTCACGAAGCTCACCCCAGAGCAGGATAACGAAGAATCCCTCAACGAAGCCTTTGTCGGCCCAGTCAAGCGTTGGTGGGTTCTTAGTGTACTTTTCCTGGATAACCCAGCAGTAGACCCAGGCAACGATGTGGACGACGATCACGTAGAAAAAGCTGTGGACTTTGTCAGTCTCTATTCTCATGTCAATTTAAATGTTGAGGGTTCTGTACCTGTACTTGATTCTGTTTCTGATTGAAAGGCCGCGGTAGTCCAGGAACCTACTAATTAGTGTTGAGGCAAGAAGAGTGGAGAAGTAGGCTTTGGTCCATGTTAGCACTGATGCAAATGGGTATGCAAATAATGAGAAGATGTAAACATACTGACGAATCCAATAAGAGCGCGGGCGCGCACACCAAAGTAGTACGTTTTGAAGTCTAGACCAATTAATCAGCAATTGAAAACAGTGGAGAAGAAAGAAAGGAATCCATACTTCCAGTGTACATATTGAAGTATGCAGCCCAGAAGACAGGTAATAGCAAGAGAATCTAGGAAGATTAGCCACGTATACCACACAAGCACGAGGAAACCATATTAAACCTACCTCCCTTCGCCGGCAGACCTTCCAGAGCTCTTTCATTTCATCACGCCACGAGTCCTGCAGGATAATCCTGACTTTACTTCCATCCGTGCGTTGAACCTTGTCGGGTGACGTGAGAAAGAAGGCTATAGGCACGGCAGTGCATTGGAGCGCGATGAAGATGAGATATGTGTCTGTCGTGTTTTAGCAATCGTTAATGATATTTAATCTGCCTGTATCAACGTACCAGATCCAACTTTTCCTTTGGCATGGGCGTCGGCGGCACTTTTCAATCGTCAGTAATCTCTGTCTGTAAATGTATTGAAATAGACATACTTGTTGAGGCCAAGGACAATAGCACCTCCCACCAACGGGCCACCTGTACGGAACCAAAGCCAGATGCTTCTTAAGTCAGTTATTTGGCGACTGTATGAAGTTGTAGAATATCTCACTTCATATATCGACCTCGCTTTGCGGGCTCAGGATATCCCAGTGCCACAGCACCCTCAGAGGCCCAGAACAGACCAGCGCTATAAAGGTTAGTCGATGCTCTTATTTCATTTTGTAGATATAGGATACTCACGATAAACCACAAAATACTGATCCAACCAACACAAACCACACATTTCCCTATATCCGATTAGCCTTCATCCTTTGACTGTACAGATGGTTCTAATCAACGTAGAACTCACAAAACGATTATTTGTGTACAAGGCAGCACTATATATAGAGGTCAGTCCCAAGATAACAATATCTCACACGCAGTTCTTGTGATACGTACGAATACAACGGATACCCCACAGCGCCTAGCATCAGGGTCCATCTTAAGCCAATCCGGTTAGCGATGGGGCCACCGAACAGACACAAAATCCCCACTAGCAAGCAAGTTAGCCCAAAGCCCAATTTTGGAAATTTCAATGTGATGGCAGCAAGACACCACATACTTAGACCAAAAACAAGTGCGTTGGCTGCATTAATCAAGAAAGGCTCCTGCGCGCCACCAGCACCCAAAGCATTCATGGCATTCCATAAGCCTGGGGCTGTGAATCCAACACCCCCGATAATACAGGCATTGAAGAGTGTTCCGCGATGCCATACTCGCTTTTCAATTGGCGTATTGGACAATGCCGAGATAGAAGCTTGTTCGGCCATTGTGGCGTGTCCGCGGGTGGCTTAAGGCTAAAGATAGTAAGCACCTTGAATCAAACGAAGATAAAATTCCCAACGCCAAGTCAAAGACTAAACGGGAAACACGCTATATATAGTCTTTTCCCTGAGGAAAAAAACTACCTGGAAGTGTTAATGGTGCATTAGGCCTATTCTCATCCTTTTGAAAGATTGCGTGCTTTCGAGCTCTTTTGTTCTAGTGCCATTTTGGGACTAGCCTCATCTGCCAAGACAGACTTTGTAGAGTTCAGCCAATCAACGGCGTGACTAGCCAAAGGTTGTGGGGAAATTAGTGGGGAGTCCCGGTTGAGTCAATGTCGCTTCCATTGTCGCGACATCGAATTGGGAAGGCGGGAAGAACGTGGGGGTCCTGAGATCTTGGGCTTGATAAGGAGAGGAAATTGAGTCACATATACAAAGATGGAGTAGACAAAGAGAAGAGAAAATTTTGATTATTACGTGTAAAGTCGTTACGTTATGACATTTGCAATTCTAGTTTCCAGACACCTCCTTGACTGCAGCGATGATATCGCTCGGTCCAAGGCCCTGAGCATTGACTTGCTCGTACAGACCACCGCATCCCTCCTTGATAGCACCAATGGACTTGAACTTGGGTGTGAACTTGCGCTCAAGGAGCTGTGTACCCAGGCGAGAGCCGAGACCAGTCTTCTGCGCAATAGACTCAACAACCAGGACGAATGGTGAGGATCCATACAACTTGATAGTCTCCTCGTCAACGACGTTGAGAGTGGGCTTGTTAATCAGACCGACATCGAGGCCCTCCGCGCGCAGGTTCTCGACAGCATCAAGCGAGCGGTAGAGCATATCACCGTACGAGACGATGTAACCAGCGGAGCCCTTGCGGATGACTTCTTCCTTACCGGGAACGAACTTATAGCCCTCACCAAAGAGCTTCTGGTCGGTGCCCTCCTTCAAGATGTAAGGGACCTTGGAACGGGTGGAGAAGATGAAGCGCATGCCCTTGTTCCAGAACACCTCGTTGACTACGGCCTTCATCTGCTCGCCATCGGCAGGGAAGTACAGCGCGGTGCTCGAGGCATCCATCAGACCATTGTCGGCGAAGAAGTGGTTCAGACCGAAGTGGCAGGTGTTATCGGCCATCTCGTCAACACCGCTGTGAGAGAAGTGCGCCAGAACGGTACAGTCGTTCAGACGGGCCATAGTGATCTCGGAGATACACATCTCCAGGAAGGCAGAGAAGGTAGAGAAAACACCTTGGCGCTCTCCATTGCTGCCGAATCCGAAACCAGCGGCAGCAGAGAAATTGCCACGCTCCATAACACCAGATGGGATGAAGGACTCGGGGTGTTTGACACCGATGGCCTTCAGGCCGGTGGAGCCTGCCAAGTCGGAGTCGATGACCATAACTCGACGCTTAGCCTCCTCCTTGCTCAGTTTGTCAAGAATTTCATTCACGGCTTCACCGAAAATGGACCGGTTCGCACCCTTGTCCTTGGTCGAGCCCTTGTACTTGTGGGGATTTGAGCCAGGCTTGATATCGTCGTAGAAACCAAGCTGTTGCTGGCTGTAACCGCGCTTGGTGAGGTATTTGCGAGCGATTTCGACGGGGACTACATCATGGGCGTGACATTCTCCCTCGATTCCCTCGATGCCAGCGGCCATCTTGCGGTCGACAACAACAGCGGCGGGACCGTCGTGGTTGATGACTTCGCACATAGCGCCGTATAGGGAGTCGAGATCCTCGCCCTGGGCACGGAGAACTTTCAAGCCATGTCCATCAAGGGTCCGAGCAATCTCATAGCCCTTCAGGTATTCCGAGGGGTGTCCGGCAATTGTGACATCGTTGTTATCGATGAAGAGCTTAACATTCAGATTTCTGGCCACGGCAATTCGCGCGGCCTCGGCGTCATTTCCTTCTTGCTGGGATCCGTCAGATCCCAACAGGATCACGTTCTTGTCCTTGTTGGCCATAGCAATTCCGTTGACCATACCCCACATGTGACCCAGACGACCAGAGCTGAACTTGATACCTGGGGTGAGACCGAGCTCTGGGTGGCCGGGGAGGTGAGAGTCGGCGGCACGATAGTTCAGCAGGTGATCGGGCTCGATCTTGCCGTCCAATGCAGCCAGCAGGTATTGTGTGGCGACACGGTGGCCGGCCTCGTCGTACAGGGCATCGACCCATTTGCTGGGGTTGGCGTTCATGAAAGCAAGCAAGATACAGACTTCGGGGGCTGTATCGAAGGGACCTCCAGTGTGGCCTGCGACACCACGGGCGGCACCCGTTGCTGTGAAGGCAATGATGGCATCTCTGAAAATGTTGATATTGTGTAGCAAATCGCTCTTCTGTTGGGCTGACAGCTGGGGGGGTCTTCGGGTCAAGCTTAAGCTGCTTGAACTGCTTGAGATCGACGGGAAACTTGTAGCCGCTCATGGTGTAGACTGACTTTCAGAATTCTTTCTAATGGAAGAAGTTTGAAGGAGCAAAATTATTAGGCCAGGGTATCACCCCTATAAACTTGTGAGCGGCCTGATCCCAGTATTGACGTCATCAGGGCAGGGTTGAGGTGACCTGTTTTCGGCACCGAACAACCTGAATTCTTTGCTCTCTTTATATTCGTTGATATTTTCTCATAAGTCCCACTTCTAATTCCTCTCATCTTTCGAGGTTGTTTCGATGATTTTCAGATTCTGTCAAATGTTTACATACAATCTCCTCACCCATGGAAACCCTGCACGTGGCCGCCTTTTACCCTAACTCTTCCATAACCTGGATATGAGTTCGAATACCCCGAGTATTACTATTAATGGCATCAAACCTAAATAGCTGGTTTCAGTTTGAACGATATTGACCCCATTCCCTCTCCTCTGTTATGTATTGGACAGCAACGGATTATTGATACTATTTTCCAGAGATCTACACACTACTTCTTGCCTCTGCTCTTATCTAAATTTCCAGGTCGGATTGGTGGCTGTCGCTTCATCTCTCCTTCCGGTAAATCAACGCTTCCGCAACAGCCTGGTGTTTCACGCCGTTTCGGGGCGACCCCGTGCCGAACAAGCAACTAAAGCGCCCAGGCAAACCCTCACTTATTTTAGTAGTGTAATGGCATTATACAAACCATCAAAAATGCGGGGAAGACTGTTCTAAGTAGCTGTACTAACCTCGAAAGGGCCATTTCTCCGAGATAGCCGATTCACCAAGACAATACAAGCTATCCAGCTCCCGTCGGGAAAATATGGCGTGCAGTATGCAGTAGTCAGTGGTACTGTAGTATCCCTCGTCGGCTGATGGCTGAAAAAAGGGGGCGGGGGTGGTTCTTAGGCGTCTGAGCTTATTTTCCCTCGATGATATTTGCGTTCATCTTCTAGAAAAAGAAAATGGCGGGGTATAGTCTATACAAGATTGTCTCCGGTGGGACATACAAGGACAGTGCATCCCCACGACTGATAATTTTGGATTCCTAGAGTGCTATATTGGGAAACAGTAATAAAAGTAATAAACGGGAGATACAAATGGAGGTCATGGAAGTGGAGTAGCATATTTTCGCTCTTTATTAGCAGGTTATCACATTATTCGAGCTCACTCTCTCTGTGTTCATAGGTTTTCGATTTACTTGGGTGACAGTACCGGTAGGTACCCGTGGACATCTTTTTCCTTAGCGTGTCAGTGATGTAAGTCCAGTCAATATCATAATCCCTGACCAAGACAACGATGGAAGTTGCATCCAACGCACTTACTAGGTCGGATGCAGATCAGACTGGTTTGGTACTCTACAAAAGCGGGGGCGCTCTACTTGGGGCTCTCCGTCAACTTTTTGGGAATAAATGGCAATTCTCTACATAATTCCCTCACTATGCCGTATATGCAGGCATCCGTTTTGTGTGTTATTGTCTCCACATGGTCAGCCTTGGGCCTGCTTTTGTGTCAATCCGTGTTCCAGAGCTACTATCGGATGCACCCAGAGACTAGGGGTCATATCCTCAGCCCTAGAGCTCCGTCCATTGCTTCTTTTCTGCAGTTCACTCGGATAAGACGGCTACGGCTTTTCCTTATAACTTGGCACCGGAATCATCGGAACAGCTGTAGATAGCTTGCTCGATCCCATATACAAAGAAAGCAGGGCCCTTCTTTCGAGTCTCTTTAAATTATCTCCGTGTCAGGAGTACTGAACTCCTGAATTATCCGTTGCATATAAGGAGTTTGTATTCCCGAGAGTTCCAATTATCCGACTACGGGCCAGGTATCAGTCATCCAAAGGGGGTCTGAGGAGAACTCGCATCACAAGGCCCAGCCCAATTCCAATTCGGACTGGCGTCAGGAGACTCAAAATAAAGCAAATCCTGTAGTCAGACATAACGGAAAACAGTAAGAGCGACATGTAAAGATGGCCAATGAAACACAACGTGTGCTGTTCAGAAAAAGCAAAAGGCCTAGTCAGTACTGAGTTGGGGTTTCTAGTTGATGATCCCAAGATATCCATCCGTCAACTTCGGAATTCGAGGCTCTTTATGTCTACCAATGCCAATTCTACCCCCAGTACTCCGTATCGCCAAGGCAGACATACACCAAATACGTCGAAGGATTGCATTGCTGGTCGCCTAAACTGAAGGGTTGCATATTGACATTGCCAACAGAGGATGGCAAACATATTTTGAATCACTAACTTCAGATATAAGAAGCCCGGGGTCAGCCGTACAAGTCTGATCCCAATTCCATACCTCAAACCAATACATCCCTTCAGCTTCAGTTCAAACCAGCAATTTCCTTCCAAAATGAAACTATTCCTCCAAGGCACTACAATCCTAGCCCTTCTTATTGCCAATGCATCAGCCACAAAGAGTGGTCTTTTCGCTGCAAACGGTGTCGAGCTAGAAATGTACCAGTCTGGCGAGGATATCATCTACGGAGAGCCAGTAAGTCCTTAGTCTTTGAGATTTCCTACACACGATAACTGACTCCATACAGCAAAGCATGGTGCAGGTATAATACCGATTACTCCTGATTATAAGGAATGATCAATTTTTAACAACTTTATTTTAGGCGAGAGGCCTTGAGGGCCGAGCATGCACCAAATGTGTGGGTCACCATGGAAGTTGTGTTGTAGGTGAGGGCAACTGCTATCCTCCCGATATGTGCGGATTCTGTGGAGGTTGTTCTGTCAACCAGGCCCGGTGCCAGAACCCCGACAAGGAAGGGTGCCAGTGTTATAAATGATTTTGGGCGAAATCAGAGAGGATTTTCGTTTTCGCTGAGGTTAATGCTGTTTTGATTCTTTGTGGTAGTAAAGGACTCCTACAGTCCTTTCCTTTCTTTTCCTTCCTTCTCAATAGCTTTTGCTTCCCAATACATTGATTCTCAATACCTACATACCTAGGTACGTATGTACATGTATCCATCATAATCTCATCTACTACCATCTTGTAGTTCATTCAAACAGCAAAAAGGTTCATTGTAAGAGAAAGGACTTCATCCAATCCACGTCTCAAATCTATATTCCACTATCAAAGGCAGATCAAATAACGAAACCTTCATCCAAATATGTACTCCCGCCACCCCTTCTTCCACGTCCGCCCAAACCGATGATTCACACACGCCTTAGGGTGATTAAACCCACCGGCCTGACTATGTCTCTGTCCGTTCCCCCAAACACTGATTGGCAACACGCACAACCCACCCATGGATTTATTTGGCACAGCCTCACCCGCCTGTATACAGACAGGGTCACGGATTTTATGAAACGGCGCCCACGTTACCCGTTTCTCCACCTGCCCAGTTGCAGAAGAGACGAGATCCCCTATATCCGCATCTGCATCAACCGATTGTTGAATGAACGGATGTGTCAAAGGAAGCGAAGAGGAAAGTGTGTCGAGGATAGCATCCGTGAAGACATCAGGCCCCGTAACCCCCAGTATAGTCTTCTCGTCATACGCCGGACTGGAAAAGAGGCTGGAATGTTCACTATTGTTTTTCCTCGTATGTGCTACAACCCGCACAATAGTCTCGCGGAGAAGCGGGCTGAAACGTCGCGGTGCATACATTGTATACTGGATGAGTCCGTAGCTCCGTGTCCAGTGCCAGTCGCGCATGAATTGCGGAGAAGCATAAGGCTCGTCGACTTCGATTCCAACAACGAGCGATATATCGGGTTGGGTGCTTTGTGTGTGATCCTCGGGTGTGAGTGCGAAGAAGGGCTCTAGAGCTGGGCAGGTCTTGATCGTCCGAGCGGGGAAGACATCGATGTCTGCGTAGAAGCCTCCGTAGTACCAGAGGAGGAGGTATCTGAGGAGGTCTGCTCGGAGGACATTGTGGGGGTAGGACTTGTATATGGTTGCGATTTCGGGGATGGCGGATAGTTCGTTGGTTACGAACTTAATGGCCTTTTCATCGGTGACTAACTTTGTGGTTTTCAGTTGGCGTCAAGCAAGATACTTGTGGTCGTAGGCGCAAGTACTTACATTGTATTCCCATTCCTTGTTTTTCCCTTGGAATACTATCGAGTCATCGCTCCTGTGCTTTTGATTTTTCGCTATCTGCCAGATTTTATCTTCGGATATGTTGCTTTCCTGACTTCGGGCCAATACGGCTTTTTCAATCTTCTCCAGGGCATCCGATAGCTGCTTTTCATATTGAATATCCGGATTGTTTCGAAAGGGAGAGCGGTAGATAAATCGTGGCGTGTCCTCTACTTGATGTTCTGGTGGTGGACGATCTGCGCGGGTATTGTTCTGGGTGGAAGGAGGAGCTGGAAGGTGATAAAAGAGGAACCATATGAAGGCAATAAATATTATACAAGATCCACGACGAGTAGACAAGAATCTGGATGCCTGCACTTTGATTCTTCTAAGGCTCATTGTGGTAGTAGTGAAAATTGCAACCGCAAAGAAACTGCGACTTGAAGGCTGATCCAACCAAGATTGGAATAAATCACTGTCTCATATGAAAAATTACATACGCCAGAAGATTAGAGAGTGCATGCTTGGAGTGACAGGAATGGAATATGGCAAAGATGAGGGGGAGAAGAGAAAGAAGGAATCAGAATAGCAAACGAAAGTTGTATCAACCCAAGGATTGGGTGTACGACCAAAGCCCCTAGGTTTCATGCAGCCTTTGACACAATTTATGATCAAAGCCTCGAGGTTGCCTCCAATTTCCTTCTAAATATCTACAAACCCACTTTGCGGTCTGATTCTTTGTTTGACAGCGGCCCACTTCGGGTCGATCCAACGCTAGACAAGGATATCCCTGTCGAGATTCAATAGTTCACATTTCGCATTGGTAATATTACACGGGGCGACCTCATCCTTTTGGTTGGGTAGAGCTGTTGTTGAGGTGAAAGATACCACGATAAGAACAATGAGGCCAATGGTAGTAGCGGGTGAGACCGCAACTGGCAAAAGTCAATTCATGGATTCTCGGGGTTGTCTCAAAATCGGCACTTTCTTGATCTTTGTAGCAATCATTTGGTTACACCTGTCTTACAAGTGCCAAGTGGCCAAAGTGGAAAGGGGTTGCTAGTGGTCCAGCTAGCGAGGCTCATAAATGCAACTTAAGATGATCAGAGAGAAATGATATGTGGCATTTGCTAAGAGAGAAGACGGACGTGAAAGGAAGGAAGAGACACCTTGGCCGGCTTCCTCTCCGAGCCTTGTAGGTGTCTGTGTAGTGTAATGGGTAGATAGCACGTAGAGTATGCCCATCCCGCACAGAAGGCAGTTTGTGTGTCGGTAAAGGAAGTAGGCCAAACCCAGAAACCTGCATCAAGGCGTGGCTGGACAGTGTTCTCTCTGGTCGCAGGCAAACATATAGAAAAGAGACCACATTCGAAGGGAGCTACAAGTCAGAACTGGAGTGATGCCGTAGCACGAAACGCACAATGCGAGATAGCTGAACCACGTAGTGTCCTACATATTGGGGGACAGCATTCCCTATAGGGGTAGAGAGATTGCTCAACAATATTTGGATGCCTTTGGTTTCTGCTCATCTCGGGAAGACAAAAATATCCTGCCTACATAGAGAAACGTTGAGTCTAACATACGGAAAGCCACAGGGAGAGGGAAGTGGACTGTGTGAAGAGAGAAGAGCTCCCAGATCCTGCTATAAGTTGTTAACTACATAGTAGTTACCCTAGCCTGCTAGCCTGCTAGCCTGGCCTTCAAGACATCCACCATCCATTAATGCACCCCATAACCCTAACGTTCCTCTTTCTGTTAGCGATCTCTAAATCGAAGGAATCTCAAATTGTTTCAGTTAACGTTATATTTCATCATACGTTCTTATCTGATCAGAAATTATCTGGGCACCATGCATAAGAAGAGTAAGCCGGTAATATGAAGGGTCAGTTGAACCAATCAAAGTTATGACACGGGGCGCCTCGAAATTATGTACCAAAAGTACCGAATAGGCTGCCATGGAAAGGGCGTAATTCCCGGAGCCTGGAGGGAGTGAGATTCGGATTATTAGCGATCTCGAGTTAGAAGCTATCTTCCAAGCCATAAGCTAGTCCAGAGAAGGAGTGGTTAAAAAGGATTGTGTACTGTATGAGCGAAGGCGGAACTGAGACAAGATTCCCAAGGAACCGTAGCTCCGGTCGTAAATGGGAAGGTTTAGAAAGTCGCAATTGAAGCGATTTAACAGAACCTCCAACACTAACCTCACATCCTTCTCTAATTTTTCGACGGCTGAATCCATTTATCCCACCAGGATCAAGTACCATACAGGCTCGTTCCTGGCAGCCCGTACAAACGTACTGATAGCCGGAAGAGTAATTTTTCAGACCGACACATTCCAAGTGTTGCCAAGCTTGGCATTTAGAACAACAAATACCGTGCGTCTCCAGCCCAGTGCGCTTGCCGCAGCAATGTATAGAGGACTTAAAACTTCGAACGTCAATATTCTTGAACTGAGATTCTGAAGCGTAGTAGCATTGCTCGGCTGTGAAGGATGCCTGCGAAAATGCTACGGCATCTCGCGGTTCCAGTTCATGAAGAATCATTCGAACAATCTCAGGCGGCATGTTGACCGGCCACTTCTCCCTATAGGCGCAAGGCTTCTTCCAACAGTTTGATGTTAGAACCCGGGCTAGAGCACGGAACCCAGATGAACATCGGGTCGCCGAATGGTTGGAAAGCGATATTAGGTTCCTAGAGGCCAGAACGACCTCGTGAGAAAGCTCCACGAAAGCGACATGACGTGGTGAAATTACAATCAAGCGAACATTGTCATGCCTGAGCAGGGAGTCGCCAATATATGACTCGGCTTTTGAGACGGCTCCGTTTATCATGGCATTAGATTCAACGTCATCTTGTAAAACAACAAGGTACCCATGGAACCAATAGACGTCTGCGTCGGGGTAGCTCCAACGGGGAATTGACGCGAATGAGATTGGAAGCTCAACGTTGTAATCGAAAGATACCTCAAAATCCCAGGCCGCAAGACGCAGGAAAGCAATCGATAGTACCCTGAATACGGGAGAATCGTATCTCCATGTGGAAGGGTCATCGACATAGAAGCGCCAAATAAAAACGAGGTCGGTAAAAAATCGCCCCTGTAGCTCGTTCATGGGTGTAGGGATGCCAAAGTCGATTTCAAACGTCTCGAATTGCTTTGCTTGCGCCTTATTGTTGCTCCCAGAAATATATTCACTAGACATATACTGAGGATTCTGCTCCATATGATGACTTATGCTAGATGCCTCATGGATCTTGGCGAGATCAATCCGTGTTGCCGAAGGTGTCAATGATCTGGATCCGTCAAGCTCACTCCATAGTGAGATTGTTAAAGTACCAGCATCTAGATCGACAGTGTATACATAATCTAGATTCGAGTGAATTGGGCTAGGAACGGGACTGGTTCCCATCCTTCAAGATTGTCGGGCTTATCGCATAAACTTTTGATTGTTCGGAATGTCGACTCATTGTCAGGGGGACTTATCCGCCCTCGAGGGTGATAGAAGCGGTACCATTTCCCTAAAAGAGTATGTTAGCGTTTGCAAGTCGTATAATACGGACGATCACCAACCATCGATGTGTATGTTCCAGAGCCCTCTACAACCCAAATCACACTTATTTTACTACCTAGGTATCTAATCTTCTAGTACCTAGAAGACTGTATAGTGATTGGCTAATTGTCAGTCCTTTCCCCGCCTTTCTACCAGATAATGCCAAGTGCACAGACCACGTTTAAATTGAGCTTTGTAACTGGCATTGGGTACCTAGGTAGGTGCTCATGCTCCCAAGGCTGCCTACCTACATATGTAGGTAGGTATGCAGGTTCAGAAAATATCCACTCGCTTAACCTTGACTGGTCTCATGTATATGATGTAGCATCGTACTTCGTATAAACCTTGTAGCAGACCATGTCACAAGTCGCGCCAAGACTTTTCTAGCCCCAATGTTTTGATTTAGCTGAACTGCCTGTATGTATCTCGCCTCAAATCTTTTTTTCTTTTTGTCTTTTTGTCTCTTTTTTTTTCTCTTTTTGGGCTTGAATATTCTCATCTGCTAGAAGTAGCAGGCATACTGATATGTATTATTATATTCTGATTTGTATAGGTGAGATTTATACGGTGACTAAAGTTATGGACTATAGGGCCATTCGATTTAATATCCTGTATTCCCACTGTTACCTCGCTTGGATATTAAGGCTCCGAAGGAATACGGCCGGCGCCTTCCGGATCCCCCTTAGTTTGATAGGCCAGAAAAATGTTTGTTCAGCCCGAGGCAGATATTTTCAATTCGCTGGCTTTCCGTGTCTTTGGCTACAAGCTTATCCATTCTTGACTCTCTACATTGAACTCTGTCTACACGAAGGTTACCAAAATGTTCTGTGCTCCATTTCTAGCAATACTCGCCCTCCAGGTCAGCCGTGTTTTGGCTGTGACAACAACAATACCACCCAACGTTCAAGGATATTATTGGGATTCAGAGGACAGTACCTGTGAGTTTTTAGAAACCACTGAGAATACCTATAATGCTCATTTATAACAGGGTCGGATGTAACTTGCTATCCCGGACAAACCTACGTCAGTTCGAGCAGCTTCGCAAGATGCTGTTCACACATTACCAACTCTGGCTGTGTCTTTCCGACAAATTGTGCTGGCGACAAGGTTCTTTTTGATGATGGTGGTATTGCTGATGGCAGCTGGTAAGGACCGCATTTAAGACCGCAAAACTTCATGGGTTTCTAATGGCAGGAGTCTTTCAAAATTAGTGCTAAGGGCTCATACTGTGTATTCATGACTATCTACGAGTCTGCCACCACCGACCCAGGAGTAACAGATTATTTCTGTTGGACTAACAGCAATCACTGGACTGCATCTACCATATTCCGAAATACCGGTAAGCATGGGAGTATTGTGCTTTGTATGGACTTGAGCCTCGACGTACTGACCAACATCTGATGGGTAGATGCTGTTACTGCCACACCGAGGACATCTACCACGCCATCAACTGCAACCGCCACAACGAGGACATCTGTCGCCCCCACACCCACCTCTACTGAGGACACCACACAGGGCTCTGAAAGCTCTGGGAGCAAAGCGTGGATTGCTGGTGCAGTGGTTGGTCCCGTTGCAGGCTGCGCGATAATCGCAGCCCTAGCCTTCTGGTGTATTCGCCGTTCCCGCGCAAAGAAACAAGGCACTGTATCAGGCAACGAGGCGTTTTTGCCTCCGTCAAGCATGGCTGCCAATACGACAGGCGCACAATTCGTAATCCCTAGCGAGCTTGATGGTGCGCGCAAACCACAGGAACTAGATGGGGTGCATTCCACATCAGAACTTCCTGCGCCCGTGGAACCCGCGAATAGAACCCATTAAGGAGGTTTAGTGGACTTGGTTTCAAGGGATGAACATGCTTTCAACGAGTGTTGTGATTTTAGGACTGTGCTGGTTATATAAGGCCACGATATTGGGGATACCTTTGTTTTTATGGGAGCACTGAGTTGGTCGGAAACCAATTTGGACTATATGCTGTATATATTTTCTAATGTTCTCACGTACCCCTAGAAAAAGTACCAATATGCTTGAACTACATTAAAACCCTAGTGCGATAGCTTCACGGTCTGCAATCCACACACTTCACCCAGTGCAAGCCATCAATGCGAGAACCCGTAGTCGTGTGAATTACCTTTCTGATGTATTCGGACTCCCAGCACTCCCATCACAGATTCCCTGCTGAAGACCGTCGAAGTGATGCTGTGCTTATTGAATCTATACCATGTTTAAGCTTCATGCGTCAACAGGTCGAAGAGGTGTATTCGAGATGTAGGAATATGAAGTAGGTGACAGTTAAGAGATGCTCGCTGGGGCAGAGGAATCTTTCCTGGCCTGACCGGCAACAAGAAATATGCAGACTGGATCATGGATGACTCGTTATACTGCCCACGCCGATATGCCACTAGAACCTTTGCAGCCACTAGAACCTCAGCCCAGCCAGTTCTAATGCTGCGCCAAGATATGACCGTCCCGATTGAGCACTGAAAGCTGTAGCGAGCGTCCCCCTAAGGTTGATTCTGTCACTTTACCGTTGCCATTCCATTTGGAAACCACATTTCCACCTCTACGGAGCTTCAGCCCCGTAACCGAACCCGGTCCCCACGCACCTGAGATAGCCGGACCCAAAATAACTTAGTGGGTGCTGGTATCACCGAATGCCTGCGTTATGTCAGTTGCTAGCATTGTAAGTGCAGTACCTATAATGCCGAGGTTGGAATCTATCTGGAAGGGGGTCGAGTGGTAGGGTGGTTTGCCTGACGTGAAGCCGGACAGCCCATTCGGCGCGAAGTTCATGTCAATGCTGTACTTAAGCTTTATGTACTTGTTCTCCCGAAATGGGTTCAGTCTGTTCTAACCACGGATATGTATGGAAAATGCGCGCTTAGAATATGAGTAGTGGAGACTAACGCTTGATCTATATTGTCCAGCACTGCCCAACGGGCAGAACGTCATTCTTTTCTCCCACCCGGTATTTGGATCTGCCTACCGAAAGCACGGAGTAGTACATAGATGTATGCAAAGGCTTGGTAGAATCGGGACTTGGCGAGGTTATCTAAAGTTCAAGATCTGCAGGGCTGCGTATAAGAAGTCTAAATAATTGAATATCATCTCCCTGAAATTTAGATGTTCTTACATATATTTTACTGAAATTGATGACAAAATCCACCATGTCGGTGTTCAATGAGCTCGCAGCTGGTGCAGGGACTGAGAGTGCTCTGACGGCCTATGCGACGGCGACATTGGAAGACGGCAAAACACTCCAAGCCAACCTTTATATCCCGGCTACCGGCGCTACACCTAACACCAGCTTTATACAGGAGTCCCTGTTGACGGCTAATGGCTCGGTAGAGACTAATGTGTCTACCCCTACGTGTGGATAAAGCTGGTCCCCGAGTATATGCTGTTGGTGATGTGGGATCGCATGCACGTCCGGCGGTGCACAATATTTTGAACACAGTGCCCATTCTGTGCGCGAGCATGAAAAGGAATTTGCTCATTGCTGAGGGGCAAGGAGAAAGTGCCGCTGGTCCCGATCGTGTGTTCAAGGAGGACACTCGTAGAACTCAGCTTGTGCCAATTATTGGGTAGAGTAAGGGTGTGGGCGCGGTTTTCAGCTATGGTGTGGATGATCAAAGGCCGGGACTATTGGCTATGGGCCACTGGGGGCTTGTGGAGTGGGAACCAGTGGGCCAAGGAGTCATGAAGATCTCTTTTATTTTTTGATGTGCAAAGGCCGTGGTTAATAGTTATATATCTGCTGATACTCTACACAGTACTCCGTATTGAATAATATAAAGTCAAAGACGGTAGTCATAAATATATTAAATGGATTCACCTTATCATAGTACTAATACTAATAAGTACTAATAAATACCAAAATGCAACCCCCGCACCTCCCAAGTGGATATATGTTTAACACGTGACTTATAAGCTATTTTGCGGGGAAACAGGGGTATGAGAGGGAATTCTCAGCACAGAATAGTAGAGTAGTAAGGGCAAAAAAGATGTAAAAATGGACAGTTACTTGCATATATTGTACTAGTATGTTGTATATGTATATAGTCCTGCCGATAAATAAGCAAAAATAAAATAAATAAATAATAAAAATGGGGCATGTATATCGCTCTAGTGGCCGAGATCGGGCCTCAATCGAGGGATATTTCAGGGATGATTCATCCTTTGCAATTCGAATCCTTTAACTCGCTAAGGTCAATTTACTCTTTCGGCCTTTCCCTCTCCGTAACTCCGGAAGTTACCCCACGTTCGAGACCCGTCAAGCGTAGCACCCTCGGTAACATCCCTGCATCGGCGATCTGCGCTTGAGAGAATTCGACCCATCAAAAAGCCAAACTTTTCCCCTTCCTTTCTCTCCTCCCTTTTATATTGTTATTCCAAGACGCGCAGTGTTCGAGCGCAATTCGCTTCTAATCATGGGTGTCTCAGGTATGTTCGATCCTATACATGTAGGAGTTCTTCGTTTTGCCCTTTTGAGGGTTTAGCGAATCTGCGCGCGCCAGCGCATCATCGTCAACTCGTGCTGACAATTAGCTACTCCTCTGCGCAGAACAACCCGCCTATACCCAAGAGCCTGTCGAGAAGGGCGAAAGTCAGGCCAGCTCCACGGACTTCGATCTGCCTCCTCTCACGACTACCACCAAGCGCAGGTTGCAAGCCAAGGTCGATTGGCACATTCTACCGTGTCTGTGTATTTTGTATTTGCTTGCCTTTTTGGATCGGTAAGCTTACCATTGCGTCGTGTAACCAGGCATTGCTTGTATCTGACATCATCGACCTGCAGAGTTAATATTAGCAATGCCGCTATTCTTGGACTTAAGGAGGATTTGAACATCGTCGATGGAACAAAATATAACACTGCGCTCACGATTTTCTTTGTTCCATACATTATCTTGGAGATTCCGTCAAACATCTTGCTCAAGAAGTTGAAGCCCCATGTCTGGCGTAAGTGTTTGCGCGCCGTGCGATTAAGCGCAATTTTGTTGAGGGCAGTTTGTTAATTCGAATTCAGTGTCGGGATGCATGTTCATGTTTGGCCTTGTCTTGCTCTTCCAGGGTCTGGTGAGCAACTGGGGTGGACTAATGGCCACTCGCTTCTTTTTGGGTGTCTTTGAGACAGGCATGTTCCCTGGATGTGAGTGCAAAAACCAACAAAAACTCCTACGACAGGTGTTAATTGCGATCGCCAGGTTTCTATCTGTTGGGCATGTGGTACACACGCTCTGAGGCTCAGAAGCGTTTCAGTTTCTTCTTTAGCTCCACTTCCTTGGCCGGCGCCTTTGGTGGTCTGCTTGCCAGTGGAATCGCAAAGATGGATGGCATGTGCGGCTACAGTGGCTGGCGCTGGGTGTTTATTATCGAGGGCGTTTTGACCAGCGTGGTCGCGATCATCCTATTCTTTTTCATTGCTGATTTCCCCGAGGATGTTAAGTGGCTGAACGAGGAAGAGCGCACATACATGCGTGCCAAATTAGCCAAGGATGTCGGTAAGGCTGCTCACAACGTTCACTTGGGCAAGCGCGAGGTTCTGGGTGTGTTCAAGGACTGTAAGTATAACCCGGATAACCCCTCTTTTTGCAATTGATTGCAGCGCGCTGACTTTCGTCAGACAAGGTCTTTATCGGAGGTTTTATGTACTTCGGCTTGATTGTCCCGGCTTATGGTACGTACATCACCTTTTCCTTACATGCCATTCCGAGTTGTCGCTCACTCCCATACAGGATATGCATACTTCGCACCGTCGATTATCCAGACCTACGGCTACAGTGCGATCAAAACCCAGCTGTACTCCATTCCTCCCTGGGCTGCAGCATTCGGCTTCTCAATGGTAGTCGCCTTCTGTTCTGACCGGATGCGACACCGATTCATTTTCACCTTGATTCCAATGGCGATCGCTATTGCCGGCTTCGCCATGCTCATGACAATCCATAACAGTACGAGTGCGCAATTTGGCGCTCTTTTCCTGGTCACCAGTGGCTGTTACAGCGCCATGCCTGTCATTGTATGCTGGTTCGCCATGAACTTGGGTGGCCATCATCGACGCAGCGTGGGAACCGCATGGCAGGTTGGCTTCGGCAATATTGGTGGAATCATCGCTACTTATTCTTTCGTTGTCAAGAATGGCGTCACAGATTTCCGAACCGGGTATATCATCTGTCTCTCGTTCATTTGCCTCGCTGGTCTGGCATGCACACTCTATATGGTGGCCCTGTGGTTCGAGAACAAGAAACGTGACCGCGCCCCTGTTGACCCTGCTGCGATTCCCGAGGATGAAGAGGAATATCTCGGCGATTTGGCGCCCACCTACCGGTACACATACTGAGAGAATATGATCCAGGACGGATACTCTCGTATGACGCACCTTTTTTTTATACTTTTGTGGACCTCGTCTTGCGGTTCTGCGAATCTTCACGAGTGATGAAGCTTTTGGTATACATGTTTAATATACGGCTAGCTATACCCAAGAGAAAACATTGGCATCAAAACTGTCACGAGTTCTAATTTAGAGCTATAGCTAGTCAATAATACATAGTAATGGCATTGCTCTTATATTGAATGTTGAATTGAATTAACGTCATTGCCCTACAATCTCCACTTGTACTTTGTATGTTACATAAAGTATTTTCAAATAGTTTGGCCAAATACCTCGATGGAGTGAAACCCTATCAAATTACCTAATTTGGCATAGTCATGTGTCGTCACAGATGGATGTTTGAAGTGTCACGTGTGGGGCCTAAGCGAGGGCGGCTGACTCAGCCGCACTGTACGTAAAGTCGTCTCGGGCCGCCCTCACTTCATCTTTCTTTCTACTATCTCTGTTTCATCATCGAAATCGTGAGTATCTTTCCCAAAGCTTAAGATATTCTCAAGAGCAATGCACTAACAAGTCAACAGATTGAAGATGAGAGACAAGTGGAGAAAGAAGCGCACTCGCCGTCTCAAGCGCAAGCGCAGAAAGATGCGTGCCCGATCGTAAGTCACTCCATCTTGCGCCGATAGTCTCGCGCAAGACTATCAAGCTTCCGATCGGGGAACCGTGAAACTAACTTCCTAATCAGCAAATAAACTACTCGCCCCCTCCATCTCAGCTCTCCTGCCGAGCTCATGGTTAAACGCTGAACACGACAATTGACGACGCGACTTTGCGACTTTCGTTTCTTCGTGACACGCCCTTCATTCCAACGAGTTACTTGCACAGATAAGATTTCCGACCATCATCCAGAAGAAATCGCAGATCGCATTGGCGGAATCCGCTGTTACAACAACAGTCTACCCACATTCCAACACCTCGGATTCATTCACGTCTACGATCTGATGTCATGCATGGTTATTACTCGGAGGGGCTCCTGTGTTTAGGTGGATGTTGGAGGGCCGGTGCAAACCATCGGTCTTTGAGCACGGCACTGGGGTGACTGGTCAATTCTCATTATCTTTACGGCCTTCCTTCGGGCTGGTCAAAAGTTGTGGAGAGGTTTCTTCCGGGAGTTTATCAAAAATCCATGGAATAACTCGGAGGTCTTCGTTTAGCTACTGCAGATGAATCGATGACTTGATGAGTGCAACATTTCTTTTACTCTTTGTAAATGTAATCCAATCCTGTGAACTAGAGCGTAGCTACAGTCTTCAGTATATCCTCAAATATTCGTAGTTCTCTGGATATCGCCATCGAGGTCAGCTTGACGCTTCATGTACGTCAATATTTCTTTGTGTGGAAAGCCGTAATACTCACCGCCTGCCTGGTCTCCGCTCGTAAAATTTTCTGCCAGACAAGTCCAGACATTTTATTTCACCGCGCTAAAGCCGATTCTCGAGAGCTACAATCTTTTGTCTCTCGTCTTTAACGCCATAATGCCGTCCGGTAAAACAGATCAAAAGCGCAAGCGCTCATCGGACAATGAACATCCAAGCAAAAAGCCTGCGCTGCACCAGCTGCCCCCGCTGGCCGCCAGCGTTGTTGAAGATAAGAGCGAGCTGGCACCGGTAATTGGTGAGTTAAAGGCTTTTTATGCAGACTGGGAACTATCTCTAATTGAAATTCTGCGCTATAGCCGACACACCCGGTCTCCAGAGCTCAAAATCCCTCCGCTGGAACCCATATATCAAAAGCCGCGCCAATGTCTCCAAATCTGCGGCAGCGACTCGGAACCCGGGAATTGTCTCTTCAGAGATGCTCCTCCAGTCCTCGGACCACGTCAAGATGGATTTTGTCGGCCGTGAAGGCACAGGAGACGATACCGACTCGCACGTGAAGCACTACGTCGCAGTTATAGACCCAGAGCACAAGACATGGAAGGTCGTGGAGGTGCGGCGAGCTACACTACGAGGAGCAGTGAGAAGCCGCAAGTCCGAGGCAGAAGACTCAGAC